AGTCTGGTATAGATTCGAATCCCCACGAATACTGTAGCCAACGATGTGAATACAACGCTTACCACCAAGCCTTGAGTTCCACGTGAAGATAGGTAGATGTCACCACCAATCTCCTCCCGCTTGAAAATTCCATCGTCAAGGCCGATGATATCCATCGTTGATGGAAACCAAAAAGCAATTTCTCAATTTTTATGTTTGATTCAATGCCAAATGAGTAGAGTTGTGTGAAAAGGTTTTAGAAATCCCAATGAAAACCAATGATTCAGTGGATTCTAGACGTGAACGGAGTGACGAAAGCAATATATTAAACGAGCGTTAAAAGGGCGCAAATGCAAATTCCGGGGAAAGGAAGGAAAGGAGGGGAGTGCTGAGGATCGTTCCTTTCATATAACGCTCTCTCAATGTGACGAGAACAGCGGGTCCAGGCCAATAAACAATACAAGCAAATGGAAAGGCACAGCGATGGTTGGGGCTTAAATCCGCTAGTCTCGTCTCCCTGGGTGAAGGACGACCGCAGAGATATCCCTGCTTAATGTATCGATGTCTATCTGGGACGAATGCCCCAGGTGCAAGAAAGGGACTCGGGTGGAAGGAGGGCAAGGTGCATCATCTGCGCAAGGGGTTGCGTACAACGAATTGGGGCTTTAATTTGCCCCAGTCGTAGTTGATACTTGCGTAAATCCCACAAAAGAAACTTCTGTTCCCTTTAGACCCCTTTTCTTGACTATTCTGTGGAATGCGCCATGTCTCGTTTTTCTATTGCAACTTGAACCATTGTTCTATAGATACTAATACCCAGATGGGCTAACCTCTACATCGGGAACGTATATAAATATACTGCCAAGCAGAGCCAACATTTAATCTATACCCGCAGACACTTGCATGTGAAAGCTGAAGGGGATGCCCATCCCGTTTCCATCTTCATTGAAAACAGAATGAGATTTCAGACAATCAGCGTGATCAATCCTGCGCGCATGTACTCTGTATACTCGGTCCGATGTATCGATTAGATCTCACTGCGACACCCGGACGGAGATCTACGGATGCGAAACTTAAGCGGAGCCCGGGGGCGGACGGACGAAAGTTGTACTCCGATGTTTTCTTGAAAGAGTTAATGTGGAAAGATCATCATCCCCTTGTGCAGAATTTCTGTATAGCCATCTTCAAATCGACAAATTACATCGAATCAATCCTGATTTTGAACTAAAGTAACACCAAAGAAGCATTTGCGATTTCTCCTGCCAGTCATCAAAATAAAACCGGCTTGGTCAATTAGCTTTATCGAGTCCCATTGAATAGGAGGGTCTCTAGCTCATACATTGTCGAGTTTGACAAGCCACCTGGAGGGCATCTCCATTGGTCGCTCGAATCGCATGATGACGTTAAGCAATGTATCTAGCATCTGCCCGCAAATGTAGCCTTATTAGAGGCCCGTTCCTATTTGGACAGGGTGGCCAGCTGCATGAGGCTTCAGAAAACGGAGAATAATTGCGAATGTCAAATGGCCGCCAGGCCCGAGAAGCAGCTATCCGATCTATCACAAAAAAGCGCAGATCACCAGAGATCGACACGCGTTCAGCTTGCTTCCTCGTTCTTCATGCCTCTTGGTGCTACTGGAGAGATCAGAAAGCGGGGAAATTTTCATTATTGCATTGACTTGTTTCAAATTCAGACAATATGAAGGGTGTAGGTGGTGGGATTAATGACAAGCGTATCTGCATCCCTTAGGTCAATTATAGGACAGTTTCCGTCTTCAAAGTTAGGGCGCTCGTTAAGCTCAGGGGCATTGAACCTTCAGAGCAAGGGGCGACCCAATTTCCGCGTCTCCGTTCAATAAAAGAAATTCTCCGTGCCATTCAAGTTCTATTTAGAGTCGGGCCTCGGAGACAGCCGATTGGACTTAACAATGATAGAAAGCGTAAGGATTGGCATTCTGGCCATTCTGCTCTGTTCCAAGTATAGCCTAAGGAACTCTTACAAGAAGAACTGTCAGTTCTTGACACTGATCACAGACCTCAGAAGTTCGCAGGCCTGATCGTCCGTGATCGTACCCTCATCTCTTGTTCTATCACAAGACACCTAGTCAAGCGATAGCTATACAAGCTGACCCGCTCGCATTTCCTGCTGAGGACGGATTACCTTGAAGAGAAGCCCCAGGGCTACTTACCGACTAAGTCACCAGCCATTCTCAGCAATAGTGTCACATACCGAAAACTCCAATTGGCAGCGTCCAGATCGTGTATACTTTCCAATTTTGATCAGAGCACTATGGTTCCGTGGTTGAATCTTCCAATTCAATATTGGTACTAGTACCTACCTGCTACCTACTAGTTAGTAGGAGTGGTAGCTAATCAAATCCGTCATATATCCATCACTTTATCTTCCTACTTTCTTCCCCCGCCACAGATCCACAGCCATTGCCCTGACCATAACCTTCACGACCATTGCCACTGCCTCTGAGTCTGTGGAATTTGAATGTGTACCACCGCCTGCTGATAACCATCATGGAACCTTATACACTACCTGGGCTTCCTTTAGAGTTATTACTGCAAATATGTGGCTTACTTCCACCTGTCTATCTCGTTTGCCTTTGCCTCTGCAATCATCAACTCCATGCGCTTAGTGGGTTAGCCAAAGACAAACTTGCCGGCTTCCTTGTGATAGGAAAGGGTATAACTGGCGAGCAGAGCAATATCAAGGTTCATCAATTAGTATGAGAACACATTCTATATACTCTCATTCAAGGAATTGTATATCCTTCCTCCAAGTTAAGCTTGCAATAAGAAGGTTCTGTTATAGTCTACAATCTGGTATTAGCAATGAATCTTTATCATTTACACAAGTCCGTCGCCACTACCATCCTTGGCAAGACCCCGAATGTCGACTCTTGTTCTATGCAAACATTACAACGCTATTATCGATCGAAGCACAAATATCTCCTCAGCCCCTTGGAGATTATACACGATGCAGGATATAATAATTTTCAGAATATGGGAAGATTCAAAGATTAATTCAAACTCAAATCCTTTACGGTACTTTGAAATCTGCAGACACATCTCACTCAAAGGCAGAGCCTCTGATCTAGGCTCTGTATTTGATGGAAAAGAAGCCTTCCTTTGCTACACCTGTCCCAAATGCAATACATTTTCTTTGATCGAAAATTTGTATGCTTGATTCAAGTTGCAAAATTGCCCTCATCATGACAAGGTGGGTTAACTTCGGCCCTGGCCTTGACAAAGCGGATTCTCTATGGGAAATTCACACATGTCATACTTCCACTCAATCCTTCCCTAAACGGCTTCATGACTCCCTTATTACTCAAAGTCCTCGAAAATGTTTCGAAGATATGGGGCATCTGTCATTTGAATATTTGCGGTCTCGCAATATGTCCTATCTTCGTGGTGGTCAATACGAAAAAGGCAGGCACTTTGTTCAAGGTGGCTCATTTATTTGGCACATCTCATACAAAGAGACGCAGAAGAACTTGAGATGGGAGGCTGTATGTACTATCAATGATTTATACGGCATTTTGGTTTCGGCCTTTTTGCTTGCGTTCGTTAAGGACGTATTTATGGATTGCTAGATTACGATTAGGTTCATAATACTTCTCAGCGGGTCCACGGTAGCAGTGTCATATTATCTGACGCGCTGTAATGTAGTCACAATGATGTAAATAATACTATTCCCACGAAGAGCATATGGATGTGGAATGACGAAACCCAATACGCGCTACTCCGTATGCATCTCTATGCGGCCTAGCAAGCCGGATGACATGGGATTCGACATATGACATATCACATTTAGCCACACAACTTTGCAGCTAACCGATGCAGATTGACTGGAAAGCCGACCTTGTATCCCCTTGCAGAGGAATTGGCAATACTTTGCTGCGTTTGAGGCCTCGGAATGCAGCCTCTCACGTGTAACTCGTCGTTGGCGGTTATTAGCATGTGCCTTGAAGGGGTTCGCAAGAAACGCGTGGGAAAGGTTGAGCAAGGATGGTTGGAACTGAAATACAGTCCTGAGTGTCTTTATTTTTTTGGGGCAAAGTTTATCAGTTACTACTAGTAGTAACCTTGGAAGCTTGGAAGCGTGGGAAAAGTCCGAGTCCATATACTATATTGTCGATTGTATTGACGAGAAAAGTCAACCCTCACTCGAAGTCATTGCAGTAACTTGCCACACATGGATTGTATTGTGTAGAATGTGCCCTTGGAGTGAAAATCCGCCACTAAATTCACCGTCCAAGGAAGATTCGGGTCTGGTCGGTATTGCAACCGTATAGTCTTGGAACACTTCACCTGCGCAGACAGTGGCACCTGCATGTAATCACACTATAGAGTAGAGTCGGTGTGACTATATGACATTCTGCTTCTATGGTTAGTCCTGTCACCCACGAGGATTCTAAGTGTGAAATTGCATCTTGCATCATGACATGAAGTATATGCAGTGCATACGAGCCTACCGCAACTCGATTCCAACCCCTGCTCTCAGTGAGCTCATGTAGAGCTAAATTTTGGAATGAACGATTGATTCAGTGGCCTGCTAAGCCTGGAGAGAAGAGGAAAGACTAATATTCTTCTTCAATACCCCAACGGAGATCGACTTGTCCAAGTGAATTTTGAGCGCCGCATAATTACTAGTTACTCATATCAATAATAACAGAATTTAACTAGTATTCTGCCCACCTCCAGGACAACCCAAGCGGGCATTCAACCACAACATACAAATTAATTTGAAATGCCCTTGAATTCTGACTGATACTCCACAATCAGACTCAACCTTCCAAAATACATTCTTTCTGAGTCCGCATAGTTGCCCAATGGAATGGCGGGGCATAGGGCGACGATAAGATAAAGAACCGCGCACAGGCCAACATCCGAGAAATTTCCTTTCTGCACCACCTTGTGAGAAACCCACGAACTTGAAAGTCCCTCCATTTCGCTAGTTACAATTCACCTGCGAAATATCCTTTGCGTCATTCTCAAGTCGAGACCAATATGGCGGAATCCGCATCGTCGCCGCCCAAGTCCATCCACACAATCGTGTTGGACGCCGGCCCCATCATCAAAAATTCCCCGCCGCTTTCTACTCTGCTCGCTCAATGCGATGAGATTATCACCACCCCCGCTGTGGTGAGCGAGATTCGCGATCCCGACGCCCGCGCCCGTATCGAAACTCTCTATCTTCCTTTCCTCAAGCAGCGCACTCCGAACCCGAAAAGCTTCAACATTGTTAGCGAATTCGCAAAGAAGACTGGTGACCGCTCTGTGCTGAGCCGAAACGATATTGAAGTTCTGGCGCTCGCCTACGAGATTGAGTGTGAGCGCAATGGAGGCGACTGGCGCTTGCGCAGTGTGCCCGGCCAGAAGCGCGTGAATGGAGCGCCGCCTGTCAAGGAGGAAGAACAGAAGTTGGAGGAGGAGCCTAAGGTGGATACCGAGTCCAAGGACGTGGAGGCGATCACCGAGGGCGTCCAAGAGGCTACCATCGCAGAGAACACCGAAGTCACAAAGTCTGAAGAGACCGATGCAATTAATGAGAACCCCGTCGAGATCGAGGAGGACGGAGCGGAAGAGGGTGAAGAGGATGTTGACCTCGACGCAAATGAGGATGATGCCGCGGACTCGGACGGCGGAGAATGGATCACACCCACCAACTACAAGAAGCGGCTGGCCCGCGACGATGGCAGTGGTGCGACGGCTGGTAGTGAGGTTAAGGTCATGCAGGTCGCAACCATGACTACTGATTTTGCTGTAAGTGTATACACGTTCATTTGCAAATGCACCCACTAATTTGGATACAGTGCCAAAACGTCCTCCTGCAGATGAACCTCAACCTTCTTTCGACTACCACTCTCCAGAGAATCCAGCATCTGAGAACTTTCATCAAGCGCTGCCACGGCTGCTTCCTTACCACCAAGGATATGAGCAAGCAGTTCTGCCCTCGCTGTGGTAAAGATACTCTTACCCGCGTCTCCTGCACAACCACCGCCAACGGCCAGTTCACCATGCATCTGAAGAAGAACATGCAGTGGAACACCCGTGGTAATGTGTACAGTATTCCCAAGCCCATTGCAGGTACTGCCAATGGAAAATGGAAGGGAGGCGCTGGAAAGGGTGGTTGGGGTAGAGACCTTGTCCTTACCGAGGATCAGAAGGAGTTTACTCGGGCGAACGCCGAAGAGGAGCGTCGCCAACGCCGCCAGCATGACCTCATGGACGAGGACTACCTCCCCGGTATTTTGACTGGCGAGCGCAACAGGCAAAATGGACGCACCAAGGTCGGTGCTGGCCGGAACGTTAACTCGCGCAAGCGTTGAATGCCATGAACGATATCTGCATTACATATTACATGGGCTGGAGTTTGGGATATATGCACAACAAAAAGTCATTGGAACTTCTGTCACGATGCGATCTACGGTACTTCTTTGCACATACTAGATAGCAGTTAAATAGAGGGCCAGGAATGGAAAATTCTCAATATATTTTCGATTGGTATTCAATATGAGACTCAATCCGTAGATCTTGTAAACATCCAAAGCAATGCGATTCAGTCGTCCGCAGACCGAAGAAATAACACCATGCGCCGAATCGGACCGATACCGTTCAGTCCATCCCTCCAAACAGTCAAGTTTTTAAGCCAAGCCTAGAAGCTTAGTTCTCTGTGACGGACGTTAGTAGCTGGCGCGCAGAACGGGACGAGGAGATGACGATACCAGGCTGCTGGGTGAGGAGAAGGTTGTAGCGCTTCTTCAGGGTGACACGGTGACTAAAAACCAATGATGTTAGTTCTGCATCCAATTTCTCTTGTCTTGTTGGGGGATTGTCTGGACAGGAGATGTCACATACCGAGAGTACTTGTCATCGGGGGAGAAACGGGCGGGGTGGGCAGACTTGGAGACCTTGCCGTCAACAACCTTCTTCAAGGTGTAGACGCGCTTGCCATCGGGACCGAGGGTGTACTTGAGACGCAGTTAGTGAGATGTTCAGAGTGTCGTGTGATTATGATGGTCGATTCGGAAACTGAGATCGATTGGGATCGGTAACGACATACCATAAGATGCATTCTGGTAGAGGAAATATGTTAGTATGACCATATAATACCCCAATCAGATGTCGATAAACAGGCAATATGTACTTACTTGGCGGAATGTGATGTTCTGCTGTTCGAGGAGTGCGGCGTGGACGGTGCGGAGGAACTTTGGATTTTTTTTTGACGCCGAACACACGGACCACCTGATTAGTCACCCACTGCGCTTAAAACAGCCAAAAAGTTTTCCTCCAGCAAAGACCTCCCTTCTCATCCTCTGAGTCAACCTCGGAGTCAAACCGACTCATTGATATTTCCTTCCGGGAAATTGGGTCATTTTATGATGATGATCTACTGAACGTACTGACTTACATTACATGCCAATTCAGAGAGCACATTGATATTCACTACTCTTATCAGGTAAGCTTGAATCCCAGCTCGATGGAGCTATTCATTTTTTCTTTCCTTGCTCCCCTCCCCCCCATCTTCAGTGATGACAAAATATCCCAAGCCTAGGCAGGTGGCACTTTGATTTCTAGCTGCCTGTCAATGATTTGCTTATTTTGACTACTACGGTATCTGAGAAGATTTACCAAACTCACAATTTGTGTCACATGTTTCGTGGAAGATTGTTGCTAACTCAACTTCTCCACCCAGGGCTCTTTCAATTCATCCAGTAACAGCTATCTGAATATGACCGAGGCCAATGCCACCAGCGCGGCTCAAGCGAGCCCCGAGGCCGACCCTGCACGAGTGAATCCTCGTCCGGCCCGGGCACCTCGTCCTCCTAGACCAAATTACAGACTCATTCATCGCTTTCCTCTCCCTGTCAATGCACATCCCGTTCCACCTGTAATTCCTCATAACCCCCTCTCCATCCTTAGTGCTGCCCTCTCGTACCTTTCCTTCCTTATCTCTCGCCCTAGCCAAGAAATCCACTCTGCATACTTCGACCCAGCGACTTCCTCCATCCACGTGACGGACGAGAAGGCGATCCGGGCGCTATGGGAGATGGGCTTTTTCGGCAAAGGCAGCCTGAGCCGAAGTGAACCTAGCTGGCTGGGGCGTGAGAAGAAGCGGAGAGGCTTGCTCGGTGGAAACACCAGCGAGGAGGCTACCAGGAGACGCAGGGCGGAACGGCGTGCATTGAAGCTTGAACGAGCAAGGTCAGAGAAGCTCCTCATCGACGAACGTCTCAAGTTAGAGGCAGCTGCGAGGGAGTCTGGTTCTATGGCTCCATCGGTCGGCGACTCGGTAGATGATACAGCGACTACAATCGAGAAGTTCTCCGTCAAGAAGGCGATGGAAGCCAAGTATCAAGAATCAAGACTGCGCAGGTCTCAAAATGGAGCGTCAGTGCCACCTGCAGATACTCCCGAGTCGGCGCAAAGCAAATCAGTTCGCTTTTCGTCCGTCGTGGAACAAAAAGAAGCAACATCAACATCCACTGCCCCGCTCCAGGGCTCCAGCTTGACGGATGCAGATGAACTTGATATTGAAGACATTCTCGAGAACCAAGAGCATCTTCAAATATCCAATGAGGAAGCCTTCTTCCTTGTCTACGGACTAGGCGTCCTCCGTGTCTTTGATCGTGAACAAAACACTGTCATCCCAACCTCGAATCTCCTCCCTCTCCTCCGCCGCAATTCCTACTTTCCTCCCCACGCCGAAGCATCCGAACTCAACCCCGATGATCCCTTTATGCTGTCATATGTTGTCTACCACCACTTTCGATCACTCGGGTGGGTAGTGCGGTCCGGTGTAAAATTCGGAACCGACTATCTACTTTACAACCGCGGTCCTGTTTTCTCCCACGCCGAGTTCGCCCTCATTATAATCCCATCCTACAGTGACCCATACTGGGCAGAGACGGAGGAACGCAGAGAATATGTGACAAGTAAACAGTCCCGCAGCTGGTGGTGGCTGCACTGTGTGAATCGGGTTCAAGCACAGGTGAAAAAGAGCTTGGTGATCTGCTACGTGGAAGTACCCCCGCCGACAGGTTCCTCAGAAGACATCGCGGCCTTGCTGGGACAGTATCAGGTTCGGGAGTTCCTCCTCCGACGATGGATTCCCAACCGCACGCGTGACTAGAGAGAGGTGGACATTATTCCTCATGGGCGCCAACGAAATTCGGTGTCGCCTAGGACAATCCTGTACGAGATAGGGCTTCAGATACCCGCTCAGTACTAGTATTTTCTTCCAAATCAAGCAATATACCCATGGCTGGTCCACATATGACCAATACAATGATTGATGAGATTCTTTGCGAATAGTCGTAGACAATAAACGATTTTAGCTTTTAACTGTAAACAATGAAAGCGAGGGTGACCATCAAACTCGTCCTTGACTTGATTAAAGCCAAACATGGAGACGCTAGTTCGTAACAGGCAAGATTACAAGTCCACGTGACTGACGCGAAGCCATCGCGTTCTCCCATGGACCAAATTCACTCAGACTCGGTTCATTTCTCCAGTCTGTGCCAAAAGGCGGCGATTATGAAAGACGACACACTTCCTAACGAGAGAAATCAATAGATCTGTGCAATATTCGACGCTCTGCGGACTATGGAGACGCAGGACAGTATCGACATCGCGAAGCTCCAACGCGACGCGTTGGGACTAGTACATGTATGTAATATCCTGCAGTTGTTCGAGAATCCTATTGGACTAACCTCGGTCTTTTCAGGAGCACGAACCATCGCAGCCATTTTCTTCTGGTCTGGCGGGAATTGACAGCACTTCACCAAATAATTCCTCCCGTCTCGTCCATTCAGTCATTCCTTCTCAAGGTGACGCACCGCCGACCGACCCCGAGCTGTCTACACTTCACTCATCGAACACACCCAAATCCCCTCTGAAACAACAATTCAGCCTCCCTGCCACAATACAACATGCGAAAGCCTCAATGAGCTCCCACACCAGTGCAGCTACATCGGAAAACACCCACCCTGTGGGCGGACCGCAGCTCGAAAAAATGGACTCTGTAGAGGGTGACCCCGGGGATACCCAAGTTGTCTCACAATCCGTGTACGATAGCATCATTCGACAGAATGGGGAATCGGTATACGGAGATTTCTTACAGAATGGTGCGGATAATGCAACACTCATGACCCTGCATGAGGGCGATAGTGGCCATCTCGATATCCTCGCCGAATTTAATACTTTACGCCACGAAAGAAACCAGTCTCCAACGAATGATGATGAAAGCGTCTACGCCCAAAGCCCATCCTCCCCGATCGCTGACCACAGCCTACAACCCGAATTCTTCCCCGAATCGCAACGATTCTTGACGACTACCCCAGCTACCGCGATAAAGAAGAAGAATCAAACGCCTGGCACATCTCAAACCCCGAGCGCCTCGAGAAACCCGTTATTGGCCGACCTTGGATCGAGTGGTGGTCTTTTGATGGGCCTCAGCCAAGTTTTCAAGAACACCCAAGCTCCCTCCTCCCCCCTGGTCCATGGCCTTCACTCCGAATTAGCATCAGATCGACCTTCGCCCAATGTTCCCATACAGCAACGTATACATAACCCGATCTCCTCGCCACTAGTGAACTTCCGCGGAAACTTTGCACGAGAGTCTTCCGAACCGAACCTCAACTACATATCTTTGAAGGAATCACAACATAACCGCGACAAATCGCTTGGAGAGAGGTTGACGCGATCGGAAGAAAACCTGCACTCAGGGGATCAGATCGATCAGGATTTCTACAAAGAACCTTCATTCGTGGAGGCCGCGAGGCGTAAACGGGAAATTGACGAGGAGACTGCGGCACAATTCGCAGCTTTGAATACGCCTGGTCGACCTCGAAGTGATGCTGGTGGATCCTCCCCCGCCACCTCTATTCATATCCACGAGGATGATGCAATTGGGATGCACGGAGCCGGAAGCGAAGAGGAAACGGAACAAGAAGAAGAAGATGCGGGGCCGCAAGTACCCCAATCCCAAGAGCCCCCTCCTGCTTCCATGGAGGAGGATAAAGAAAATTACATTGCTCCTCATGAGCCTGCAGTTGCTACAAGCAATGCACACGACCGTTTATCCCAAGCCCTTGGCATGGAAGGAAGCCAATCGGCGGCAGATCATGCCGATGATACTGTGCATCAAGACTTGAGCGAAGTGAATGATTCTGATAATCAGCTCGTCGCCAGGTCTTCACAAGTTATGGTTAAGGATTCTCAGCAAACACCGCAGGGGTCGCCGAGGCAAGAAAATGCGCCATCTGGTCTTCAATCAGTGCCGGAGGATATGGAAATTGATGCAGAAATACACGTTGCACGGACTTCCCCTGCTGGTCAGAGCCTAGAGTCGCCATCTCTTGACTCACGTCCGGGAACGATGCATTCTCGGTTCCCCGGCCGCAACTCTCAACAGCAGAGTACTCGTTCATCACATCGCAATGAAGCAGAAGATGCAGAATATCAGCCGGCCAACGGAGACAAACCCGAGTCCTCCCACGATCAATCCGAAACCATTTCACATGGGGCACTCCTCCGGCGGACTGGATCGTATCCAGGAGAAAAGTCCTCCTCGCTGCCCTCGCAAATCAAAGAAACACCAATCCACCTGCGGCCATCAGTCAGCGATATCTCTCAAATGACAAAAGTTCCCAACACTAGCCCTGATCGTCAGGGATCTAATAGATGGGATGGCGAATCCAATGAGAATAATGAGGACGACGATCTTCCACCCATGTTTCCAGTGGGAAACTCCGCCCGGTTCAGCCAACAACGGCCATCTCAAATACGTGCTCAGTCTTCGCCAATCAAGTGCAAGCCATCAATATTGTCAAGTCCGAGTGGACGACAGCGCAGAAGATTGATGGACATTGCATCAGATACCTCCCCGCAGGTTCACGGCAAAGACAAAGTAGTTGAAATCGATATGAGTTTTTTCACGAACGATCCGGATTTTAACGCACTGATTCAAGGATCTCCAACGCGCCCGAGAAAAAGACGCCGCGGAAATCTGGGTCAGTCCTTCGACACGTCTGAGATCACACTTCCTGCAACTCCAGCCGCAGAGCTTCCACAAACAATCACCCCAATCCAAGAGATATCTAGCCCTGTGAAAACTCAATCATCGGCTGAGACCCAGGTTCCTACGGCTACAGCTCGTCGACAACACGGTCCATCTCGACGTGTGGATGCAAATGTATGGGAAATTGAGAGCTCGCCTCAGCAGATCATCCCTCGAAGATCTAAATCCAGGCGCATGCAAACGTTCCCGTCTCGACACCGTCCTCAATTACAGAAGAACCCGCAGCCCCGGTCAGAACCTTCAGCAGAAACCTCTGCACAGGCCTTGTCGCAACCTTCTGAGACCCAGCGCGAGAAACAGTCTGAGAGCCAATCAAAAAGTCAACCCAAGAGCCAGTCTGCGAGTCAGCTCGAAAAGCAACCACGTCCAAAACCATTTGTTGTTATTCCAAGGCCCATCTCAGCTCCATCATCTCAACTAACGGAGCTTGATATTGACTCTGAATATCTGCTCTCGTCAGACCCTCGTCAGGCGAGCGCACCACTTTCGCCAAAACCAGCAGCAGTCGGTTTCGATGAACGTCAGATCGCCCCTTGTCAAATCATTTCTTTGTGGCCGGATAGAAAGCCAGCCTACTATCCAGGAACTTGCTTAGGAAAGCCTCTTGGTACTTCGGTGACCAAGTATTCCGTTAAACTCGAGGATAGTCTTCCGATCGAAGTGAACAAGGTTGCTGTGAAAAGACTCGAACTTCGAATTGGAGATGCAGTCAAAGTTGAAATGCCGGGTATTCCAAGGGTCACGCACATAGTCCGTGGGCTCGAGGATAAACTCACCAAGGAAGAATTGACCAAAGCTGCGGAAAGAGGCGAATATCCTCTAACCGATATCTTTGGCTACTCGACTGTTGTTCTGGGACCAAAGAATCGCGAGAGCCTTCCCGCTGGTTATCTGAACAAAAACACAAATGTAATCAGAGTTCCAATCGCTCGAATTTATCTCGACAAGACCCTGTGGCATCGTCTGAAAGACCGAGACTATACATACCAACATGAAACCGCGCCTCCTCAACAGTCCTTACCCCAAACTCCTGTGAAATCTCCCTTGCCGGCATCACCGAGTGCCAGATTCTCGCGCAACGCCCAGGGCGTTGGTCTGTTTTCCAACATGGCGTTTGCGGCTTCTTACAAAGACGATGAGGCCTCAAAGAATAATATCCTGCGTCTGATCAAAGAGAATGGTGGATCAATCTTACACAGCGGGTTTACTGAACTATTCGAATCGTCATCCGTTCTGCGTACCTCGACATCCCCTACAAAAGGACACCACAAGCAGGGAAGTACGTTCCTTTCTGGACTCAATCTTACGGACTCAGCCCAAAATATCGGATTTGCCTGTCTGATCGCAAACACACACTCGCGTCGTGAAAAATTCATGCAAGCTTTGGCGCTCAATATTCCCTGTCTTTCAGGGCGCTGGGTCGAGGACTGTGTGACCCAAGGCTGTATACTTGACTGGGGCATCTATTTACTACCTGCCGGAGAATCAATGTATCTCGATGGTGCGACAAAGTCGAGAATGCTCATTCCAACTCCGCCATCCAAAGCACGCCTTCCCCAGACAATTTCCGCAAGGCCAAAACTGCTTGATGGAAAGTCTGTGTTAATTGTCATGGGTCGTGGCAAGGCCGAGGAAAAGAGAGAGGCCTACGTTTTCCTCACCTTCGCCCTGGGTGCTTCTCGGGTGGAACGTGTTCCTGATGTCGAGGCCGCGCGCTCGGTCCTGGAATCTGAATTCGATTCTGGTCTTCCTTGCAGCTGGGACTTAGTGTATGCTGATGACGCGGACCGTGATGCTGCCAGAACCATGCTAGTCCCTCGGCCCATGTCCCAGAGGATTCAAGGCAAGAAGCGAAAGAAGTCTGCCGCGTTCGCTATGGATCCCTCTGATATGGATCCCTCTGATACAAGTGACACACCAAGAGTCGTTGGTGCTGAGTTTGTATGCCAAAGCCTGATTCTGGGACAATTGTACGACGAGTGAACTTGTTTTTTTTTGTTTTACTAGATACCAATCTCAATGATCATGTTCAATTATCTATATCATTTCTGTTCATCTATATCTGGCTAGAACCAAAGAGTACAAGTTTGCTCCTATGATATTGTAGTATATCAGCACACTACTCAAAGTCCAAGCTTGAAACCGCCCCAATTGAGTCTAGAGAAGACACCCTCCGGATCATAGGATGACCTGATCTCTCTCATCCGAGCAACATTTTCTTTTGGGAACCCAGCAAATGGGTCCTGCCACTCGCCAGCATCACCCATATAGACAAATTCCGACGCGATTCCCTTCTCGACATTGATGGCATGGAGGTTCTCAGCAAGCTGTCTCGACCAAGCCTCGATGCGAAGGTCGTCTTGAGCCAGGGCCCAGCCAGTGCTAAATTGCCATACTAAACAACCATTAATTAGCTTGAGCTGCTTAAACGAAGTACCAGAATAGGGCATATAACTTACAGATATGGGGAGTGTCCTCCAAGCCCCAAACATTCCCAACTCCATTGGTGAGTGCAACGCGAGCGGCCGGGGCAGAAGCAACATTGGTCACGAAGGTTGGGTAGAGGCCTTGAACATCAGCAATCTGGTCAACGGCGTCTTTCCACGCCTTATAAATCGAAACAAGGACTTCCGCATCCGGTTTCATTGTCTTGTGAGAGAACATGACTCTGTGAATATTATCAGCATACTTCTTTCTATACAAGGGTGTCTAATTCTACCCACCTGAACATCTGCTTAGGAGAGTCAAGATCAGTCGCCCACTGCTTCATAGTTGTGACATTATTGATTCGCGTGATGGCAGGAATAGCAGAGAAATTGGCGAATTGAGAGGGGGGCTTGCTGATGCCCTCCTGGACACCAAGAAGCGAAGCAGATGAAACCTTAGTTGTAGCATTATACTGCACGCTCGCAACCATTCCCGCAGCAATAGGATCTTTCTCGTCCAAATGAGCCATATCACACACTGCGTTCAGAAAATCGGGGATCCCGCTCTCATTGTAGACCTGGATTGTCGTGCTGACCTTGGGCATATCGTAGGTTCGTAGAGTGAACTTTGTCACGAGGCCATAGTTGTTGGCGCCGCCTTTCAGCGCCCAGAATAAATCCTTGTGGGAAGACTTTGTTGCTGTAACCTGTGTTCCATTGCCGAGAACAACGTCGTAGCTTACGACGTTATCCATGGCATATCCGTATTTGTTGTTGAAATAGTGGAACCCGCCAATGAGACTGAGTCCAGGGACACCGATTGTCTTAAGGCGACCACCGATTGCAACGCGGCCGTGAGATTCAAGAGCTGAATAGACGTCGTACCAGGTGAGTCCAGGCCCAACCTCGACCGTACCGTTCTTAACCTGAACATCATTCAGCTTTTCGAGGGCCACGAGAATGCCGCCTTCAATATTGTTCGATCCTGGATACTGGGTGGGCGTTAGCAGCTGAATTCTATCTTCCAATGTGGGTTAGAGGCTTGACTTACATTCATATGGCCACCTCCTCGAACAGCAAACTGGGCGTTGCAGGAATTGAACAACGACATGGCTTTGGAGACCTCATCTGCCGATGCGGGCAAAAATACACATGCCGGAGATAGATCGGCTCGAATATCCCAGAATTTGTCCGCTGCCTGTGTAGTGTAGCTTGCGTTATTGGGGAAGATAACACCGTCGAATGCCCGCGACAGTCGTTTACAGGCACAGCTTGCCCCCTTTTGCGGCGTGACAACATCAGTCAGGGAATTGGAACTTGCAGTAGCAAGTCCCAAGAGACTCAAGCTGAGAAAGAGTTTCATCTTCGGATTTAGATCAGAATAGTGCGAGAGGGAATTGGAGATACTTTTTTCTTCTATCTAGCAACGAGATCCATTTAGCTTCTTATAAACATTTGTATGATTTAGGAGCTGCCTGGCCTGGCTTGGATGTAATTTCTTGGTTTGCTGATCATTGCTTGAAATTGTAACTTCATCCGAATTCTCGGATCCCATCGTATTGACAGCCCTTGGAACCGCTATCCTTGTCCTGCTAAGGTCCTGGCAGTGCCGGCGGATGAATGCCGAGAATTAGTGGCACTTTTATTGAAACTTGGCTGCCTTCTAGAAATTCAGTTTTGGTCCACTTTGGTCTATTTATTACCATGGAAATTTCAGCCTCTGTGAGGCTATGTTTGACTAACTCCCCAGCTTAAAACGTATGAGTAGTAAACTATATCCTTTGCGGAGAGGGATCGGTGGGGCAATCCGAACCCGAGTACGAACCCGAACCCGCAATCACTTGGCCCTATGGGATCCATGGTGATCATGACGATCTTACCCGGGTTCGTTTCACTCAATCTTTTTTTTGCCTCTTTCACCTTAATTCTTGGAGTGAAAGAATGGCCAGAAATTTGGAAATCGTTGGACGACTCAAGCTAATAGTCTTCATCGGGAAAACCTAATTCCTGCATAGTATATACCTCCACACTCATCCCATTTTTAAGTCTCAAGGTGAATAATATTCCGCAGGTTTTTCCTATAGTCAACCAACTCTGCGTCCTTGAAAAAAAAATATCTATAGTGAACCTTGAGATTGATTGATATTAAGGCTCGCCGTTGCTGGATCGTGTCCACCTATCTTAATACTACAGTACTATTCCAAGCCGTGGCGAAATTCTATCTGTTGTCTAGTACAAATACACAATTAATGGATAATATATGTAAACCAGCAGCACCTGGACTCGGCGTCAGATATTAATTCGGTTATTTTCGGTTATTTTACATTAACCCGCTTAGTTGCCAGTGGCTATACAGCATGACTAGTGTACTACCAAAATTGATGTGATCTATAATCTTACACCTAATTAACTTACTAGTATGGCTTTATGTGCTTTAAACTTGCGTTAATACTAAGTTTAACTTAATGCTACTACTAAGCAGATATAGTTATATGTAGGCGCTGGTTAGTGGGAAGAAGAAAGCACTGGGGCCGATTTATAGTACTTTAACCCTTAACGCCGCCTAACCGCCGCCTACAACCTTGGACTTCCACTATGTAATAACTAATCTGGATAAGGCTGAATAGATATATATGCGGGCTCTAGCTGCAAGTGTGAAAGTGCTGGGACCGGACCACACTTTAACCCTTAATACCTCCGTTTACGATCTCAAGAACCTACATCGATGCCAAGGCTAGCTCATGAAGGCGGCGCGAATGATTCGGCCAGGAGCTACGAAATACGGAATAGAATAGTCTACTTACGAACTCTCTATTAAATTTAGAGGGGATTATAGATAACCTTAAAGCTGCTAGGATTCTTAATAGATTGAATTATAATTTTAGTTTATGTTGTTAAATGGGTTAAATACCGCCATCTCACCCCTAGCGTGGTTATGCAGCCCCGCCCACTCCCATTACTTGATGCATTTCTGATGAATCATGGTAGATTACGTTATCTAAGTTCCCGATTTTACCTCCTAGCTATTCTTATCGGAACAAGATGAAACAGTGTGGACTAGAATGCATTAAGGACGAATAAGATCAAGGAAACCAAATCAAGATAAAGATGAAAGATGATTGATTAAAGAGAATAGTATGTGATTGAGGGCAGGTTGAATACCCTCACGTCAATGTGTTGAATATGCCGATACTCGCTAGTGACAGCAAATTTGACTGACTTTACATACAAAAACAAAAGAGATGTGGGATTCAATGCAACCAATCAGTTGCCAGTAGTAAATTACCACTTCCATAATCTCACATGAAGCACTTCCAGCCAGCGATAGTTAACATGACGCCAACTAACAAGTACAGCCAACAGTGCCTCAACCCGACCCCTCATCATAATCCTTAGTGATACATGCATGCCTATTGTCAGAAGGGGGGCGGTCATCCGCTCTGACACGTCCTAGTTTAGGAGAATAGATTCAGCTACCCACCTACGTAGGTACTAGTAGCATGTCGCATGCTATTTGTTATCTATCGCCTCATTAATTGATTCGAAGTTTCTCCAACTCCAATTCCAGAGTATGTATTTGGAGTAAGTATAAGCGTGTTCAACTGTCAAGAAATAAAACATACTCGTGCCATTGCATGCCCACTGCTTGTTATCTATCGCCGCATTTATTGGTTTGAAGTTTCTCCAACTCCAACTCCAGTCTAGTCGTGTGTAGTTGGGGTAACTTGAAGTGGAGCACATCTTGGGGCTTGAGGGGACCCCGCCCCGCTCTTATTCTTGCAAGTTCCCCGTTGCTTGTAATTCTCCAAACTCTTCGTTGTTCTCGATCCTCCTTACATTTTAAAGGCATTTAATCTACAATCTGACACTTCTCTATAATCAAAAACATCATGTCGATCACGGCAAATTTCACTGGAAAAGTCGTACTTATCACTGGCGCGGCCAGTGGAATCGGCAGAGCTACTGCCATAAAGGCAGCGCAAGCAGGTGCTAAACTTGCTCTTGGGGATATCAATACCCTTTCTCTCGAAGAAACTCTGGGACTCTGCAGACCAGCAATAGAATCTGATCAGAGTACTATGCTTTTGGCCTACGATGTCAGCATTGCCGACAAGTGCAGCGAGTTTGTCAACGCGGTTCTCGACAAGTTCGGACGAATTGATTGCGTTTTCAATTGCGCTGGAATCAATCCTTCCTCTATCCCAGTCGAGGCGATAACGGACGAATACTGGGATAAATTGATGAACACGAACCTTCGCGGAACCTTCAACATGACTCGGGCATGCTTGCCGCATATGCAGGCAGGTTCGTCTCTGGTGAATGTATCATCTATCTGTGGTACCAATCCCTTCGCCAATTTCTCAGTATACTGCGCTGCAAAGTATGCGGTCATTGGATTCTCAAAGAGCGTTGCTTTGGAGGTTGGTCACCGAGGTATTCGTGTGAATGTAGTGGCTCCTGGATACACCGATACCCCGACGAATGTCTCTGTCCGGGGTGGAGCCGAAGCAATGCAGCGTACGGCGGAAAATGTGGGCATGAAAAGGATGGGAAAAGCAGATGAGATTGCCGATGCTGTTCTCTTTCTCTTCTCCGAGCAGAGTAGCTATATGAATGGTGCGGTTGTTGATGTGGATGGAGGAATTGGCATGTTTGGGTAGTAATCGCACGAGGACAACTCAATTGACACTTCATGGATATATTATGGATACTATAGTATGATGAAAATTAGTTAGTAGATGGAAACTACAGTTGTAGTGCTTCATAGAGTTGAGTTGAATACAAGTCACATGGATACTAACTAGTACTAGTACTAGTAGTAGGGGTAACTAATGTATGCCAGGTTTGAATAACACTGGGACAGTACTAACTTGCACCCGAGCATCGGCATATATAAAGTTCAAGCCTTTTAGATTGAATCGCTCGGTAGCTTAGTCCAGGATTCAAGTTTGACTGCTGCCCACTGGCAGGTGTAAGCTCAATATAAAGTTTCTAAAAAAGGATCGAAGTTGTAGACCAAGCCCCATTGCACATAGCATCTCGCTTCTGCCTAAATTACCAGGATGCTATACTTAGTTAACTAGCCCTGGCGCATTATAACTGGAGCCTACCATGGGTGTCTCGCCCACGTAAGCAATGCCAAGACTTTGCTACCCCCGAGTCCAACTGATTAAAACCCTATTCTCTACTTTCTATCTTGGAATTTGTCAAGTATTTCCCAGAATAATTTTGTCATGATGCACTGATATATCATATACAGAATGAACAATGGGACCCCGGCGCACACATAGAAAGTCCAGAAATGGCTGCCAGTCATGCAAAGCGCGCAAAGTCAAGGTAGGCGGGCAGCTCCTCCTTTTCGATCTATCCTTGGGCTCGGGCTAAATGAAATCCGTGAAAGTGCGACGAAGCGAGACCTCAGTGCAACAACTGCGTGAAGCATGGGGCTGATTGCTTCTACCCCTCAACTCCACAAGGCTCAAGTGCCGCCATGGTTCCTTCAACAGGCGGCGGTGTGGATATCTCCGAAACTAGCATTGAGAGTCCAATGCCAACTGTAGACATGATCGATATGGAACTATTACATCACTACTCTACCTCTACATGTTATACCATCTCGCGACATCCTGCTTTGCAGACAATCTGGCAAGTCACCATCCCACAACATGGGTTTGCCCCTCAGTCTCAGTTTGTCCTCCGTGGCATCCTGGCACTTGCTGCGCTCCATATGGGTCATATAAAGCCCGATCTTCGAGCAGAATATGTTGCCACTGCGGAACATCACCACAATGCGGCTCTGCAAATGGTGTCCGCTGCCATCCCGCATATCAATGAAGAAACTGGACCGGCTATTTACATCTTTTCAACACTTACCTGCATTATAATGTGTGCAATGCGACAGAATTCCGACGACTTCTGGGTGGCGAATGATTCTTTATTCGAATGGCTTAGTCTGATTCGGGGTCACAGAGTTATAATTTATTCAATCATTGATACACTCAGATCTGGCCCCCTCGCGCCAATGTTCGTTCTTGGCCGACGAAGGAAAATAGCCCGTGAGGCGCGATCCACTGAAGATCAGCCCTTCATGGAGAATTTGCGACAAGAGATTATTGAGTCGGTGCCGGACCAAAATGAGTTACGATGCTATCTAGAAGCACTTGACGAATTGGCAAAATCCTTTGCAACTATCTTTGACACCCAGGCTGTGGAGATTACTGATGTGTTTATATGGCTTTATGAAATCTCAGATGGATATCTGAACCTATTGCGTCAAAAAAGGCCCGAAGCACTTGTGATCTTTGGCTATTTTTGTGTGATCTCGAAACAGCTAGAATCGGTCTGGTGGATGGAAGGATTCAGCATTCCCTTAATGCGTGCCATCTATTATCATCTGGATGAAGAGCATCGCTGTTGGCTACAATGGCCGATCCAGCAGCTAGGCTGGGCCCCTTGCTGAGGATTCACCCAGAAACAAGAACAATCAAACAATATAGTTATCATCTCGACTTCATTTTGAAACATATGGACAGAAAGTAGTACATGTGAAGAGATGACTTGTGAAATAAGCTTCTATAATACAGAGAAACACCAGAGGAAAACCTCATATCGCTACATAAACCCAGATTTGATGGTTCAAACAATCATGCACCCTTATTTGTTGGCCTTCTTGCTGGCCTTCTTCTTGCCCTTCAGACTCTTCATTTGGGCAGCCCGCTCAGCACGGACCTGTCTCTTCCTCCAGGCAAGCCATCGGTTCCCCCGATCATAAGACATAGCGACAATGCCGGCCTTCTCCGCAGCACGACCAATCACCCAATTAGCCTCACGGTACATGTAACCGGGACGCAGCTGGGGGCCAGATTCGGCGTTGACGGCCGCGACACTGCCAACTTGAGTGCCATTCTCATCAATCGAGGCAACAAGGTCAGACTGGGCCTCGACGGGCTCGATTCGAGGAATGGCGACGAGGTTCAACTTGCGCCGGCTGGGCGCGTTGCGCGGGTGCGGGAGTTTGCCCTCCTTCTCGAAGACGACTCCAATGTATTTGCGATCCGGATGCGTCTCGGGATCGGCGTAGTAGCGAACGTAGCCGGCCTGGGTGGCGTAGATAGTGTGGTCACGTCCCATCGCGCAGTTGTCACCGGGGAACCACTTAGAGCCGCGTTGTTTGAAGATGATGCACCCGGGGACCACGTACTCGCCGCCGGAGCGCTTGGCACCGAGACGCTTACCCGCAGGGTCACGGGAGTGTCGATTGGCAGTTCCTTGAGAAGCGTGCGAGGCGTATCGGACCTGCGAAAAGGGAAGGAGTGTGCGGGAGATTGAAGGCGTGGTTTTCGGGAAAGTGATGGATGCGGAGAGGGTGCGTGGAATCAGCGATTGCGGTTGGTAGCTGTGCTGGGCGGAGCGAATTGAAGGAACAAAGGCTCGTTCCAGCGCCCGCAAGGGCCCCAACAATCTTGGTTGCAGCATGGCGATGCGATCTTGACGTGGTGTTGCGGAGGTAGGCAGCTCCAAAGGGGAAACTTTTCTCGGAGGTTGAGGCTTGGCGTCACGTGCCGTGGGCAAGCTGGCCTGAACGACAAGGACATCCATTGGCCGCTGGGGAAACTGGCCACTTGCTCACTGCTACGGACGTTTGTCAACCACATCTCTCGTCCATTTGTTTTTCTTAGCACATTTAATTGCCTTGCGAAATGTTGCGCAATTTGCTCCCGGCAATCTGGGCCTTCTTCCTGCTGGCATCCGTTGCCCAGGCCCAGTTCAACTTCTTCGACAACATGTTTGGAGGCAATCAACAGCAAGCGCAACAAAACCAGGGTCCTCAGAATGCACCCAGTGACAGTGTTCGATACCAAAAGATGTGGCAACAATGTGAGACATCCGAGCCTCCTCCAATCTGAAGCTTCAATGCTTTGACCGGTGGCAGTTTACTAACAATTCTACTATCTTCAGCCCAATGCAGCAACTACCTTTGCCCAGGAACTCTTGCATGCGTGCACTTCCCACACCACTGCCCTTGCCCGCATCCCGATGTCGAAGAAAAAGTTGAGCTTGCGGAAGGAAGTGCGATCTGTGTTTCCAAGGGAGGATACAAGGCTGGCGAGGCAGCCCGCAAGATTGAACTCGCCCGTAAGGGCCTCCTGTGATACAATGGATAAATTACAGTGAGCGTTGAAGTATTGGTTGTTTTATGTCGATAGTTGCGCCATATTCATGGCATTGGGTTCAAATTATTGGGGGTTTTGGCCATTTGTTGGCTGCATATTGCCAAATAGGAGCTGGAGTGGAATACATCCCATACTTGTACCAGCGCGGAAAGTTACAAATCCCTGGTCTAGTTTGGCTCTGGTGACTACCTGGAAACCAATGTTTCCGCTATTTGCGCCTTGTCTCACCTTCTCAGTCCTATAATCCAGTGCCAGCAGCACGTGAAGTTACGGTGGCTTGTTATATAGTAAACTCCGGAATAGTAAAAATGGCCGATAGGAAGATTGATAATAAGACTGCAAAAAAGCCCATTAATCAGAGACATAAAATCAAATTAGATTGTGGCGTTCGAGATCAAACATCGTACTCGAGTATGCTTTAGTGTGATCTACGTCGCTATCTCCGAGCGGTTTAACCCCGGCCAAACCTTTCGTCATCAAAACGGAACGACGTTTGCTGCTTCGACGGTCGAGTTCTTCCCTTTCACCCCCCCCCCCCCCACCACCACTCTCGCCGAGAATTTCACAATATACAGCTGGCAGCACCGCATAATAAACCCACACCGATATGTGGAGTACTCGCCTCCAGCTGCGGTCGCTGCGCGGGATCCCCGCCTCGCGCCAGCTGTCAACCCTTCGAGGCAAAAATCCCCAGCGCGGTCCCCGGGGCAGCATTGTCAGACCAACACCTATCCAACCGATAAAACAGGCAGATGCTGTCTCTCAAAACCCCGACGCGACAAGTGCCGACCCCCAACCTGAGAACCAGCCTCAGGATGCATACAACACCAACTACGACCCTGCGCAAAACACCCTTCTCTCCCCCGTCCACATCCCAGAGGATCCAAATGGCGTTCTTAAGGAAACTCATCCGGCCACAAAAATACTCACAAACTCCGGTGTTGTCGTGCAGCGGCAGCTGGAGATGATGAATATTATGATGTGAGAAGAATTCGATTTCAGTCACGAAGAAAACCAAACTGACCTGACCATTCCTCTAGTGGTTTCGAGCAGGCGAATAAATATGTCATTATGGATGCGCAAGGAAATCATATTGGTTATATGGCAGAGCAAGAAAAGAGCATGGCCAATGCTATGGCACGTCAGTGGTTTCGCACACATCGAAGCTTCGTCACGCATGTCTTCGACCGCCATGAGAATGAAGTCCTCCGAGTATGAAGCCCTGGATTAACTACCCTCCATGATATCGTTAGCTAACTCGTCGCAGTTCCATCGCCCATTCTCCTGGATCAACTCCCGAATCAAAGTCTACGATCCTCTCGATGTCACCACCGCCATACATACCTCTCCAACCGCTCTCCAAAATACAACCCCCGGCTCTCTTGTACAGGCCGAAGTCTCATCGAATGCACGTGTCTCACCCCTCGGGCTCGACGAGATGCGTGTGATTGGTGAAGCCCAACAACAATGGGCGCCACTGCGACGGAAATATAATTTATTTACGTACCACCAATCTCCGAACCCCGAAACGGACATGGGCTCCCAGCAATTTCCTCTCTCAGGGTCAGATCTATCCCAAGCACAAAAGTTACAACTTGCGCAAACTTCCAATCAAGGGCAGGGCGATTTCAATCAGTTTGCTTACGTTGATGAGCCCTTTTTATCCTGGGACTTTTCTCTGCGGTCCGCTGAAAACCGCTTGATTGGATCTGTTAACCGCGACTTTGCCGGTTTCGCGCGCGAGTTCTTCACTGACACTGGTGTCTATGCCCTACGAATGGACTCAGCAGGTGTTGGCTCCGAAGCCTCTCCCACTGGCAGCAGCACGCCGACCGGAATGACCCTTGATCAACGTGCTGTGATGCTGGCAACAGCCGTCAGTGTTGATTTCGATTACTTCAGTAGGCACAGCGGAGCAGGTGGCTTCGGTTTTATGCCACTTTGGATTCCGGGCATGGGTGGTGAGGCTGCTGGTGGAGCTGCTGCTGGTGAAGCTGCCGGGGCAGTCGGTGGTGCTGCAGCCGGTGGCGCCGCTGCTGGTGAAGCTGGAGCTATTGGTGAAGCTGCCGCGGGCACTCTAGGAAGAGCGGGAGCTGCTGGTGGTATGGGAGATGGAATGGCTGCAGGTGTAACAGGGGCTGGGGCCATGGCTGGATATGAGGCGATGCAAAGAGGATTTTCCGGCGACCAAAGCTCCCAATCTGTCCCACCTGGGGAAGCAGCTAGCCAGCAATCGGCCGACCAACCGGATTTCTACCATGACTACAGCCCCCCCCTGGTGAGCAGAAGGAGGATGTATGGGGTCAAGAAGAGGACCCATGGAGCGATGGAGATGATGGCGGTGGTGGTGGTGATGACTTTGACTGGTTTTGATTCACGAATTCTGTGATTGTGTACAGTAGATAGTATAGCTAGCTGGTGAGATATAACTAGTAAGATACCTCGATAGACTCTAAGCTGGAATTGAGTCGGGATCGCCCCGCCGATCCAGGCACCCCGCGGCGTCCCCATAATTATCGACTCCCCTCACTTTGTCTTCTCTTTGACCTTACCACCACATTCTTCCTTTATCCTTCTGACTCGTACCAGCCTACGATCTCTTGCCCAGTCGACCAATCAATCGATTGTAACCTCCGCCAGCAGCAGCGCGGAACTCTCCATTCGCCACCCGCGGAACCCCAACCCCAACCTAAATCCACCGACACTCGCCGTGCCACAACTCAACCTCTTCGCATACTCCCAAACCCCTCGTCCTCAACGCAACCAATCTCTCGATCAGTCAAAATGGGCAGCTCGATCGCTCAGAAGCGTCTTTTCCACGAATACAAGAACCTCTCCACCAACCCACCCGAGGGAATCACCGCGGGGCCTGTCTCGGAAGATGATATGTTCTACTGGGAAGCCCTGATCCAAGGCCCCGAAGGCACACCCTTCGAAGGCGGCGTCTTCGCCGCCGAACTCAAGTTTTCCAAGGATTACCCTCTCAGTCCGCCAACAATGAAGTTCGTCGGAGGTGGAGTGTGGCATCCGAACGGTACGTCATAATCCCCGGGTTAGAGCTCTTTTTGTTTCTGCAACTCGAGCGAGAAACCAGATTTCTTTCAAGGGCCCGAAGAGACGACATATTCCCCGACTCCTCGGCGCGCTTTTGTGTGACTTTACCCGGCAACCCTTAGACTTTGATGCTGACATCACATCTTTTTGCACCTTTAGTCTACCCCAACGGAACCGTCTGCATTTCCATCCTACACCCTCCCGGCGATGACCCCAACCACTACGAACATGCCTCGGAGCGCTGGTCGCCTATTCAGAGCGTGGAGAAGATCCTCATCTCGGTCATGAGTATGCTCGCCGAGCCTAATGACGAAAGTCCCGCGAACGTGGAGGCGGCTAAAATGTGGCGCGAGCGACGGGCCGAGTATGAGCAGAAGGTTCGGGATGAAGTGCGCAAAGGATTGGGATTGTGATTGGTTTTCCAAGGATGAGAAATTCACTCCCTTTATAACGCGTTGACGAAATGGCGTCGAGACTTAACCTTTGATTTTTTTTGGTTCTTCGTTAAATGCATTGCTTGAACGGCGAGGGCTTGATTGTACAGCTTGTATGTTATTTAGCATTCTGAATTCAGAGCTTTCGATGCGCTATCTCTATACTGCTATGCTATCCTATGGATATTCTACTCGCCGGAATGCTGACTGTTGTAATGTATGCTTCGTCAAAGTATTCTATACTCTATACTAGCCCTGGAGTACTACTAATATTGTAACGAACTGGTGTTGTTACCATTCGTGGATGCCTTATGCCTACGGCACCACTCTAGGCATCCACGCCATACACCTGTGTATCTAGCCTTCTATTCTAGCTTCCTTCTTATTCTCCTCAAGCTATTACTTTCGTCGAACCGCTACTGCTTCCTTTGCTTCGTATGCTACGCCGTACGTTGATCTCTGTGAGTATCTGAGCATCCTCACAAATATAAAGAATTCCACCGGATCTTCAATTCTTCAACGTGGCAAATGCCCCCTCAATAAGGGAAAATTTTTTCAACTCCTGTTTATCACTGAAATCATCTCTGTCGAAACATCTTTCGATCAATCCACTCCTCAAGACTACCACCATCGTCATAGAGCTTCTCGATCTCCACTTTGACATTAAGCATCAACATTCGCTGAAGTTCAGCGCACCATTCCGGCTCGACACCATCACTCGCCCAGATCGGGCTACGGCGGAGCATAGAAACTATTTTCTTGCGGTCCCGCGCCGTCAAGGAGAGGGATAGCTCGCCACTGGAGTTTTGCGTTTCATCTGCAGCATCGGCGATTTTGAGACCCAACCATTGTAGTGGTGGAAGACTCAGTCCTGCGTTCTCGTGCAAATGCGCTAATGATCCATATTTGTACGTCGACATGATTGTAAGCCCGTGTGGATCACCGTCAACCAGTGCGTAAAAAGGGAGTCGTCTCCGAGTGCGGTTGATCTCGGCTTCAAAAATCCGATGGAGGAATCGTCGGGTGCTGATATCAGGGTATCCCTTCCCCTAGTCCCAGCCAGTCAGGGTTCATTCTGATTGGAGTGAAATTTGGTTAATACTTACAGTGATCAGAATTCCCTCCCCAGCAAGAGCTCTGGTATGGTAGTTGTTCCGAACCAGTCGATGGAACACTGCCTATTTGGAAGCAGGAAAATATCAGTTCCATTGTCGGAGATTGCAATCATTCTCGAGTGACCTACCTCTTTCTCAATGACAAGTATCCAGCGGGCGCTTGATACATGAATCTCATCCGTATCTTGTATCCGCGGGATGAGGTTATCCTATGATTATGGTGTCAATCCAGGCTGCCGCTGCTGGCAAGAACATGAAACTGACCTCAGAAGCAGATTGGGCATTCAAGATGGCCCGTGACTCCCGCAACACGCGTAAAGAGCCTGCTACTAGCCCTTTACCTGCTGCTTCCTAGAAATTTGAATGAGGTGTCAACGGGGTTCCAGAATATCGCCCAATTGTCCCCCCAGAACTCACCACATTCAAAGCCAGCCGGTTCACTCCAATGGTATAAGCGAGGTCATCAATGACACTGTTTACCGTAGCCTGGGACTGGAAGTATGCAGGGTCAACGTAATAGATATCCCTGGGCGCATTCCATCCAAGTCAGTACAAAACCTGACTCGGAATATATACTATTTCACCATGCTCCATCGAAACTCTTCCCCTTAGTACTACCTTTTCGATATCAATCTTCCTTCCCGCAAAGCTTGATCGATCATCGACAAGACACGAATTATTACCGCTAGAGAAGACAAGAGATGGAATGATTAGTGTCTTACTAGTATTTCCACGGAAAGTACTTACTGAATTTCCATGATTCATAAGCAGTGTTTCCCGGCCACGAATACGTGTGGTAGGATTCATTTCGCTGTACAGCTTCCAGAGCCCCATTGACCGGATTGACGATGCAGTTTGCTGGGTCGACTCTGCATCGGAGAGTGATGGAAGGTTGGCTCTCTGCTGGCGATGATGTGAGCTCTTGGATAAGAGTTGTGAGGGCAATGTCGATATGGGCGAGGACCGAGGAATCTGGAGCCACGTCGGGCAGTGCCATTTGCGGGGAAATATGTCTGAGGGCCATTGAGGGCTCAAGGCCGCAAACTGTGGAGATTTAGATATGCCGGAGAAAGTGCCATTGGAAGTTCGAGAAGTGAGGGTGAGAGTGAAAGTGATGTCCAATTGGAGTATGAGATCACGAGCATTGTGAGTCGCACTTGCCAACTTGGAGATTTGGTGGTGGTGCTTGCTGTTTTTTGTTGGTTTTTCTATTTTTGTTTGTTTACTGTTGGTTTTACTTTACATTCTCTGTTTATTACACTCGTCTCTACTCGTTGGTTAAGTTTAGGTGCTTACGGGAAGTATACAACTCGGATCCAGTGCGGTCATCCTGCTCGGATTCCAACCACCACCATACCCTTGCAGAGAAGAGTCAACAAGCCAAAGACCGTATCACTACAAAACTAGTCTGTAACTATCGAAACAGAACTAAATAAAACGGGAGTTTCTTTTTCCGACGATCCCACATGCAGGCAACAGCTGGACTTCGTTGTACACCGCAGCTATGAGACCGATGACTCAGCAAGGTGGAGCTGTTTATATCCACACCGCAGCACCCATCATTTGATCACCTCCCCAGGTTTCGAGCTTTCCACTTTCGATTGATACGGGGCTCCGCTGCAATGACTTCACATATCGCTCCCTGGAGGACTTCGGCTCAGGGCCATCTAACTCCCGATGAGAATGGAGACCTGAAGACCGACTACTCCCGCTGGCGCCTGGTCAACGAGGAAGGTCGCCAAACTTGGCGCTATCTCGAATCCGACGAGGAGAACAGTGCCTGGTTGCAAACCGTTGCCGACAAGTATCATCTGGGTCTTCCTACTGTACGTATTTAAATTGATCATTTTGAATCCCCCTTTTTAACATTTTTCCTGCTAGGGACTCCCAATTCTGCCAGAAGCCAAGACACCACTTCAAGCAGCAGAGAATGGTCTATCTTTCTTCTCGCATCTGCAGCTCGATGCTGGAAATTGGGCATGCGAATACGGAGGTCCCATGTTTATGATTCCGTCCATCATTATTGCGTACTATGTAACCAACACCCCTATTCCCGCGGAGTATGCTACAGAGATCAAGCGCTACCTCTTTGCCCGCCAACATCCCGAGGATGGAGGATGGGGTCTACACATTGAAGGCCATAGCTCCGTTTTCGGAACATCTACGAACTATGTGGTTCTCCGAATTCTCGGTGTTAATGAAGACGACCCGCGTATGATCAAGGCCCGCGGTCTCCTGCACAAATTCGGCGGTGCGATCTATGGCCCTCACTGGGCCAAGGCCTTCCTTAGTATTCTTGGTGTTATGGAGTGGGATGCTGTGAACCCGGTCCCCCCTGAGATCTGGATGCTTCCTGACTGGGTTCCCATTGCCCCCTGGCGCTGGTGGATTCATATCCGCCAGGTGTTCTTACCCCTCTCTTATATCTGGTCCAAGAAGTGGTCAATGCCTCTCAACGACCTCACCAAGCAGCTTCGCGACGAGCTGTATACACAGCCTTATAACACCATTGATTTTGCATCTCACCGCAATTCGATCCACGATGCTGATAACTATTATCCCAAGACCTGGGTCTTGAACAGCATCAACGAGCTCTTGGTTCGGGTCTACAACCCCCTCTTGCGATTCGGTCCCGTCGTTAGACGCTCCGAAGAATGGGTTTGGGACTTGATCTGTATGGAAGACCAGAACACCGACTACGCAGGCGTTGGTCCTGTCAGCAACCCTCTCAATATGATTTGCTGTTACATCCACGATGGCCCCGATAGCCACACCGTTCGTCGACACCAATATCGCCTGAACGACTACATGTGGATGAAGAACGAGGGAATGCTGGCCAATGGCACCAATGGCGTCCAGGTGTGGGATACAACCTTTTTGACACAGGCAGTTGTGATTGCTGGCCTCGCAGATGACCCGAAGTGGCGACCCATGCTTAGCAAAGCGCTCGAGTTTATCGAAGATCACCAACTACGCGAGAATGTGCCTCGCCAAAATGAGTGCTATCGCCAGGACCGTAAGGGCGCTTGGCCTTTCAGCACCAAGGTCCAAGGATACACCGTCAGTGATTGTACCGCTGAGGGTCTGCGATCTACCCTTCAACTCCAGGAGTTGCATGGCTTCCCACAATTGATCTCTCTGGATCGGTTGAAGGATAGTGTGAATTGCCTTCTTCTGCTGCAGAACCCAAGCGGAGGTTTCTCCGAATACGAAAGCACCCGCGCCTCTCCCAAGCTTGAGTATCTCAATGCCGCCGAGGTATTTGGTGGTATTATGATCAGCTACGATCACCCCGAGTGTACCACCGCATCCGTGACCGCACTGTCTCTCTTCAGCAAGTTCTACCCCGACTACCGTGCCGATGAAATCCGTGCGGCAAAGGAAAAGGCCGTCGCGTGCATTAAGCGCATGCAGCGTGATGACGGCAGTTGGTATGGCTCTTGGGGAATCTGCTTCACCTACGCCGCCATGTTTGCTTTGGAGAGTCTCGCCAGTATCGGCGAAACATATGAGACGAGCGATAACTCGCACCGTGGTTGCGAGTTCCTGATTTCCAAGCAGCAGGCCGATGGCGGCTGGGGAGAGTCATACCTCAGTAGTGAGAAGCATGTCTACGTCCAGCATGAGATGTCTCAAGTAACTCAAACTGCTTGGGCTTGCTTGGCATTGATGGAGGCCGAATATCCCCACAAGGAGCCGCTTGAGAAGGCCATGAAGCTACTTATGTCTCGCCAACAGGCTAATGGCGAGTGGCTCCAAGAGTCCATTGAGGGGGTGTTCAACCAATCTTGGTGAGTTTTCTTTTTCTCTTCTCATTTCATTTCCAGAAATACTCACTGACTTTATTTGTAGTATGATCTCTTACCCGAACTACAAGTTCTACTGGCCCATCCGCGCCCTTGGCCTGTACAGCCGCAAGTTCGGCAATGCTGCGCTGAAGTAAAAATCTCATTTAGCGATCTAATGTATCACCGAGCCTTTAACATACCTATTTTAATACATACCAACATCTCATAGGCATTCAAATACTTCATTGTAGATAGTTGTGGTAAGAGAGTAGGAGACCCACTGAGGGAGCTTGGACCAACCGTGCGGAGCCTCACTTGGGTTTCTGGCGCTTTCTTTCTTGATTGACTCCCACTCCGCCACTCCTTCACTCCTCTGCCTTCGTCTCCCACCCCTCTCCTCCAAGTTTTTAGAGTCCTCGAAAACGACTATAATCATGAATGCTGCAGCACAGGGCGACCAGGCCCTCAAGGACTCCAACGCCCTCCTCGCCATCCAACATTACACTCGCGCCCTCGCCGAGCTACCCCGCGCAGTCAATTATTATGTCCAACGCTCAACCGCACACTCTCGCGTGAAGCCCGCAGACGGCGGCCCGAACTCCCTTGCTTCGCTCCGAGATGCAGAAATTGCCCTGGCACTTGCTCGCGAGCGCGGAAAGCGTGAGTTAATTCTCGCAGCTCAGATGCGCCGCGGAGTGTCGCTGTTCCAGCTTGGCCGATACCACGACGCGAAGTTCTTGTTTGATCTCATTGAATCAAAGACTCGGACTGAAGATGCGCCGGAAGATAAAAGGGCAAGTGTACAGGCTGCCATGGCGGGATCGGGAAAAAACAAGAAAGATGCCGCTGAGCTGCAAATTTGGCAGATGCAGGTTGCCCGCAAGCTTAAAGCGCTTGAGAACCCGAATGAGACGGCTGTTACGGTCGTCGAATTCCCCAGTGATACCAGGATTCCAACAGAGAAGGAAATCAAGGCCGAGTTGGAAAGCATGAAGGCCGGAAAGAATGCGCCGGTTGCGAATGAGTCCAAGAAACGAGATACTCAACCCTCTTCAAGTGCTGCTGCCACCTCGGCCCAGGATGAAAGTACCCAAGGAGCTGAGGAAAAGAAGCCATCGCCTGCTGTTCCTGAGAATGTGCGCCATGAGTGGTATCAATCTGGCGACTCTGTTGTCGTGACGCTCTACATTAAGGGCATCCAAAAGGATAAGGTCCAAGTTGACTTGAAGGATGAGTCAGTAAGTGATAACTGCTCAGATACGATACCCTTCTCTTCAAAAGCAGACACTAACGTTGTTATCCAGGTTTCTTTACAATTCCCCCTCCCCTCTGGCTCCGACTACGACTTCACCCTCGACCCACTCTTTGCACCAATCGACCCCTCCACTTCCAAGGTCTCAGTAATGGGTACCAAGATCGAGCTGGTTCTTCAAAAACAAACAGCAGGCCAAAAGTGGCACGCCCTAGAGTCTTCTGCCACCGAAACGACTGTACTCACAGATCGACCCGCTGCCCCCTCAGCGCCAACCCCATCTGGTCCCGCCTACCCGACCTCCTCTCGCCATGGAGCGAAAGATTGGGACAAAGTTGCTTCCTCTCTGACATCCAGCAAATCTAAGGGTAAGCAGAAGGAGAAGAAGGACGACGCTGCAGGAGACGAGTCTGACGCAGAGTCTGTGGATTCGGACTTCGGCGGCGATGCAGTAGATGGGTTCTTCAAGAAGCTCTACGCTGGCGCGGATCCTGACACTCGTCGTGCAATGATGAAAAGTTATGTTGAAAGCCAGGGAACGTCGCTTAGCACCAACTGGTCTGAGGTTGGGACCAAAAAGATGGAGGTGCATGAGAGCTAAAGTTATCGCTGAAAATATTGCTTTTACTAATTTGCTCCCGCTGGCCTGTTCACGTTTTAGTCGCATTTAGCTGATGGAGTTTGCTTTTTCGTCTGATATTTCTTTTAGGGTTTATGGTCATAGTGGTGTAATTGATGATTTTGCGTTGCCGCCCCTTCCTTCGTAGTTACAGTGGCGTTGCAAAAGTTTGAAACCCCATGTTAACTGTTCTTGTCTCCGCCTTCTAATGGTATGCAATATGGGGTTTCAAACTTTTGCAACGCCACTGTACAATGGCTTTTTATGCTGTACTCAAACCCAAACCTCTGATATGTCAGTGTTTCCTGCCCTGCCCCTCTGTGGATCTACCGAAGATCGCGCCTCTGCTAGTACTAGTACCAACCAGTCCAATGTGGTTGAGGGAGACAAATGGAATGTGTTGTACACTATATTTAAGTTCATTTCAAACTTTAGACAATCGCTTAGGACGATTTCGAACCAAATAATATCTGGAGGGTGGCTGAAAGACTTTTTCCAGCGGCCCTCACGAAATTCACCACAGTCAACTCCTGCTGACCCCGGGGACAATCCCCAAAGCGGTCAGGGCTAGACCAATTTGGTTCTCGGTGGACGAAGTTTATACCCGGGGCAGATCAGACATTTTTGAACTTACTCCGTACGGGATCTCGGGGACAGGAAAAGATCCTTACTCCGTACGGAGTACACAGATGGGAGCTGCCGGCATCTGACACTAGCCCGCTCAGGCCCTTCAGCTATAGGCTGACCACGATTTCCCACCGTCATTGTCAGAGGCAGTTGGAGTTGATCTGCATCGAGATTTTCACCTTCCAAGGGGCGTCAGCGAACCAAAAGTGCACGTAAGAGCGGGGCGAAAATTAAGCTCGCGGCCGGGCAACCCTAACTTTTACCTAATGCTTCCGATGCGTTGGGGTTACTTGGAGTATTCGTGCCAAGATCGTGTACAAACCTTCCATTTTTATTATTCACGGATTTCAAATATACTCTATGGCATTGATTCTTTTACCTAAACCAATCCGCGGTCACGTTCCAGTCCACAATCCGTATAATTTCCCCGGTTTCTTCGCTCATCTTGCCCACGATATCCCATTATTCCCACCACATCTTCCATAAACAAAACTTCCACAACTTGAACACCAATCCAAACCACAGCTCCTCCTTCTCAAATCAAAATCTCAACATGGTTCGCAACATTCACATCGCGGTGCTGGATGTTGACATCCCAGCCCGCGGTCTCTACGAAGCCCGCGGCCTCTGCAGCGCACACTTCCGCAGTATCCTCCGCGAGACAGCAGCACACCTGAACGAAACCAACCCAAACATAATCGACCCCATTAATATAACTGTCACACCCTATGATATTCGCGGAGGCCACTTCCCCGAATTCCACCTTATGCGCGGCTCCAACCCCCCAAGACGGATATCCCGTTCTGAACCCTATCGACGCCATCATGATCACCGGCGGCAACCCAGGCGTGTACGAAATGCCACACTCACCCTGGATGCAAGTGCTGCAGAAGTTTATCAGAACCGTTTACGACGAGCACTCCGAGGTTCGCATCTTGGGAACTTGCTTCGGCCACCAGCTCATCTCGCACGCGCTTGTTCGCGATCCCGAGGACAAGGTCCGCGACGTCTACGTCGAGAAGTGCCCTCTGGGAAGAGAAGTTGGAATTTACAAAGTTGATCTTAATAAGGAATTTATTCGGTCGTTCCCTTCGGCTTTCGCTCATCTTCCGCAAAGCCAGATGCGCATCCAGATGTTCCATGGTGATCGGGTCATGGCTGTTGAGAAGGGGGCTCCTGTGTCGCTGAGCGATACCCCGCCCGTTTCCCTGCCTGCTCCATGGATTAATGTTGGAAGTACCCCTATCTGCCCTATTCAAGGCCTTTATAACCCCGGACGTGTGCTGTCTGTTCAGGGTCACTATGAGATGGATGCCTTTGGCTTGACCAAGATGTGCAAGGATGCTGCGCCCACTATGGGATGGAAGGAGTCCAAGCTTGCCGTGTTCCTGGAGCAGGTTGGTCCTGATCTGGTGGATCAACAGGACGATTCTAAGTGCTTTGCTACCGCGGTTGTCTCCTTCCTGTCTGACCTGGAGGGATGACTAGTTCAAGGAAAAAGTACCAGTGTATATAAACAAACTAAAAGTCATAGAAATTTCTCGCATCAACATGAAACTATTGTGCAATATCGTAGATATAGATCTTTTTCTCTCTCGTCATCTTCTTCTTCCTCTTCAAGCTTGGAATTCATTCCAGTATTTACTCATTTTCCACATCATCCTCGTCAGGGGTTTTCCCGTTTCGATACAAGAAAAACTGTGTGAAGATCGCCATGTCTAGCAAAAGTGTGCCCGCACTTCCAACGAGCCAGGATAGATTGACCAACACATAGCGTCCATAAAGCGCAGCAGTCTCGCCGGGACGACAGTGCGCCCGGTGACGATGAGCAGAGACATCCAGCCCATCGGAAAGAGATGACGCACCCCGACAAACAGGCGAGTATGCCAGGATGGAAAGTACATATGTCAAGTTTCCGATACAAGCGAACAAAAAGAAGAGAAGCGACACGCCGTCCGTAGACTTCCGACGAAAATTCAGCAAGAGCTGAGGCAGGCGTGACCCCAAATAGAAGACGGCACACAGGTATCCGAAGAACTGGCCGAGCGGGTCCATGGTGAGGGGTTCGGGCTCGGAGCTCGAGGATTTCGAGCCGGGGCTTACATACCATCCCACAGTTCCAGCCACACAGACCATGACGATGGCCGTGACGTTAAAAAGGAACGATTTGAGGGAGGAGATTTGACGGCGACGGCGTCTTTTCCTCGCAGCGCTCGAATCATTCGAATCGATGAACGGAGTTGCAGGCGAGAGGTGTGTGCCGTCTACGTGAGTATGCAAGATATCACGGAACGAAGTTGCGGAATGGCGTCTTCCTTGTGCAGAGGTTGACGAGTTACGTCGTTGCTGATTTTGAGCGGGATCTTGGATTTGCACATGGCCGTTGGACTTTGGTAGAAGGGATGTCTGCTCGGTTGGTGCTGGAGCGGCGCGATTTCCATTTTCTTGGTCGTCCAATGCGCCAGTGGCGACTGGTTCTGACTCGGGAGATGGCGTTGGCGTTGGCGATGGAGAAAGCTCATCCTTGAGTGTGAAACCTCTATAATAGAAACATTGGCCTAGAAGGACAATGTCCGCCAAGGTATAGTAAAATGCCAATATGATCATGGTTGGCAGTACGCCTTGCATGACGGCACCTAGGATGTTGAAGACATCGCCGGCCAACCACACGATGAGAAATAAGAGTGATAGGCCATCAGCGGATCCGCGTTGGAAATTTTCAATGATCTGTGGCGAGAACACGACTACCCAGCAGGCAAGGGAGATAGATCTGGAATATATATTAGCTGGTGGCCGTTGAGCAAGATCATCGTGATTCTTGATTTCTGATTTCTGATTCGCTGGGTCGGAGAATTAAGAGATAGCTGCATGAGGCGTTGTGCAGCTCTGGAATCCAAGCGTCACACAGAGCCAGGAATCTGATTGCAGAGAAACAAATCACGAAAGATGCGATAATGGGGGCAAACCATACCCGCAGATGCCACTCAAGGCCTCGATGTTCAAATTGACTGCCTGTGGGGGGGAGCATGCTGCCGACGGAGAATGATATGATCGACTGTCGCTCGAATCACAGATTCCGTAAACAATGGGCACCGGACGTGCAGCGCGATGCGAGAGATATAAGAGCCGAAAAAAACAAAGGGATGCTATAATTGTCAATGTCAAAACATGACAATTGGATGAGGAGAGAAAAGTTGGAGAAATCCGCGGGTCCGATGTGAATGACGTCGGGCGGTCACGTGGACACAATCTATACAATTTCAACACCAAAGAGAGTGTGATTTACTATCAGTATTTACTTCATATTGAACCTGTCTCATATTTTAGGAAGAGAAAAATCCAGATAATCTAATTTATTGTATTCCGAATATGTCATCGAGCAACCTCAAGTGGCTGGCACTGGCGGACGTCATGACATGAGCTGCACCAGCTTGTCCTGGAAGCCACAGAAGGCATTGACAGCCTAGTACTACATGTTAACAATTCTGACCCACGACAGGGATTTCTTGTAGTCATACCTCTATCAATTTGACATTACTGGCACCATTAAGGTCAAGAGCAAAAGTGATCTGGAACTTCCCAGAGTCATTCAAATACGAAGTTCCTGGGGCCGGGAGCGGCACAGTCGGAGCAACATCAAATAGCGACGGGGCATTCGCAGGCTTGGGTTGAGTGCTGAGCTGCTCAAGCAAAGGTGGAGAAATAGTTAGGCGATCAATACCAGCAAGGGAGAAAATTTCTTCGGTGGAGGTAAGGCTAGCTCCCAAAACCTGAGTCTTAGCGTTGATCGACTTGTAGTACTCCTGAATTGCCCGACAGAGAGGAAGCAGCTTTGCATGGTCCACAAAACTGCAAAACATCCGATGTCATCAATATAAAGGTCGGACGTAGCACTGTGACTAAAGTTCGAAGATTTATGGGACTCACCCTTCTTGGATATGGGCCCTGAGTTCGTTCACATAGGGCGAGATATAAGTGCATCCCACCTCAGCTGCGAGCACGGCCTGGGACATGGTAAATAGCATGGTACCAAGAGTTCTTACACCCGCAAGTTCAAGTGTGTGGCAGGCCATCATTCCCTCCCAGGTACTGGGGATTTTGATAGCGATGCGAGTAATGTCAAATCCTGGCTGGACGTGCTGGAACAGCTGGACAAGTCCTGAGAGGTTATCATGTAAGAACCACAAAGATATGAAAGGCTAGATAATTAGAGAGAGATGCTCGAACATACGAAGAGCGTTCACAACCGTCTTCTCTTGTGAGTACGAGTGATAGGGGTTTGTCTGCACGAGGACGGTTCCCTGGATGTGACTCGACATTCTCACAGCTAGGCGAACAATCTAGAAAGTGATGTGAGTATACTTTCAATTCAAGTCATTTTCTTTATCAACATACACCAATTTCAACAGCCAGTTCCTCGACGCTGATGGAAGAGTACTTGGGATGGAGGACCTTCGCATCCGCCTTGGCGGAGGCAACAATCTCTGCAGAAGATGGTTTCAATAGTTCCCCGAGGATGATGGCCTGGAAATTATATTAGTATGGATGCTACGGCCTCTGATGTAACTCTTCCTTCGCTTGTTGGTTGGAAAGGTCAGGCTTACCTGGTTCGAGGTAGAGTGTTGGAAAGGACCCAGTGATTTAGCGACTAACTACGGTAAGTGGCTGCGTATAGTCATGCGTTGTTCGAATAGTCAATGTCACTACATACCCTCAATATCCGCTGTGTCGCAGTCCACGACAGTGCGTGAGCGAAGATAGTCTAGTGCGGTCGTAGTAGCCATCTTGTGAATAAAGTAGGCTAACCTTTCCAATCCGAATAAGAGAAATCAAGGAATCGAGGCTTTTAGGTTTGAGGTATTTGATTCCGTCGCGGTAAATAAACACAAGATGGACGGAGAGGTCTAATAAAAGGGCCTCGGGGCTCTCTGCGCCGAACATCCCACCTCCGTACGACCCAGTGGGGAGAAGCTACCCAACGAGGTACTACTAACCGCCGATTCAAGGGTCGGGGTTGAACAAGTGGACACCAGTTTACCCTATGGGGTGTCCCTCCTGCCGGTCCCCATATTCAGCCCACAGCGGGGGTGGGGAGACACGTATTGCTGCGTGTGACCTGGGGATTCCTATCGAAGGAATATGTGCGGATCCGATTATACAACCTCCCAAGGTGAGATTAGGCTAAAAGGCAAAAATGAAAAATGAAAAATGATCTGCTTTGCGAAAAATATCTACTAAGATAGGTATACCAAAACGCCCAACAAATGCAAATCGCGACATGGATATCGCCCCAAAATCCTCACCCCACAGCGTAAATCCCCATCGGTATATTGAATACAACAAAATGCTTTTGTTTATTTGGCTTGGGCGCCATTCCACGCCTCGTGCGCCTTCTTCTGTCGCTCCCAGTCCTTGCGGAGCTTCTTCGTGCGACTCTTCGTGATTTCCTCGCCTGCAGTGTCATGGGTGGGAAGACCCTCGTCATCCCAAGCGCTATACTCGTTGGTGCGGAACATCTCAAGGTGGCTCAGCTTGCCCTTCTCGAGCTGCTTGAGAGCATCCTGATCGCGCTTTTGCTTCTCTAGCTGCTTTTGGCGAGCGCGGGCCTCCTTCTCTTCCCGAGCCTGGATCATCTCGCGGGTGACAGGACGGACGAGGGCCGGGAGGTTATCGCGGTCCTCGAGATAAACACCCAGATCGAAAAGATCAATATCACGGACGCGATCGCAGAGGGCTAGCACCTGCTTTCCAGCGGAATCAGAGGATTGCAGCGAGGAAACCTTGTTCCGGAAGTTGGAAAGAACCTCTGCGTAAGGCTTAGCTGTCTCAGAGGCCTCCGTGGGAGCCTCGATCTTGACTGCATCGGCAATTTGGCTAGACGAGATTCCCTCCTTGGAGCGAGCCGCCAGGCGAACAGTATCACGAATGGTAGAAAGTGGGAAGAGGAACGGCTTGGCCTCCTCGGGAACATCGATGCCTGACCATCCAATCTCGGTGCTATCGGCAGCAGCTGTTCCATTGAGACCGAAGATGTTGACGATGGAAGTAACCCATCGAGCGGCGTCTTGGACGTCCTTCGGGTTCAAAGTAGCCTTGTCCGCGCTGTTGTATTTGGTGATGAATTCGGAGATGGTTTGCATGGCGCCTACAGTATTGAATGAGTCACACAGATGCCTGTGCACGGCATCCTTGGCGGCTTGGAGATCAGAGCCGAGGGTGTTGTCGGTGTTATCTCCTTGGAAGGCCGCAGGGTCCTTGACCTTCAGGAAGAAGTTGTTGACCTTGTCCTCCCAGGAGGCACTAGAGCTAACAAGCTCATCTGTAATCTCAACGCCCTCCTTCCAGCCACCAAGGAGGAAGACGATACGCAAGCTACGCGGGTCCCAGTCTTTCCGGTCCAGAGCTTCGCGGATGGTGGTAAAGTTCTTAAGAGACTTGGACATCTTAGAGCCTGCAATGGAGAGATGACCCATGTGCAGGAAGTAGTTGACCCACTGATCATGCTTGCAAGGGTCGTGCCAGTAAGCTTCACTCTGGGCTAGTTCGTTATCGTGGTGAGGAAATGCAAGATCAATACCACCGGAGTGGATATCCATTTGCTCACCCAGGCGAGCTGAAGCCATGGCTGAGCACTCGATGTGCCAACCAGGGCGACCCTTGCCCCAGGCGCTGTCCCAGCTTGGCTCACCAGGCTTGGATGACTTCCAGAGAGCGAAATCCGAGGCCCCGCGCTTCTCAGTCGTCTTGCTTGCCAGAGAACCTTCGCCCTCAGCGGCCAGCTTGTTGTCGGATCGGCTCCATGGTTCCAGGCGGGCGTATGGGTGTCCGGCACCTTCGAAGGCATCAATGTCGAAGTAAACCGATCCGTCCTTCGTGGCGTATCCAAAGTTGTTCTTCACAATTCGCTCCACAAAACCGGCAATCTCAGCGCCGTACTCGGTAACACGGGTCAGTGCGTCGGGGTCGAGGACGTTCAAATCGCGCATGTCGGTCAAGAAGCGCTCCTCGTACTTTTTGGTGAGCTTGGTGAAGATTCCGTGGTCATTGGCATCAATTGATGCCCCCTTAAGTGCATCCAGGTAGGGGAGCAAGACATCCTGCGCATCAGTGTAGAAAGACTCGGCGAACAAAGCGGCATCGCCAGCCTTACTAGCACCAGCCTCGGCATCCTTCAGCACCTTCGCAGCTGAGGCCGCAGTCTTGATGTGCATTTTCACCTTGGCCTCATCATCGCCAGCTTTCTCGTTGCCCTGCAGAGCTCCTCCGCTCAAGACGGTTGCGTAGGCCTTCTCCACCTCAGCTTGGTACTGCGCAGGGGCTAGCGCAGGATCCAACAGAGAGAGGTTCTTCTTCAGGTATGCAGCGTAGGCGGTTTTCACGGTATCGATAACCTCGGGGGTAATGGTAGGGTTGGTGCCCACGAACTCGCTGAACAGGTGCTGCTGTCTGGCGCGCAGGATGATCTAAGATAAGGAGAAAAGACAACCAAGTCAGCTTTGGAAGTTCGTGCCATAGGAAGATAATCTTTGGCAATATCCCAATCTCATACCTTGTCATCCACATCTGTAATGTTCATCACGAAGTTGACATCGAACTTAAAGTAGTCGCGCATAATGCGCCGAATGATATCGGTGCTAACATAGTTGCGGGCGTGGCCCAAGTGCGCATCGTCGTAGACAGTCGGACCGCAAGCATACCAAGTAACCTTCTTGCCAGCGGGGTCGATTGGAACAAAGGGCGTCTTAGACTTGGTCAAGGAGTTCCACACCTTCAGCGGCGGAAGTTGGACCTCCGAGTTGGTTGGAGGTTGCCGCCAGGGCGGCTGCTGGCGAGACGACATGGGCCTGGATAAAAGTAAGGACCTAAATGCAAACCGCCGTGGAAAGAGAACTGAGGAGGAAAAGAAGGTGAGGGGCATTCAGAAGGAGAAAAGAACTAGAAGAAGGACGCGGGGCACAGCATTGGAACTGGATGACTCGTCGCATCAACACGCACTGATTGGCCTGGCGGCACCTGACCCGCAGCCCTGAGCCCTACTTTCCTCTTTGGGCTCACTTTTTCTTTTGCGGAGACTGACTACTTCAGACTTCAAGACTTCAAGACTCATCTCCAGTTTGACTCAGCCTTGCCATTGACTTGATTTGACTCATTAGGGCTGTGTCTCTCTAGTTCACCATGCCCTCTCCCTTCCTGACCCCCGGCGAATCCGCCCTCGCCGACAATGTCGCCCTTCTCCATCTGCGCCGCGACGATAGCATGCCAACCGTCCTCCGCGCCTTCGACGACAAGAACGAGGGCTACAAGGAGGGAAAGGTCTCCAACACTCGATTCGGCTCATTCCCACACAGCACTCTGATCGGTCAGAAATGGGGCTCTCAGATCGCCGCCTCTAAGGTTGATACTGGCTCTCGCGGCCGCAAACCGACCAAGCGCAAAGCCGAGGAGCTTGATGCATCAACCGGCGCCGACGATGACAGTGCCTCCACAAAAACGCCAGTGGCTGCTAGCAGTGGCTTCCTCCACCTGATGTACCCAACTCCGGAATCCTGGACTCTATCGCTACCTCATCGCACCCAGGTCGTCTACACTCCGGACTACAGCTATATCCTGCACCGACTTCGCGCTCGCCCGGGCAGCACAGTCATCGAAGCTGGCGCTGGCAGCGGCTCTTTTACTCACGCGTCCGTTCGTGCGGTCTTTAACGGATACCCGGGTGACGAACCCGCGACGAAGAAACAACGGTTAGGCAAGGTGTGCAGCTATGAGTTCCACGAGCAACGTGCAGGACGAGTGCGAGAGGAGATTACGGAGCACGGGCTAGACGGGCTGGTGGAGGTGACCCATCGCGATGTCTACGAAGATGGTTTCCTCCTTGGGGACCCGCAAACAGGCCGATCGCCCAAGGCCAGTGCCATCTTCCTTGATCTACCTGCGCCCTGGTTGGCTCTGAAGCACCTGGTGCGACACCCTGCCTCTGGTGGAGAGTCACCGCTGGACCCCAACTCCACAGCTTACATCTGCACATTCTCTCCCTGCCTCGAACAGGCTGAGAAGACGATCCGCATGATGCGCAAACTGTCGTGGCTGAATATCTCAATGGTTGAGGTACAACACAATCGTATCGAGGTGAAGCGGGAACGAATTGGACTCGATTGTGACGGAATTCGCGGCGCGACGGTTTTCCCTAAGACTGTCGATGAGGCTGCCACCAAGCTCCGCGAGGACGACGCGCGCGCCAAACGTTTTCGCTTGGGCCGTTCGGAGGATGGAGAGACTTCTGCCAAAGAGAAGGAGGCTTCCTCCGTAAAGGAGCCAGCTGGCCCGTTGTATAGCGTGGGACGGTTGGTTCATCGCTCAGAAAACGAGCTCAAGACACATACTTCCTATCTAGTGTTTGCCATCTTGCCTCGGGACTGGACTGAGGAGGACGAGCAGAGGTGTCGTCAGAAATATCCCTCGGACAAGGCGGATAATAATGACCGCATCCCAACAGCGAAGAGCAGGAAGCAGATGAAAAGGGAATTCAAGGAGCTCCGCTTGAAGGAGGCCGCGGACGAAAAGATAAAGGCCGAACAACCAGCAGAAGAGACCTCCGAAGCATAGGGAGAGCTTTAACAAGCTTCTCTGTACTGGGCATACTAATTCGGTGTACTATATAAAAGGGGCATTTTCAAAAGCGTTCCATCCAGTCTATACCATTTCTATATGATGTTCAATTTGAATTTATATTCAAACGCAAAATGAATTTATAATCGTAGTCTCATGTGCATATAAGCCACAAGGGCTCTAAGCAAGTATGTTCTAAAATGTACTCCAGTCTGGAGTGGGGAAATGAAGCCAAGACGAGATGGCGATGGAGTATGAAACAATCAAAATGACAAGTGACAGATGACAGATGCCAGATGACAACAAAAGCAGGGTAATAACAAAGCTCAGAGGTTGTTCTCAACTCGAAATTTGTCCCATGCCTCGTTCAATGTCCCGAAGACTGCGCTAGAGATCATGCGCTGTTCGGTCGTGGCGGTGGTGGGAATCTAGTGGATGTGGTTAACAGGAAACTCTTCAGGTCGTAGATGAGCGTAATTTAAAAGACATACCTTATCAGGGTGAACCTTCGCAATACCCTTCATATATTGAATCTTGACCTTGTTCGGCAATACAAGCTCCGCAAGACTAATTTTCTTCCACCCAGACTCGGCCCAGAGCACCGCGTCCAAACTACCAAGCAGTGCACGTAGGTTGTCTTGCTTGCCGTTCTTCCAATTGGTGATCCTCAAATCAACACTTTCAGATAGTGCGAATTTCTCATCATCCTCACGTTCAGCAGCCTTGTTAGCCTCCCGAAGACGGCTAACGGCCTCAGAATCTTGCCCAGTTCCCGAAGAACCGGAAAGATCTGGTAGTGCAGATGGCTTCTTGGGTGCAGGCGTGGGCTTCTTCGCAGGTGCTGCCGGCTTTGGTGGAGCTTTGCTGATTCCAGCGGCCTTTTCGCACCGGTTACGACCTTGGATACTAGTGCTTCCACCATGTCCTGACTCCACTGCCAGCTTCCATGTCTGCGCCGCATCTGCCCATCGCTCGAGGTGTTCCAAAGCCTCCGCCTTTCTCATCAAAGCCTTGCCGAAGAAATCTTTCATCGGCTTCGGCGAATCACCGTTGCCAAGGTCAATCGTTTCAGCTTCACCTTTGGAGGGGCCGATGACGGCAAGCATGGTCTCGGCATCATCAATAACAGCCTTTGGTTCACCGATGCGTAGACCGGTCATAGCACGATTACTGCGGATAATGATCGTGATTGGATGCTTTTCGGGGAGCATACCCAGGGCAGTAGAGTAACTTTCGTGGGCAGCGGCGAAATCACCCCGTTTCCATGCCTCGGCCGCCTTCTCGCGATGACGGTGAGTGGACTGAAGAGCTTGTGGTGAGAGTGGCGGTATAGACCGAGGTGGTGCCTTGGGGCGTACTGGGACCGACGCTGACCTTTGTGGGGCATGAGCTGGTGACGCTGGCTTCGGCTCTTGCGAGGGAGCCGGTGAGTCGAACAAATCGATATTCGACTCGGGAGCTGGCGCTGGTGGTTGAGGTCGTCTTCGCCTGGCTGGACTAACATACGCCTGCGCTGATTGTTCCTCAGCAGCGAATCTCGATGCGCGAGATCTTGGTTCCGCAGAGCTTGGGCGAGATGGTCGTTGCAGGAAGTTGGGTTGCTGGAGGTGTTGAGATGGAGATGGTTGTCGTAGGTCATTCCCACCTGGAGCGGCCGGGCGTGTAGGCTTTCGGGGAGGACCTGAATTTCCACCTTCTAGGAGCATCGCTTCATCAGTGACACTGCTCTGTGGCTGTCCAGTTTCTCCACGTCGGGGAGGCCGCGGGGGAAGTGGCTCTTCGTGTGGAGAGGATGCATCTCTCATCCACTTGGGCTGGCCTGAGTCGTGTTCCGTATTAAACTCATTCACAGCCTGCTGGAATTTCTTGCTTCCCGCTTTCCAGAATGAGCCCGCAGTCTTCAACAGGTTGTTACCAAATTGAGAAGCCACCTGAGCAGGGTCCTTGTCTGCGGCGCCCGGGCTTCGGTTATCCTCACGCGACTGGTGCGATCTCCCTTCCCGCATCCATGAAGGGCCATCGCGATTGCGACTTTGACTTCTGTCTCCTCGGTTATCGGATGGCCCATTCGACGGTTCCCGGCCCTGTGTCTTTTGTCGAGCCTCGGCATGTGCTGATGTCAAAAGGTAGCTAACTGCACCCTGAATATCAGTCCCCGAGTGCGTAGTTCTGAGAGCTTGGCGGGACTTGTCCGCAGGGAATCCCATGTCGACTAATTCCGCAATAGCCCGATCCTCATCACTAGATGGCATAGGAGATGGATTTTGCTCGCGGTCATTGTTGAAAGGCAGCGTTTGTTCTTGCGGGCTTGGTTGACGAGGGATCTCAGACACTGGTTTGCCTAAAAGCCCGAGGAAGTCGTCGTCATCATCTTGAGTCGCAGGGGGTGCAAGTGCTGGCTTTGGTTTCAATTGGTTAAGACCAAAGGGATCGTCGTCGTCGCCTAACGCATCTAAGCCACTCGTGTTATCCTGCATCATGATTCCTGCGCTTGGTGTGCCTTGCCGAGAAGTAGCATCTATCCGCGGAGATGAAGTTGAGTGGGGGATAGGGAAATTCGTTGACGCATCGACCGGTGCCGCGGCGTTGAAAGCGGCTAGTATATCCTCTTCCTTCTCAGCGGGGGGGCGAGATGGTTTGCGAAACCGGTGTCGGGGCCTGGCTGCGAGCGCGACCTTGTTCAAAGCTATCCCAGAACTGTGTATTCTGGCCCCCATATTGGGCTTCGTATCGGCTACGCTTTTCAGCTTCCTGCTTGGCCTTTTCTTCCTGCATGCGCTTCTGTTGTTCCAGGAGAGAGAGGTTCTTATTGTTGTTGGAGGAGTTGAAGGACACTAGATTCGCAAAGCTGTCTCCGGTAGAGGTGGCGGGTTTGGCCGGCGAATTGGAACGGTTCGAAGCAGCGGACATTGGTGTCGATCGACCAGAGGTGCCATTTGATCGTACATTGGGGAACATGAAGCCAGAGCCCATTGGAGGGGGTTTGTTGGCGGGCGCATCTGAGTTGGAGGACCAACTCAGCCCGTTCAAGTCGTCCATAGTGGGCTAGGTGTTGCTCCGGGGAAGAGTTGGAGCTTGGAAAGGATGCCTGATGGAAGTCGGGTGGGTTAGGAGATAATGGACGGATGCAATATATGTGCCATGATCTCACCACGCACACGAATAGTTAATTGAGGATGTTTGCTAAGGACAAGCTTCCTGGGGGCGCATTGAAGGACAGTTGCGCCCCCCTGCTGTGGGGGGGGATCCGGCACGTGATGTTTCATCACCACTTCAGCGGTTATTTAGTAGTGTATGGCTAGTAGTAGATACATAAAGCATAAACAGATCTTGATAGGTGATTTATCTTCCAGGGCTATCCTCATTCATCAAGTCAGTACTTTGTGTTTATTTAAAATGATTTGGTAAGTGGAATCCCCGATTCACATAATACTACTAGTAGTAGTACAATCCATCAAGCTCGGGCGGGCGCAACATATATATAGCAGGTGTGGAGCACGAGTAGTATAATTGGTATTCTATACTTAGAACCACCACTCCACGTGCATTTCTGTTCAAGGGCTGGCAACCTTTATCCGGGTGGGATTTACCACCTACTAGTACTAGGTAGACACTATCTAGTAGGTACTTTGGAATAATCCTCGACCAGGCAACCCGAATATCTACGCAGTACCTTTACGAGAGACCATCCAGTGTGGTAAGACACAAAGGATTCCGATTAGGTTCTCCCTGGGAGCCAAACTCAATCTCCGCCTAGCCAGGAGCCCCTCTGAGCAATTGTGAATTCAATTTTGGTCAATTTTTTAGCTTTTGGTAGAAGCATCCGCCGTTAATATAGTCAACAACGAATGCCATTAAACGCCTCCTTGGGCTTGTTTCCTTCACGGGGAAGCCCATGAGGACGAATAGGACTCTGAAAATCCCAAAAGGAAAAACGCGATAGCTGGTAGAAATTAAAAATACCGATCTAAAGTCCCTGTGAACAAGGAGGGAAGTATTTTCTTCCGAGTCCATTTCGAGTAGTCCACAGTTTTGTTGCAATTGATTATGAGAAGAATGGACAGATAATCAAGTCTATGCAACAATTTGGAGGCTTCCATCATCAATATTTTCATATAAAGACGAAATGCCAATGGGAAGCATTCGGTAGGGATATCAGTTCTTCACCAACTGAGTGAGAGCTTGGTCCATAACAGTGCCATGTAAACGCACGCATTACTATTCCTTCAGATACTGAAATTCAAATCATATCAGCTTTAATATAGCTAGAGCGCCTTAGAATAATAATTTGTTATGGAAAAAAATCAAGGGCATAGCCGACTCGGAGCTGAATGCGCCTGTAGATTTGGAAATATATTGCCTGTCGCGTGCTTTCACCCATGGGTATCCGTAACTTGAACATCCGCAAGAAAAAATAAACATCGAAGCAACTGGCAGTATGCCAAGCCTAGCCAGAACCAAAGACACCGAAAATGCTATCCAGGATACTTCGTACTCGCATTTGATTCCTGACTGTGGCGTCTCTTCGTCTCAACACCGCTAGCTTTATGCGGGGCGCTACCGAGGCGAGCATTGCTGATCTTGGTCGGTCTAGAGATCAACAATATCGCGGGGCTAACAATATCAGACCGACACTTTCACATTCACTCCGCATCAGCCTCTGCAGTACTTCCCGTGTGCGAGCTCTGCCCTCTCGTCTCATGCTCATGCCCCTTACTAAACACATCATTTTCGATGGGTCACAAACAGCACTGCTGGTTAGCCGCGATATTTTTGTGCATAATGCGAATCTTATTATCCAAAGTGCTACGAGTGGGAAACCTGGTCAAAATAATACCATTTGCAAAATATAGCTCACAAGTACACTTGCCCGCTCAGCTGGGCGATGCAAGAGAGAAGCAACATGCGATATTTGCATGTAAAAGTATCAATTCCTTCGAGGTTGATGTATCATTTCAAATGCAATTTACAATACTAACTCGGTATCTAATTGTGTGATCGACGGGAAAGTTAGAAATGACGTGATACGTACTCCATAGGTATAACTCGCGACAGAGATCCCCGCCCTGCTTCGTACGAAGTTCCTACTAGTACTTCGTAAAAATTGAAAAACGCGACAAACTATGGGAATATACAATTCTTTGCCCTATATATAACGAGCCGCTAACCAAGTATAGCCAAGCGTGGTAAATATATTACCATGGACTACACAATATGAAGTGGGGGCGAGCCAAGCTCCCGATTATCCTTTTCAGGTCCGAACACCTTGATCTCCCGAGGAGTGGATACACAACTTTTTAAGGAACCCTCGGCACAGATCGTAATTGTAAGTTCTGATTGCCTCTCTGGAGGACGATGGTCGTGGCCTTAAAACAATATATTAATATATTTAACGTTCATGGGGTGACCTCGGCTTTTGCACCAGGCCGAATGACCTGCAGCTAGCAATGCATCAACTACACCTTACTATATCAGGTTAGGACCATTCGTGGCAGGAAAAGGGGGCCGACCAGCTTGTTCACCCCCCAAAATCCCATTCATGGTCCCGCAGTTTAGGCCGGACTCCGTGCGCTTGAAATTGCAGACTGACCTGGACAGCGAACCGTTGCATCATGTTTCATTTCCTATCCTTCTCCGAATTTGAATCAGAGCTGGCTCGTATATGGAGACGGCGAATGCTGGGAGTTGGTCGAGGAGGAGAGGTACGAGACATTGGTGGGCATCTGGCTGAGTTACCCCTGAGCCACCAAAGTATATCGTATGGGTTATTTTGGAATACAAATACATTTGTGGAAGAAGAAAAAAACTATAGGGAAAAAAAAGCAAGCAAATAATTTCCCCGACTGGTTACATCGAAGCAATGATGTGCGGGAAGGCTCCAGTGATACAATCTGACAAGCCAAAAGCATTTCGAAGGCCTCGACTGAGCCTACACGTGTATATACGCACCTGGTTGACTCGGCCATCTGTACCCGACACAAAATAGACAACTCAAAGCGAGAGTCGACGTGCGTGGGCCAATGCGTTGGAAAGATAGGCTGGGAGTCTCCACCGCCAACTGCAGCACAATGGGATTGCAGCGTTAGGTTCGCAGCTCACTACATGTAGACTCGGACATCAAGATGGGCCGTTGTCTTAGAGGGAGAACCCGACTCCTTGCCTGGAAACATCCCCGATGCATGCAAAAGTCGGCAGCTGGCAAAGTCAATTTTGTGCCCAACCACCCAGGAACAATGCATGCACGGCGCCGGAGCCGTTGTGATAGGCCAACGAGCGTGCAGGGACAGCGAATGGAGGACGGCTAACGAGGACAACAACTCGACAGATCGAGTGGCCATGACCCCACTCGCCCGCGAACCCCTAGTTGCGGATGGCGCCGATACCTCCGATGACCTCGTCTCTGTCAACTTGAATTCATCGTGCTGCTTGCAGCTGTTGCCCGTGCTAGCAATTGACGGTGAACTTAGCTCGATAGATATGTACGGAGTACCTCGTACATATACAGCCTCTACCGCGCCTTTATACGAGCCGCCCAGCCTTTGGGGGCTGACACTATTGAAGCCGCAAAGTGACAGATCATTGGAATCTGTCATTAGTATCTTGGCCACATTCCGCGCGTTGACCAAGCGATCTACACGGCTTCCGGCGGATCAGCAGGCTTTTTTCTAGCCAGAGTCTCACTCAGGCATGTTGTGAACAGGGAACGGACGATATCTTTTGTTGATTAATTTACGATCCGGTATTTAACAAGGTCTGACCGGATCAACCCTGGCGGACAGGTCGGATGGGAGGACCGAGGAGAACGACTAGTAAATGAAAAAACACTCTAGTGGATTTAGCAGGTTAGACGAAGAGGGCCAGGGGGGTGGGAGGAAGAGCCAATCTCCGAACAAACGGCGAGGCTCCTAATCTCCTTTTGTCGTGAGGGACCCGCCACTGATGCAGCGTGAAGGAGCTGATCCTTGCTCGATCGACAATTCTCGATCGGTGGGTCTATGGATACATGGGTTGATGATATGATGGGTCCATACCCTAAGGTACGGAGTAGCCACACTCGCGTGGGTGTTTATTGTCCAGTACCTTGTCGCTTGACCCTGCCCCCCAAAACTCAAATACAATTTGTTAAACAATTGATGGTCTTTTTCGGAAGCCCCGCGTTCTGGAATTTCCGACTAGCGGTGTCATCTGCTCGTTTATATGTAGGGGAGTCCGGGGCTGGGCTCCAGCCTGACTTTTCTTGACCTTTTTTGCTAATTTGATCGCATATAGCTCGATACCCTTACCAAACGCCTCACCTCGACCATTATATTATTAATTTTTCCCTTTCCTATACACCGACCTCCCTTGATACCCAGCCTTCCTCAACCTCCAACATCATATACGCGAGCCTACCACTGGGATATGCGATCGGCATTCGGAAAACACTCTATTCTCATATAGAGGCGCCACTGAGACAAGACACTACGTCAACAAATTGCGCGCGCGTGATTGAGCTGAAACTTTCAACATGAAGTGGCCATTATTTTTCACGATCCTCCTGTTGTTTCTGTACTGCAGTGAGACATTAGCTGCCCCGGCAGTGGAGTTTCAGCGCCGAGAGCCGGACGCCATTGCGACTACCGATCAAAGTGAAGAACAGAGCGCGACCAAAACAGCAACAGACAATGGATCAACCCAGACATCCACAACGACCGCGACGGACGCGAAGGAAACCAAGACAACCACATCCAAGGCCGCTCAAACGGCCTCTACTACTACAACTAGCGATGCCACAACTGTTGCGACTACCGTTCCATCGCTAGACACCTCTGCCGCATCTGGCGGCTCATCATCACAAAATTCAACAAAGTCAATATATACTGGAGGACTCCCGCTTCAGCCCGACCTCAGCCCAGCGTTAGGAGTGGGTGGGTTCATTCTGTTGATATCCGGGGCAGCTCTGGCCCTGATAGGAATCCGGAAAAGATGGTGTGTTTTCAACAGGAGGATATAAAAGGGCATTTCTAATGATTGACAGGCTTTATATCTCTTTATCCACAGCATTCCTCGCAGCATTGGGCGTAATAGTAAGTTTCCTCGGGGTTTTCGATACGATGACAATATGGGGTGTCACTGACTGATAACTCTAATTCAGGTTCTGATCGAATATGTGATGAACCCACCCGTCACTAATGCAGTACAGGGTGGATACCTTGTTGCTGTAGTTGTCACTGGAGCTGTGTTTGGTGGACTAGCTCTGGTTTTCAAAGAAATCACCGAAGGACTTTGCTGTCTATTAGGCGGTTTCTGCATTGGGATGTGGTTGATGACTGTCAAAGCCGGAGGTCTCGTCACCGAGAGCGGAGCCAAAGTTGGATTCATCATCGCATTCTCTGCTGGGTTCTATTGTCTATCCTTCAGCCACTATACTCGCTCCTATGGGTCTATGGTCTGCACTTCTTTTGGAGGCGCCACTGCCTTGGTCCTCGGTATTGATTGTTTCAGTCGGGCGGGCCTCAAGGAGTTCTGGCTCTATGTCTGGGGTAAGTTCATTTCTATTACCTTTCTCCAAACCGCAATATTGTACGAGATACCAGAGTTCTAACGCTTCGACACAGGACTGAATGATAACATGTTCCCGCTGAACACCAACACTTACCCCGTTACGCGTAATATTCGTGTCGAGCTTGCTATCACAATCATTGTGACTGTATTCGGTGTCATTGCTCAGATGCGACTGTGGAAAGTGATCAAAGAGCGCAGAGCAAACGAAGCAAGTTCTCGCGAAGAAGAAGAGAAAAAGAAGGAGGAGGCCGAAGCGGAAGTCGGCCGACAGCTCGAGAAGAAGAACCAGCAGGAGCGTGCTGAATGGGAACGGATGTATGGCAATGGCAGCGCCAAAGAGCCCTCATTGACCGAGACTGCGGTGGCTGATGACTCAAGAAGAGGATCGGACGGCTTCAACTCCTCAAATAATGAGACTGCACATTCCATCGAGATGAAAGAAATGGCGTGTCCCGATGCCCAAGGTGACGCTTCTGACTGCGGCAACACGCTTGATGCAGTGGAAGAAGTCACCCCGGAAGGCGCAGAAGAGGAGGACAGTCCAAGCTGCGGTCAAAGCCACCACACGCCGGTTGATCAAGATGAATGTGAGCCTGACTCGCACTCGAATGCTGATATATCGCGACCTGCCACTCCGCCCCCCCGAAAAGGCTTTCCATGTGAGCACGAATGTACGGGATGATACCTCCGAAAATGGTGCTATTATGGGCTCCGAGGCTGGTACGCCTCGATCAAAGCGCTTATCGGGAATGTCATTCAGGAATCGTCTGTCATGGCGTAGTGGCAACGGGGCGAAATTAAATCACCAATCAGAGTCCGAGGAAGCTCTGGTTGCTCACGATGATGCTACTTCCTCCGTGGCTGGAGTTGTCGATGACATTCAAACACTGAGCTCCCGTCGGTCAAGTATCGCATCCGAAATCCACAAGGAGACAGATGATGCCACGCAGCAGAGCGAGTCAACTGTGAAACCGCTACCTCAGAAAAACATTCTCCAAGAAGCCGAAGAGAACCATCTCAACTCCCAGCCAGAAAAACCAGCGAAGTCAACTGTTGTTGTAGATTCATCAGAAAGCCGTCCAGAGGACGCAAACGTTCTCATCTTACAACAAACCAACGACGTGCAAAAGTCCACCGAGAAATCCGTTTTGGAGGAGAAAACAACACCCCCCCCCTAAATACAAGGATCTCCCGACAAAGCAACCCGAGCTAGCAGCAACGGCCGAGCCATCAGATATACCCGAAGTCACGGAGAAGGCTGAGACAGCAGGGAAGATTGAAGAAGTTCAAAAAGGCCGGACGGAGATTGAGAAGGCAGAGACACCTGGCGAAGAGCCTAAATCTCAAAATAACTCAAAGGACGTTTCCCTGGAAAAGCAATCAAAGTCTCCTCCAGGACCTGTTGAAAAGCCCGAAGAAATTCCCGAGCTCCGAGCTGCCGAGACCGAAACGAAACCCGAACCCAAGCCTAAACCGCAACCGTTACCTATTAAGAAGCCAGTAAAACCAAAGCTGGACACTTCGACGGTCAATCGTATCCCGGAGCGGACTTCAAAGGTTGTCCATACATTCCGTACAAACGAGTGGGCCAAACATCTGGCAGATGCCGAAACGCCTGACCTTGAGCCTCTCGAATTTGAGCCTGAGCCAATCGAACATACGAAGGCTGATGAGGCCGCTGCTCCAGTCAACGTTGATGAGCTGCTCCAGACGCCGCTTAATGCCCAGCCTCCCCCGGCTGTGACCAGCCCCGTGGAAAGCTCAACAAGTCCCGATGAAGCTCGCCGACGATCCCGTCTCTCAATGGCCCCTGTCACCGACGTGCCTCGTTCAAAGACCAGAAACAGCACTCACATGATGTCTGGAGCCAAATCACCAATGATGTCTCGGAATGTTTCATCATCTTCTTTGGTTGCGCAGCAGCTCGCAGCAGACAACGGTCTTGGTCCTCTCAGAAGTCCCTCGGCACCACTACTGACTATTACTATGCCCAATACTGGACATGATAATGACAAGGAGCAAATAGAATCACCTCGCTGGAGTGGGCCGCCACCTCTTCTTGCCGTGCGTGAGGATATGGTGCGCAACCGAATGTCATCAACCTCATTACGATATGACCCATGGGGATCGCGAAATGCATCGCGACAGTCCTTGGTTGACCCAGGTCGAGTTATGTCACCAACATTGTCCATTCCCGATGAAGGAGACGAGGAGCTGACGGGAATGGCCACACCAACTCACGACGATGACGATGTTCCACTCTCCAAGCGCCGCGCCATGCTCCAGCGTCAGACCATGGAGTCGCCGTCAACGACAAGCCTTCAAGGCTTTGACAGAGCCCGATCGTCTCCGTCTGCTTCAACAAATCCCGGAAAGCCAGCCGCAGCAATGGCGGCATGGCGCCAATCGATGCGAGAAGACATCTCGTCCAGACGTGATCTACTATCACTCAATTCATCACCGACAAGCCCCGAAAGACCGCAAAGTCTCTGGGGGTCTGTACAGCAGATGAAGGACGCCTCAAACACGCGAGTGGGCGACGCAATTGCGGAAGGCATGCAAAAAGGCAGCATGACCGATCTGCATCGCCAGGCAATGCGGCGAATGCAGGCTTCCGCCAACCAAAAATTGTAGATGTTGATGAGTTTTGATACCCTTTTGTTTATTCGTTTATTTTACTTTCCTGCCTGCATTTTTTCGGCCATTCATAATTCGGAGTTTTGGGAAACACGAACGAGACGTTATAAATAAAGTTCGATGCACATAATTCCTAATGAAATAATATTTCAGGTCAATGCCCTAACACATACACAATGCGATCTAGATTTCTCTAATGCTCCTCCGCTCAACTATTCACTGCAAGAAGTGCTTCGGCGCCTTTTCAAACATCTGGATTGCCTGTTCCAACCTCTTTTCATACCCCTCCTCTTCCTGGCCATCCTGATCATCTATCATTGATTCATCTTGCTCAATCTCGAGTCCAAGTTCAACTTCCCTCTCGCCTGCACCTCGGGCTGTATTCACAGACAAGATATCGCGATATAGTCCCATCGACGCTGGTAGTTTAACCCCATCAATACCGCCTTTGCCCATTTTGATGAATCGCGCGTCAACCAGTCGATACTGAGCTGCCCAGACATGTGGGTCGGCTACTTCCATAGCCATTTCCCATGTCGAACCGGCGCCCAGACTGACTGACCCACCAACAGGTACGCCTGATAGAGCACCGATTATAGCCGACGAGACACCTGCTGATATATTTGCACTCTGGCCATTTGATACTACTGCCCGAGTCCCTTCCAGAAGGTATAGACCAGTCAAAAGCCATACCTTGGGCCGACGAGCGAACTTGAAGTTGAGAAGATAGGCACTATGTGCGGCCGAGAGCCATAGTTTGAGCTTTTGCTGTGCTGCTGGAGTTGTGAGGATGTTATCTGTGAGGAATGCCTCAGGACTGCGTATTAACAAGTCAATATTGATTAACGGATTCAGGAGCGGAGGACTAGCATACTCTTTCAACGTGATTCTAGACCCTTTTTCCGCCACGATGATTCGTTCACGGTCTTTGTGGTATGCAAGACCGAGATTCATGATATCGCCAGCCTCCACGCCGACGGCTGGAGATAAACGCGAGTAGCCCCGGAATACCGCGTTTGATATATTGGTGGTATAGGCATGCTCAAGCAGGCCATTTTCGCTAAAGAAAGGGGTCAACCCAATTGACCACAGCAGACAAGGAAAGAATACTCACTCTAGTAATTCATGGGTGTGGTGACGAGCAATCATCGGCTGCCAATATTTCTCCAAGACCAGCGAACCAAGGGTCAGCGCCTCGGGCCGCTCCCCGACTCCATACAAAAAGAACGAAGAGTCATCACTGGCCCCCATACTGAACAGATCCAAGAATGCTTAAATCGCCAAGATCAAATCAACCATGCACGATGTGTGGATTAGTGTTCAAGTGTCGTCCTGGGCGCCATGCCGCTATTTACTCTATCTTTTGCTTGTTTTTTGCCTTGCTGTCACCGCGGGGCTTCAAGCACCCCCGCTAATCTTTCTAACCTGAATCGGGCAAGATTTGGCGAGCGGATTTGACAACCCCGGTGATAATACTATCAGATATGATGGGATAGGGCACTCTAATCACTTCAGAGTTCCACATCTGCTTAGTGCTTATCTCGAGCGGACATCGAGGATTTTCTGTTACCGGAGGAGAGAAACAAACAATGTTGCTTCACCCCCACTGCTGAAAGCAATGATGGATTTCGATCACTTCCTCGATCTCTGCGGAAGATCCCTCTTTGCTGAAGAATATCGAGGAGATTTAGATGCGGCATGGGACTTACTTCAGAAAGAGCAGCCCAAGGCAGATGCGGGGCCGGACGCTTGCGCGGAGTATCTGCGGTGTTCCTCAATCTACTCGATCTTGATCGGCAGGTTCGGAGATGCTTATAAGAGCCTCGACAAATTGCAGAGAATTTTGGATCAAGTTTCTCCAGAATGGGGTCTGCGATTTACGAATTACTCCCTACTCGCCGACTATACTCGCCGCTACCCTCCATCCCTGCACTTCTATCACGAACGAGGTCGGCCAGTCAATGTTGCAATGTTGAGCGACATTGTCGGCCCCTTTGATATCATGCAACAAATGCTGGCTAATGTAAATAAATACATGGCCCAGGGCGTGATTCGTGACCAAGGCTTCTGTCAGATTCTGGGTGCCACATCCGGTTTTCCTTTGCTACTTCGGAACGCAATAGGTCGCTACCATCCGTTGTCGCCAGGTAACGGGGTAAATGCAAATACCAAGGACCCTGCGGTAATATTAGAAGCATTGTCAACATTTTCAGCTTCATTGATCAAATATCGCGACTTGTCAGAGAAGAATGGAGCAAAAGGAATCGCGATCTATTTGGGCCAGTTGATTCTTGAACTTCATTTGGCATGCCAAAGTCCTACCTCCGCGGATATTATGAAAGAGATGTATCAGCAGTGTGATAGCATCAGCGACTATACTGGTCTAGCAAGACTAAAGATGATGGAAGGGGATAGTCTTGTGGGTCCGGGATTTACCAGCCCTCTCTCGTTGAATATCATCATTGCGGATTCGTTTTCAGGTACTGCGGATGACTCAATATGGGATCCTATTGAATTCAACCTCGATTTTTCTTACTCCTCCGAAGCCCGAGATTGTTACGATGCTGCACTGAACCTTTTCCAAATGTCCGGCTCGCAACGCGGACAGGCAGCGATTCTACTTCGCCAGGCCTGCTGTTTACACAACTCCGTACGCCATGAGCGAATTACAGATCCACAGCACTTGGATACACTAGCGGAGGCAGAGTTGAAGCTCAAAGGCTCTATGGAGCTATTCGGTCGAGACGAAACAAACTCTCAGATCGCCAGAGCCCATCAAATATTGATAGGTATCACGAAAGGGAACCCCCGCGAAGCGAAGGAAACTGCATCATCCATAGGCATTTGGGGTGCTGAGGCCCGAAATGAAATAGTTGTCCACTTCATCGCTGTTCTTTTTCTAAGATTTGGACATCAAGAATGGTTCAAGTTCTCCAACATGGATACTGCTCTACTAGCTTGGGAATGCGCATACGAAGTAGCGAAGCCCATTGAAGATGTCATTCCGCTATTCCAGTCACTGGTTTCTCGCGCTTGGGTCCACCACGAAATGTTCAACTCAGATGCATGCCGAATTCTCACCGAGGAGGCACTTGGCATGCTTGATAAAGTAATCGAATATCTTGACTCGAAAATCGAAAGTAACGGCGATGACCAGCTAGGAAAAACAGACAGGTCGACGCTTCTGACTAGCAAGTCAAATCTGCTTTGGACTTTCAGCCACAAGGTTAACAGTATCTATCTACGACTAGAGGATCTACAGCGATTCCACGATTTTCAAACAAAATTCGCCTTTTGGATCGAAAATGATCCCTGTTTCCATCATTTTCGAGAGCGGTTACAAGAAGAGGACCGGACATGGACTTTCGACCCTGCAATTACCTATCCGCGCAGCAAAATAAAAGGCATGTGGAAAAAGGCTCTTGCAGATGATGCTGCAAAGATGGCACATGGGTCAGCAGAAATTTCATACCGTCGTCTGCTAGAAGAGGGTGATGTAACCAAGGCTGAAGCTTGTTTCAGTCAATTTATCGAGCAATCAGAGAACAAGCTTGAGCGTGTCTGGGCTAGAGACTTGTATCGAATACTAGCCTGCGAGCGAGTCGGCGATGCAACTAAGGCGCGCGAAATTTTGGACTCCATGACGGATAACGAGCTATTTGATGGAAACATCGATGATTTCCAGCAAGGTTACGGTGTTAGAGGGACTTTTCCTACGGTGGCGGAGAATGCGCTGTCGTTCTGTGTGTTTGGGTGCGACTTGGACAGAGGTCATCGAGTCATCGATATTATTTGCAAGATATCACCGACGTTCTTCGAGCAACAGAATGAAAGCGCGCTGGACTTTTCGTTTCGCCTTGGCTTTTTCGGTGCTGTGATGAGGGATAAACGGTCACTGGCAGAATTGGCGTTCTCTAAGCTACTCGAGGCCCGAAATATTATCGACAGACGAAGACTCCAGACGACCGACTTGGATGCGAAGATTGGAAGCTCCACGGCCGCATGGACAACTGAAGTCTATTTGAATCTTGCGCGGATCTGTCTTAGTTGGAACGATTCAAAGACACCCATTGAGCTTGCTTCCAAATATGACCATGGTCATTTCGAAGATATCTCTTGGACGGAGCATGCGCTTTTGTTTGTTGAGATGAGTAGAGCGCGGGCAGTGCTTGAATCCCTGCAGTCTCAGGCAAAAGAAGCGCAAAGGGTCTCTAGTGCGCCAAAGGTGGCTCCTCTCACTGCTGCAGTTCATAAACGGCGACTGCTGCGATCCCTGAGCTCCCTGAAGAGTCTGACCCCCGAGCAAGAGAAGGAAATATCTGATCTTCGGGAGGAAATCAAAATCCTTGAACAGGATGGGAATTTGTCGTCTGCCACGACATTCATTGAAACGGTCAACTCTATTGTTCAGCCTCAACAGCTTTATGAAAGCATCGATGAAAATGCGGTGGTAGTAGAAGCTACATTTGGACCTCGTGGGCTTGTTGCATTTGCGATCACCAGGGAGGGCATTCAACAATCGATCCAAGGACCGACTCGAAATGTTGATATACGTCGACCCGTCATGCTGTCTATGCAGATTCTGCGAGAAATGACAGGATACGCTGGAGAAGAGGAAGACATTTGCAAAAGAAAGATAAATGAACTGACCAAAGGCATTTCGGACATCTTGCTGTCACCTTTTACGGATACTATCCGATCAAAATCCCATGTCATTTTCTCCTTGTCGGATCCACTCACTGCATTTCTATTTTCGATTCTCCCTTTCGATGGGAAGCCCTTGATCATGCACGCGGCTGTTTCACAGGTGCCTAGCCTCACGGTTTTGTATTACCTGTCCCAGCGCGAATCGGAATCGGTAGCACCATCTGTCTCTGTTCTAGCCAAGTCACCACAGGAGACCGACGAACCATTGGGTGCGACAAGGGGTGGCACGGAGGTCAATTTACACATGGCGGGCATTGAAGCCGTTAACATTGCGCGTATGTTTGCTACGTGGCCTATCGAAGCATCCCATCTCTCGAGAAAAGATTTCCAAAAGTACGTGGAGGGCGGATCTCGAATCATGCATGTTGGGACCCACGGAGACATCAACTACCGTAATCCGTTGCTTTCGTCCATATCCATTGGGCACGGCCAGGATTTCCGCGTGGTCGACATGTCTGCGACTCGTAGCAGGGTGAATCTTCTTGTTTTTGCCGCGTGTTTAAGTGGGTTTGGAAAGGCGACTATTGGTAGTGAAGTTTTAGGGTTCTCCCATGTCGTTTTAAGTACGGGCTGCCAGGCCTACATGGGATCATTGTGGAAAGTGAGCGATTTCGGCTCTATGTTTTTGATGACGCTGTTTTATCGACGGTTGAAGAGCCATCCGGAGCTAGCGGTTGGGGAACTAGTTAGGCAGGCACAACTGGACCTCTTTAGCATGGATGGAGATAGGGCCAGTGTGTTGCTTGATGAAATGGTAGAACCGTGGGAAACTGGAAGCTCACGGGAGCAAGGAGGATCTGAGGGCGCAGAGCAGAGTGCAGCCGAGTTTGTGCCAGATGCCGAGTTTCTTGTACTGACTTTGAGGATGATTCTCAGTCAGCTGGACTGGACTAGTCCATTCTATTGGGCACCTTTCACTCTGGTGGGATATGGAGGTTTCCGATTTATGGGCCAAGACTAGCAGACAGGCTTGGTATTCATGAACACTGGCAGCCTGCCAGTGGAGATCCCTGGTTCGATAGATGATATATGCATATTTGAATATATGCTAGTGATGCATCGGTAGTTCCGCCTGGGCACTAGTTACTAGGACCTTGAAAGGGGCGTTGATCGTAGTGGCCTGTGCTGGTCCAAGGGCGTCGACTAGTCCATTTGACAGCCGCGGGTGCTCTTCTCCATACGAGTCTCCAGTCATGGCGCAGCTGCAGACGAACCAGAACCAGCGCCCCGGGTAAAACTAGTGAGATTGGCCCACTTGTCCCGGATGAGATGAGATGAGGCGAGGCGAGGTGAAACAAGGGAGGCCAATTAATATTAATCACGGTGAAACCGGGGCAAACGCTGGCCGTTGGAGAGTTGGAGAGATAGTTTGGGCTTGGACATGACATTTCAACATATAAATCCCATTTCTCTCACGGTGGTTGAGGGGATGACTATAGAAGTATCAACATCGACAGAGTATAGCTAGCTGAGGTTGAGTATAGCTCTGCGGCCTGGAACTCGAAGGATTTTCGCCTCGTTTTTTCGGCTCGCCATTTTCTCTTTCTTTCAATCTTCACTCTTCATCTTCAATCTTCAATCCTCAATCCTCAATCCCTTTGGTCCAATCTCCAGTCTCTCCTTCAATTCTACCTATTTTTCCTTTGTCGATCATAATCACCTCAATCGCGTCACTAGTATCCCACACCCACACCACACCCACCACTACCACCAGATCTGGGATGAGCTCGTCAGAGCTCTGACCCGTGAGTGAACCATTCCCACACTTCAAAACGGCGTCCTTCAAAGCTTCTTGGACCCGGGACTCGGAGGTGGAACAGAACTCCTCCCGGTTGTTCTCACGGGGAATTGTGAAGTCCAAGCACGAGAAACACGAAAGGCAGCGCCAGTGCGTCCCCGTCGGCCCCTCGTCTTCCTCCGCGCCTTTCTCTTCTTCAATTCTTCGCCCGCCCGCCGTTCGCCTCGCCAACCCTGTCAATCACGTTCCGAGAATCACTCCAATCTCTATCCCTCCATACCAATCTGACGAAAGCCTTCCTCTCGGTCCTCAGTCCCCTCTTCTCAGTGTCCCCGAACGCCGGCGCAGTCGCTTCACCCCGTCCCCCTCCCCGTCCAGCCTTCTCGTCGAGCGCAGCCAGGGCGAGACCGAGAGTGGGCGCACGAGTATCGCTTTACCCCCTCGCCATCGGAAGAGTGAACAACTGTCCCCGACAGAGATGGCAGCAGCATTTGCAGGCAGTGCGGCGCGGGATCTCGAGAATCTGCGGCCTCCGGAAGAGGTCCATTTGGCGTCCGATGGAACACGCCGTGATGCTCAACAACCCCGACATGCCCAGTCCCAAACCTCCCTGCGGTCGCAATCCCAAATCGCCTCCGTCCCGTCCAATACAGGCCAACAGGGCCCGGCGGATGTCGCCGAGGAACTGGCCTGGGGCCCCGCCCACCCCTGTTATCCTCATCTCAACCCCCATGTCCCGATCGGCTCGCAAGAATACCTCACCACACGAGTCATTCGCATTCGACGCGATTGGATGGTCAGGGGAGACCTGGCACCGACATTCTCAAACCTATACCCAGAGATCTTGGACCCGTTACTATCGGAGCAGGAGTTCCGCCAAATCGTCTCGACCGTCAACAATGGCGTCGTCAAGGCGTTCGACCCCTATAGCCTGCGCAACTGGGTGGACGGGGCAATTGGTCTTTTGACCGGCTGGGTTTGGGACGATCTGAACGCCCCCGAGGTCAAGGGCGAACTGCAGCAGGTGGAGTCCTGGCTTCAGAACTGGAATCGGGAAGTCGGTGCCAAGGACGGTGTACACATTTGGAGTCTACGACGAACGGCATACATGTCGATCGATATCCAGATTCCTGATCCTAAGGTTGGCATCGTGCCCAGCGAGGCTCCCTCCTTGCCGAATACCAGGCCCAGCACTGGTGCTGGGAATTGAGGAGTGAGGGTGAGGCGCTTGACACTTTTCTCCTTTCTCTTGCTGTATATCTTTTGTAATTTCTGTTGTCCTGTCCCGGGTCTTTGCATGATATCCCACCTCCCAGCAGTTGTCCTCCCTTCTCTACCCTTTTTCTTGCCTTGTCTGTCTCCTGACGATGACCCCTTACCATATTCAAGTTTCCATCCGCTATCCTACCTTTCGCTGCTGGGGGTTTGTTCCCTGTGATTTTCACTTTCGCTTCTTCTTTCCCTCTCCATTTCCATTTTCGTCTTCATACTTTTTTCAGAAATGCTGGTGCACTTCAGTAACGGGGCTAGCTGTCTATATTGAACCCGTTCAACAAATACCAATTCGTGGTTTAATAGGGCCACTTAGATAATTAATTAAAATACTTATTATCAATACTCATTCAATAATTCAATTCTCAATCCTCAATCCTCACTGTCTCATACTTCCACATGGCCCTGAAACTTGAAGATATCCACAGGCGGTGTCGATCGAGCCCCCCCACATTCCCCCGTTGAGCTCCTTTAACTCCCTCCCAACCGCACCGAGATGAGCCCTCCGCCACCACCTCCATCATGCTGTCGGGCATCTTAGTATTCAACCAGAAGGGCGAGAATCTCATATTCCGCGCCTTCCGATCCGATTGTCGCCCGCGTCTCGCCGACATCTTTCGCATCCAAGTCATCTCCAACCCGCAGGTCCGCTCCCCGATTTTGACCCTGGGCTCCACGACCTTCAGCCATGTCAAGCACGAGAATATCTACCTGGTCGCTGTGACCAAGAGCAACGCCAATGCCGCGCTCGTCTTTGAATTCCTTTACCGGCTCATCCTGTTGGGCAAGAGCTACTTCGGCAAGTTTGACGAAGAGGCCGTTAAGAACAACTTCGTGTTGATTTACGAATTGCTCGATGGTACGCATTGATTGAACTGTTCCCTCCGAAGAAATTCTAGTATATAATAATAACCTTGCGCTTGTGTCTTCAGAAATCCTCGACTTCGGATACCCGCAAAACACCGAGACAGACACCTTGAAGATGTACATCACCACAGAAGGGGTCAAGTCCGCGATCGCAAACTCGCCCACAGACTCCAGTCGAATCACCATGCAAGCGACCGGAGCCCTCTCATGGCGTCGTTCTGACATCAAATACCGCAAGAATGAAGCCTTCGTCGACGTGATCGAAGACGTCAACCTCCTAATGTCCGCGACCGGCACCGTTCTCCGCGCCGACGTCAACGGCCAGATTGTCATGCGCGCCTACCTAACCGGCACGCCCGAGTGCAAATTCGGGCTAAACGACCGACTTCTCCTGGACACTGGCGACTCCTCTGGCGGGAAGGGTAGTAAAAATGGTGGGATCAGCGGACCCGGAGGCAAGGCCACGCGCGCCGCCGCAGGTTCCGTCACACTGGAAGACTGTCAATTCCACCAGTGCGTGAAACTGGGCCGATTTGACGCGGACCGTATCATCTCTTTCGTGCCGCCGGACGGCGAGTTCGAGTTGATGCGGTACCGCGCGACGGAGAATGTCAACCTCCCCTTCAAGGTGCAGCCAATTGTTCGTGAGATCGGCACAACCAAGGTCGAGTACAGCGTTGCGATCAAGGCGAATTACAGTTCGAAGCTCTTCGCTTCGAATGTGATCATTCGTATTCCTACACCATTGAACACGGCCAAGACCACTGAGCGGACGAGCCAAGGCCGAGCGAAGTATGAGCCCGAGCACAACAATATTGTCTGGAAGATTCCTCGTTTCTCGGGCCAGAGTGAGTTTGTCCTCAATGCTGAGGCGACCCTTACTTCGATGACCCACCAGAAGGCCTGGAGTCGGCCTCCAATCAGCCTTTCTTTTAGCATTCTCATGTTTACTTCTTCCGGTCTGCTGGTTCGTTACCTGAAGGTCTTCGAGAAGAGTGATTACAGCTCTGTCAAGTGGGTGCGCTATATGACTCGGGCGGGAAGTTATGAGATTCGCTTCTGAATGGGAATGCCCTGCCTCCTTGTCTTTCATAGTGGTGATCAACAGGCGGGGTGTCTGGCGTTAGATGGTGTTCTACAATGCATGCTCGAGCTTATCCTTCTTCAACAAATGCATATAGTCAGGAAATGTTTGACAGTTCTCTCTTCTCCTCTCTCTAGTACTCGTAGAGTTAAAAGTAGACTATTTCTCTCTCCCTTTCCCAAAATTACCTCATATTGCACTAACACTACCTACATGTTTCCCGCTCTCATTGTCCCGAGGTTCCCGCTACGCTTTAATATCTCCGAGCCGAAATGTGGAAACGGTCCACCAGGTACGGCCTTCGGTATCGGGAAAAGACAAGGCTGCATCATGATGAAGACAGCCAATGACGGTTCATATTTAGCTCTAATGGATTGTCACTGATATTTCAAATTTCAATCAAGCCAATCTCTTCGCATCCCTTACCTAGCCATCGGGCTTACTAGGATCCCCATTTAGTCACTCAAAATCTCATGATCAAGTAAACAAACAAGGCTTATCAAGTAAATAAATTCATATACTCCGCGCTATCCTTCCGCACTAACTCATACGTAACCACATCTCTTGTACAGCCACCTGCGACCAAATATAACGCAGCATCAGAAGAATTGTATAACCATTCTGCCATCCTCCACCTTCCCAGCGCTCATCAGATCAATCATCTCATTGATATCCTCCAGCTGGAACTTCCTCGGGTTAACCTTAGGATATATTCCCTTACGCTGACAGAAATCAACACAAGCCGCCGTGCCAATTTGGCCCGGAACCTTGGCCCCAATGATCCTATATCAACCGAAAGTTAGCGATGAACTTCCCCACCGCGCAGCAAACAGCAACCACAATGACCTACTTGAGAGCCCGAATCGCAACCACCGCAGCATTAAATGGGACTTCGTCAGGGGGAATCCCGACAGCAATCAATCTTCCTACCGGCCTGAGAATGGACATGGCAGTCAAATACGCCGCCTTCGACCCAGAGGTAACAACCGCCGCATCAACCGCTCTTCCATGATTCAACTCTCGAATCCTCTCAATAACCTCCGGCGACTCAAGGCCCCGAGTATTCAAAACCTCATCCGCACTGCCTCCAGCCTTAACACTCTCCAACTGCCCATCATGCACATCAATAGCAATAACCTTAGCCCCAAACGCCTGCGCATACTTCGTCGCAATCTCGCCGAGACCCCCAACACCAACAATAGCAACAGTCTCACCAGGCTTCAACTCAGCACGCGTAAGCGCGTCCCAAACCGTAATCCCCGCACAAAATATCGGCGAAAGCTGCGCGGCCGTCGCAGGGCTATCGGGCGGTATAACGACTGCACTCGCCGCGTCCATGGTCGTATACTCAGCAAAGAATCCCTGGGAAGTAACACCGCGCATAGTAATCTGACTGCAGAATTCGGTTCCGATGGCTTTGCATTCGTAACAATCAAAACACCAGTCTTGCCATAGTGGACCGCCGATTCGATCGCCGACTTTCAGACCGTACTTTGAGGCTTCGGGTCCTAGTTCTTCGATCACGACTACAGCTTCGTGGCCCAGGATTAGTGGGGGGCTTGGCTCTGACCCCGGCTTTGCCTTGGATTATTGTTAGGTCTGAGTGGCAGAGGGATGCTGCTTGGACGCGGACGAGGACGTGGCGGCCTTCCGGTTTTGGCACGGGGACTTGTTCTATTACGAGGGGTTGGCCGAGCTTGGGGGTTGTTAGTGAGTATTCCTTTTGTTTTCAAGGGTTGCGAGTTGGTTCTTTAGGATGGCTGAGATGTTGTGGTGATTTGATGTGCTTTCAATAAAAGGCTCGGAGGATACCTCTTTTAAGATGGCTGCCTTCATCATCGTTGGTGCCATTTTGAAGTCTGTGCTACTACTAGTAGTACTAGTAGTCTAAAGTTGAAGTTAATATGCTTTGGAGCTTGGTTCTGATCCTAGTATACCTGCCAGGATAACTTGAAATGGGTAAATGATTTCTGGATATGTAACTGCAACTACTAGGTACGATCTATTTATACATGGCCAGGCTTCCCCTCACCCCGTATTGGGGCGAGTTATGATTCCAAGCTGACAAGCCCTAGAACGCTCTGCAATTTCTAGTCGTGTCCGGGTGAGCAACAGTTCCGGACGCCGAGAAGCTGAGGGTACAGACCTCGGGAGAGGGTGCGAAGAGGGCACAAAACCCCGCAGTCATCTAGACCTTGGCGAGCACTATCATGCATAACTTGATGTGATTTGGATAGTGAATACAATGACAAAATTACCGAGCAATAATCCTGGCTCAAGTGAGTCGTATAGTATAATATTGAATGACTTCGGGTCAATTCTTGGCTGCTTCATTACCACTGTCATATGAGACGTACTCATCTGAAGTCTCGTGTCAAAATTTATCAGAGGCTGACCGCGACTCGCCTGTCAGGTAGTATTCATCTCCACCGGAAGTATTTCGGGCTGCATTAAATCCTAGACAGACATGCACCAGCCCACTTCTCCTTATATTGGGCCGGAACAGGAATAGATCACATAATACCCCTCCAGCTGGCGTGGATGTCGGGTGCGGTGGAGTCGATCAGTACGGAGTAGCAGGAAAAGAAAGAAGAATTCAGATTATCGAAAAATGAAAAAGAAGGACAATGAATAATCTAATCAACATGCGGGTGATGAGGAGCGCAAATCTGCATTCCCCTTGCCAAGCGGAGGACGTTCCTAAAAGGGTGGCGATCCGCCTAGAACAACACCCCGCGCGGCCTGGCCACTGACATACGAAAGCCGCTGCGTGTTTGTTTTTGCTTTTTTCCTTCTTTTCTTTCCTGGTTTTTATTTACGCTTCATTTTTTGGTATTTTTTGAAATGACTCCATCGTGCCAGTGAAGCTCATTAAAACCTTTCCTACTAAGCTACACCTATAGAGCCAGACAAAATATTCGAACTTGAATACTAGACCTACACTGCGCGATGGCGGGGAAACGCCGATGACACCTTAAGAGGGTCAGGCATATATGCAGAACGCGTAATGATGTGAATGCGCCAATCTGGCAAAAAGCGAACAATTCAATAGATTGATTGAGACAAGGTTGAATTCGCTGTTAAAACTCTGCAATATCTACTAATATAACTATTGAATTGGCCAACGCTTGTCGCTCTGGCATAGAGAGGTTGAATTGGAAAAATATCATCGCAAGCGCTGATCTGTACGCTTTGCACCCTAGGGCATTGCCTTGGGCTGTTGGCTTGCAGGATCTCGCCGGAGTCCCGCCATAATTTCCACCCGTTTTTCAGCTTCCTTGTTGGTACTTCTGTCTTTAAACACAGAGTCCATTTGTTCCAGGGTACGTCCATTAGTTTCCGGGACAAGGAAGTACACCCAGACAAATGAAACAGCGCAAAAGATACAAAAGAAAACATAAGTGCCAGTGATTTTTTGAATCATCGGGGGTGTGATCAATCCCTGTATTCTTGTTAACAGCTGATTGGAAGTAAAGGGGTTCTGGGATCACTGACGATGATGAAATTGTTACTCCAGTTAGACATAGTGCCGAATGTACATCCTTTAGCGCGAAGCAAGGAAGGGAAAATCTCGGCAGGCATTGCCCATGGAATAGGACCCCAGGTTGCTCCAAATGTCAACATGAAGAATAGAAGAAAAGCCACACTTGCCCAACCTGCAGCAGTATGCTCAGGCCAGTTATGCTGGTTTTTACCAATGAGAACGGCAATCACAAAATGGGAGATAAACATGCATATTGCCCCTGCCAAGAGAAGTTTGCGGCGACCAAACCGATCCATACCCCAAAGGGACCATACGCACGCAACAACCTGGCAGATATTCATTATGCCTGACATAGTTGCATCTCATAGTCTAACCCCATACTCTCAAATATACTCGGGGAGTAGTACTAGACGCATCATTAGTGACAGGAAACCTATTTTGGGGGTTTTTATACGCACGATCAAGGCATTGATTCCGACAAATTGCTGGAAGAACATCAAGCCCACAGCAACTTGAGTCCGTTTATAGGTTGGCATTTTCCAACAATCGGCGTAAAGTGCAATCTGAAGTTTAATAGCATTCCATTTCCCCGGCTTTGTGAGGGTATGATGCTTCTTAGCAGAAGTTTCGTTGCGGTATGCACACTCAGCTCTAATTTCGAGCCATTCTTCGACGACCCGTTCATCGGTAGTAGGATGCTGGCGGATCTTAGCAAGTGTCCGAAGGCTTTCCTCATCTCGACCCTGTTGACAAAGCCATCGCGGGGAATAAGGAATGAAAAAGACTCCGGCACGCATAAGGATAGCTGGTATGTATCAACTGGATCAAAAATGGAAGACGCCAAGCCCAGAAACTAGGGATGTGCCGGGTTCCATAGGTGACATAGAAGGCAATCACGATATCGGTAACGATACAAAGCTCTTGGAGCACTAGCAAAGTGCCTCGGATCTCTGGAGGTGCGATTTCGCCGATATATAGAGTTGAGACCATGGCAAGCCTAGCAAATTGGTTAGCAGGGAGGTTATCAAAGTTAATGGATTTCGGGTACACACATTCCCACGCCGACACCCCCAATAAAACGTGCGACGGTAAGAATCGCGAATGAAAGGAATTTTGACCATTTTACTGGTCTTGAAAGGGTACCTCTTTTACTCCAAGTGCTACTTGAATTCAGTGAAATTCTGCAATGACGCATATTTCGCTACGCGTCCCAATACTAGTAGAACATTCTATGTGTGGAGTACAATATACAGGGAAGAGCGGGGGTAAATCTCGGCATCATTGCCCTATGTTAGATGATTACCTTGTATTCTAGTAGTTCTAGTAGGTCAGCAGGAGAACGCACGATCGTCGCGACAACTCGTGCATCTATATTAGGGAATCACACCGAGAGAAGAACTTTGCACTACAACAGACTCAAGCATGGTCGGGTTTCACACTGGCATCCCATATTCTACTGTGACTCCGACCTGGGTGAATGTACATATAAAGATGGTCACTGGCCCGCTTGCACATCTGAAGACTTCAAATCAACACCATCTTATTCCAAAAGTTCTTTGAGAAGTGAATTTCGAGACTCTCACTATGACGCCCCCTGTCTCTACTTCCGACGTATCCAAAACTCTTCCAATTCAAGCCTTGGGTACCAAGAGTACCGATCAGGAGTCAAAGCTTACTTCGCTTGAAAAATCAGAACTGGCTTTGGCCGACAAATTTAGCTCACCTGATGTTTATATCAACGGCGAATCAGACACTTGCTGGCACCCATGGCACGAAAATTTGGAGCTGAAGCCACTACGATTTGAAACCCGGACCGGCACATTTGTGGTCGTGCTGCGCAGCTCTGAAGATACCTGGTTGGGCAAACACAGACACCGTGGCACTGTAACTGCCGTTACGCTCAATGGAGAATGGAATTATAAGGAGTAGGTTCCGTCACAAGAGAATCCCTTTTTTTTTAAAAAAAAAATAAGAATTGAAATCATGCTAATATCTGTAATAAGATACGACTGGGTCGCCAGACCCGGTGACTATGTGGTTGAGAATCCTGGAACCATTCATACCTTACACATGAGCAAGGGGGCAGAGGTTGTCTTCACTGTTTCGGGTAGTCTCGAGTTTTTCAACGACGATGACAGCTTGAAGAATACCATGGACGTTTTTAGTCATGCTCATTTGTACTACGAGCATTGCAAGAAGCAGGGCATCAAGCCGAATGACGGACTGTGGTATTAAATTAAGGAATTCGATGATTGTTGTCTTTGAATAAATTACGCGCTAGTTCTAAATATCTTGGACTTATTTTACAGATGCTTCACACCCGTAAAGAGACAATTTTATGGGGTACCTACTAATTTCCCCAGTTGGCAAGCAATGTGGTAGGAATAGCGATATTCCAAGCTTCTTTCCGCCTGGCCCCATATACACCTGTGGATACTAGAAAACCACAGCCAGAAAGTCTAAATAAGAGAACTTCTTACAATCAGACTTTACTGTAAACCACGATGGACGAGTTGCATATTCCTCTGTACATTTTGTCATGACACGAAACATGATGTGCCACATGCCATGCAAGCATTCGGCTGGTTCGCTTCACCTCGCTTCGCACCCCCGCAAATGGGCCCTCGGTGGAACAGGCCCCCCCACACTTCCCAGCCAATCTGCGATCGCGCAAATAATCATCTGACAATGCCCCTTCGGCATGTTTACCGACCGTTTCACATCTAGAACTTTTCACAATTCCCACCTCTTTTTTTAGTATTCGATTCGGTCTGACTACTTCAGCGAAATGAGGACATGGACCGGTGAGTCTCCTCTGCGAAGATTCGGGTTTCTGGAAAGCTAACGGCTTTCAGGGTGGTAAGTGACTGTGCGAGTGCGAGTGCAGCATGCGGAGTAGATTACCTGACATGCCCTTCAGCTTAACATGTCGATCTCGAAAAGTCAAGTGTGATGAAAGGCGGCCTAGATGTATGAACTGTGAAAAAACCCACGTCAAATGTATTCCTAGCGACTCTTCCACCTTCAAACCTTGGCATAATTCTTCAAATAGCAATGTTGCGAAAGAAGCTTCGGGAACATTTGAACTGGACCAAATATGGGTGGATATAGTTCAACCTTGTACGAGAATCTGCGATACACTGCTAATTCATCTTGATACTGGTATTTCTGCTGACCATAAGCAGATGAATTTATCGATGAAACCAGCGTAGTCGCTGCTGAATACTTGACGGGTGTCAGCGGGAACAATGATTGCAATTCGGGTCTAGACCAGGGAGAGCAAGGGCAATATCAAAGGCAATACGACCCCGTTCATAGCATTGAGGGGAACAAAGCCGATTCGGCGTCCATTCAAACACCCTTGGTACCACAGGTTTCAGAGGTTTCGGCAGATATCCAGAACATGCGTGGTGTAGACAGACGAGACATCTTGGCATCACCAAGCAATCTAAATTTTGCCCCGTCAGTGGGCTACCCAGCCACATTTGAAGCTGAGGGGCTTGAAGACGTCGATTGCCAGGTCCATTTTCCTGAAATTATTGGTGTCTTGAATGATGCTTCGGGCAACCAACACATCAATAATCCTAATTCATGGGTCGCCATCACCCAAAGAGAGGGTGCTGCTGGTCGAGCTTTGCTTTCGATGAGAAATCCCAGTCTGAGCATTTGGGAAACTAGATCCCAGTCCACCAATTCGTCTTCGTCATTCGACTGCTCTCCAAGTGAATGGAGTGTCAACAGCGTCGTACCGTTGCCGGGAGAGCTTACAGCACCGGCGGTACAAGGTGCTGCAATCCTGCGTATATCAAAGGAGGAAACGGACCTGCTTCGTCAATTTAGCACTGAAGTGGGGACTTGGATGGACCTGTCCGACTTGTCTGAAACATTTTCTAAGAAAGTCTGCCGATTAGCCGTCCATGATCCATTGCTCAAATCAGCGAGTATTGCATGTGCTACTAAGCAACAGTATCTAGTCGGAAAGCTGGAAGATGGCATGCAAATTGCTCAAAAGAACTACGACGTCGCTATCTCACTTCTCATCAATCGACTCCGGGACTCGGACGAGCAACTTGCTGAGTACGGCTTTGCAGCCATTGTTATCTGCTCATGCTATGAAATGCTAGATGCCCCCACGGCCAATTGGCAGAGACATCTGGACGGTGTTTTCTCCTTCGGCAAGGTGCAAAAAGTAAATGGATCATCTGGAGGCATTGCACAAGCGGCATTCTGGTCCATCGCGCGACAGGAAGTGGTTTGTGCTCTTATTAGTCGGTCAAAACTGCGGCTTGATCCAGACCATTGGGCCGTTGATCTTGAAAATATTGGGCAGGAAGGGAGGGAGGATTTAGTAAACAATCAGTAAGTTCCTTCTTGGGAAGTTCACCAAAGCGCATTCTGACGAAGGAAAGAATTCTTACCATTCTCGCCAAAGTCGTGGATCTGATGGCTTCTTCTCAATTACACACTTTAAGTAAGATGATCGATGAATGGCATAAACTTCGGGTCCAGCTCGAGCATTGGCAGAATTGCGTAAAAGAAAAGGGGTTCATGGATCCTGTTTCTGTTCTTGACGAGGAGGATAGTGTGTTCCAATCGATTTGGTTTACACGGGGTGTCTGTGGTCAGCTCTCTCCCATATCATAACCAGGACAGTGATTGCTGATGATATGTAGCATCTTCGTGGCAAATGTTCCATCTTGCCCAAATCCTTCTTTTTACCAACAATCCTTCGCAGGACTCAAATTGCTTACTTGCTTTCCGCTCAATAGAAGTTAGTGGGATAATTTGAACCTCGCAGCTATGCTTTATCTAATCAGTCTACAGGTAAAATTGCTTTATCATGCACGACAGATTTGCGGCATTGCTCAAAGTAAGCCGGATGGAAGTTGCCGAGTCAATTCTGTTCAGCCAATTTATTATGGTATGTTCTCCTCATATCATGCTACATATGATTTGTTCTAATAATATCTGTCTTGAAAAAAGCGGGTTGTTGTTTCAACAGGGAAGACGAGAGAGAAGCAACGGTGACGCTGCTAGAAGATATTGAAAATGAGTTGGGTTGGGCGGCAATATATCGAATTCGAGATTTGCGCGCACTATGGGGCTAGGAATATCTAGTAGGTAAATAATCTCAAAAGGCTTCGACCGATCTCACAGCGAAAGTATTTGTACGGGGTCCCAGCATGAGAAATTAAATCATCTAATACTATCCACCGTGATACTTCAGCCATAATACTTGAGCCAGTAGAACCCTGTAATGCTTATATTTGATGGTCTGAGTGCTTGCATACTATCTGGTAACTGACCAAGACATTTTGTACTTAATCTCGATTATGGCAGCTACTATCCCAATGATCTAAGCATGAGATCGAATGACACCTCCCATCAAGTCAAAGTATAACCGCCATCGACCCGTAAATCGGCACCAGTGATATACTTAGCAGAGTCACTCAACAAGAAGACCACCGCTCCCATCAGATCCTCCGGATTCCCCACCCTACCGGCAGGGATAAGCGAGATCCATTTATCGCGAAACTCGGCATTTTCTTCCAAGATCTTGCGAGTACTATGGTTGAGACGAATATTAACCACCAAATGTTTTTCACGGATGGGAGAATGCAAAGTATCCGCTTCTTTTATCACTTACAGGGCAGTCAGGATGTATCCAGGACTGATGCAGTTCACACGAATGTCATGGCTGGCCCACTCCACTGCGAGCGATGCAGCAAGATGACGAACGGCCGCCTTGGCGGCATTATAGGGTGCTTGAGGCTGAGGAACGTTCACTATAGCTCCAGACATGCTACCGATCACCACCATGTTTCCCGCTGCTTGTCGTTTGATCAAGTGCTTCGCAACGCCAGTAGTGAAGAGATATGTCCCGTCCACGACAACACCCCACAATTTCTGCATACGATCATGAGGATAGGTGATAGCGCTAAAATTTTCGGTAAACCCCGCGCAAGTGACCAGATTGTCGATTTTGCCCTGTTTGGCGATTATATCGGCGATGGCATGGTCAACCGAGGCTGGATTCGACACGTCTGCAAAGTGAGAGGTTACCTTTGGCATCCTTGGTTAATCAAATCATTAGTAGCCACTTGGAGATTGTACAAGATCTTTCAAGAGAGAATTCGAACTAACCGCTCAGCTCCTGGGTTTTCTCTTTTGAATTGTTCCAGCAATTTTTCAGTTTGACTGTGAGCTTCATCACCTGCATTCTCGTGGTTAGTCACTTGTCGTTCCGTTCTGGCCCCCGTCGGTGAACTCCTCACGATTCATATCAACAATGGCTAAATGCGAGCCTGAAGCCACAATTCCCTGGGAGATAGCAAGGCCTATCCCACTCGCGCCTCCAGTCACCACCGTCACGCTTTCTTCAAGGGAGAATTGAGCGAGGGTTCGTTTGAAGTGCCTGCCCCCACGACCTTGGATAATGGGAGTTCGAGGTAACTCATCGCTTTCAGGGTACTCGATGCTGATATTCTCATCTATGAACGAAATTCCTTCCTCCTTTTCATCAGCCTTGGACCCAGGAGATTTGGCTTGATTCAGCGGAAAGCTTGAGCGGCGGTTATGAGAGCTCTTGAGGCACCATGTGTTAGATGAGAATTTCCGGGTCGGTGGATGGTTCAAAGCGGCAAAGCTGTTAAAATTAGAAAGCTTCGTCGAATGACGAGAAATTTTGCGGGCTAGAAAGGCCAGACGAGTGGGCGAAAGAAACACGAGACCATTCATTCCGATCGAAAGGTGAACCTGCTGCAATTTGAGATAGTAGCTGGCACAGAAGCAAACACTGACATCAAATATAGCGGGCTGAATCATCTGGGGGCGCTCAATTTACCCGAGGCCTCTTAATAGACAAAAGGGGTATAGCAAGCGAACAGTTGCTGAAGCTTTGGGGCTTTGGGAAGACTACTATAAACTCCACAAGTGTGCAACCTTGCATCTACCCCACACGCGATCATAGTTGACTCGCGTATCAGGAAGGCTGTGTTGATAGATAATAGAAGTTCGTATTGATAAGGTCGTTCAAGATTTACTACTAGTAGTTTCTTCAACTTCTTAGAAAGGTAGTATACAAGTACCTCTACTACGAAACAGAATTTAACGACCACCGTCGTGAATTGTGAGATATAAATTCCAAGCAGGATTGGCTTCTCATTGATCATAATCTAGTTTTGAAACTGTAGTCCTGCAGCGCATCCATTTAAAAAATCGGCGAACTGCAATATTAAACTACTGTGGCCCAAGAAGCATAAATTGTGGGATAATTACAAGATCTACTGCCGATAGCTCGCTAATATGGCCATAACACAACTTGGGGCAACCCAGCCGAAGCCACTGCCCCACTTTTTCGACTCACTAACTATAGCCGGGCAGGCGACCACACTAATACTCGACGTAGGATCACCCCTTCGCGGGGATGTCATTTTACATCGAGTCGGAGTTAGACCGACTAACACACTCAACATTGGAGTTACGAGTGATTGAAGATTAAACAATTTCCTATGATTGTTGCCAAGATAGATAGCACATGGATTCAACTGTAAGACATTTCTCGTGAATACTTCATGGTGGGAAATTAACAAGTATGAAGACATAAAAATATTTCAAATCGACGACATCCATGGATCTATATTCAAATTCACAGGCTATAACAATAAGACCAATAAACTATCTGTAGAGTAAAGGCCGTCACAGGCGAACCCCGGTAACAGCTTGCGACTTTTTAATCCATTGAATATGATCCTTCTTGTACTTACTGGCGCGAAGGTCGCCAGAACGGGCATGGGCTTCAAAGTTCTCTGCTCGAGCAGCCCGTCCGCAAAGTCGGCCAAGATTGCCGCTAGCCTGCTCAGAAGTGACTTCTTGATAGGTGCAGGTTTTCAGATACTTGCCAACCCAGAGACCACCGGTGTAGCGGGACGTCGTACGGGTAGGAAGGACGTGATTTGTGCCGATGACCTTGATTAAAATTGTCAGTATATCCAGATTCAGGATTTGGTATATGCCTTCGATCCTACCTTATCCCCATAGGAAACACATGTTTTTTTCGCCGAGGAATAGAGCACCGTAGTTTGTAAGATGCTCCAATGCATCACGCGGGCTCCGAGTGAATATCTGTACGTGTTCGCTCGCATACTGATTGCCTAGTTCCCACATCTCGTCCATGGTATCAACGACGATAACCTCACCGAAGGCGTCCCATGAGGTCTTGGCGACCGACGCAGTCGACAAGTCGGAATTGTATAGGAGGCGTTCCACAATCTCTATGGTGTCGCGCCCAACCTGTGGGCAAGTTGTGATGAGCACTGCTGGGGTGTCGGGGCCATGTTCCGCTTGCGAAATCAAATCCGTTGCCACCGTGAAAGCATCGGCAGTCTCGTCGGCTAGAACCAGAATCTCGGTTGGTCCTGCGAAAAGATCGATACCTACTTCCCCAAACAGTTGCCGCTTGCCTTCAGCCACAAAAGCATTGCCAGGTCCCGCAAGGAAGTCTACTTTCTGAATGGCCTCAGTGCCTACTGCCATAGCAGCGACAGCCTGAACACCTCCAAGAATGAATATTTCGTCAGCGCCAGCCAGGTGCATGGCTGCTACGGTGCTGTTTGGGACCTTCCCATTGATCGGCGGCGTGCAGCCGATGACATTCTTAACACCAGCAACCTTGGCAGTCAAGATTGTCATATGAGCCGACGCGAGGAGGGGATACCGGCCACCGGGAATGTATCTGTGAAAGATTTTGTTACTTCCAATCCATGAGAGAAACCATGCAAACAAAAGCCCTTGTCAACTTACGCGCCAACATTATCAATTGGGACATTCTTCTGTCCCAGGTGAATCCCCGGCCGTAGTTCGACCTCGAAGTCTTTGATGGAGTTTCTCTGCGCTTTCGCAAATTCCCTGACGTTTTGCTGGACTTCTTCAATATCCTCAAGTGTTTGCTTGGGGCAACTGGCAATGGCCGCATTGATATCGCTCTGGGACAGCTTGAAGCTCGGCGGCGACCATTTGTCGAACTTTTTTGAGTATTTCCTCACAGCTGCATCACCATCCTTACGAATAGAATCAATCACATCCTTTACTATGGCAGAAACGTCCATATTCGGAGTTGTTTTCAATCCTGGTAGGCCAGTGACTTCCTTAAGGTATTGCCGGCCCATGATTGATTTCTTGGTGCTGATGCGTGAGAAATTCTCGTTTTTTTTCAACTCGTCAAGCCAGAATAATCCAGGATGTGTGAAAGATGGTGATTTGGTTGATATCGGTATGATACCACTGTTACCTAAGTACTTATATAGTTGTCAGGGTTTCGACACTGTTCTTAATATACTATTACTATGCAATCCATCCACCGTAGTTGGTAGACATGCTATTCTGTGTGAACCCGGATTTCATTCCGAGGCCCATCCTTCGGTATTTCCTTACTCAAAATCTTCTTTCGCAACGAAGTCCGATGATGGAAGGGCCTCACAGCTCTGGTGCCGCTTTGGCAAGAAAACGTATTCGGCTTGATTACTCTGTGGAGACAGCGAAAGTGAGCTCCATGCCCGGGTGAGCTTGGCGTTACTTTTTGTTTCTTATCTAGAACAAATGGTAATGAAAGTATTGCAAATTACATCTTTGTATTACGTCGATAGTGGGGGTTGATTTAGTCTCTCAAGTTACCCTAGATTGGAATTGCGCTTTTTCTACTTCGTTGGCCCTTTTCACGATTTCAATGCCTGAATTTACAGGCAATGGAACGTCTACTGAGTACGTTTAAAGGTGAGTAAACTGCCCGTGGTGGCGGATTTCACGTAATTGCTTCATCTCAATACTCTAATTTCTTGGGAGCGGTCTTAAAAGTAGTCCTCTAGCACGGAAGCTGAGCATAAGCTCGGAAATCGCTGAAAGTGGCGTGTTTGGCCCACGGGGTGATTTCTACCATAAACAATCAGTATTCAGCATGAGCTTGCCGTAAAATGTCTCTAGAATTTTAGATTTTACTAAGTTTATACCCAAGTCTACGGGGCAAATTCATATATTAGAATGCTTTCATATCTTCTTTCATGTCTCTTATATTGATTGAGGTTCAAAGTTCTACGGATTAGTAGATAGTTTCTATCTGCTTGAAATCATTTACGCCATGCGCAAGAATTTGATAGAAGTCGAGAGCAGCGAAAGAATGGAATGACTCATTCCTTGTCGGCTTCTGCTTCGAGTTGTTCAACATGGCTCACCGTCCCATCTGAGGGGTAATTCAAACCTGCAGCTGTCTTCTCGATAACGCTAGCCTCGTGGTCGATGTATTTCTGAGGACGTTTTCGACAAATAGCGTCTGGGTCCTTCGTGACGACCAACGAGGGGTTGGATCTGTAATAAGCATCCATATCTTCAAGGCTTCGGTTTGCTTCACACAGCTATTAGTACGAGAAGTTTTTCGGGATTGAGATAATAAATACCAGTCTCAGGATAGAAAAAGTAGAGAATTGGTAGGAATGCGGCATTCGTTGCGGTCCAAACGAGCCAGAATTTCCAGCGTAGGCTCTGAATACCAATCGGAGTTATCTCGACAATGACAAAATTGGTAATCCTACGCACACATGTCAGTAGAAGTTAGTCAGGAGCAATATAGTGAGATTGGACGAACCAATCCATCGCAGTTGCAACAGCCGCGCCCTTTGTTCGCATAGGTAAAGAATTGATCTCCGTCGGGTACAGCCAAGGGATACCCAGCATTCCGATGCCGAAGGCACCATAATAGAGGAAGAAAAAGGCGACCGATGCCGATGCATATTTCTCTCTTTCAGCGCTTGACTCGGAAAAGCACAGCAAAATGCTAATCACGAGGAAACAAAAGAATTGGCCGAATGTCGAAATCATCATTAGGCACCGACGACCCAATCTTTCGATCAGCAAGACGGCAATGCCAGAAAAAAATAGGTATGAGACGGCATTGCAAGCTGATAGTAACCGGGCCATCTCTTCGGTGAGGCCAACAGACTGAAATTGAGAGCTTCATCAGACACTTTTCAAGCGTGGGTTTTGCCTTGAGCTTGCGATCGAGAATCGCATCATCGTTAAACTCACTTTGATTAGCACTGTTGGCAAATAATAGGACATGATATTAATGCCTCCAAATTGTTGCATAAATTGACTCCCAGCGCCGAGAACAAGCCTTCGGAGGGTCTTGGTGGTGTTGGCTCTCTTTCGTAATAAATCTCTCCACCGTACGGCATTTTCGCGCTCGTAGCGGACACTGAAATTGATTTCGCGGCACTGCGTAACGATGAAGGGGTCATTGGCCGGTTTCGATTCCAAACAGCTGAGTACCTCAATCGCTTCTTCTTCTCTCCCATGAGCGAGAAGCCATCTATGTATCGTTAGATAGTACTATGGTTTCTATGCATTTTAGGTAAACTCACCTAGGGGATTCTGGTAGCCATGGGGTAGTAGATATGAGAACAAATAAAAAAATAAATTGGAAGGCCAGTGGGAAACGCCATGCAACAGATCCACCAATGAAAGAGAAACCGTAATTAATCCAGTTGACGAGACATAAAACCGGCGATATTCATCATCATCTCGAACACGACAAGTTTGCCACGCCACTTTAACTGCGACGTCTCCGTCTGCCAAATTGGGGCAGTGGCTGTGTTAACTCCGTTGCCGACGCTGTAAAATATCTTAAAAAAAGTCTTAGTGTTTGCGCGGAATTTTTACCTACCCTAGCACGATTCGCCCAACAAACATCTGTGCCAAACTGAACGAGCTTGCCTGCAGAATGGTGCCCACAGCCATTATCAATGTCCCCAATATAATGGATTTCTTTCGCCCTAATCTTTCTCCAACGGTAAAGGCAACAATAGCACCAATGAAACAGCCAATGTCGTAGATGGCGGTCACGGTGGAAAGAGTATTGGTTTTCGTAGGTCCGACGAGATCGTGGACTTCGAGAAAGTCCCGGGTTATTACCACACCACCTGTATTGCAATCATTAACTAGTTGAACTGTGCCTGGGTACTGTGATAGATCGACTTACTGAAGACCCCCTGGTCGTAGCCGAACAAGGACATGTCTGTTGCACAAGCAACCTGCATGGATGTCAATCAGAACTCGATATCAAGCAAGGGAATGTTTATCATACCGTTATCCAGAAAGTGAGCCATCCCCCGGTAAGCCCAAAGAATGGCTTTTTTCTCAGTGTGGTCATGATAATAACGGAAGAGATCAACAAGAAGCAAGCGAAATTAGAAATTGGTGAAATTCCATATGTCAGATAATATCAACTAGGAAAATAAAAACAAAGTAATTAAATCATGCCGCCAGATAAATAGAGTAGTCAGAAGTGCCAATCCTTACCATTTTTGCAATGCAGGAGAACCCATCCAATCCTGGGGTATGGGGAAGTGACCCCGCACGAGGCCCTGAGATGGGTTAGAAAAGGGAGACAATGCCGGGAGGCAATCGAGGCGAGCCCCATTTAGATCGCAAGAAGATAAAGCATAAATCAAGTAAGTCAAACTAAATTGGTTCGTAGAAGCCGATCACCACTTCGTACCCCGAGACGATATTATAGGCTTTTCAAAAACAGGGACATTGGCTAGTTTCGGTAAAGCTTTACGAGCGGGGTGGGTCTACGGCCGGTAATTTCAATTCGGAAGATCATATTTGGTTAACGAGGCGAGAGGCCCGCAGGTGCTTTTCCGCTAGGGAATCTTGCCGACAGCTTTTGGTCTGACACTTAAGCCCCTGTACCCCTTGCGAGCAACCTGGTATTTTGTAGAGCGCAGGGACCTTGGAATTTGTGACATTTGTCAGTCACTGGCACTACTACTAGTACTAGTATTTCAAGTTTCCTTTCTGGATCAAAACATGAGTACTACTAGCACTAAATATATGTCTCGCTTCTCCCCAGAATCTCAATATGGTGACTAGGGTTAAATTCAGGGGTGCTATACAGATCATCTATAAAGGAGGACCTCTGGTAGCTGATTGCCAGGGTCTTCTACATGGAATAGGAGAATGGAAGGGGATCTGTGTGAGGATGCTAAAATACGACGAATATTAAGTTACAGTAATACCAGGCAACGTGTAGTAGCTGTTCGACGAAAGGAATAATATTGGAGATCAAGATGAAGAAGATACGTAAGCAACTAGATAAAGTGACGGAACGGAAAGGATACCATCCGATCAAGGAGCTGAGACAATAAGGTAACAAGGGTAACAGCTATTTTTACAATCTGGGATGCCCAGGGCATCTCCGCCTCAGCAAATCAAGGTCGACCTTCGACTTTCCGCTTGGTCAGGGCCACAGCCCCAGGTGGGTGGAACCAGTGGTGGAGAGGATAGGGAAACATCAGACCGGCAAGTAAGCTGGCGCAGACACAAAGGGTTACTGTGTGCATTTCATGGAGTTTATCGAGCAAATTGCCTACGAGGACAAGAGTAAATCAATCAGGTTACTAGCGGACAGATGCGTGGGTCTCTAAGGTCCACAAGAACCATGGCCTAAACCAATCTGTATTTTTGGAACTCAAGGAGGCTGTTTTCACGACATTATTCGTTATGGTATATAGTTTGGTAATGTTGAAGAACTATATTACAAAACGCGGGTTACGACATGGCCCCTACCAGAATCTGTCTTTTAAAAGTAGTGGACTTGCGTTGACCTTTACTGTAGTGGCTGCGCTACAGTATCCAGACGTTCAAGATTCACTGATAATTACTACTCAGAGCTACTGTATCTGCAAGATTTGGATGAAGCCGAACTTTCTAGATACTGCTCAGATTGCTGAAGAAACAGTCACCGAGCTGTTCTCTTTTTATCGACTCATGACTTTGTGCAGATACAGCTTCTCGCCTTCTGTGGGTTGCGCTGGGTCTGCATTTCCGTCTTCCCAGCAGGAAATTTGTACCCAGACCTGATCAGCCGCAATTTCAAAATTTTGACCTCCTCTTTCGACTTTTGCGTTTTTCTGGGCCTGGGCAGCTTTCGGCCAAACATCCCACCCTCCAAAGCCCCTTTTCTCATCTTTCCACTGAGAAGGATTTTTGCCATACGCGACAACTACCTTTTCATCCAGAGGTACGGTGGTAATATCCATGTCAAGCTGTTTCAGCCATACATGCTGCACATAATCGAACATACGTGGAAGATACTCCTCGGCGTAAACATTGTCGGCCGCGGTGTTTAGTTCCTGAGACGGATACCCTGTGATCATGAACAATCGAGACGGATTGTTGATATCTTGATAAAAAGCATGCATTCCAGATTCTGGGCCACTGTAGGATGCGCAGAAGTCGAGAATCTCTGAAATAAATTGGAGGAAAGCGGGAGAGTTCACGGACTGCTCATTCTTGAGGGTACTGAGCCAGAATTTAGTAATAGGAGGCATTCTGAAGATATTGATTGATATTTCTCTCGGGGTGGTCCGATCAGCCGTTTGCTAAATTTGAGAACGTAATAGAAGAGGAGGCATGGGCCGGCTGTTATAAATGGGCATATTCCAAAGAAACCCAAATCAATGGACCACCACAAGATCAAAACGCTTCATGTGCCATTTATTGATGACGTGGTGGGGCGGAACACCAAGATAATGCACATAGTCGCTATTAGAAGGAAGAATTCAAGGGTGATTGCTCGTTTCGGCCGCATGAATTACGTGAAATTGAGCGTAATGCTAGTGGGGGCCAAAAATCATTGAGAAATCCAACCAGAACTGGTCTCGGCAGCTCGGCAGGAGTCGCAATCATCCAAGTTTGATTCGAACCTCAGGGCCCATCCAGTGCAAACAACTCCCATTCGGAGTAGCTCCATCGGAGCTGCCGAGATCCAATTAGAAGTTAAGTATTCCGTAGTTAGGACCCTTGTGTTTCTCAAAGGCTATGGCGGAACAAGGCTACGGCCCAACAAGGCTACGACCCAACAAGGCTACGGCGGAACAAGGATGCATGGCTTTATAGCGGTCATTGAATGACATAAGCCACAATCCTTGCGTTTCTGTCTCGGTGCCAAGAAACTGGGATTTCCTCGAATTATGCTGAAAAAGTAGATAGAGTTCTTGACATTTAAGTGGTGACACTGATTTCCGGAAGTGTTGTACCACAAGATTATGCTGAGGCTCAGGTGCCTTGGGAATTCAAGTTCGCCTTCTCCGTTGCAGCTTCCTCGAAAATTGGAACACTCAAGTCTTTCCCCCATTTTATCTTCAAATCTTGGCTTTCAAGTAATGGTCCCCAGTGCTGGTATTCGTCTATTTAATTATCGAGCGATACATTTAGTGCTGAAGCTAATGTAGGAGAGAGAACTCTCGTCTGACTCGGTGACTGTGACTTGAAGGCTTCCAAGCTCACACCCGTCGATCTCAGAATTTGATTTATCTCTTGAATTATTAAAATAGGATGATCGAAAACGTAAGTGCGAGAATCGATAGGGAAATTCAATGATCACGACACAAAAGGTGGAGGCGGTGCAGCTTCTTATGATATTTTGGGTCACTGGGTTCCACTTCGCGCTCTTGTATTGTACCACAATATCCGTGACTCCGGCAGGGCCAAGCTCATACTAAGCTTTGATGGGGGCGCATAATGCTTCGATTTAGTTTTAGCTTGATGCTTAGATGTTTACACTAACACATGCTCTTCTAGGAGCGATTGAGCGAGGCCCCGCAGGCGATTGGCCAAAACTCACGATACTTGAGAATCACCAATCGCAGTTGACCAACAATTGGACATATTTTGTAGCGAATGCCGATGATTTGATCCAGAAATAGCAAATAGAACAGGGACGCCATACCATACTAGTACTGCAGGCCATACTTCCAAGGATCCTTAATAGATCGCCGGTAGCATGGTCCCTGATTGGTCCGCTCTTCTTGCTCGATGTAGTAATCCAGATGCTTGTGTATACGAGCCCCAGCCGCTGACGGTATCCAAGTTGTATACAGGTAGTACTAGTAGTACACGTCCAAATTTCTTCAAGGAAATGGATATATAAAGCCTCCTTGATTGTTAAAGTCGATTTCTGAATCAATCACATCACACCTTAGGACCAATCCTCTTTCAACCATACAGAATGCATTTCCCCGTAATATCAATTACCTTTATGGCGGCTGTTCTGCCTGCAATTGCACTTCCAGCAGCTTCAAAAGCGTCCCCACCGAAGGGTACAGTGAAGGCAGTCCCTGGAGAGTCGCCTCTTTTCGGCACCTATATGGGCAAGAAAACACCTCTCGCGAGCAACTATACCAAGGTCTTCCCCAAAACTGGTTCAGGGCCTCCAGGCGCCGATGATCTTCTCTTTCAGAACTTGCTGGCTGCAGAGTGGATTATTTATTCCTTCTACCAACAAGCTGTCGAAGCTTTCAATACATCGAGCTTCACCGATCTTGGATATCCCAACACAACGTATCAACGAATCGTTGAAATGCGCGATAATGAAGCGGGACACGTACGAATATTTCAGGACCAGATTTCCGATAACTCGATCACCCCTGGGCCTTGCAAATATGGTTTCTCGACTACGCAGATTGAGCCTCTGGTGTGGCTATCATTGCAGACCTACCTTGAGACGGCTAGCATGGCTTATCTCACAGGGCTTGTCCTTGATGCCAGTCTAACTGTTTCTAAGTCTGCTCTCCTCGCCATCGGTACCATCGAAAGTCGACACAATACCTGGTCTCTCATTGACGTGTGGAACACTAGCCCATTCTCTGGCCCTTCGGACACCACGTATCCCTATGCAAACCAGATTCTGGACGCAACCAACGCATTCGTCATCCCAGGCAGCTGTCCCTCCGAGAATCCTGTCTATCCGAACCCCACACAGAACCTACCGCAGATGGGATTCGTCAATAAGACTGGAACAACTGGGCACCCAGGCTCGAAAATCAGCTTCCGCTATACCGACAAGAACAACCAACCTCATTGGAATACAACCGAGAACTACTTTGCCGTATTTTTCCATGGTATCAACAACATTAGCGTTCCATACGACCCGAAGAAAAATTCTGTCACTATTCCAAGAGCTTTCGATTCCGACGCTGGTTTGATTATTGTCTCCATTGCGAATAAGCCACATGCTCCTACTGAAGATAGTGTTGTGGCGGGGCCTTTGATTCTCCTCGAGCAGCCAGAGTTGCTGACTATGGACTCGCCTACTTTTGCGGAGTAAGAAACAGCCCTCCGAGGCTTGTTCTTTTATGCACAAAAGTCGGTGAGGACTCTGCGTTCTTGAACTTCGATAACTGTGATACAATGCTTGGTACTGTCAGCTCGCCATCACATGCTGATATGAAATTTGGGGCTTTTCTGGACTTAAGAGAAAGGGGCTTTAGTAAATTCGAGGTCAATTTGAATTATTGTTCTTAACTCACCGGAATTTACACCGAAACCCTTCTTCAGCGCAAAGGTTTAGGGAATCTGAAGGAATTCAATTTCGCTGCCAGAACCTTTCATCAGCCAAACTGGCCCTGATAGGCACATAAAACTGGGGATGTTGTGGTATTAAAGTGAAAATTCAACTTCTCTCCTCTTTGCGTAGTTGTTCAGGCTGCAAATCGACTGCCGTCATCCCACCGGTATCCCACCAACAATTTTCACGGCATCCCACAAGATGTTCGCCGGTCGTCCATTCACGCCCCGTGTAGATCGTCATCGATTGTTCCGTGGGATACCGGCCTGTGGGAGGCCGGTAGTCTACGCCACAGACAGAATTCTGCGAACCCTGTACTCTGGTAATTACATACCATTAATAAGTTCTTTTAGGCTGACTCTTCATGAATAATCAAAGCAAAGCTCAAGTATAAGTACCCAGCGCAGCCCACGCTATTTGGCCTACAGCTCAGTCCAAACTGAATTACATCTTATACCTCAAACCCAATGTCTCCATCCATTCTCATCGCCGGTGCCACCGGCAACACTGGCCGAGCTGTCGCTCAAACGCTGCCAAAATTGATTCATCCAAGGGGTACTCTGTCTGGGCATCGTATCATTGCCCTTACCCGCTCCTCAAGCAGTCCGGTAGCGCAAGACCTAGCTAAAATACCCGGAATTGAAGTGGTCGAGAAGAACTGGGTTGATATCACTGCCGAGTGGCTCCGTGAGAACCAGGTTGTTAGGGCCTTCATTGCATCCCACAACGAGCCCAACCAATTTGCCGAGGAGTCCACCTTTTATTTCAACGCCCTCGACGCTGGCGTTGAGTATGTTGTGCGAATCTCGACAACAGCTGCGAATGTGCGCCCAGATTCCCCTGCTTACTATCCACGACAACACTGGGCTATAGAGACTCTCCTTGGCTCGCCTGAGTTTGATAATTTAAAATGGACGTCTCTTCAACCGAACGTCTTCTCGCCACTTGTTATGTCGCCAGCTGCGGAGTTCATCAAAAAATACCGCGAGACTGGAGAGCAGGATACCCTGCGTCTGATTCTGTCAGAGGATGCACCTGTTGGAATTATTGACCCCGATGAGATTGGTGTCATTGCAGCTCATCTCTTATCCCAAGATGATATTACCCAGCACAACAAGACCAAGTATGTTCTGAATGGACCAGAGGATGTCAATGGAAAGCAGATTGTCGACATGATTGAGAAACACATTGGTGCGCCTGTCAAAGACATAAGCTATAAAGATGTCTCATTCATCGACATGCTTTACGAGTACCAATATGCGGCATCTAAGCAATCAAAAAATGTCATCTACTCTATCAAACGGGCCCCCGAGACAGCTTGGGAAGGAAAATGCTCGACTTCTACAACCAGTCAGGAGATTTTGGACCTTGCTGCCCCAAAAAGGTCACCCGCTGATACTCTGAAGAGTTTACTGGAGGAGTGAGAAAGACATCATTTGGAAATAATGGCGGTCTCGGGGGCTTGTGGCTACTTCGCATCTGAATTAGAGCAAGGGCATTATGTACTGAGTCTATCTGATCGCTCGTCCAAGAAGTCAAATACAAAAGTGATCACATCTAGCAAGACGATGGCCGTGGCCTTTTGGCATATTGCAGTTTGCATGGATGGTTTCATTCACCCTGACCCCTCGATTAGTTGGATTCTAGTAGTTCACAGGCTTTAACGTGTGCTGCGAGCGACCCGGTCGTCATCAAGCACTAGCCAGCAGTTAGGACAGTAAATTATAAATAAATATCTCACCAACCCTGATTCTTGATTCCCTTATAACCCTTGACAGAGTTACCATTCATAGACACCGGTGTTCCTAAAATACTTGGATATCCAAAGTGCAGAAACTTTGTGGTTATTGTTGAGATGCTTCAATGTAAATTCCATATAACTAGTTAGTCAATCCTAGGTTTTGTGGATTTTACGAACAGGTATTTTCAAGCCAATCATAGCGACTATGAGCGGCTTCTCCCCTTGTCATGCAGGAAACGTTCTAGTATCTGTTGAAACCCCAGTATAACGAATTTTCAGGAAGTCATTGTCTTTAACACTTATGTTTTATTATGCTGTTTAGATGCCTCAGGCAGCTTGGTCTTGGATCGCCTTCCCGCTGCTGCCTTGCTCTCTCCCCCTCCTAGATAGTAGGTATTCAGCACATTCATGGTTCTGAACTTCTGTCGGTGCTCAGAAGCAACCTCAGGGAATATTATAGTTATCAATTTATCATTGTGTGGCCGGATAAGCGGTGACGCTGATGATCCGGGAAATATAACTTCCGCTTCCGCTGCATGAGGATCTATGGACTATTGTTTTTCTGGCTTGTTTTGCTTTTTCCTCCCTATTTTTGAGGCCTCAATTCTCATGACGATATTCTCAAAATATGACATTTTCATGATGCCTCGTTGACTCTCGGACTTCTTAAAGAGGTTCCTGTTTGGACTCTTTCCTCTTTTCGCTCCAGTTTTTCGCTTTTGATCTTCGCCCTTGAATCGCTCCACTTTCTCAGATCGCCCTAAGGGTGGGGACCGATTATAAAACCTGGATTTTCATTTGGCCTTGTATGAGCCGAGTGTAACAATTTGGTATTGGATTGGAAGATAAGGGGCTGGCTTCTAGTCCACGAGGTGCACGGTAGCCTCCATCGCCCTTGTTGGACTAGGACGCGAAAAATTCCAGATCAAATTCCAACTCAGAAAGATGTTGGAATAAAGTGAACTTCTGAATCTCACCACGAAGCAGGTAAGCATGGATGCTATTTCCTTCTTTCATTCAACCCATGGCTACTGACGCCCGAACAGTGGTCTTCCCGTCCGGCAGGCTGCTACATGATTGACTTGCATTCGACTCTCCCCGATCCAGAAAGTCGGGCTACCGGATTTTTATTGGCCTAAATATCGCGAGAGATTCTAATAGCCAAAATTTACCGGGAGCAGGGTAGTTGGTATTTCGCAAACCAGGATATCACCGGTTGGTGAATGCAACTCTGAGATCCTCCATAGGACCGGCAGTCAACTCCCATTTTGAACTCTCTGTTATCACCCGGACGTAGCTGCCGCGCATGTATGGGAAAGTTCACTTATTCGATCGAAGGGAATCTCAGCCAAGTTTTCATGAAGCCAAGCCAAGCCCAATCAGCGGCCAGCGAGCCAGGTGCCAGTCCGGCAGTTGTTGAAAACACCCGAGGTCATGGCAACTGCATAGAAAAGGCTAGCGGGCAGATAACTGAGGCGGAGGCAGGAGTCTCTGGGATTGAGGCTACAACGGCAGTATGGGGTAAAAGAGGCAAATGGCTTGTCATCGCCGGGTGAGCTTCTCGCCATACGTTCATTATTGCCAAGCGTCACTGACATGTCCAAAGACTCGCCATGATAATGATAATCTAGTGAGTGACTATGATAGTCACAGTCACATACATACTGGACTTTTGCTAACCCCCCAGTTTCAGCGAGCTCGACAATTCCACCGTCTCCATATACAACAACTACTCGACATCATCATTCAATGCACTGTCAAAGTTAGCGACGCTCAACACAGCTGGTGCCGTGCTCTTTGCTTTGATGAAGCCACCGATTGCCAAAATTTCCAACGTCATCGGCCGTGGCCAGACATACACGATGACCATGTGTCTGTACATCCTCTCCTACATTCTCATGGCTTCAGCGAAATCCCTCAACACGTATGCTGCAGGGTACATATTCTATGTCATGGGGCAGTCCGGGACTAATATCATGAACGACATTGTCATCTCGGACATCAGTACTGCGCGTTGGCGTGGATTTTCAATTGGGGTTTCTTTCACCCCTTTCCTTCTGACACCATGGATATCCGGCTTCATCACCGAAAGCGTTGTTAATGGAATCGGCTGGCGCTGGGGAATTGGCATGTTCGCGATCCTCATGCCTTTCGGTTCCAGCTTTATTATTACCACGCTTTTATACTACCAAACACGAGCCAAAAGGATGGGCCTCGTTCAACGCCAGAGCATAACGATCTATGATTTCTGCTCCCAGATCGACCTCGGTGGCGTTCTTCTCTTCAGTGGTGGCTTTGCGCTGGTCTTAATACCACTCACTCTAGCTGCGACAACCTCCAGCAGGTGGAAAACACCGTATCTCGATGCACTTATCGCTGTTGGTGTGGTTTTGCTGATCGCATTTCCGTTCTACGAGCGTCTGTTAGCACGCTACCCATTCATGCCACCCTCATATTTCAAAAATGCTACCATCAGACTGTGCCTATTCCTCATCGCGACGGACTCCATTGGCTTCTCCTGTACGCACGCATACCTTTACACATGGGCGACGGTGGCGCGCAACTTTTCAGCCCGAGATGCTACATTCTACAATGCAACAAATGGTGTCGCTTCGTGTCTCATGGGAATAATTGCGGGACTTCTCATGGTGTGGACACGACGCTATAAATGGTTGGTGGTGGTAGGTGCAGCGCTACGCCTAATCGGATATGGAGTCATGATTCGTCTTCGAGGAGCATCGAATTCAATGTTCGAACTTTTCTTTGTGCAGGTTCTACAAGGTATTGGGTCCGGGATTGTGCAAACAAACTTGATTGTCCCGGCACAAATATCCGTGCCCCATGCGCAAATGCCACAAATCACAGCACTGGTGATTTGCTTTTCATTTCTAGGATCGAGTGTCGGTGCCTGCATTGCCGGAGGCATATACACTAACACGATCGGATCGGCCTTGGAATCTCATCTCGGCAAGAGGGCAACACCAGCGTTAATAAAAACTTTGTCCAACTCGATTCTTAGTGCTGCTCCAGCTTGGGGCTCCCTGGAGCGCACTGCGGTGAATTTAGCCGTGAGTTTTTCTTTCCTCTTTTCTTTCGTTCTGTGTTCGCCTCTGGAAGCTAACTGGTGTCGTCCCAGTTTTCTGACGTTCTGAGATTTATGACGTACACTGCACTGGCATCATCTGTACCAGCAGTTATTTTGGTTTGGTTTATGCCAAATCATAGGCTACCGTCAGTCTTTTTTTCATTTCCCATTCGAACAGTAACTAACTGCATGCAGTGATCGCAACAACCTAGTCGAGAATTCCGACGCCGATTAATTAGAGGGCTTCGTATCAATAATCCTGCAATGAAAAGTCTCTCTTCCTAGTTTTACTATTGTTTACTCTGCAATATTCATGGATGATGCTAAATTATCCTTACAACCAAACAGCTAACAGCTACATAATCAAGGAGACAAAATGGATTCGACTGCTAGTAATTGAGACATCATTTCTCTATCTGTACAGGTAGTGCATTCCTCACTTGAGCTTGTTGATCTCCTCCACAATATTCTGCGGGTCCTTCCAAGCCAAAGTGACATACCTTTTCAAAGTCAATGCAAAATACTCATAGACAAAAGAAGACTTCATGTTGCTGGACTTACTTGGTGTGGCTTCCTCTTGCGACAACATCGCCCTTGCCGTTGGTGAATCGGATATTAGTGTAAGCCAAGGTCTTGCCAACTGCGAATCGTTAGCACTAGTCATACAAACTGCCATTTCATGTTCTATACATTTGTCGCAGGTCACCTCCTATACACAGGTTAGCATCAATGTCTTGTTTTATAATGACCGATGTACTTACTGCGAGAATCTTGTCGCCGATTTTACCCCCCAGAATTGAGGTATGTGACTATTTGAACCGGGGGTTAGACTTGATTCCTTGTGGGGGTGCTATCTGGCACCGGCTTACCATTCAAGTCTGTAGACACACCCGTCGCATAGAGTCCGCGGGAAGCAACTGCAAGAGATCCGCCAAGATCGACTGTGAATTAGGTTAGATAGGGCAAAATCGAGCATTGGATCTTTCAAAGTGATGTACCCATGCTTGCAATGGTACCTCCATGGAGGATGTTCAGTCGGTTCTGGAAAGGATAGAATATTAGACAACAGCATATACAAAACGAACCATCGATTCAAGTCAAAAAAGACGTCTTAGCACGATATTTTCTCCTCTTAAGTAAAATATACATGGGTTATCAGGCACTTACCGTGTGCTCCTTTTGGATCAGCAGTTCAAAGTTGACTGTACCGGGTCGTGCCGCAGTAACTTGGAGCTAGGTATGATCAGCAATTTGATTTGCAACAATCCGGGAATCCCACATCTCCACATAGGTGGCTTACATTATTCAACAGACTGGTAGTTCCAACATGAGTGAGTGATATGTAGTTGCGATGCCGTGCGTTGCTACTTACCGAGGTTCTAGACCCGAAGTAGCCCGAAAGGACTCCCATACCTGGAGATGTTGTCAGCAAAAGAATAGAGGATGATGTTTAGAGGGTAGGTTGACCACATACAGACCGTACAAAACGAAGAGCAGTCATTCTGGCAATTTGGATAGTTCAATGGGAAATGTTGACAAGAGGAAGTTGGCTCGGCAGTTCCTCGGGGTCGCTCCTCCCGGGAATTGCGTAAAGTGGCCGCTTCGCCCGCCGCAGTCGTTGGTTCTTGGATGACTTCACCGATCATCCACATCGACTTTCTTTCACTCGCGGTCTTTCGGGTCAATCATGGCGGCATCCACGTCCCGTCCTCTCGAGTACCTGGAGGGCCTGCCTGGGACAACTTTCTACAAGCTCTACCAGCAGCCCTCCACTGCTCTCGCCATATTTCGTCGCATGCTGCCTGATCTGGGTATCGTCAAAGCTATCTGGTCCTTGATCGCAAGTCCCACTAACCACGAGGATAGCAAAATGTTTCGTCATGGCGCTGCTGTATCTGAAGGACCCCCTTCCTACGGCGGATCTAGAGCTCTGGGTGCAATCAGAGAGCAAAAAGTGAGAGCGCATCGTTTCAATGTCTTTCAGCGTGGGCATGTAGCTGACTATCTGGATTCATCTCACAAAGACAACGGGATAACGCCATCTCGATTCTGGCAAGACTCCATATTCTTTCGAAAACACGGACAGGAGACAACGTTCTAGCATACATGGTCACCAACCCATTCGCATCTTCCCTCCGCCAAGCTCTCGTGGGCTCCGAAGATTCGCAATCCTTCGGTGTCTTCTCCCAAATACCGAGTGAGAGTCAGGTATCCATCGCCGATCTCGACGACTACGCACGACAACAGTGGGAGGGGGTGATGGGTTACATGGTTGGAACAACTGCTTTTAGTGGTCAACGCGAGCTGAACCTCAGCAAGGGCGTGAAGCAACTCCTTCAAGCGGGCCATTTGGTTGAGATCCGCGACCGCCGCGTCGACATCACCAAGGATGGATTCGGGTTTGTACTACAAGACGTCAACACTCAAGTCTGGCATATCCTCATTCTCTACGTGGAAAGCGCCGAGGCGATTGGCATGGACAGCGTCGAAGTTCTCTCGTTCCTATTCCTGCTTAGTAGTCTGGAACTAGGACAATCATACGAGAAGAAGCACCTGACCTCCAATCAACTACGCACTCTCGCCGACCTAGCGGATTTCGGTATCGTCTATCAAGATACGCCGGAGGCGACTCGCTTCTATCCAACACGCCTAGCAACCACTCTTACTTCCGACTCGAGTGCGTTGAATAACCCTGTTACCGGCTCCCTCACTGGGCCAGTTGGCGAGTCGGGTGGATCGGGATCCGGATTCATCATCGTGGAAACAAATTACCGTCTCTACGCGTATACTTCGTCACCTCTGCAGATTTCCCTCATCTCGCTCTTCACTAACCTGAAGTACCGCTTCCCCAACCTCGTCACGGGAAAAATTACCAGACAGTCTGTGCGCCGGGCTATCGAGATCGGAATTACCGCCGAGCAGATTATCTCATACCTGCACTCGCACGCCCATCCCCAATTGCGCAAGCACAACGCCAGTCACGCGACATCAAACACAGGGGGTATCCCGCCTTCGGTCCTCCCCCCAACTGTCACCGATCAAATCCGACTCTGGCAGCTAGAGCGAGATCGTCTCAGAGCCACGGCAGGCTTTCTCTTCAAAGACTTCACTAGCTTGACTGAATACCAGGCCCCGTGCCAATATGCGGCAGAGATTGGTGTCCTTGTTTGGAAATCGGACAAGAAACGCATGTTCTTTGTCACGCGGCACGAGCAAGTTGCCGCTTTCTTGAGGAGCAGGAACCAACAGTGAGTTGACACTAGTTTGACTGCCACCAGGTGGGCGTCATTGATCTTATATGCATTTCAAAGGTAAACGGGCTCGAAAAATGAAGCAATATATCCATTGCTTGGCTTGGCGTTTCAGGGAATGGAGAAAATTTTCACGAAATCATGATTATTTTGCAGTTTATACACAACTTGAATCTTCAAATCTGTACATTATTTATTCTTCATTGCACTCTAGTTTCCAATTCGTAGTTTAAAATAACGCCCATGATTTTGCAACGCCCTTCCTCTTGACCTTTCGATGAAAAGCTTCCCATTGGCCATCATCCCCCTTCTGCTCATAACTCATAAATGTGTCTCCGCCAACAATATCAGGTAAGAGAACCTTAACATCATGAACTCGCGACTCGGCCCGTACCTCTGGCGAAGGCAAATCCGGTTTCCCAAACTGAAAATCACCATTAGATAATTCCTCACCTGAATCCTGTTTAGAATAATTTTCTGTGTAAGAAAAACCCTCTTCCACCTCTGCAACTTCTTCAAGAACATCTGCCAACAGCGGGCCATTCCACACGCCCTCCCGGTGCGGTGCTGCCCTCAACAACCGAATCGCCAAGCGACGAATTCTCGGAATACGACACTTCAGACCTGTAAAGTACATCGGTGGGATGAAGCCCGACTCAATTGTGAACGAATAACGATCACAATTCGACTTGCCATTCTGTAATGACCGGTCTATCTCCTTGACGCACATATTAATCGTACACCAGTACCGCCACATGTCGAAGAAAGCCGTCATCACCGTGACAAACTCATTTGTGTACGCGTCGAAGACCATCTCCCCTCACTCGAAAGACTGACTGAAGCCATGACCACGGCCATTTCATGATACACCCGCAGAAGCAGGAACCCAACCTTTTCCATCTGAGACTCTGCCTTGAGGAGAGAGATGGATGCATTATAAGCTTTCTTCCAGAGCGACAAATCCGCGATAATCTTGCGCTGTGTTTCGAACGCTTTAAAATCATTTTCCGGTCCGTATTCAAGGTCCTTATCCTCATTTTCGTGCGAATGGTGTGTATAAATGTATCGCTTTAAGCAATGGATCCGATTAAGTAAATCATCAAGGGTCTGTCTCGCCTCCACAAGAGAGGAGAATGTGTAAGGTAGTGCATGAACCTGTGGATCGCGAACAATCACACAAAGATGTGACGGGACATGACCAAACATAGCTGATTGAACCGTCAACCTTGCGTAGGAATCAATAAGCGCATCATGCACAAAGTCCTCCGCCGGACTAAGTACACCTGGCGCCATCGACGTTCGCGACATAGGCGCCGAAATATCAGCTAGGATCTGGATACCGTAGCGCAGATGTGCACTACCCATTTTGTACTGACCGCGAAGATACTCCAGCGTAACAAAGAGCATACAAGTAATGAGGGCAACGCGGAGGGCTTTTTTATTCGACAGCCTCGATCCTGATAAATTACTCTTCATCATTGCATTGCGTAGATGATGAATCGCTTTGTTATACTGCTGCAATGTAAATCGCTCGGCGTCTACGCCATATATAGCCGGGACCCAAGAGCCGGCGCTAATATCAAAGCGATGGGCCGCGGATAAGGCGACGACGGCATGGCGTACGGCGGGCTCCTGTGCACTGGCTTGAAAAACAAGCGATTCCCAGAACTGAGATTTGAATATACCGGCGAACTTGGTGGTCGTTCTTCTCATGAACCAGTCGAAGCAGGCCTGTTCTTCGGGATCTAGACTGCCGGCTGGTACCGGTGTACAGTAGATGGATAGTGCCTTACTGGACTGTGGTGGTCCGTACGGACTGCCCCCACCACCCCAGATACCGTACCCATCGCAAATTCGACCAGTTGAGATGCAGCGGCGGCAGGCTGGTCTGCTTTCATCACATTTCACGCGGCGGGCTCTGGCAGATGTGTGTTAAGCGGGGACAAACGCGGTCGTTAGGCCGATGGGAGGACTGACTTGCAGGTCTTGCAGCCTGTCTTTACTTTTCTTCCCCCTTTGGATTGTGGTATATGATTTTCTCTTGATTTAGTCATGGTTCTGAGTGATACACGGGGTGTTGTGGGAAGAATGATTCTCTTTGAGAACAAGCGTCAATCATTAGAGGGTGATGGAGTAGACAATTGGGTGGCTCGCAAAGCCTGCTTTATTATTGGTTGTCACGTTTCAAAGCGGGTCCCGCCGTATGATTGGCCGCGCCTTTAAGCTTAAGTCCGTCAGTTGTCGTTGAAAAGTGGTGAGGAACGGAGTTTACCCTGAACACAATGGCTGCGGATGGATGGATGAATAAGTCAGATATGCATCATCTAATCCATTCCATTGTCGTCTGGGTCGGATGTTCAATCTGCCCGAGGAATATTATTTAAAGACCATGGTACGCTCCGCACTATCGAAGTATAGTATTCATCACATCTCTTTAACAATCTCGATTCTATAGAATCCCAGGCTACTGTCCAAGGTTATACTATTCACAATAATGTCTCTTCCTCTTCGAACTCTCGGTCGCACTGGTCCTCAGGTCAATGCTGTTGGCCTCGGCCTCATGAGCATTGGTGGTATCTACGGCGCTGCTAGTTCTACTGAAGGAGTTGCCTTTCTGGAACACGCACATGCTACCGGCCAACGCTTCTGGGACACAGCAGATCTATATCGCACCAGTGAGGATATCGTTGGTGAATGGATCAAGCGGACTGGCAAGCGCAATGACATTTTCCTCGCCACCAAGTTCGCTGTTCAATTCGTAGACGGTGCGATGAAGGTTCGCTCGGATCCCGAGTATGTCAAGATAGCTTGTGAGAAATCCTTGAAGAAGCTGAATGTCGACACGATCGATTTGTACTATTGTCACCGAGTTGATGGAGTGAACCCGATTGAAAAGACCATCGAGGCAATGGTTGAGCTGAAGAAGTAAGTCCCCGTTCCGTTGGTTCATCATCTTTCGAGGAACTTGAATCCCATCATTGACTCGTCTTGGTGTGACTCCAGCCAAGGGAAGATTCGATATATCGGCCTCTCCGAGGTTTCGGCTGCCACGCTCCGCCGGGCCCACGCTGTCCATCCCATTACCGCTCTCCAGATCGAATACAGCCCGTTTGCTCTAGATATCGAATCACCTAACTCGGATATCTTGGACACTTGTCGCGAGTTGGGCATTGCCGTGGTCGCTTACAGTCCCATCGGCCGAGGTATTCTGACTGGTCAGATCAAGTCACCCGCCGACTTCGCCGAGGATGATTTCCGTCGTTTCCTCCCCAAGTACGCGGAGGAGAACTTCCCCAAAATCCTGCAGCTTGTGGAGGGACTGAAGGAAGTGGCTAAAGTGCACAACAGTACCCCCAGCCAGATCGCCATCGCGTGGTTGCTTGCACAGGGATCTGATATCATTCCCATCCCTGGGACTAGGACGACTGCGCGGATGGATGAAAATACGGCGTCGACACAGTTCCAACTGACTAGCGAGGAGGAGCGCAAGATTCGGGATCTGGTCAAGCAGACGGAGGTCCCTGGCACTCGGTATCATGAGTCGTAAGTAGTCATCCTCCCCCTCCCCTTCTATTCCGAGTGGAAGCTGACCAGTCGGATAGGATGATGGCCAACGTCGTGGCGGATACTCCGCCGCTGTAAATAGATACTGTTCATTGAGGTACTCGTACACCCGGAGTACTCGGTACTCCGTTATTGAAATCAAATCCACTCTTCCTATATTTTAGCCCCATAACCATTCCCTATTTGTATCGCCAAGTCAATACTGATCGCTGCGCCCGGTGCCGCTAAAGATCCAATGCCAAGTTTCAAGGGGGGGCCAAAAATGCAAAATGGGTATGTCGTGTGGAACAAAGACATTCATGTTTCTCTTCTCCTCCTATTTGCAAACTGGTCCCTGCATTGTTGTCCCAAGGTCCCGTTGCTTCTCATCTCGATCGATCGTCAAAACTCCCCCCCCCCCCGATCGCAGACATCTCGGATCTGATTTTGAGATAAGCTTAAAACCCCCTAGTCCAAGCCCAGTCCAGCCCAACCAACCCAACCCAACCCAACTTAGTGCAAACACAGACAGGGGGTAAGTCAAAAAGAGGAGAGGCTTGGGTGGGTCAACCTCAGCCATAAGCCAAGGAGCAGACCAGCTTGGGAACCCCGCGAAAAGTCAAATCTCGTGTTTTGCCTCCTGCACAACATCTTTTTTCCACCTCTTCCTCCCTCCATCCCTCATCAGCTCCAGCCGGCGACATGTCCTCGTCTAGCGAGGCGAGTCCGGGTAACTGGATCACCGGTAGCTATACCGGCGACAGCAATGGCGTGCGCATCACCATCGCCACGTTTGTCGGTGTCGCCTGGTACAACGTGTTGGAGCTGATCGTTCTTATTTTCCTCACCTTTAAGCGCTACCAAGGCCCTTACTTTTGGAGTATGCTGATATCCTCTGTCGGCATTCTACCTTACTCGATCGGCTACCTGCTCAAGTTCTTCGACCTGACCTCGGCCACTTGGCTACCTGTTACTCTACTCACTATCGGCTGGTGGACGATGGTCACGGGCCAGTCGTTCGTGCTATATTCACGGCTACATTTGGTCCAGGAGAACCAGCGCATCCTTCGCGCTGTTAAGGGAATGATCATCATGAACATTTTCCTTCTACACGTCCCGACCACCGTCCTCACCTACGCCGCGAACTTCTCTCAATCCCCCACCTCGATCGCGGGGTATGATGTTATGGAAAAGCTACAGCTGACGGGATTCTGCGTGCAAGAAGTCATCATCTCCAGTCTGTACATGTGGGAGACAAATCGTATGCTGCAGTTGAACCGCGACCCAGGAAGTCGGAAGACTATCATGCAGTTACTCGCTGTCAACCTTGCTTGTATTCTGATGGATATCGCCCTGATGATCATCGAGTTCATGAATTTCTACATCTACCAAACAACTCTCAAAGCCACTTTGTACAGTATAAAGCTGAAGCTGGAAATCGCCGTGCTGGGAAAATTGGTGAAAATCGCCCACCAGCATGTTTGGCAGTCGTCTCTCACCGGCGGAGGAGGCAACCAATATCCCTCCTTCGTGGATCCAAGTCGCATTGTCTCTGATTTTAATCATGCCCCTGAATCCGTCCCAACTAGTCAGGGTTCCAAAGGTCACGCGACCGGTCTGGAGGCCATCGATTACCATGATGATATTCGATAAGGAAAAGCAGACACCCGAACATAAGCCAACATCCCAGCTTCCATGCAAGTTCTTTCCAACATGGACGATTCTCCTCGCTTCGTCCTATTGAACAATTTTGGTTCTGCATGGTCTTCCACCAGTCATTGCATTTCATGGAATATGCATTCCTACGCGGACGACCTCACCACCCCCCCCATACCGCCACCTCGCTGAGTGTCCTCCTTGTATCACCATATGGTACAAAACGAACATCCGCGCGAACAGCAACAGTCTGACGGACTTGGTTCAAAAGAAACCATTACCCGGGACGCTAGGAAGCGATAGTTACAGATGGCGATCAGCCACTGGAATAAATAATGATGTCATGAATAATGCCTTTGATACCTAACATCTCAACAATGTTCACCTATTTAGAGTTAATATAATGCCGCTGAGCTGATAATCAATTACTCAGCCTTGGAATACAATGGAAAACATCCTCCCTGAGCTTACTACATCTTTTGTCCTCCATATCTTGGCTATTCCGAGCCTTAATAAATGACAGATCACCTAGAGAAACTTCAAGGCCTACTCACAATATTCAAGGTGGAAGACGTATTACTCTAGTGGGAGACTCTTTTACGTCGCAAAGCCAACGTTTCGGGGCGGTGCAGGAGCATTGAATACAGTGGTGTAGCAAAAGTTTGAAACCCCATATTACCCACCATTATGGACCGTCTTCTAATGGGAAACTACTAGTAGTAGCTACCTAGGATGGAATAGATTGGCCTATCTAATCCATCTTAGGTAACTACCAGTCTGCAATTAGAAGGCGGAGATGAGAACACTCAACAAGTGGTTTCAAACTTTTGCAACGCCACTGTAGTAGCGCTCGAGTGCCTTTGACTAAAGTACTAACAATCACCTGGGCAGGTACTAGTTACTAGTACTAGTAAATATCAGATGCAGGATGAGAATCTTGAAAACAGTATATTAAATTTGGCAGGGGGTATCAATAATTCATATAAGCCATCCAAACCTCGCTCCGATGCAGTAGTAAGGTACCATACTATCACCAGTATAGTAGTATTCTATTCACACTTCCTCCCCAAGATATTTCAACACATCATCACTCATAAAGAAAAGATTCCTCAACTTCTCCCCCCTCTTCCGCTCCTCCGCCTGATTCTTCCTCATCTGCTTCGCATTAAGTTTCTGCACCTTCTTAGGCGGCGGAGGAGGCGGATCTTTAATTCGATCTCCGTCCGCGTCTAGACCGGCGCCTAGACCGGTCGTATCATTTTTAACACGGCCTTTCAATGGCTCCCTGATTCCTTCTCGACCTGGTGCTCCGAGACCGCGCCGACTGTCGGGATCCCAGCCGTATGTGGAGAGATATTTCAGGCCGACGCGGGTTCGGTCGAGATGGGAGGGTGGGTGGGAATGGGTTAGGCAGACTTGGTGGGCGAGGGAGGCTTCGTGTGGTCGGTCTATTGAGTCCGATTCGGAATTTCCTTTTGAGGGGTCGGAGGAGAGGGGTAAGTTGCATATATCACAGTGATCGGTGGTTTGCGAAGGTGGTTGAGGGGAGGGTGCGTGGGAAGATGGAGGTGCGGAGTGTGTTTCGCGCGGAGAAGGTTCTTGTTTTTGTTCGGTGGGTAGATTGGGTGATGATGGACTTGCACTGACTGTGCCTTTTTTATTGAGGACGATCGAGAGGTATGCATCTGCGATGCTTGGACCTGAGGGTGTAGAGGATGGTCGTGTTGTTGTAGTTGTATTCAATTCATGTTCGGACGAGCGTACGAATTGGACTCGTTTGCGACGGATTCCCGCACCAAAGATACTCTGATCTTCGAGAGGGAGGAAATAGTCCTCTCCGTCTTCTCCATCTTCTCCATCTTGACGGGCTGCCATCGTCACCATGGGTCTTTAAAGGTTGAAGTTGTCAGTGACCGCAGGGTGAGAAGGTAGTCGCAGTGAGGCTCCACGAGGCGGCAGTGGCGACTGATAAGCGATAAGCCTAAGCCCTTCCTTAAGGTAGGTCGGCCTCGGTGGAGCTGGCCACGTCTGCTCTCAACTCTCAATTCCCTCGCGATGCCCATCCCAATTATTGCCCATGGCATCTCGGAGGGCATCTCGGCAATTCCATATGCCTGGGAAGTCCTCAAAATCGCACCATGGATTCTCCTACTCTCCGCGCTGAAATACTACTTCGGCGGAGCCCGCAACACCTCCGAGCGCCTGTTAGCCTCGAAAGTGGTGATGGTAACAGTATGTTGCTTCCTAATCCTTACCAAAAATCCCCCATCCCCTTCCCCAGAAACCCAATTAGCTAATTTCCATCTCTCACTACAGGGAGGCACATCAGGAATTGGAGCAAGTGTCGTCCGTGAACTGGCCGCCCGACAAGCGCAGGTCATAATCCTAACCCAACAATCCCCCTCCGACCTATTTTTAGTCGAATACATCGACGACCTCCGCCGCCAAACGAAAAACAATCTAATCTACGCCGAGCAAGTCGATCTCGCCTCCCTACACTCGGTGCGTGAATTCGCAACGAAATGGATTGACAATGTCCCGCCCCGTCGGCTGGACGCTGTCATCCTCTGCGGCGGCCTCGCCGTGCCCGCCGCTGCACGCGGCCAGACACAAGACGGTATCGATGACGAGTGGCAGGTGAATTACCTGGCCAATTTCCATTTACTTAGTATTCTCAGTCCGGCGTTGAGGGTTCAACCTGCGCACCGTGATGTGCGGGTTATTTTCCCCACTTGCTCGAGTTATATTGGGGCGAAGTTCGATCTGGAGACTGTGAAGCGGGATCAGGATGATGCCGAGACAAAAAACAAGAAAAAGAAAGACTCGAAATCGAACGATCAAGGTCCCTCCGCAAGACTATCCGTTCGTCCAAAGGGTATCTACGCCGTCAGCAAATTCGCCCTAATGACCTTCGCCCACTCCTTCCAGCGTCATTTAAACGCCTACGAGCGTCCAGATAGTCTACCCCCCCTGCACGCGCGTTCTGATCGTTGACCCAGGCCTGACACGGACGCCCGGAACCCGGCGCTGGCTGACGGGCGGATCGCTGTGGGGGTTGCTGCTATATCTGCTCACGTGGCCGTTTTGGTGGCTGGTGCTCAAGTCGCCGGATCAGGGGGCGCAGAGTATTCTCTATGCGGCTATGGAGGAGAAGTATGCGCGGGGAACCGGGGGTTGGTTTATTAAGGAGTGTCGGGAGGTTGATTGTGCAAGGAAGGATGTTCAGGATGAGGATGTTGGGAGAAGGTTGTGGGAGTTTAGTGAGAAGCAGATTGAGGAGGCGGAGAAGGAGGGGGCGTTGAAGAGGGCGCAGGCGAAGAAGGTGGTGAAGGATGAGGAGGAGAAGAAGGTTCGGCAGGAGACTGCTTCGCAGAAGGCGCAGAGTGCTGGGTCTAGACGGAGTCGGAAGAATAAATGATTGCTGCGTCTGGGCAGCGTCCATTTTTCCCATTGCATTGTTCAGTGCAGGGTTTATGCTACTGATCACAGCTAGCAATCCCTGGATTGCCTTTTTTTATAGACATCTACTCACGAGACGTGAAACAAAAATTTTAACTTGAAGCATCTGATTATCCATCCGTACGATCTTTACGCAAGTAGTCCAGATATCAGTGAAAAAGGAGATTCGTTTCATGTATTCTACCAATTCTATATCCACACATCATTCAGAAGCATTTGCTTTTCAATCCTTCTTAGCACCCAAGCCCAATCCCAAACCAAACATTATTTACTTCTTCAGCGCAGCGAGGAGCTCCGCAGGGGGCTGCTGGCGGTAACCCTGGGGGTTGTTCTTGGTCCAGAGCCAGAGATCCTCGCAGGCCTGCTCGAGGGTGAACTTGGGGGTCCAGCCAAGCTCGGTGGTAGCGCGGTTGGCGTTGGCAGTGAGGTTCAGGACGTCACCGGCACGGCGGGGGGCAACCTCGTAAGGGAGGTCACGGCCGACGGCGGCGGAGAAGGCGCGGATCATCTCGTAGACGGTGCTGCCCTTGCCGGTACCCAGGTTCCAGGCGCGGACACCGGGGTTGTTGGCGCGGAGGTAGTTCAGCGCCTTCAGGTGGCCGTCTGCCAGGTCGAGGATGTGGATGTAGTCACGGATGGCGGTACCGTCGTGGGAGGCGTAGTCTGGAAGTGAATGTCAGTTTCATGCTTCAGAGCTTCTCGAGTTTAGGAGGAGAGAAGGGGCATACCGTCACCGAAGACCATCAGCTTCTCGCGCTTGCCAGTGGCAACCTGGGCGAGCAGGGGGAGCAGGTTGTAGGGGACACCCTGGGGGTCCTCGCCCATGATACCGCTTGGGTGGGCACCAGCGGGGTTGAAGTAGCGGAGCAGAGCACCGTTCCACTTCTTGGCCTCGGCCTCGTTACCGGCCTTGATGGCGTTGTTGCGCTGAGCGTTGATCACGTCGGTGATGGCGGTCTCAACGGCGAACTTGGTGTTACCGTAGGGGTTGGTGGGGCCCAGAGGGCAGTTCTCGGGGATGGGAATCATGTTGGGGAAGCGGGTGGCGTCACCGTAGACGGTGGCAGAGCTGGAGAAGACGATGTTGGTGACATTGTGGCGGACCATGGCGCGGAGCAGGTTGATGGTGCCGTAGACGTTGACCTGGTAGTAGTCCAGGGGCTTCTCGCCAGACTCGCCGACAGCCTAGTGGGCATGTTAGTAAGAGGATATGGTGTATATAGGGAGGTATTGTAATTGCAACTGCCATTGCCATTGCCATTGAGGCTTACCTTGAGGGCAGCGAAGTGGATCACGCTGTCAATGTCGGGGTGAGCCTCGAAGACGGGGTCGAAGGCCTTCTCGTCGGTGACATCGAGCTGAACAAACTCGGCCTTCTTGCCGCAGATAGCCTCAACACGGTTCAGAGCCTCCGGAGAGGAGTTGTACAGGTTGTCAGCGACGACGACCTTGTAACCAGCCTCAAGCAGGGCAAGGACGGTGAACGAGCCAATGTAGCCCGTACCACTGCGGGGGGTCAGCTATTGTACACAACATGTACGCAAGTGTCTACAGGAAGACCTACCCAGCAACAAGAACTGAACCAGCAGACATGATGAGAGATTAAGGGGAATTGAAAATGGAGAAGCAAAAACGTGGGCCAAGGAAGTTGGGGAGAGGCAGCTTTTAAGGGGAAAAGTAGAGGCAAAGGACAAAAGCGGGTTGGTGGTGGTGGGGGAAATAAGAGGGGCAGCTCGTCATTTCTCGGGCTTCTCCTGGCGGTCCCCAGTTGCCCCCCCCATTACGCGGCCACAAACCTTCAGGACCCTTAATTTTATATTTCATACTCATTTCATCTTTCGGGCTAATTTCATGCCTATTTATGTGACGGTGAAATTGACCATGGTGTGCATCTAGGCGACTGGCTCATCTTCTACCTATGTCCAACCCAATTGACATTAGCATCTGCAATGGCGTGGTGAATGGCCCCATGCAGCGATGTGACAAAATGCCAAATGCCAAATGCGATGCCCCTCGCCGATCGCTGGCGGTGAACCGATCACCCGGAAAAAGTTGGTGGTGGGCGGTTGCGGTTATCTCACCGGGCAACGATCGCTGGCGAGAACCAATCCTTCTGTCGAATCATGGCACCCATTGCAGCCATTGCAACCATTGAGACCAATTGGAACACTACATAGTACTATGTACTAATAAAAGAGGACAACTGTCATTCCCCGATCCCTTTTCTCCGGTGGGGAAAGTCTGGAGCCACACAGGCCCACGCTTAAATTAGAACCAATTGGCCGGAACAAGCTTCGGCTCGGGAACATGTACATGTACAATGCACAATTGCATTTTCGGGAATTTAAAATTGAAATTGAAATTGGTATGAGCAAGACATGTAGAAAAGTAGAAAAGAAAAAATAGAAACAGTATGCCTCCCTGGCAGAGGTATCGATGTGCCCCTCTCAATTTTATGTGGCTAGAGCCAGGAGGAGTCAGTCCGATGTGGAATTCCTCCCATGTCCTCTTTGTACATTGTTCGAGGACGAAGAGACGCCCAGATGCGCCCTGGCATTTTCGGCTCGGGGGCGGCCAGGCTGGATGCAGTGCATTCAGGTATAGACTATCGTGGTAGGCGCGTTGGAGGATTACCCACTTCTGTCCCATCGTGTATCATCGTGGTCAGACGGTTGGCAAGACCCCAATTTCTGAGCTAGCTTTATCCCAGAAGCTCCACGTCAAGGCCAATGGCACGCATGAAGAGGTTGACGTTACCAAGACGCGAGCTAGCCATGTCAGCCGGCAGAGTCTTACTATAGGCAACGGTCTCCATAACACGGTCCCTGATGACAGAATGGTTAGTATACAGGATTCGCTTCATTTCAATTTACAGGGGTGGGGGAACTCACTTGACAGCAATTACGAGGCGTTGCTGCTGCTCGGGGCTGGCACCAATACCAACAGCGGCAAGGAACTGCCACACATACATGTCGTCGCCAGAGTTGATCGGGCTGGTGAAGATATCGGCCAATGCAGGCTCCAAAGTGTCAAACAGCACGTTGAACTTGGCTACCCACTGTTGCCAATCGGCCTCGGAGGCCTGGCCAGCTTCCTTGACGATCTCGGCACGACTGAGCAGCATGGTCAAAATACCCAATCCGACCTTGGTGCGAGCAACGGTTTGTACATGAGTCTGAGCAATGACCAGGCCCAGAAGGCCAATGATAATGTTGAAGGGAGCCTCATTGACGTATCCCAGCAAGCTGGGCATCACGGCCAACGAGAACAGATCAATTGACTCACGCATAGCCACGGAGAGTTGAGCCTCGCCGGGAACGGGTTGTGCCAAGTGAACCACATCCAAACTATCCAGGTGGACGACAATCATGGTGAGGATGGTCACGCGCTGCTCCTGGTCGATGTGGCGGAAAATACGGGGAATGGCCTTCTTACCCTTAGGGTAGGACAAGAACGCAATGAACGGATGCGGGGTGGTAGAGTTGGGAACAATGGGCTCCATAACTTTCAGGGACTGCCAGAGCTTTTGGTTGATAGTACGGGCCTTTTGGCGCCATTCCATGTGTTCCTGGATCGCCTCGGCGTCACCCTCCTCCGGTGGAGGGGGCATGGTACGCTCCATATCCTCCATAGACATGAGACCGCTGTAAACACCCTCAATGTTGGTAAGGATCGACTTGCGGTCACTCAGACTGAGGTTGGACTGCAACTTCTTAGGCCGAGGTCCCTCGGAGCTGTCAGGTCGCTTAATATTGAGCATTGGCTTCGGCGCTTTGGCGTTACTGAAGGAGATCTTGCCCAGGCTGCCCTCAATGATCAGCTGCTTGTTCTTCGGCTTAGCCTTGGCCGCCTCAACGGCACGCTGAACCTGCTGTTGCATTCGCTGCATGTGGTTGTCCGCGCTGTGGAAGGCTCGGCGGTTTCCATGGCCACCGATCCGGTTTCCTGTCTGAAGGAGGTATGTCTGAGCAAAGTGCCCCAGGGGTTGGTGAGGGTGTTGGCGAGGGGCCCCGCGAATCTGGCTATAGACCTGGTAGTAGAAGTCCTCTGCTAGAACAGCCTCTGGGTCGGAATCCGCTACATTACCAGCCGCCGCCACAAGCTGTTGCAGCTGGATGCGAGTGATAAAGTTCTTGTCCTGGGGGGGGTCATCAAGCCATTGCCCCGCGACAGCAAGAAGATCTTGTGGTTTCGCTTCGCCCGCTTAGCGTCTTCGACGAGATAAGCGTTGCGCTGCTCCTCAGTAAGATGCACAAGCTGCTGGGGATCGGTGATAACGGGCAGTCCCCCATTGGGACCTCTTGAAGACGGCGGGGGGAACTTGTTGCTGCTGCTGCTGCTGCGGTGCCCGTTGGTTGGGGGGCGGGCCAGGTTGGCGCATACCCTGAGGGGGCATGTTCTGAGGAGGAGGGTTACCTTGCATATGCGGCGGCATACCCGGGATACCGGGAGGGGGACCATGCATTTCCGGCATCCCGGGAGGGGGGTGAGGCATTCCCGGAGGAAGACCACCTCTTTCGAGTTGTGCTCGCAAGACCTCGGGAGGAATCGTAGAGGAAACCATCAGGGAGCGGGATATTCTGCGGGTGGCGCATGTAGGCAGATGGATCGGCCAAGTGCGGATGCATAGCTTGCGGCACTGGCGATGGCTGATAGCCGTGGTTGCGCATCTGCATCTGTGCCTCCACCTCATCTAGACTCATCATCTTGCGAGCGGCCGACATGGCTGGCATGGACATGGGCATGGGCATATGCTCGGGCTCGGGCTTCTTTTGGGAAACCCCCCAAACGCTCGATTTCGCCTGAAGGTCGGGGATGAAACCGGGGTCGGAATATTTCTCGTAACCGCTACGCTTGGAGAACGCTGGCTCAGGTTGCGCAGCGGGTTGAACATGTTGACCAGACACGGGGATAGCCTGGGGGTGCTGCAAGGCGTAGCGAATTTGCTCTTCGCCGATTGCATCGGCGACAGTCGCAGTCTTGCCGAAGAAATCGAAGTCCTTGCCGACAGCTCCAGTGCTGGGACCAGCAGGGCCGGCGCCGCCGAAAGTGTCGTCGTTGAAGGCATCCTGATCATCATCGAGTTGGTCGCCCAGGCCATCGTAGGTATCCTCGAAATCGATGCTAGAATTCAGGTCAGGTCAGCTCATCTCTTCCACGATCATGAACAATGGCAGCTCACGCGTCGTCATCCTCGAGGGCCCTAGCACGGGCAACCTCCGCGAAGGGATCGGGGTTCTCGAAGAAGCCCCAAGTAGCAGAGGGACCGCCTTGACGGTCCCTCGGCAGGTGGAATCGAAACCAAAGAAAGACATGCCTCTTTGGACGATGGGAAGGAGGAGGTGGGGATTGGAGACGGATCGATATGGTGGGGGAGGTGGGAGAGCGAAGGAGAGAAGTTCGCTCGGGTGGATGGCCTCAGGCACGTGCCAAGAAGTAGACACAGCATAATAACTATGCGAGTACACTATGAGATACGACGAGTATACTATACTATACTATACTATATTAACTACGTAGTATTCTCGATAAATTTAACCTGGGGCTAATTATCTCAGTAATCGATATATCATAGTAAACTAAAAAATAAGTTACCCTGCTCCTGTTCTACGTATAAACTGCACTGCACTGCACTGCACGGCACTGCACTACTATACTAGTACTAGTAACTCTAGTGTCACTCGCACTCGCCCCAACCTGAAACTCGCACTCACCCCAAAATGCCCCCAAATAAAGCGGATCCAGCCCTGCTGAGCCTGTTGGACCCCAAGGACAAGTTATATCTTCGTAGACTGAACTCCGCCGGATGCCGTACGCCTTATGGATAAAGGGGACCAATTCCCCTCATACTAGTACTACTCGTACTATTAATAAAAAATAAAAATACAGGCCAATTGTCCAAGACTTGTCAAACCTTGGCTTTGAATGTCGCCCACCTAGGCACCGCTTGGATCCCCTGCCCCATCTCCGTTGCATCTGGAGCCCGAATGTGTCTTGGATTACCTGAATTACTTTGGATCCAGTGAAACCTGGGCGGCTGACCCTGGTCGCCATCGACTTGCGCGTCCATTTTCATTTCTCTCCGCTCCGCCTTCCCCTATCGCATTCCAATTTCTGTTTCTGTTTCACTTTTTTGCATCTCCCTTTCTTCCCCTTCTCACCCCCCCTTAATCCCACCCAGGTCGCTATCTCTCTCATCCAATCGCGGATGCTGGTTTCGCCTTGTGGACTGGCCCTAGCTTTCTCGGCCTGATCGCACTACTCACATCTGTCTACTTCCGTACCTCTGATCGCTCTCCTCCCCGCCACCATGGCTGTCAACGTGCGATATACCAGGTATCTGGTATTAGCACTGGTGGTATGTCTCGCCCATGATTCCACCTTTGGCCCCCGCGCTGCAAGGCCTTCATCTTCATGGCCACGGCTTGTTCAGCCTCACGCGACATGAACATGAGCTAACTAACACATCTCCCACCAGGGCATGACCTTCTTCTACCTCGTCTCTCGAACCAATCTGCGACTTCCTAATAGCGCTTCCTTCGCTCGGCCTGTCCAATCCTACAACGAATTCAAGGCCAACAAAAACGAATACCCCGGTGCGAACGGCACTGAACGGGTGAATGCCACCTTTGTGACCCTCGCCCGCAACTCTGACCTCTGGGACATGGTCAAGTCGATCCGAACCGTGGAGGACCGATTCAACCGGGAATACAACTACGATTGGGTGTTTTTGAACGACAAAGAGTTCGATGACGATTTCAAAAAGCTGACCACCGCCCTCGTCTCCGGCACGACTCACTATGGCTTGATCCCCAAGGAGCACTGGTCGTATCCCGAATGGATCGACGAGGACAAGGCCGCCGACGCCCGGGCCGAAATGGAACGGAAGAAGATCATCTACGGTGGCTCCGAGAGCTATCGTCACATGTGCCGTTACGAATCGGGTTTCTTCTTCCGCCACCCGTTGATGATGAACTACGAATATTACTGGCGCGTCGAGCCCAGCATCGAACTGTTCTGCGACATCCGCGCCGACCCTTTCCGCTTCATGAAGGAAAACGACAAGAAGTACAGCTTTGTCATCAGTCTGTACGAGTATGAGGCGACGATTCCTACACTTTGGAGTAGTGTCAAGAAGTTCATGACGAACCACCCAGAGCATATCGCCGAAGACAACGCGATGGAATTCATCAGTGATAACGGTGGCGAGACCTACAACAAGTGTCATTTCGTATGTTCCGTCCGCTTGATTTCAATCAACATTGAGAGTCCTTTCAACTAACCTGCTTTCTTTTATTAGTGGTCAAATTTTGAAATCGGCAGCTTAGAATGGTTGCGGTCGAAGCAATATATCGACTATTTCGAGTCCCTCGATCAGGATGGCGGCTTCTTCTATGAACGATGGGGCGATGCACCAGTCCACTCAATTGCGGCTGCGACCATGCTGCGCAAGGACCAAATCCAGTTCTTCCATGACATTGCCTACTACCACGTTCCGTTCACGCATTGCCCCAATGACGAGCAAACGAGGCTGGACCTTGCCTGCTCCTGCAAGCCGAAGGATAACTTCGACTGGAGAGATTACTCCTGTAAGCTTATTCCCGGCATCCTCTTGGTCTAATGAATTCCCAAGCTAACATCTTCCAGGCACAAACAAGTGGTTCAAGGTGAACCATCTTTCAAAACCAGACGGCTGGGATAAGAAAGATTGACTTGCGGCACTTGGACAGCTGGCCATATTCCTGCTCTTTGTGAGCGTTTCTTCTATCCTACTCAGCCAAACCGTGCGAATCTGGTTATTCGTACGACTGAATCCTTGTGTCACTTTCTTGATGCGCCTCATCGATCGTTGCCGCAACGCTCATAAGTATCGCTCAGTGAGCGGCGGGAAACTGAGAAAAGTAGTCAACACCCCCAGGCCGTGAAGACTTCCAGCATATTGTCCAAATTTCCATATGGCGAAAATGTCTCGTGGCGGTCTTTTTCCAATTTCCAAGTTGTGGGCTGGGCTTTTCTGCTTTTTTTGATTATTATGATCTGTTTCTCATTCCCCTCGTCCACATGTTCCATTTTGTTTCGATGCCCTCCATGTTTTATTATCTGGATTCTCGGAAAGCGTTCTCAAGTCTGTTCCTTGGTATGTCTATTGCATGGGGTCACCGGAGTACAAGAGGGTTTCCCTACGGACCAGGAATTTTTGTTCTATATCTCATTGCCTGAGCAGTCGGGCTATTGCATCTGGTTATGAGTTTCAATACAAGAAAATAAAAGAAAAGAAAAGGAGAGAAAATATGCCAAGTTTGATGATAAACAGGATAGCCAAGTCACTTCATAATAGTACATGCGGTTCAGAAATGAAAATATCGCCTTAGTGAACAGATAGATACAGAGGGGTAGAAAACAGAAAATATGTGGCAGATAGCAAGCACCGAGGTGCTGTTCGAACGGCAAATCCCGAGCGAATATCCTTCGATGCCATTGGATCAGAGAGATTTATGGTACGAGTAAAGTGCAAACCCGCTTAGTTGCCCTTGGGCTTCTTCGTTCCGTACTTCGACCGGGAAGACTGGCGACTTCCAACACCACCCTAGAAAGAACAAGTTAGCAGATGCTTACCTACAATAAAACCAACACATGCAAAGATTTGAAACATACCAGATCACCAGCACCACGAACCAAGTGGTACTTCACACCAGGACAATCCTGAGCACGACCACCACGAACATGCACCACACTGTGCTGCTGGATGTTGTGACCTTCACCGGGAATAATAGTTGTAACGACCTTGCCAGAACTCAGACGAACACGAGCAGTCTTACGCTCGCCGGAGTTGGGCTTCTTGGGCTTGGTAACACCAGTCTTCAAACACACGCCCTTCAACGATGGGTGGTTCTTCAAGGCTGGGGACCGTCCGCGGCGCGCGCGTTGGCCCTGGCGGCAGCCTCGGCGGACTTGGTTGTAGGTTGCACGGACAATAGGAGAGCTGGAGAATTGGCGGCGGGCTAGGAGCTGGGCCGTTTGGGTGCGGAAAATGGGCTGGAAGTTGAAGCGGCCGGTGATCGGGGTTGCGCGGTGGATGAGACTTTGGGTAGTGGTGGTGGTGGTAGCGGTTGTGAGTGTGCGTAACGGGGTGCATGAGAGTGCTGGACGCTGGACTAGTGTCCGCAGAGCCCGAAGGGCCAATGGCGAGATTAATTGAGGCATTGTGGTTGTTCGTTTTTGTTGCGGAGAAACGGACTGCCTGTTGCACTTCCCAAAATCGCGGACGAGTTTGAGGTCACGTGGCGACGTCAATGGTTGCTCTCGCCGACCGGAGGAGCTGGACGCGCTGCCCTGCTCTGCCTGATATCGTTCGACCTCCGCATCATCGTCAACCCGCTTCATATCATCTTTGTATCTTCTCCTCCATTCGCACGACTCTTCTTGAACTCTGAATCGATCTTGAGTCTGCAATTAATCTCCGATTCTCATTCACAACCACCATAATGGTACGTTATCAAGCTCCGATCCTTGACCTGATGCTCCTCGACCACCCTCCGATATACCCCAGCATCTTCGAGACGCCATCATCTATCCATACAGCTAGCAGCTAGTTGCTTCATCTGAATTAGGCCAAAATTAGGTCCATTCGCAAAGAAGATAACTAACATAACACCCCTATAACCAGTCTCTCCGCATTGCTCCCCCATCCGGCTTCGCCGCCTCCACCTCCAACACCAACACCCGCCAACAACACAGCGCAGCCCGTCCCTCAAAGGGCGCCCCTTCGGCGCCGGGCCTCCCTGATACCCTCCGCAACAAGATCACCCTCCCCGCCATCCCATCCGCCTCCTCAACCAACAACCCCTCGGTAGCTGACATCCCAGCTTCGTCACACCCACTCGAAGCCCGCCTGCTCGCCTGGCGCGCTACCCAAGAGCAACTGAAGATGGAAGGTCTCCGACGAGCATACGGTATCGCGGAGCCCGTCCGCCGCGGCATGGAGCTGAAGATTGTTCGTGATAGCACCTTCCGTCCCGCCGTGCTGGGTGGTATGAAGGGCGGTAACGTCCACGAGGATATCCTTGTGCTTGGTGGCCGTGATGCGGAGATTGGCTGGGAGGATATTTTCCAGGGTATGCATTGCATCTGCACCGTTCTAGATTCCATTTTCATTTGCGTGATCGTGATATTTACGAGACCCTCCCATCGACTCTAATATATGCTAACCTCTTTCTCTTCTCTTTACAGGCGACGAGTTCCGCGAACCACCCACCTTCCACGATGAGATGGAGAAGCGCCTCAAAATGGACTTTTAAATGCAGCTCTCATGAATTGATCTTTTCTCACGCTTGTTGTTTCCCATTTTTCCTCGCCCCCTTCCCCGCGCCAGCATCGCTGTTCTAGGTCGACATGTTATATTAGTCACCTTCCCGATCTTCCCATGTCTTTGATGTCTATGATAGAGAGATAGAGTATCAGAGCGGTTGCATTGTAGGTCATCTTTTTGAAATAGGGCCTGCGATTGTAACCAATCCAATCTATTCTTCCGGCTTATCCACTCAGATCATTCTTGTCAGTGTTGCTGCGTAGTGTATATGGTCCCCGGGCCGGCCTTTAGAAAGGATGTGCTACAGTAGATGCTCTGTTGTATGTAGGGTATCCTATCTATTGAAAGCTTGCGTCCAGCCCCCCTTGGTTTGTATACAATTTGTGATATTTATCGAGCCTTCTACCCAACTTGAAATTTTGGAATGCTCTGCACACTAGGGTTGCTTAGTTGCCTCAACTGTGTAGCTAGGTACCGTTCATCTGATTCACTAACGCTCTCCAAGTCCCCTTTCATGAAAACACCTGAGTATACGATCATTCCAACTTGAAGGTTGTCTGTGAAGCAATACATTTCCTCATCTATCTCCACTCTCCAGTCTGGCACTACGCTCCCAGCCCATCCACCTGGGCAGACAAGCAATCAAGTACTAGTACTACTAATAGTAATGAGCCAAAACACGTAGAGCGTATACCTAATCTAGCCACAGAAACCCCAGATTCAAATCGACCCGAGCCAAGGTTCCAAGGGGGTCCCCGTAGTCCGCGTCTAAGGTTACGAAAACCTTCCCGTAGCCGTCCTAATCGAAGTTCTAGCCATGACCGGGCTTAGACATTGCCAGGGAGAGGGGATGAACTGAGTAGAATACGGCATTGGCAATCATATGTGCTACGAAAGAGCTAGGATTGAAGGAGAATAAGAATCACAAGGAGGGCAATGGTTCGTAGATACACAAGTCCCAGGACAAGCCATACAGAAAATAAGACAAAGGGGAAAAAAAGAAGAGAGACGAAGGGATCGAATGGGTATATAGATATAAGGATCAGGGCGGGACTGTGGACAAGATGAGGAGGATCAGGGAGAGGGAGAGAAAAGGCGCAAGCGCAAGCGCAGGAAAGTAACAGTGACAGGAATGCAGGCCAAAAGTGATTCCAACCTGATTTGAACAGGGAACAGTCGGGGAAAGCGGTGGTGAATCATATCCCATGTACAAGGCGAGGCGAGGCGATGCGGGCACAGCTCGAGACAGACAAAAAGGAGAGAAGAAGCCGTGATTCAAATTGAGTCCAGAGAACCAGAATCGAGGTGAAGGGGATGGCAGGCGGGTGTTATTGGGAAAGAAACGCTCGTGGTATCGATGGGCCAAGGAAGGAAGGAGAAGAAATAAAATGTCCAAAAACGCTGCTTCCAGAGCGTATATTCAATAGCAGAAGCCGTAGTTCTGTGACGCTGGGCAAAAGATGTTCCTGCATTCAGACAGCCTTGGGCGAAATGGCCACGATGCCAGGTGGTGGTGGGATTAGAGAGAGAGAGACCCAAATGCGGAGAGGGGGAGGGGGAAGTGGAGGTGGGTTTGGTTGATGTTCTGGAGAAGCGATCAGCACAGCCAACGCAAGGGCTGCGAGGGTGAGAGACACATCGCTTGGAATTGGATGTATAGCGTGTATACACCGTTTTATAAGATGACGCAACGACAACCCGGGCTGCGCTCGCTGGCTTCGCCTTCGCGACTGTACTGTGCCTTGGCTCCCTTCGCATCTTCCTCATCGACGACTTCTTGTGGCTTTACGGTCATATGTACGACATTGGGGGCATCGTGGTTGAATTTTGAGTCTGTTTCAGATTGGTGAGTCCGAGTCCGGGTTGGGATGAATATTAACAGCTGGGAGGGAAGTAGAGCACACAACATACCAGATAGAGGTGACTTGTCATCCAACAGTTTACCGAAAGAGATCAAGCGGATAGAGCTTGGTGACGAAGGACGAGTTTCCCAGTCTACGCAGAGTTAGAATCACATTCTCCTAATGCATAGAGAGACTGTGCAGGCGAACGAGCCCCCTGCGCGATTTATTATCACTCACCTGATCGCCACTCTCGCCAGATCAATTCCTTCAGGGTATAGACGCTGATGGCAAAAGGATCGTTGTTCTCCACGGTTATCGATCGCTTCTTGAGGTACTTTCCATCAATTGTGAAAGGGTGTCGCGAACCCGTCGTCAACAGCAGGGTAATGTCGAGCGACGGGCCGGTATCCTCCATCTCCTTCCCTGAAACATCCTCTGACTGTTCGGACGAATGCTCGACGTCAGGCTTGGTCTCTTGGGTATCCATTGTCGGTATATCGGTAGGCTGAGGCTGCGCGACGGGGGTTTGGTCGTCGTTTGCGGGAGTGGTGGTGGTAGTAGTCGTTGCTGTCATGGGGGCGACGAGGGAGTCGCCACCGCTGGCGGGGTGGTTCTCGGCGACCGCAGCACCTGACTGGGCGTCTTTGGCTGGGGCGACAGAAGTAGTGGCTTCGGTCTCGACCTCAGTCCCGGCGACAGGGTCCGTACTTGTGGGAGCGGACGGTATTTCGGTGATCGCGGTCGCGGTAGGTTGGAGTTCGACATGCTGCGGAGAAGTCGTGGCTCCGGGCACCCCAGACTCCGGGTGATCGCTGGAGGACATGGTTGGGTGGCCCCGATGGCAGACAATTAACTTTCCCGAGAGGGGGAAAGAACTTGGCAACGGGGAAGGTGGAAGTGGGAGAGAAAGAGAAAGAGGAGAAGGTGGTAGAGGTGAGGAGAGGAAGAAGAGGAGAAAAGAGAGGAGGAGAGAGAAGAGAGCAGGTGAGGAGTCGACTAAAGCGGGAGGACGTGCAATAGTCTTTTTTTCAGGCCTCTTTTGGCGAGGGAACACAAGGAAACAGCAAGTTGCGAATACTATACAATGCGTGAATTGCGTATAGATCTCAATCAAACGACAGGATCAAAAGAGGGAAAGGAGAGAGAAGTTGGTGAGGAGAGGAGAGGAGAGGAAGAGCCTGAGATCAGGGAAGATCGGCAGACAAAGACTAGGAACGGGGCCAGATCACTCTGTCCCCCATTTATCTCCACAGTAATACTAGTATACTAATACTGGGCAACTTGAACTAAGAATTATATCACGAAATAATCAGAAGATGATTCAAAAGACCAAGACCAGGGCAAACATCGGGATGAGCGGAGGAGGACGATAAGGAAGATCCGGGGTATCTCAGCCCTGAAGCCAAGAAGGTCAGCCCAGCCAAGAATACGTATTTGCATGCCTCGGAGATGCAGATGCAGATGCAGATGCAGATTGTATGGCTGGGAATTGCATTGCATTGACCTTGTTTACTTCAAGTTGCTGATATACTCCATGCTCCCATCGTTCCAGAAGTACCACTACGCTGGTATATACTAGTAGCTACGGATTTACCACCACACTCTAGGTGCTTGTCATCAAATCTGTATCATGAGTATGGTCTACTCTCATTGATCACAAGGACATCTCGAAATGAAAACCTCGATTTAACCCTCCACTCCCAGTGCCACTCCATCCAGGCCAAAACGAAACGCCGACAAACAAATCGAGTCGCACACGGTGAGGGGTTCACGTTTATTTCTCCCCCGTGGACAGTTGAGCTCCGTCATTGCATGGCCTCGTGCCGCATATGCAGGGGGGCACACAAGAGCCTGGAGTCGAGGTATATGGATGGATAATGCATGCTGAAGAAATACGGATAGGAACGCATGGACGATGGAGGATGTGAACTAAAAATCCGAATCAAACACAACCGGATCATACCGGATGATCGGGCGTGAACTCGGCATGCTTCTGCTTTCTCATGTGGGCCGGGGTTGAGCGCCGTGGACAGCCTGGCCCAAAGTATAACAAGTCGGTGGCCAGGGGAGGAAGGACGTTTGTACTGGCGCCGATCCATGCGATCCAGGTCCGGTTGCCTCGTTGACTTGCGGCCGGTAAAAATATCAATATCACCCACCCCCTTTCTCTCTTAGACCCAACCGGCGTACTGCTCGAGGACCTCGTTCTTCACTCCCTCCGACCCGTGTCGCACGCCCAAAAGCCTGACATTACCGATCTTTCCTCCAAAGTCATCTTCCACAGCACTTTGGTAGTTTTCAAACAGCTCCTTCAGTCGCGAGATCACCGTAGGGTCATCGCGAATCAGGAGCGCAATTGCATCGTATCCTCCCGCACCAGGAACCACACCACCAATGACACCATCAATGGCGGTCACTCGGTCCAGCAATTCGGTCTGCACACTGGGCTCGATCGGGACATCTGTTCGGCGGGTCATGGTGCGAATGTGATGGCGCGAGCGTTCAAGGAAGTTGTGGATTTCGGCGAAGTCACTATCGGTAATGGCATCCGGGTGCTGTGCCAGACGCTTGAGTTCTTGCCGCAATCGCTCATTGTTGTTTTGAAGACTGGCCCAGAGCACGTCGGCTTCATTGCGGTTGTTCTTGCGCCACTCCAGGACCTTTTTAACCATCGATGGGGTTTGGGAGCCGCACTCCACGTCGCACAGAACCATTTGCATGCCACGCGGGAGTTGCATGCCGAAATCCACGCACTCTGTGTCCCAGGGATGCGCGGGATCCGCATCCTCGACCACGGCAAACAGTCTCTCTTCAAATCCAGCAGATCCTACTTCTCCAACAGACTCCAGAATAGCGGGGGAGAATCGCTTGTACAGACATGATCCGTAGACAGCGGAAGCCACGTCAAATCCGGAGCCGACCTTACCCTGCGCTGCACAGTGGGCAGCCTGAGCCAAATTGTGAAGCTTGTCACGGCCAGCTCCCAGGTCGCTGGCTTGCATGGTCCGGTGGATCACCAGAGACGATACAAGGGCAGTGACCAATGCGGCGGATGAGCCGAGACCTGTCTTGTGGGCATCCTGGAGAGGAACGCCGAAGTTGGAAAAGCGCGCACTTTGGCCCTTGGCCGCTGGGCCCTTGGAGGTCGCTGTTTCCGAGTAGTAGTCGTTATCAGCCAAGATGGTGACCGACAGTGAACCAAAGTCCTTAGAGTCAGCAACGTAGCTGATGTAGGTCAAGGCGTAGCTCAAAGAGGTCTCGACGAAGGGATTCCGGGGGCTATTAGATGATAGATTGTTAGTTGTATGGGGGCTTTTTCTGGGATAAAAAACAAAACAGATTGCATCGTACCCTGTGCCTTTCTGGACGACTTTGACCCCGCCGCCATTGTCGCATCGTTGCACACCATATTCCCAGAGGGCATCGACGAATTGTGGAGAGCGCACAACAACTGTATCCTCTGCATCCTGGTCCTCGACGACTCCAGTGGTACTTGACTGGACATCGGGAACGAGGCCAGTGGGTTTGGGGTCGGTTGTTGACCCCGAGGTTCCACGGCGGTGACCTCTCCTTAATTGTTGAACAACAACGTGGATACGCGCATCGAGGGCGAAGACGGTACCGGTATAGTTACGGTCGAGGACAAGATAGCCTCCAGTCAGGAGGACCTTGCCCGGCGCGGAGAGAGCCGTGACTGAGGTAGACATTGAATGTGTTGAAGGGGGATTTTTGAAGAGGAAAGGCGGGGAGGTTCGATCTTCTGGAATGTTTTTGGTGCCCCGCGTACTCCGAGTCACCTCCACCACTACTAACTACCACTTTCCACTTTCCAATAGCTTTGCAATTTGCACTTGAAGTCTCGAGCTATGCTTGCTGTCATAATATCCTAAATCAAATCAAGAGCATTTACCAACTGGGGAGGTGATTTGTTCGTACTCGGGGCTGTAGTACTAATACTAGCAGATGATAGACCTGCCGATGCAAATGCAATGATCATGATGGGAGCATCATGATACTAGTGTTTTGCTCTACTAGTAAAATCGCAAATTATCGAAACCTTCATTTCTCATCTTACCATTAACAATCTATTCATGCAAACTTGAAGCTGGATAACCGCAATGGGAAGTGGAGAAAGAACGAGTGGAGATGCACCACCGACCACTCACCACTCACCATGAGTCAACATGAATCACCGAGGGGTTGCCCCGCGTCATGAACACCAGGAGAATAATTAGCCACAACCTAAGTTTAGATCATTATAAATAGCTTGAAGCTACAAGACGACATCCTACTCATCCATCACACAATTCCCCTTCTATCAAACACAATTTCCAGCCTATCTCATAATCTCAATTCCGCCACAACCACCATGGCACCCAATACTAGTATTGTCTTCTATGATATCGCCATGCGACCTCCCGCAGAGAAAAATGCCTGCTCACCAAACCCCTGGAAAGCCCGCCAAGCACTCAACTTCAAGGGCGTCCCTTACACAACCACATGGGTCCCCCTTCCCGAAGTAGCCAATGTCCGCCAAAAGCTTCAAGTACCAGCCTGTCGGAAATTCGCTGACGGCTCCGACTTCTACACCCTACCAATAATCGAGGATCCGAGCACAGGTACATTTGTCGGCGACTCCTACGATATCGCAGTCTATCTTCAAAAGACATACCCAGACTCCGGCGCTGGCGATCTCTTCCCACAGCAGAAACTCGACTACACTTTCAAGAACGATACAATCCCCGTCCCACTATCAGATATCCCCCAGAGCGGATTCCCCGAATACGCACGGTTCAACGTCCACGTTGATGCTTTGTTTAGCGCATTCGCTCAGCTTACTGTTGCGTGTTTCCCGTTTGACCCTGCCACGGCAGAGATCAGTAAGGCGGAAATGGCCCGTCGTGTGGGGGTCCCGAGTTGGGACGTTTTCGCGTTGAATGGCGAGGCTAGGGAGAAGACGAAGGATGGGTTCCGGGCTGCTCTTGATGAACTGGGGAAGCTTTTCCTCGAGGATGCTAGTGGGCCTTTTATCCTTGGATCGAGGGTTACTCATGCGGATTTTATTGTTGGTGGGTGGCTGCATATGTATAACGCGTGCCTTGCAGATGATGAATGGCAGGAGTTGAGGAGCTGGTATGACGGTCTATTTGGAAAACTTTATGATGCATTGGAGGCCTATGCGACGATGAACTAAGGTGCAGGGTATTGAGCTGGCCAGGCGCATGAGGAGGGGCGTTTATAACCTTGGATTCCATTAAAGGGCCTTCAATATTGTGAGAAAATAGTATCATAGTAAGTAGATAGTAGTTGTGGGTATAGATTTTAGGGTGCGAATATATTTCACCTGATCTTGGTGAGTAGTTAGTACATAAGAATTTTGCTGATGTGACTAGAAAGTGGTGTGCTAAGAAGTGGTGTCGTTAGGGTGACCCAGTCATATCCCATCGACGGCTTATCTCAATCTATGGAGTCTGAACATGGGAACTGAACTCGGACTGTACCAAACCTGGATTACTTGTAAAATATGTTATATAACAGGAAACTCTCATGCATACCTCCATAGTCGATCCGAGGGTATGTAACCAAGGAAGTGAATTCTTCATAGTAGGACAAGGGTTTAATACGAACAACATAGCGTATTCTCATTAGCCTTTTAACGTAGGGCTCACTTCGATGTTCGTCTTCAGGCACTTGGCCTGCATCCAGAATTTTTGCTGACCAAGATCTCAAGGTTTCATAACGTATTGAGAATTATCTGCAGCTATCCATGGCCCATCGTATCTCTTGAACTATGCTCTCTGGCTGTACTAGCTGGACGTTGTGACTGCAATACAGACGAACTGATCTGCTGAGACGAGAAAGTTTCAGAAGTTCTCTTTGCCAGTCCTCATCCATCTCGCGCCATCTATCGAGGCGTTTTCGAAACAGAGCTCTTTCTTCTTCTGTGCCGTTGCCTGCGGCCACTCCAAAGTCATACATTTTCTGGAAATCTCCAGGTGTATTTGCTATGATTACACTGACCGGGTAATCCCCAAGAGGTTGTCTCTCTAATTGCTTCTTGGGAACCATTGCCAGTCTATCTTTCGGCGCCGCTTGCATCTCAGCAGCCTCGGTGGCTTGATGTCGGGGATTAGCCTGCTCTTCTTTGACGGCTTTCCAGTCCTCCTCAGATAGAACATGGGACGTCACAAGACCGGTAGTTTCCATAAAATCCTGTCCACCGAGGACTGGATAGAAAACGTCCAAACCCCACGCACCATTGTCAAAAAAAAGTTCAGTATTGCAATCCACGAAGACCATGCCAACGATATCGCTCGGCCTTAGTTCTAGAAACTCGCGAGAAGTATAGCCTCCCCACGAGTGAGCGACAACGACGAACGGAGGTTCGATGCCAGCGTTCTTCAGGAGAACATCGAGCTCTGCTGCAACTGATGCTGCGGATATGCTTGATGGTGTCTGCTCCGGGCCTTCGCTCCTACCCATCCCTGAGCGATCGTAGTTCAGCCATCGAGCAAATGGAAGCACGAGCTCTCGCACTGCAACCCACTCATCGATCGTGCTGCCGAGGCCCTGCATAAGAATGGCGATAGGCTGCCCAGGCTTGCGATCGGGCCCCGAAACGGACAGATAAAGCTTGTGGGAGCCAATGGAGACAAGCCCACTCTTGTCACCTTTGTCCCAGTCGATTTCAGAAGTTTGTTGCATTGTAAACGGGTGTATATTAGAGTTGAGTAGCAATTAGTTGACGCCAAGTTGATTGATAGCGGGGAAGTGAAACATGTCCGAGCAACCGATTTTTAAAGTAGCCAAGCGGATCGCTTATTAAAGCAGCCTTGCCATCGGCCTCGGAAACTACTTTAGAATTATCTGGCTGCCTTGCTCAACAGGTTCGGACATTTTGGAGCAGAGACGATAAATAAAGTTTTCGACCTTGCCTTGAGCGCCCTGAATCTATCCCTAATTGAAGATTGTAATTTGAGGTGGCCATAACTTGCATTTTGTGATACGTACGAGCCACTTGCGCGACGTATAGAATTAAACTTAGTGTCCTATTTTCAACGTTTTTGTTAAGCTCCAAAATTGGATTCGTGTAGGGGGGGAGGAGTAGCAACCAAAGAACAAGAAAGAGGGGTAGGGGGTCGCTAGTATAGATGAGTTACGAGTCAAATACAACTTTCCAAGCTGTACTAACATGAAAGCAAACATATTGATATGAGAACCACCCAATTAAATCTCTCCCTTTGAGGATATATTATCCGGGAAAGGAGCCATGTACGTGTCGAGGTATAACTGATTTCGAAAGCCACTGTACCCCAAATTGCATGCTCTAGCGAATGATGTCTTGAAAAGGTTTACACCAATGTTAAGTAGTCTATGAATATATTCTTTCGGGGCGAGCGAAGGACCTCGGAAAAAACCTCGTATTTTAGCCTCGTAAAATACGAGCGGCGGGTCCCAGTTAAGGCGCGCTAGATCGACCCGGCGGTCACCCTCTGACAATAAATAGCCACCTGATGGTCGGTCTTCAGCTTTCTTAGTAGAAAAAAAAAGACTATGAATTCGAGCCCGTCTATCTACAGCTTGAATAATGTCTCCCCTGTCAAATCCATTCCATCTACCGCTCAGAGGTATCCTCCGACTTTCACGGGTTCTGTCCCAAAATCCAACTCCACTTCCCCGACCCGTCGCTCTGCGCGGCATACTCGAACCGCCCAGACTTACATCGATATCTGTCTCTGCATTCTCCACGCGGCGCTCGCTTCTTAATACGAAAATCCCCGGAAATAACCCATCCAATCCTAGGTCTGATGCGAAGAATACGGAGTCAGAGCATGAAGATCCGTTCAGTACTCCATCTGTCAGTCTGGAGTCTCTTGGAATTGGGAGGAATATGAAACTGTTTTTGCTGGTGGTGCTTTCTATTTTTGGTACCATTGAAACGTGGTTTTGGTGTAAAGCTATTTGGATATGGTGGAAAGGAAATGAGAATAAGGAGGAGGTTGAGTAGGAGAATGAGGTGTCTGATTGATGAGATATCCATGTATGATACTCGAAAGCTATTTGAATCAAGAATTAAAAAAGACTTCTAGACATATCGCTTCTTTATTTCTTTTTCATGGCATGAGAACTTGAACTATCCCAGCTGTCTGTCTGAACAGAAATACATTAAATTAAGCTTGAAATACGAGGCAGAGCTTTTAGATAGATCTTTCGAACCAAGAGATCTAGATACAGATCACAGTATGGAAGTATCTCTCAATGAAAACCGTTTATTAACAGAACTATGAAAATGCTATAAACAATATGCAAATGTGCTAGCATTGTCCAAGGGAACTCCAAACCCAACTCCAAGAGCAAGCCCAAAACACAATCGCAACAGAAAAAGAAAGCCGAAAATTGAAGTCCCCAAAAAATGAACCATGACGCCCAGCCCTTCTATATGTTTTATTATTTCTGTACAGGGGCTTTGCAAGTTTGAGATGGACAACGAGTTTTGCTCGAGCAACCCACGGCGGAAGGAAGAGGCGGGTTCGGCTCGGGAAGCCGAAACTTAGGGAGCCGAAGCAAACCGAGGCAGTGACGTAACAGACGTTTTGCGCCTGTCGCAGCCCGTCATGCCACAGCCTCACCTCACACACCGACGTGAAGGATTTATTATTTGCATCCAAAAAGCTTCACGCAACCTACCCCGCATTTATTCAGCCTTCGGCTTCTGCGCAATGATGCTATAGCTCGTCGTTGCCAGGCGCATATTATCCATCTTGACGAAAGCCTGGCCATCCAGACACAGGCGGTTGATGAGGGTCTTGAAGTGGCGGGGCAGGACGTGCAGCTTGACCATGGCGAGGATGCACTGGCGGAGGGTACGGAAGTAAAGGTCAACGGTATCGATCAGAGGCGCCTGTAGGCCGTCGATACTCGCGTTCTCAGACTTGACAATCTCGAAGCCAGACCCGGTTAGCGCCTGCTCCAAACTCTCCTGGGTGGGGGTGCCGACGGCACCGATCAATGGCTTGACTCGGCGCATCAATTCTGCGTGTTCGGGATTCGTGGGCTCGTAGGCGGGTAGGGCCATCCAGTCCAGAAGTGAGATCTTTGCGCCTGGCTTGACAACTCGGTATATCTCGGTGAAGAGGGCAGGTAAGTCCTTGCAGAGGCTTAGAGCCTGGATCTGGTAGAAGGCGTCGAAGCTTTCGTCGGCGAAGGGGAGCGGGAGGCTGTTGAAGTCTTGTTGGACGAAATTGTTTGACAAGCCGCGCTCCTCGTTGAATTGGTGTGCTTGCGCGACTTGGTTCGGGTCAATGTTCAGACCGGTGACTTGTGCGCCGGAGTATTGCGCCATGTGCGCGGCCACTCGACCGCGGCCACAGCCCAGATCAAGGACCTTGTCGCCGGCGGATAGACCGATATCCTGCGCGATTGAGCGTTCGTAAATGATCTGGTTCTCCAAGACTGAGGCCTTGCGACTCATCCATGGTGGGATGTACATCTTCTCAACATCGCCCAGGGCGCAAAGGTGATTGAGGACTCCGTAGTAGGATTTCAAGCAATCGCCCACCTTCTCCTGGTAATTGGAACCCAGGACCTCTCTCATCTGCTGCTCATTCGACCAATCGAGGTTATAGATCACATATGAAGCCATGAAGTCATCGACTTCCTTTGGCGTCAGGTTGGCAAGGTAGCGGAAAGAAGTCCAGAAAGACTTCCAGCGCTTTGGTGAAGCCGAATTGTCATCGTCCTTTCCATTCTTTCCCAGCGCGGCCGTGAAGATCTTTTGCTTTTCGTGCGCGATTTCGTCGAGGGAGCTGTCGCTTTCAGAGCCACGGCCAGTGCGCCCAGGATGGCGTGGCGTCTCCACGAGTGTTTGCGACACCATTATGTAGCGAAACTTAGTATAGAAGCTCGGATTATACAATGGGGAGTAAGATGGGAAGATTGGAGGGTAAAATGGTATGGAAAAAAAGTGGGATGAGGGGGTAGTTGGAGTGTATATGCGCCATTTCGCAACGCATCCTGGGGACCCAACGCAATTTATAAGCAGCGCTCGCACGCCCACCGATCCTCATTCTCCACGATTTCCGAAAAGAAAAAGAAATTGCCAGGCAAAGGCCGTGAGCGGTCAGTAGCCACAGTTGTGGATTGTCACCGGACCAGGAAGCTCATACCGGATAGGCCGGCAGGAGTTCGCGCCGAACGGACAGGGACGCCGAACGAGGCGGATTAACGAATAGTTTTCATAATGAATTCGGATAACCAGAGCAAGAACAGCCTTGGATGAGTTTCTTTCTTTGCCATCATTTTTCTCTGGGGATTGAGTTGCCCAAGGCATCAGTTGGAGCGGTCTATGAAAACGCGACATAGCCAGGTACGGATGACGCGGGAAGGGTCCTTGCGACGAAATGAGTATCGTCATGGGTGCGACGATCTAGACCCACCGGCTTTACATAGTCCTGTATCTCGATGTATATCCCACTCCATTCTGTGACAAGCACTCCGTAGAAATAGCAATTTTCAGATATTAGACAAAGCCCAGAATCCGGGCACATCATTTTGCATAAGCCCACGCCGCAAATGAGGACTTGTATAAAGCGCCGGGGGCGTCTGCGGCCCTGGTCAAGCCTCATGCACAGTTCCCTAATAGTGCTGCAAGCCGATCAAGGTACTTAGGTACCCCTCTCGTGAGTCACAGATTCTTCTGCAGGCCCGTTTCCCTTGCTTTTCCACTCCGCTTTTGCAACCTGGTTTATTTTGAAAGCCTTCATTGCATCAATGGGATGTACATACACTACACCAGACATGAACTAATGCAGGCGGTACGTATGGTTCCCTCTGAGTCTTCAAATCGATACATCCAAACAAGCACCCAGGACCCTTTGGTATTATCTACGCGGTAGTTTGGCAACGGGAGAGATATACCTCGTAGGGCGCATGGAGCCGCGGAATAGCCGCTTGGAGAAGACTTCTTTCCGTGGAACGGGAAGTGAAGAAAAAAAAGACGAAAAAAAATCAATGAGATTATTAAAGCCTACAATAAGTAAGCAGAACCATGTGGCCATGGCGCTGGGAGTGGACCAACGGGTAGTCTTTGATTCTGCGCTGTTATTGAGTGTTGATTGAATAACGCCATGGAGACCCTCAATGTCAGACCCACTTCCTTCGACTCCACTTGACGATCGGCGGGCGGTAGGGCGATTCAATCCGAGACTCCGACGTGCCCGTATTTCCGGTGCCGGTCAGCTGGATTACCCAATAAGGTAAAATGCTCCTTCACGGTGCCGGACAGGACGCGGACAAAGTGCGGACAAAGTCGAGCGGGCTAGAAGGCTAGCGGAAGAGTCCGTGTACGCTCGGATTTACGGAGTATTCTTGGCATTGCTTCTTTCTCTCGCTCTTCTTCCCAAGCGTTTAGCCGGTGGACGGGTTTTTTGGGTACGGAGGAATGTGGCACCACTTTTCTTACAATTGTACATTGTGTGGACATGCATGCGTGTAAAAGTGCCGTGGCAGGTTTTAAAATGGGGTGATACAAGGACTGATAGCTTGGGAGTGGGTTTGTGATATGAACACTGCGCCTTGACTGACTGTTGGACGTGAGATTCTGCCGCCTTTTAGAAGATCAACATGGACATAGCAACCGATGATGCAATTCTTGACACACAGTGGAGTGAGTGGACCGAAGGGTTTTTAAATGCTCACCTGCTCATCTTTTTCAAGATCAAGCATGGTGTAAAAGTAGGCGCTCTCTCTTTTCCTCGCTCTATGCGAATATTTACTAAAATTCCTTCAGGTCGATTTATATACTAGTTCTATTCCTAACTGATTACTGGGTCGCATTTTAAAAATCAACTTGAAAGCCAAGACATACATAATATCTCTTTTTTTTTCAGGTACATGTCCCAGACTGACGTTACACCTCACAAGTTTTTAAGGGTCCCCCATCCACTTCAGGATGATCGCATGTAGCTCTTTTTCCTTTCTGATATTCCACCAGCCACTCCCTTAAGACACAGGCCCGTGGAGCCACAATCAGTATGTATTGGTCCAAGGTTACGAGTAGTTTGGCATAGCCTACGATCGACTTAGTTCTCCATGGGAAATATCTAAGAACTTGAACTTTCTGGGGCGATACCAGTATACCGTACATATAAGATTCCAGTGGCAAAGGCCAAAAAAATCACAATTTGATCCTTCTGCGCGTGCTGTGGACCTATCAGCGAAGCAGCTATAGAATCAAGCAAAACGTTAAAAATGATAGCGACGCGACCAAATAGGTCAATGGTACAGAATATTTTCAGAGCGACAGGATACAACCGCAAATAGATTCCAAACCCACCGATTCTTCGCGATGCGCCATATGAGATGTATGTACAGTAAGTACCCCTCTTCGCTTCCCCTCCCCCAGCGATGATCAGGGTAGGACCACGGGACGCAGGTATCGATCGGCAGCGCGATGTCTCCCGTTTTAAGTGTCCGAGCGTCGGCGATTCTTATCCACAGGGACCGCCTGACGTCAGATTGATCATCTCCCAAATTGGGTGAATGCATCGGCGTAGCGTGAGGGGGAGAAAGTGTAGGGATACATTAGCTCGCTCTCTCGTACTTTGGTTCCGGTGGCTGCTCACTGAGTCACGGTGCTCGGGATACTTAAATGGGGTCGGTTTACGGAGTAAGGAGTACTCAGCTGTCGTATTGGTAAGCCGGTCTAGCCAATCTTAAGCTCAAGACCCAGATTGACATTGTCTGGAAAAACCAAAAAACCGGCTTTCCATTTTGTGATAAGTTGTCCGTTTTAGATTGTCCTGACATCAGAACGGGTGGGGCGCCATGGATTACGTGGAGGGCAAGCTTACCCCAGTAACTATGAGCCACGATAACATTGATACTATCGGATATCATGATTCATCATATTCTTGAAGAAATTCCAGGCGTCAGAGGGAAGACAGGTAGTATACAGCCCCGTTCTTTGAGATGACCCTTCTCGCTGCTTTGGATGATTCGGCATTCGAAGCATATCGCTGGGGGTAGGTCATCGTACATTGCTGAGGCTTAATCGATTGATTGTCAGTATGCAGCGCAAACGAGAGTTCACCCAGCTACTCGATAGTAATGTGCTTGTATGGTTCCTTTGTCGAGGCTGAAGAAGCCTAGAAGTGCATTTTCGAGGATCTCGATTGTTCCTGGAGAGTCTCGTGTTTCAAGGGTTGACAGGTCATGAATGAAGTTTGGGACTGTTGCTTAGTGACCCAGAACTATAGCGTGCCTGGTGTATAAGGTCAAAGGCGACCCAAACACAAGGGAGCCGAATAGACAAGCCAACCAAATAACAACCAGCACTACCCTCTGCATTTATGCAGATAATTCCACCTCCAACCATTGTCAATTGTCCTAATTATTATTATCATCACGATTAAGCGGGCATCTATTACGTTTATGCCCTGGTTTGCGGCACTTGCCACAAGATTGCCGTTGTCCTGGCCCTCGATTGGTTTGCGAAGCTACCGCAGACGTAGCCATATTTATGTCTCCCTCAATTTGTCGCCGGGCCAGGATATCCTCGGCGCTTAACCCATCCTCGTCGGACAGTTGACTATCCGGCGCTACTTGCTCTTGCTCTTCGAGCGCGGATCGCGCGTTCTCAGCATCTCGAAGCTGGTGTTCGGCGACTATAAACTGTAATTGGGACAGGAGTTATTGGAAACCTTTAGCAAACTGTTGTGTATGTTGGATAAGGTCGTCTGCGCGGCTATACGAGCGTTGTTGTTTATTTCTGGACGATTTGCTGAGGGTCTGGTCTTCGATAAGGGAACGCTTTGCCAGTTCGACGGTTTTAGCAAACTGATGCGTTTGCTGCATAAGGTCGACTGGGTGGTTTGATGGGCATTGGTGTTTACGCCTGATCGATTTGAGTTTGGATTGGACTTCGGCTTCTGAGAGGTTTAAGTCGGAGAAGACTTTTTTGGTCTTTGACAAGCTGTTTAAGTCGCTGGCTGGGATCGGGTAGAGGATAATCTGTCCTTTGTTGGCGAATTACTTTTGTACGCTTGACGAAGTTATGTGCCTAGCTCATGCCGACGGTAATATTGCTCTCGTCATCATCGTAACGGTTTGCCAGCAAACAATTGGCCATTTCTCGGACCCTTGATTGCAGGGGGACCAGGCCACGTTTCTCCTCGGATATTATCCATTTCAAAAGTGATTCCTCCTCCGTTGCAGTTAATTTCCGGCTATTTGGACGCGCAGTTGGGCGGTGAATTGCACCGTTGGTGCGACCCGATAAAGTTGAGCGCGGCACATCAAAACGTCGCGATGCTTCACTAAGAGATGTAATTTCCTTTTTTTCCAAGGGCTTGTATGGCCAATCGCATTCGGACCTCTTGCGCGAGTAATTTTTGATGGTTTGTATTGCGGCTTGGAGGCATGGTGGGTGTTTGAAATGTTGGGTTGTTTATAGTACGCGACTTGTTTAGGAGGTTAGGTTCGCCTGTGACGTGCAGTGGTGTTGCAAAAGTTTCAACCCCCTTGTTGACCGCCCATATTTCTGCCTTCCCAAGGGGAACAAGCAGCTAATCTATTCCATCTTAGGTAGCTACTAGTCTGCCATTATTAGAAGGCGGTCGATAATGGTTGGCAATAGGGGGGATTCAAACTTTTGCAACACCACTCTACTCGTACGTTGATCTCGATGTGTTCAATATGCGACACGTGACTCTATACTGTATATAGTCATGTGACGTCGATTGCTAAGCGGAGGGCGGAGTTCGGGCAGTCTTGGCACCGTCTCAGCCCAGTTTCACCTCTACAAGACGGAGGAGGTGTACTCCGTATACTCTGTAAGGAGAGAAGGGTTGATCTCGATGGCTCTTTGACCACAATGATAACAACTAGCACAAAGGTAAATTAATGATGATGACGAGAGACTAGCCTTTAGAAGATAAATGCCTCAATCTCACCAACTGTTAGGGCAGAGGGAGTGAGTATTCGGATACAAAGACCGTTAAGACCGGGCGGACAAACCGGGAGGCCGAGTCGGGGGAAAGGGGGGGTCAAGTCCGAAGAAAGGCAGAAAAAGACAGGAAAATATGAAGACTTGAAGAAAACGAACCGGAAGGAAGGTGACTCACTCAGGGGTTCCCGAGCATTTGCTGCACTGTGATTGGCTGTTCACTGTTGCGCAGCTGACCAACTGGCAGGAACCGGCGACCGGAAGGACTTCCGTAGTTTTGGTACGAGGATACACCGTATACAGTAGGTACTTGGTATACTTCATGTACTTGTACTTCTATACTATCGACTATACTTACGATGTATCCGTACTCACATGTACTATACCTCTTTTCGTATACTACACCTCGGTTGACGTGTCTTTGCAGCAGTAGTGTGGCTGTACAGGAATGTTGATCTAGAGAAGTATACAGATACTGTAAAGTATACTAAGGCAACTCAGATTCTCCGGAGAAGATCGGCCCTAAGAAACCCACTCTACCAATACTCCGTGCGACTCCATCTCCTTCCAGAATCCGCCCCGTTTTGACTGGTCTCTCCAGAGTGTGTCACTCCCTGTACTCGTACTATTTTTTTTAGGCTGCCTCCTCCCCTTCTCCTTTGCATCCTTTCTACTTTTTTATTATCAACAATTTTTGGTGACCGGCTCCCATACTGGTCCTTCTTTTCGATCTCTACTCCATACCTTCAACTCTAATATCCCTTCCCCTCATTCGCATTAGCGCGTTCATTGACGGCTCGGAGTCGTTCAATGAACCTGCACTCAAATTATTACTCGGAGTGCAAGGTATGCATGACACGGCCACCCCAGCGCGCTACGCGGACCACACACTAACTTGACGCGCTTCTAGCATTGCCTCTTCATTCTGAAGAGGTCTCCCGCAAGATAAATGGTTTTTAAACCGTTCACCCACCTCGCGCGCCAGAGTCTTTCCAAAGCCTTCTCCCATGGCTCCGTTCAATCGGTAGTCGCGGCGTCGCAATCTACCTACGCTTCAACCACCACCTTTAACTCCCTCGCTGCCCAACCTGCCGCCAAGTTCTCCCGTACACAACTTCAGAATGCCTGGTCCAACGCCTCCAGCTCGTCCGGCGCTGGCGCAAAGGCCAGCCAGGGTGGCTCAGGATCAGGGGACTTTGGGCTCAGCCGCCTATTATGCTGCTTGGCAGCATGCCCAGGCGACTGGCGATGATAGCGACTGGAAGCAATTCCAATTCAAGCGCCGCATTGGCTGGAAGCCTTCCGAGGATCTCGAGGATGTCAAGGAGGAGCGCAGTGTTTCGCCCGATTTGCCTCATCCCACCAAGGCTGCCGTCAACGAGAACGTCAGCGCCCAAGTCGAGGAGGCCGTCGCCCGCGAGATTCAAATTCAGGAGGAACAAGCCCAAGCCGAGGAGACATTAGAAGCAACCGAACCAGTCACCGAGTCCGCCGTCGAGGAAGCTGTTTTGTCGTCGGAAGCCGCCTCGGAGGCCCAGATCGCGTCGGATCACATTGTACTGTTGTCTCTGGAGAAGAAATATGCTGAAATCCCCGTTGCATTCGAGACCCTCCTCCGTGATGGCCTCATCCCAACCGTGGAGGCATACAATGCTCTTCTGGTCGCTGCCATCCGTCTTCACCCCGAAGCTGCCCAAGCAATCCCCAAGGCGCTAGACGTCTACTCTGATATGCTGCGTCGCAGGGTAATTCCCGATGAAGACACCTATCAAACCCTCGTTGAGCTGCTCATCGCCCAGGCGCATGAGACAATTGATGCCAAGGAAGTTTTGGAACAGGAACGGGCTCGCTATGGCGGTATGGAAGAACAGGGCAAATTCATGCTTCAGTCGAGCGAACTGGAACGCGAGATCCTTGCTGAGGACCACTCCCTGGCCATCGCTGTGAAACTCTTCAACACTGCTATCACTCGTCACTCACGACTAGCCTTGCCCGTCAACCTTTACCGCCAGCTCATCATCGCTTGTGCTCGTGAGGGCAAGGTCGAGGACATGATTCGCATCTACTCTCACATGGAAAAGCAGGATGTCACACCGCACGCGACCATCTTCCCGTACATGATCGACGCTTTCGCTGGCGTCGGTGACCTCAAGAGCGCGGTCGAATGCTACAACGAATACCGATCTCTGGCCGTCTCCGATGACAGTGGTATCTTCAGCATCGTCAAGCGCCTTGATGGAGAAGTTTATGCTGCTCTCATCCGTGCTTATCTGACCTGTGGCAAGGAAGAAGGTGCTCTGAACTTCCTAGACCGAATTCGCTCCTCGTTTAATGAGGTGACGGAGAACCGCGAGGGTCGATGGGGGGCCGTCGAAGAAGTTATCATTCAGGACGGTCTGGTACAACACTCGCTGAAGGCTGGTGACTACAGCATCGCCTTGGAGCAGGCCAAGACCCAGTTGCATGATGAGGCCCGCGATCAGGCCATTTCTCAAATTTGCATTGCGGCGGCCGATGCTGGCGATCTCACCACCGCTTCCGAGGCCTACGATCGTCTTTCGACTGCGCCTGCCATTCGCCAAACACCCGCCATCTCACTTCTTGCGCTCAATATTCGCCGGGGGAATGTTTCGGCGGCGCGTTCCTTGTGGATTATGTTGAACACGGTGGGTCAGGCAACCCCGGATATGGTTCAGCCGACCGCCATGTACGCGGTTGCCCAACTGAAGTCTGGCCATGTTGACGAGGGTCTCCACGAGGCGCGTAACATGTTCACCCGTATTCGCAACGCTTCTGCCAAACAATCCACCGTCAGCGCTTCCACCCAGGAACAGGTCACCGAATCGCTTCACCTCTTCGGTCGTGTCCTGATGCAGACGGCCGCTGTTCTCTCGCCTCAATCTTGCATGACCCTCCTGTGGTCCATGGTTGAGAACGGCGGTCTTGTTTCCCCTCTGGCCGAACATGCCGTTGCCAACCTGGGTCCTCAGGGCATCTCGAACATGAGCCCTGCTGACCTCACCCTGGCCCTCCAGGTTCAGGCCGGTATGCTGGCTAACAATAGCGCTATGCTGTTTGACGTCGCTCACCCTGTCCGCTTCGCTCACATGCTCGACGTCGCTCTGGCGGCTTCGCTCCCACTTGATGCCTATACCTCGAACCTGGTGGACCAAGCTGTCGCCAAGCTATTCACTAGCCGCCCCGATATCGTCAAGAAGTGGCAGGACCACCTCGAAGCCTCCTCTCAGGGCTCCATGGTTTCTGACCGCCGTAGCCCTGTCTCTATGGCTGAAACTTCGATCACGACTCCTTCATCCAGCTCCGACTCCTTCGACCCGTATGCCCATGCCACCGACTTTCGTGGGTCTGCCATCATCGCGGAGGAGCTTGAGAAGACCACTGGCCGAGCCGATACTCACCTCAATGAGGCACTGATTCGTCTGAAGAACATGCGTCGGATTGGTCGTCACCCTCGCTACATCACATACGCGAAGTTGATCACTGCTGCTGCTAAGGTTGGCCGGATGGACTTGGTTCATGACATCCACGCCATGGCGTGTGCTGATGTTCCTCTGACTCCCGCTCACAACGCCGTCAAGTATGGTTGGGTTTCTATTCTGGATGCCATGGTTGCTGCTTGCCTCACCGTTGGAGATCGTCACCTCGCTGGTCAATTCCACCAGGAGCTGCTTGGTCTGGGCTCTGCCCCCTCTGCCAACACCTTTGGTCTGTACATCACCACCCTGAAGGAATCCACCAAAACCTTTGACGAAGCCACCGAAGCTCTGAAGATCTTCCACCGTGCTATCGCCGAAGGCATTGAGCCTACATCTTTCTTGTACAACGCCCTCATTGGAAAGCTCGGCAAGGCTCGTCGCATCGACGATTGCCTCGCCTACTTCGCCGAGATGCGTGCCACCAACGTCCGCCCTACCAGTGTCACCTATGGTACTATTGTCAACGCCCTCTGCCGTGTTAGCGACGAGCGATTTGCCGAAGAGATGTTCGAGGAGATGGAGTCCATGCCCAACTACAAACCCCGCCCGGCTCCGTACAACTCCATGATCCAGTACTTCCTCAACACCAAGCGCGATCGCAGCAAGGTCCTGTCATACTACGAGCGGATGCAGGCGCGAAACATCAAGCCAACCATGCACACATACAAGCTTCTCATCGACGCCCACGCCTCCCTCGAGCCAATCGACATGGATGCCGCCGAGAAGGTTCTAGAGTCCATGAAGGCCGCCGGTCAACAACCCGACGCCGTCCACTACGCTTCTCTCGTCCACGCCAAGGGCTGCGATCAGCACAACCTGCCCGCCGCCCGCAAAGTTTTCGACGCCGTCGTTTCGGACCGTCGCGTCCGCCCGCAACCCTGCCTGTACCAGGCTCTCTTCGAGGCCATGGTCGCCAACAACAGCGTTTCCGACACCGAGGACGTCGTCAAGAACATGCTCCAGCGTAACGTCGAGATGACCGCCTACATTGCCAACACCCTCATTCACGGATGGGCCACTGAAGGCAGAGTCTCCAAGGCCAAGGCTATCTACGACAGCATCGGGCGGGAGAAGCGCGAGCCCAGCACCTACGAAGCCATGACCCGTGCTTTCCTCACTGCTGATGACCGCACTGCCGCCACTGGCATCGTCCAGGAGATGGTGTCTCGTGGATACCCTTCTGCTGTGGCTAGCAAAATCATCGACCTTGTCGGTGGTTCTTCTTCTCCCTCCGCCTAAACTCCTCCGAATTACCTACCTACCCGACTCGAATACCCCCAAAATTTCTTTCCCATTTGTTCTTATTTTGTTTTCTGTGATCTGTTTGAACAAAAGAAGACCAGGTCTGATACCGATTTAATTGTTTGTGAATCCCTTACCTACATCAAACTTTGTTTCTTGTCTTGCTAGGGCTGGATCCCTCGGCCTCTTATCTCTCTTGATGTTGTGGGCTTTTTATTCCCGGATTCGGCGCAGGCAGGGCCGACACAGTGGGTTTGGTTGGTTCTAGATACCTGGTTTTGCTTTTGTCTTGGTTTTTGATTTCTACTTTGCGTGGGAAAGATATCCTTACTTTGTTTCTGGCATTCAGCGATGGTTCCGGCGTTTTAAAATGGTGGTTTGTGGTTTTTTCTTTTGTTGCGACGTGTATACCATATTTGATCATGTTTGATGTTCATAGACCCATCTCTACTCTGCATGGCGCTACTAGACGCCCAAGATGAAATACAAAAAAAGTGAATGAGTATCTGGTTTTCTTGTAGAATAGTTGGGGTTGTAGCGAGTTTTGGAGTGGTGTGCTTCCTGCTCTTTGGAACTTGAAGATAACTGACTGAATATGAAAATCCACAAGGCCAATCCGCGATACTTTGACGAAGATGAGCGTTTGGTTTTTATCTCAAAGTAGGGCACCCTGTAGTTCCACATTCTGCTATTGATGAAATGACTGTTGACTTGCGCCAAGGGATGCCCTTATCTCCCTCTTTGACCCAGTCGTGAAGAATAGCCTCGGTCTTGTTCGCCAACAAATCAAAGATGCTCGGAAAGAGGAGGGGAAGGACATCATCAAGGTAAGGCATCCGAGCATTCGTCATGATCTCGTTATTCCTGTATAATCTACCATTATTGGAAGATCTCTTGTCTAATAATTTATTAGCAAATCATTCTTGTCGGTGGCTTCGGTGACTCTGAGTATCTTTTCGAGGCCTTCGAGAAGGAATACGGTTCCAAGAAGATTAAAATCACTGTTCCTGACAACCCGTGAGTGTCTTCTTGCCAGCTGTATGAGAGTCATAGTGTTGCATTGGCTAATTACGAACGAACTATTTTTTATAGGCAAGCGGCCATTGTTCAAGTTGCTGCCCTCCGTGGCATTCAAAGTCTTCGTTCTACCACCAGACGGTGTCGGCGAAATTACGGATACGAATGCTGGCGTCCATTCCGCGAGGGCGTCGACAGTGAGTCCAATGCTACCATTCACCCAGTGACAAGCGAAAAGATCGCCTATGGTTATGTGGAATGGTTCATCAAGAGAGTGAGCTCTATCAGGACAACCCCCGAGCATAGAAGGAGGCTAACAGAATTGATCTCTTTTGTTCACGAGGCGAAAAGTACCATGAGAATGAGGCTCGCTCGATAGCAGTGGATGTTGACTTGCAGGAGGAGGCAATGGAAAGGACCGATCCACTTCTCGCCTGCGATCTCAAGAATCCACCGGAAAGAGCCGATTCGGGTTGAGTATTTGACATTCCAGGATGCTCCAGCATAGCTAACCTCGATTCAAATGATATCTACGAAGTTGGACTTATTACCAGCGATTTCGAGGACGCAGATCTCTCGAAATCTCGGTCTAACGTAAAAATGGCAACCGAGCATACAGCCCACCGCGGCCAAGATCGAGTCTGGCGGGAGATCAACACCCTGGACCGCCGAGCCGCCATCAACATGCCGAGCCCTCGCTGGCCACTCCGCTCGATGCCTTCACGCCCGGGCAGCAGCCAAGATCACTCACGTACGAGACGTTGCAGCCCTACTCTAGTGCTCTGCTATGCGCGTTAGTGCTGGGATATAACCGAGTTTCCCCTGAATCATGCAAGCCCCAGGCCTGCCCCTGGTTTGTCCGGGGCTGCTGGCATAAAGTAGATTGCTGCTTTTTTTTTGCACCCCCGAATGACCGTTGTGGGCATTCCTTCATTTCGCTCTTGAGTGGCTCCCGCTATACCATGCCTTCTTCTCTAGCGAGCAGCTGGATACTCGCTAGCTGCCTGGGGGCTATGATGGTGCACGCATCAGGCGTGCTCGAGACAGACCTCCTCTTCCCCCGCAACAAGACCTATACGCCTACTGAGTGGTTCCCCGTGGTCTTTGGGGTCCAGAACCCCGAGCTGGCGCCGCTTGTCGACCTGGACATCTCGTTCACGATCCGGAATGTGAACAATATGAGCGACATCGTGCACTGGCCGACAGAGATCGATTGGACGAACAACACTAGTAAAGATCCGTATTTCTTCTATGCCTACTTCTCTGAATTCCGCACCCCCGGCCACTGGCGGGTCGCCTGGAACGTCCACTGGAAGAGCTGCAACGAGTTTGCCCTCTTCAACACCAGTATGCTCCCGCGTGCGGAGATGATTACCAACTCTACCGGCTGGTCAACCTGGTTCACGATCGAGGAAGACGGGGCTCCAGCAGATATCGTCACGGACACGGCGCGAGACTCCTGCCCCGACGAATTCGCCGTCCCTATCACCGTTACTAACTACACCATCCGGGTCCCTGCGGACGAAGAATGGTCTAACGGCCGCGACTGTGCGGTGGTGGATCTCTCGCCTACACCGAAGCTCTCGCCTGATCCCTGTCGTATCGATGTCAGCGAGGCCGTGGTCGAGAGCATAGAGGCCTCGTGGCAAGCGAGATTGTGCAAGAGGGCGAATCCTCCCGATGACTGCCCTGTGAATGAGAATGCAGCACAGGGCCTGGTAGTTGTTGGACTGTCGTGTCTCCTGGCGGTCTTTGGGGCCGTTGGCTTCCTGCTCGCGCCGTTTTGAACCGGTGCTTTCCTGTAACCTGCTACCACTGTCGGAGTACGGAGTATGCCGTTCTTTGCGTTCGCACTACCTCAGCAGCGGATACAGTTTTGAACTCACATTTGGAGCACAGGAGGGTATCTTGAAGTTCCAAGGAATCTGCGATGGAAAGGCAATCGGGCACAGCCAGATTGATTACACCAAATTCAAGGCCGAAAGAGGGACTTAAATGCCCGGGCCGTCTGAGATGGGAAATGGTGGGCTAGTGCAGTGTCAAGCACAGATGGAAGTCATGGGGCAATATAAATAGTTCAAGTGGCTAGGAAATTGAACTTTATCGTGATTAAGGGTCCAAATCCTAGTATTAGTACCATGGTAGATGTTGTAAATCAAGTAAACCAAGATTCGACCGATCGATCTGATGCATCGGGGAATTCCGCAGCCAAATCGATATCAACCCATATTATATACATTTGCCTCTCCACTTCTCACCTCGCCTCATATCACAGTTGCTCCAGATACCTCTATTGCACTCTCGTCATTGAACCTGGACAAATTAAATGGTTCATCGCCTCCATCTCCCTGCTACTCGCAACCTCCACTCGTTTCTCCGCATCGACGTCCGCACTGCCCGCCAACTTAAACCCCACCTCCACCTTCACGCCCGACATTCTTCCACTGCTCGACTCACCACCAACCACAGATCCAACATGTCGCATAACGACGCAGAGTTGGACGCCCAGTCACGACGTCCAAAGAAGCTAATCTGTACGCAAATGACCCTCGTCGCAGCCCTCGCCCCATGCGCAAATCCCATCGTGACATGCCCCGCGTGGAACGTATGACTCCTCGTCGGAGCTTCAAAACTGACCAACAACACTACAGTCGCCCCGGGAGATATTGCGCCTGAATCCGAAACTCCAAACACATCCGAGACCGCAGCAAACCCTACATCAGCCCTCCCATCACACCTCGCCCCCGGCGAAGCCCTCCGCTCCGATACCTCGACGCCCACCTCCACGACCGAGACCCAGATATTGTCACACCCTGCTCGAGCACACCAGTTCGTGACCAATCCACCCTTAACAGTCTCCCAGATCCACGGCACAAACCCTCTCCGTCAATTCAACGCCTGGTTCCGTGATCCGCGTTTGCCTGCCAGCTCGGCACCCGAGACTTGCACCCTTGCGACAGCATCCCTGCCCTCTGGCCGTATCAGCTCGCGTGTGTTATATCTGAAAGAACTGGATGAGCGGGGATGGGTCGTTTACAGCAATTGGGGCAGTCGGGAAGGAAAGGGCGCGCAAGTCTTCGGGCAAGATGTCAGCGGCGCCAATGCGATTGGATCAATGCCTGAGCCCGGTGACGAAGGACAAACTGCCGGTAATAAGTGGGGGGGCCCTGACATTCTGCTGGTCTACTGTTGAGCGTCAAGTTCGGGTGGAGGGTCTCTTGGAGCCACTTAGTCGTGAAGAGAGCGAGCTCTACTGGCGTACTCGAGAGCGGGGCAGTCAGATTGGAGCTTGGGCGAGCTGGCAGAGTCGTGTTCTCTGGTCTGCGGAACCGGGACAGATGGACGAGAATCAGCGTCGCAAGAGCGTTGCGAAGCTTCAGCCTATTGAGGGATCTGCCTCTGGCGTGGAAATCCCCGCCGATATCGACCAGACGGATATTAATGATGGGCGGGCCATGCTTGAACAATTGGTTAATGAGATGGAGAAGAAATTTGAGGGCGTGGAGCAGATCCCTCTACCTCCTTTCTGGGGTGGTGTGAGACTGGTTCCTGAGTCTGTGGAATTCTGGCAGGGTCGTCGGAGTCGACTTCATGATCGATTCCGATATATCCGTATTGATGGCGCTGGTGATGATGCGCAGTGGCGGCTGCAAAGATTGTCGCCGTAGAATTTATGTTATGAAATACTATAGCTAGACATTGGCCTGTGTGATTCTACTTTTATTCATAAAGAGCTATCGACATCGTATACTTCCCCCACTGGCAGTTCATCCCCCTGCACCCTGGGGCATGCCGATCAGTCATTATCTTATCACCCCGGCCGGCGTCGCAACGTGAACCTCCCCGAACTCCTCCCTTCCACTCTCATCTCCACCAAAACCTCGCTATATACGTGATTAATCCCCTTGGACATAGCTGCCGGTCCAGCTCGGGTATATAAACAGCCAATATGTCTTCCACAGCAGCCCCAAAATCCTCCACCTCCCCCTGGATCGTCCTCGCCCTGGCCAGCGGCGCCTTCGCCGCGTTGAACGGACTCTTCGCGAAACTGTAAGATGCGCACGTCTACCAGCAGGAGTGCAGAGACAACCCGAAGCCCTTATATCCACGAGCAAGCCAATTGACCACCGCAGTACAACGGACAACCACACCACAGCCTTCGCGCAATCCCTCGCCCACATCTTTGGCCTCGACTCCTCCCCATTCCTAGAACTCCTCGTCCGCGGCGTACGTCATGATACTTTCTTTATTTCTTTATTCTCTCAAGTCGCGACCCTTGTATACGCGCTCAGAATGGCAAGGACTCACATACTCACGATTGGCGCAAACAGGCATGTCTCGGTCTCAACGTCCTCTGCAACATTATCATGTGGGCACTCTTCACCCGCGCCCTCACAGCCGGTCCATCGACGACAAAGGTCTCCATCACAAACACCGCCTCTAACTTTTTGATGACGGCTTTCTTGGGTATGATTGTTTTTCAAGAGGCAGTGGGTGGATTGTGGTGGCTGGGTGCGGCGATGATGGGTGCTGGGTGTATTTTGGTTGGGATGCGTGAGGGGGCGTAGTTCAAGTCTGATTTTTGGATTATCTTATATCATATATCATATCTCATATATTGTTGGAATGGATTGCATTTGGGCCTTTGGAGTTTCATAGTTTGAGGCTCTGCTAAGCATCGTGCTTGTGCTACCTTGGAAGTCTATCTTGTCCCACTATCGATTACCCTGGGGAACCAAAATCCAAGCATCCATGGATGGGGGGAGTTCATACCGGTATTATTCAAGTTTACTGATTTAATTAGTCCATGGAAAGGAACGAAGGGTACCATATCTAGAAAGTTCAAGATGATCGGAATGAATTTCACGAGCAACGCTTTATATAATGCATCCATCTCTTCTATCCGCCTATATCCACATAATTGTTACAGTCCTAAGGGCGACCAGGTCGTCCCTCTCTCTCCTCCAATTCAACGAAACCATCATCTTCCGTCCCATCTAAGATCCCCGTTGATTCCGCTTGTCCGGAGCGATCCCGTTCACCCAGCCGCACGGGACGACTAGCACGCGACGAGCCAGACACAAATCCAACGGCTTTCTGGATGATCCGCCAGACGCGCTCTTCCAAGGTTTCCGAAGCAGGAGTACTTAAATGGCCTCCCAGCGGTGCAGAGGAAAACTCCGACGCTGTGGTTGCCGCAAGCGCGTGCTCCTCGGCCTCGACCTTGAACTGGTATTTCAAGCAATCCTTGACTGTGACCAGGCCAGTCAGACGGCCACGGTGTTCAACGAGAATAACTCGCGGACCCATCTTCTTGAAGATTTCCATGACAGTCTCGAGGGGAGACGCGGGTGCACGCTCAATGGAGTGTGATCGACGTAGCGGGAGAAGTCGACGAATCCAGCACCCACGCTCGTTTGGATCGCATCAAAAGTGTCCGGCGCCAGAGCTTGGGAACGCTCCGAGACGGAAGCTCGCTGTGCGACTGATGCATCTGCAGCTTCCTTGGTAAAGACGCATCGCGCCCGAGGCGAGAGGAGACCGTCACTACGTGCGCGGTCGATGGCGTAGCGGAGTTCCGTGCGTCCGATATAGCCGACGAGCGTTTTATTGCTGCGGTCCTCCACGATTGGGAATCCCTGGAACTTGTTGTCGTTCAAGAGGTGCTCTGCTTCACGGACGGGGAAATCGGATGCGGGGAGTGTGAGCGGACCGGTCGTCATTGCGTGTGAGACTGGGACGTTGAAGACGTGGTCTTCCTTATTGTCTAGGAATGGGAACCCGTTAAACCAGATCATTCGGTCTGCGATACCTCCGTTTCCGAATCGGTCGCCAACGGCTTTGGTTACGCCCACGACGATCTGTGTAAAAAGGGCTGTCAGCATTAGTCCTCCTCTGGATGGACTAAATACATACCATAGTCGGCAAGATGTAAGTCAAGGCACCTGTGAGTTCAAACATGATGACCGTAACTGAAATGGTGAGATGCATGATGCCGCTGAGAGCCGCTGCTGCTCCCAGGAAAGCATATGTTCCTGGCGTAATACATGGGACATCAGGTTCGCATGATGCAAAGAAGGCGGAGTCGGGGAAGTGTTCATATAGTGCCTGCACTATAATCCCCACCATGCGACCAAAGGAGGCACCGATGGCCATTGATGGGACGAAAATACCTGCCGGTACCTTACATCCATATGAGATGATGACCAGGCCGGTACGCAAAATAGTAGCAACAGCCAAGGAAAGGACCATGACCAGACGATTCTCTTTCCTAAGGAAGGGTTAGTACGCTTTTCTATATGCAGCAGCTAGTAATTGTGTACTTACTCGCAAAGCCCGTGATAGTCATGTCCCCCCTTACATTCGCGAAAGAGAATCTCCATCATTTCGGTCATGTTGATCTTGAGAAAGATATTGGGGTAGCATAGGATTGCAGTGACCGCGGCGAGAAATACGGACTCTGAGATTGGGTATTTCCCAAGATACTTTTTGCGGAAGGCTGCTACCCGGAGATTCCATTTGATGACAAGAGCGCCATACAAACCGCCGAATACTCCCAGGAATATGAAGAAAATCAACTCGAAAAAGTGCCACGTGCGATCGTATGCGACCTGGAACATGACCAGCTGTCCGGTTCGAAAGGGGTTCAAGGCCTGATGAGGTCAGTCGCGATAGTCTATAGAATATATGGGGATAGCATACCGCTAGGACACTCGTCGCAACCAAAGCACAGAAATAGCTTCGCCAAAGAGTTTTGAGTGGGAAGTAGTTGGCCATTTCCTACAAAATTATTAGCTCCAGTCGCCATAATTGTAGCACCGTTGCAAATCACACCTCAAGTGAAAAGATCACACCACCAATGGGGCTGCCGAAAGCGACAGCCACACCAGCAGCCGCTGATGCGGTCAAGATTTCTCTTGTTTTTGAAGCACTTTGCTTATATTTTCCGAACCATCGTGAGATGACATTTCCTGTGCACACAGCAAAATGAACGCTAGGTCCCTCCTTTCCGACGGAAAGGCCGGATGCAATAGCTAGTGGCAAAGCAATCGACTTAATCAGGAGAGTCCAGGCTCCAAGGAAACCCTTCATGACAAAGCCCGCAATAATGCATTTGATCTCTGAAATACCAGAGCCAGCAGCATATGGAGCAAATGTCTTGACCAGAACTGCTGCGATGAAAGCAAGTAATACCTAGGAGATAAGTTAGCCACACCGTCTCGTCCCTTCTTTTTTTCCCCAGACCGGAATCTTACAGCAAAAAAGAAATAAATGACGTAGTTTATCAACCAGAACCCAGTCCAGTGCTTCCATTCAGGACAACCTTTGAAAGCTCCGAGTTAGAAAAGTAGACCCAGTGAGAAGGATCTCGAATCTTGCCACGTACCTCCTTCGGCGCCCCAGCAGCAGAACTGCTCATTGAGATAGAATGCGGTCGTGCAATGGCCCAATTTGATATCGGACAGCCACTCAGTGATAATATTTAATAGCGCCGAGTTCAATCCAATCGCCATTCCCACGAGGGTCACCACAAGCCAAGCCTGGCCAGCATCGTAGGACTCGATCACCTTGCGACGCCAACCAAAGATACCTTCTTGGTCCCAAAAGCCACCACCATTCCGTCGCTTTGCTCGGCGATGATTCTGCTCGTAGACTGCATCTTGAACCCAATCGATGGTTGTAAAATCCTCATAGCGCTTGATCTCACTGATTTCCTCTGTGATCGCGGTGGGTTGGGGCTCGGGAGCTGTTTCACGAATAGGGGACCTCTGGGAGGAGACAGATCGACCGGATAGCCTGCGCAGATCGCGGCGCTCTGACAAGATGGAAGGCGACCGCAGTGAGGTCGGGGAGGGGCGTAACGAGGTCATAACATCAAGCGGGGCGGTTATATGAGCATAGTCAAGCTTAAAAGGCTTGGTAGTCGATGATGCTCTCCCGCCGCGATGGGGGAGAATCGCAAAGGTTGCCGCCGAGGATTAACGCGGTTCAATTCTCAAAGTTCTTGCCAGTTATGCGAAGGGATCTGCAAAGTGTCAAAAGGGAGTCAGTGACAGCGATAGTGAAATTAGAATAATTGCGATGGGAGGACCTCCTTGAGGCAGAGGTAGCCAAGTGGTTAATCGATAACGGGGAGGCTGCTGAGATAAGATTGCAACTGCACTTGGACCCATGAATCTGGACGCGTTTAACCTTTGGATTTTCGACCCTCGCGTACTTTCGCTATATCCCCTGGAAGATTCGTGCTTCTCTGTGCTACTTAGTGCAATCTTTCATTTTGGATTCTCTGGTTGTCGATTCCTTTCATATTATTCCGCCATGTCTTCAAAGAATGCCGCCGAGTCGGAGGAAATCACCGGCCAGAGTGCTCTGCCAAGTACGTTTGTGGAAAAACGACACATCTGACGGACAAGAACGAGCTTGGCTAACCATTTTCTAGTCTCTCGAATCAAGAAGATCATTCAGCTAGACGAGGATATTGTGCAATGTTCCAGTAACGCGACTTTCGTCATTGCTATGGCTACTGTACGTCCCCGATTACCTCCTCCGCCATGCCTACACGCTCACTGACACCACCCATAGGAGATGTTCATCAAGCACCTCGCCGAGCAAGGCCACAATGTGGTCAAGTCCGAACGGAAACCGCGCAAAACCGTTCAATACAAAGACCTCGGTGGGTAGTCTGGTGACCACTTGCCACGTCGCAGCGGCGCATTGAAACGGGCCAAGCTAATATCAATATCTCATATAGCAAGCGCAGTCTCACATACCGATAACCTCGAATTCCTCTCCGATGTGATTCCCAAGACTACGACCTACAAACAATTCAAAGAGAAGAAGGCCAAGGAATCCACCGAGATGGAGAAGGGTCAGCGCACGCTGAATGGAACAGGCGCGGCGCCGGCCAAGGCAAATGGCTCGACCCCTGAAAAGAACACTGCTAAGATGAATGAATCGACGGCCTCGTCGCCAACAGTTCCGCGAACACCGGTTGTGCCTGTGAGCGCGTTGATTGCGGATCGGACAGTCGAAGCCCCCGGGCCGACCGCTCAGGACCCGGATGTTGAAATGAGGGATTGAGGGAGCCTCGAATGGAGGGAATGTGATTGTTCTTTGCATACATCAAGAGGATTTGCTGCGTTCACCTGCTTTGCATTGGAGTTATCTGGAATTTCGGGGGCAGTTTTTGGGTGTTTTTTTGGACTTACCGGGACGTCTCGGGAGCGGCTACTGTAGATACCAGCGGTGATAATGGTCAGGAAAAAAAAAGTGTTTCACTATTCCAATGATCAATGATACCCCGAGTAGGAGAATAGAATTAAAATAACTATATTCACTCTAATTTAAGTAGATATATGGACTCGACAGAGTAGTAATGGTAGCACTTATACTCGGCAAGGTGTCGGCGACCCGCTCAGCCAATGAGAGGCCGCGTGATTCCGATCGCTAGCGAAAGCTCTGGCTCCAACTTCACTTCCGACTTCATCCACCTCCTACTCCCCCTACCCACTCGCAACCACCCACTCCCCCAATTGCGGACATACCCTTCGTGGTCAATTTACCATGTCGCTCTCCTCCGCTTCCAGCACTCTGCTGCGCACTTGCGCCCGCCAGCAGCTGCCCACCTCCCGCGCCGCCGTCACCTCCTGCCAACAGCGGAGGGGAGTTTCCGATGCGAAGGCCTCCTTCGAGAGCCCCTTCGCCACCGCCAACGAGCGTGGCTCGACTCTGAAGATCCCCAACTTCAGCAAATACCAGTCCAAGAACAGCCCCCGCTCCAACCAGGTCTTCTCCTACTTCATGGCTGGCACCATGGGTCTGGCTACCGCCGTCGGTGCCAAGGCCACCGTTCAGGGTACGTTCCCTCTTTACCTTTACCTTTACCCGATGCAAATGAGATGGATGGATGCAACAAACGACTGTGGAAGAACAGAAAGAAGCAATTGATCGGGAGTGATGATATCCGGGGCATTATATACACACACATTGGTGGTGAGATTTGGGTGACATCGTGACTGACCGCGTGTTTCACCTACAGATTTCCTGGTCAACATGTCCGCCTCCGCCGACGTCCTGGCCCAGGCCAAGGTTGAGATCTCTCTCGGTGCTATCCCCGAGGGCAAGAACGTATGTGTTTTCTCCATCCCCCACACTCCGGGGACTTCTTCTCCTCTCGCCTCCCCTCCAATCTCTAATCCCATCAACAGGTCATCATCAAGTGGCGTGGTAAGCCCGTTTTCATCCGTCACCGTACCCAGGGTGAGATCGACGAGGCCCGCGAGATCAAGTGGGAGGGTCTCCGTGACCCTCAGCGTGATGAGGACCGCGCCCAGCGCCCCGAGTGGCTGGTCATGCTGGGTGTCTGCACCCACTTGGGTTGTGTGCCCATCGGTGAGGCCGGTGACTACGGCGGCTGGTTCTGCCCCTGCCACGGCTCCCACTACGATATCTCCGGTCGTATTCGCAAGGGCCCTGCCCCTCTGAACCTCGAGGTTCCCGCTTACAGCTTCCCCGAGGATGAGACCCTCGTCATCGGATAAACGGATCGCCCGAACAACAATTCCTCATCATAAACAAAACGCCTGAAAACCGAACTTCTTCTGTGCGTCGGAAAATGATCTCTTGTTGAAAGTTAGACCAGTGATTTGGTTGCTTGGGTAAAGACATTTCATTGTGTCTTTGTGTATGTGCTTGTGATTCTCTTTTCTTTTCCTTTTCCTTTTTATCCCTTGTGTTTTAGACAGAGCGGGCCGTGTGTGTCGTGTCAAGATTAAAGAGACCGTGTTTAATTATGGACAAAAAATGAGCCTCTTTCATACCTTTTACACTGTTGTCCTTGGTCCTCGGTCCTCGCTTCCATTGATCTACGGATTGTCTCTTTTTTGGAGAACCCTCTGCTCCGGCTGTTCCGCCTAACCTGGGTGTCTCCTTGAGTACAGTACATACCTTGTGTTCTATATTTGCCAGTGTATTGCCTAGTCATGACATTTCCTTTGTTATCCACATTCTCGCCCTTTGCTAGGTACTATCTAGGCTCCCTGTAAGAGTGGATGAAGCCAAGTCCCCTCGGTATAGCGAGGGCTTCAATGGTGGGAATTTCTTTTTTTTTTCGATAACAGTACACGGGGTTCTGATGACCCAAATAATTCTATCTCTTCATCTGTACATGTATATTGACCAATTAGTCAGGGGATATGTAGCAAAGCCTCGATGTCAGGCGTGAGATCTAAGATGGACAACATCCTACAAGATCTCTTTCCTTTTCTGTCCGCCATGTACAATCAGATCCAAGGGCCTTTTATCGGGGATTCACCAAAGCAAGCACCAGGCCCATCACGGCTGCGCCGGCTGCGGCACTTTGAATAGCAGCGACGGTAAGATCACGTTGTGAAGTAGAAACGCTGCGCTCGCTGAAGAGCTCATTGAAAGCGGTCTGCCAGTATTCAAGGGATAGGGGCGAGGAGGAGATATTAGAAAGACGGGAGGATAGAGACTCGGGAGTAGTCGTGGGTGGTGTCTCAGACACAAGCGCAGCTGTGTTACTACTCTCCACTATTGGCTTCGCTGGCTCCTCGGTAGTGGAGGTCTCAAGGGAAGAGATAGAAGATTCGATCGCAGAATCAACCTGTTCGGGAGTAGCCGAGGCCAGGGCAGCGAAGGCGGGTGTAGTGCCTTCAGCAATCTCGGTACGAATCAACGCCTTCTCCTTCTCGATAGCCTCAACAACCTTATCCTCGAAGCCCTTGACTAGTCGGCGCCGGCGCCAAGGCTCCACAGCAATCTGGAATATCAGGAAAAGCAGGACGTTGACGCCCATAAGACCCCAGGTTCCCCAGGTACTCATGCGGCGGATCTTATCAGACCACACCTGCTCCTCGTGGTAACGGGATAGAATGCTCTTGCTCAATGAAGCGGCCGCCTCTTCGGCCTCGCGCTCGGCGGCAGAGAGGGCTTCTTGCGTTTCCGCCTCGGCAACCTCATTGGTATGGTCGTTTCGGTAGAGAAGGGTGAATCGCTCCAGGTCTGTTGGGGACCAAGCGTGTTTGCGCTGGAGAAGCTCATTGACTTCGCGCTGGGAGGTCGAGCGACGGGTGATAGCGGCTGAGTATTCGTCCTTGGCTTTTCGAACGTTTGATCTGGCGGCTCGGAGTCGTTCCTCTATGTGGAGCAAGAAGTTAGATCTAGATTCAAGATATGCCACCTGTTTTGGAGATATGTATGGTTCGTACCTTGGCTGTGTATCTCGTTTTTCAAAGCTTCGATCCCAGAGTAACCCGTCAGGTCGTTTAGACGTTGTCCAGCCACAAATACATTGGACTGGATATTATCCATCATAGTCGTGAATTGCTTCGACACCTGTGACCGACGACTCTCCAGATACGACGGGAGTCCGCCGCTCCGAGCACCATCGGCACCAGTCCCCTGGCTGTTTGCTTGTTCCGACTCCGTCCTATAAATTGACTCCTTCTCAACCTCCTGAGATGTCCCCTGCTCCGCGGCGCGATCGACCTCTACCGCAGAGGTATCCAGCGGAGGTTCCTTGCCAACGGTCCCAGTCTCCGGGATGGGAATCGCGTCTGAGGAAGCCTCCTTTATAGCCTGGTGCAGTCTCTCCGCATCATTGCTTGGCTTCCCTTTATCATCGTATGCTGAGTATAGTCCCGACTGTCGGCGGAACCGGCATTGGAGGCAGATTGAGAAGTTCCGCGTCGGGACAGCGGGAAAAGAGCTCGGCGGTGTCGGTCGGAATTTTGCTTGCAATGGTCTGGATGTTGAGCGTGTGATTTGTAGAGTTGAGCGGATGGATTGCCGAAGTAGTAATGGCATGGACTGCATGGCCGGTATGAGGGGCCTCGGGCCAGGAGGGGTTGTTGAGGAGTGTTGGAGTTCACGTCCCGCGGAGAGGAGCTGGACATCCCATGGGATCTCGGAGCGGGTTGGGTCGGCCGCTTATCAGATGTCCGCTATCGACATCAGTACGGCTATGGTCTATGCATATTGAAGTAATCATTATTCTTTGTGTTGATTAGCCAGATAATTACTGGTCTGTTTGACTTTTGTTACAATTGAGAACCTCACTTAGCTACGTTTGCCTTGTGTGCCACGGTGCTTGTCCTACTTCTCCCGATGCTAGTACTATATATATTCCCATCTGGGCATAAATTCAATGTCAACTTCAGCTTCCAACCTTGGAACCTTCAAGTTCAAGGGAAGGTTGAACCGTACCCACCTGGGCAGGTGACTTGACCTCGCCTTGAAATCACTGGCATATCACCAGAATCTATCACAGTAGCTTCAGCAGTTTAGACTGTGTACAGTCACGGTGTCTTTCACCGACCAGGCGTTTCCAACAAGGCCCCAGACGGTTTATCCACCTGGACTTCCATCATACTCACTATCAACGACAGACAAGGAACTTGATCCATGACCTTGACTCTATTGAGCACTACTAGTACAAGTGGACCCGAGATTAACGGACAGCTTGCTCTATCCATGGATCAACTCTACCCGACGGCAAGCGCACTATGTAAGTTTTCTTCAACCGTATACTATGTCACCGGGATTCATGGAAGCAGGATATATTGATTAATTATCCATTATTTCGACAAGATTCACTTTGACCGATCAAAAATAATACAGCCCCAGAGGGGAGCCAACGAGTCACCGCTGTGATGGAACAACCACCTCCACTAGATAACGGAAAGGATACCCAGAGAAAATAACGAGATTGAGTGGAATGGGAAAAGGAGCCGACTCCGAACCGGCTTATTGATGACAGCGATGGATAGAAAAAAAAAGAGTACAAAAAACATATTCTCGTCAAAGTCATAAAAGATCCGCCCGGGTGCGCTTACGATGAATCCAAGTGGTGTGCACTTGGAAAGAAGATGAGACTCGGACTGAGACCGCGGTAGCTGCTTAACGGCCAGTCCACTTCGTAGTTTAATCCTGGGTCTGAACCTTGTTGTCGCCCCTCACGGCTTCCGCGTATGTAGGCGGGGCATTTTGTCCACTGCTGCCCGCAGCACCCTCTTGCGGATGACCGGGGGCCTTGTTACCAGATGGCTGGTTGCCAGAGGGGTTGGGCGCGGCATTCGAGTTGGAAGAAGCTTGCTGGGTCGCGCCGTAACCTCGCTGCTGGGAGGGGTGCTGGAGAGGCGGGTTTGAAACATAATAGTAGGTCACGCGGCCATTTTCCAAGTCACGACGCTGGCTGGAGCCACCAGGGATGGGCTCGTAGGCGACGTTGTCATAGTCGGGATCCGGGTATTTGAGGATGATATACCAGGCGTGAATGAGGCCCGGGACGTAGCCCAGTAGACAGAGGGCGATATTGATGAGGGAGTCGGCAGTGCAGATCCCCGCCTTGATCCAGACTGATGGGGGGCGCGAGACTGGTTAGCGTTTCTATAGTCATATGGATTTATCGGAAGATAGTAAGGGGATAACTACTAGTAGTAGACCCTCACGGTCATCGGGGTGGACTTACCAGCAATAGGTGGGAAGAGAATGGCCAACACGGCCAGGAAGACATCGGAGCTACACATGGCGCCAGATGGAAGGGGGAGTGGGATTGCGCTCTATCACCTGCAGGAGAGCGAGTGGGTGGGTGGATGACGAGGTCTGAGAACGAGAAGAAAGTTAACGGACGAGGGAGAGGGTATGTATCGCAAAGAACCACTTTTTTCCAGGGAACGAAGTGATGAACATGAACTTGAATGTGTAAATGGTGATGGTGATGGCAATGATAATGGCAATTGCACTGGCTGTGGTGGTGGCAGCCTGCTCCAGATCAGATGACGCTGATCATGTGATGTGTCAACACTTAACCATGGGTCGCCAGAAGAGTATACTTACTACATCTACATCTACATCTATATATCTAGGGATATATTATCACTGATCATATTGGCAATAATAATACTTCTCTGCAGAGTCACTGCCGTTCTGCGCCGGGATCAGCCGTACACACTCAGTTTCGGTGACATCTGCATCCCCCCTCGCGGATAGCTCACATCATTTTGTGCAGGATGCAAGGCGGAGGATTCCCGGTGGCTGCGTACTCGTAGAGGCTACCGAGGAATCTGTACTCCGCCCTCTCCGTACAGTACTGTACAGATCCAAAATCAAATGCCAAATTTGCGCGGGTGGGTGATAGCGATCGTCGATGGGTCCTCGGTCAAGCTGGTGAGTGGAGGATGAAACACGCCAACTCACCAAACAGGCTTAGACAGGCACGGCTTAGAAACACCGTTGGGCCCGGCCCCTTTTTGTGTGTACAGTACTCCGTACACTGTAAACAGCTGTTCTCTGCCGTATGTATGGTCCAAGTGCCTAGTTCCAGGTTCCAGGTCCAGCCTCTCTTTCAGGCACGGGCGGTTCGCAGTCAAGTTCGTCTCACCCCTGGGAAATCGGGTCCCCAGCCCACCCCGACTCCACCCCAAAGTCACACACCTCACACCTCACTCTTCATCTTTAGCACTTGACCTTTCTCCTCCTCTTCTCTCCTCTCGATTGGTCATCCATTCTCTTCAATTCTCCCACTTCAATTCAGTTTGATCGAGAGAGCGCCTCCGGGGTGCTCGATCTTTCCTTCCTGCGGGTCCACGGCATTGTCCACCCGAAAGTCACTCGTTTATCCTGCCTTTCTCTTCGCGCCTTTTTTTCTTCCTTTCTTTCCCTTTCGAGCTTGACGCTACTCTCTGGTGGCCTGTGGTCGACCTCTTCATCCCTCGAGATTCCAGCAGAGAAAAATTCAACCCCGACATGCGATTCGTATAATCTCCGGCTCTCGACCATACTTTGACACATTCCACACGCCCACATTCCTCGATTCGCGCGTGGACCATTGAGGGTCTTCTTCACCCGGCATGGCGAACTCCTGTCTTTCTCTATCAGGGTCGACTGCCTGTTCTGCCTGGAGTAGCGCTTCGGTATCGACTAATTCGAGCCAACATGCGGACTTGTGAGTCGACCCGTTCAAATTCTCGATCTGAGATGGGATCCAATCGGACGCGCTAACTCAATAACCACAGCCCATGGCTAGAGAATGTTTCTAATTTGACTTCTTTCGATCAATCCCTGAGCGATTACGTCCAGGGAACTTACATTACTTCACAGTAAGTGTGGTCAGCAACGACTGAGGTGAAGGTACCATTGGGCTAACTCCAGGCGCGTAGTTTTTCCGAAGTATTGGGCTGCGAAGGCCTGAACAACAGCGCAATGAGCGACTACTACAGCCAATACACCACCAGTGTGATCTGCAGCAGCCTCATCCAGAGCTCCAAGTCGGACTGCGACTTGTCCGACACAGAATCCGAACCGCTATGTGCCGAGTCCTGCGCACTATGGGCTACTAGCGAACAAGAAATCATGGTCAACGCCAATCTTTGCTCTGGTACCGACGAGGACTATATGAAACAGATCCGCGCTGATTTCACTGTTTGCTCATCGCCATCCGACTCCCTCAGTGGTAGTTGTATCAAAGGATCCGATAACGAATCAAAGAACTGCGGCTTTTCATCCAACACGATCGGTCTCTGCACGTACTGCGCTTCAAGCTCTCCTAACTCGACCGACACATGCTGCGTAGGCGCCAATGCCACCTCCCGTTGCGATGGAGTTTCGATCCCAGCCGCAACTGTCACTCTGCAGCCAATTGTGACTACTTCCGCGGCAGCTGATGCCGAGACCTCGAACAAAGGCTTGTCCGGAGGTGCGATTGCTGGAGTTGTGATCGGTTCTGTTGTCGCAGCTGCCATTCTCGCGGCCCTAGCAGCTTTACTTTGCATCCGCACCCGTCGCCGTAAAAAATCACAGACTGATGCCGCACTCAACCAACCGAACCCACAAAGAAAAGGAGGCTCTCCATCTATGCAACAGACTGACAGCCCAACCAACATTAACATGGTTCCTGGAGGCCGTGTCACACGAATGTCTGCCTTACGCGAAATGCCAAGCTCCTCGCCCGCCTACTCGCGAACATCGCGGTCGATGTTTGGAGGTGGAGGAACCAAGGGCCCGTATAGTGATTCTTCCGACTCCGAGGCCATGGGTGCAAGCCCAGGGGCCATGTCAAGAAGTAGGAGTATCCCCCCCTGTGACCGGGAAACGTCATGGCTCGCTTTCGAGCAGCTCTGCTCTGGCTGGACTGGAGAGCGATAGCTCGCCTCGCTCCGGTACGGCGAACACATACTCTTCTCCAGAAGGTGTAACCAGTGGCCAGTCCGAGCAGCTGTCATACTTCCGCGACTACTACTCCCAAGACGAGATTCACCCCGGCGACAAGGTGGCTGCCCTGTGGGCATACTCTGCCCGGGCAGGCGATGAGTTCGAACTGGACCGCGGTGAAATGCTCAAGGTGATTGGTATTTGGGACGATGGCTGGGCCACTGGTGTCCGAATCCCCGAGCGGGCAGAGGACTACGACATCCATCGTGGGCAGCGCGACAGCGGCGTCTCTAGCGGCTCGCAACGACCCAGTCCATCACCAGCACCCTCAGGCGAAATCAAGGCATTCCCGCTTGTCTGCATCTGCCTTCCACAACATTGGCGAAAGATCATTGAAGGTGGAATAACGGAGGATGAAGATGAGCTTTGAGTCAAGGGAAATCTTTTATTTATTTTTGTTTCCCTTGATTTCATGCCGAATTACGCCTTGACGACAGCGTGTGCAGCATTGTCATTCGTCGCGCCAGCTTACGCGAGGAGTTCACCTATCCTTTTCCCGCCAGGCCAGGCTGGCCTCCGTCCTCTTCGATGCAGGTGGGATGATTGTGTTCAGTTTTCTTCGTATTCTATATACCCCCCTTCATTTTACGGCGACTCATATCTCGTCCTTTCCTTCTTAACCTTTTTCTTATCTTCTCTTTGATCTATCTCCCGCGGAACCGGACGCTGGCGCTACGGAGCAAGGTCCACTACCCCCAACCGAGGCTGGCCTTGATCGCGTTCTGTCTTCTTATGTACGGTGCCAGCCATCGGGTCCGTCCTGATGCGCGAGCCCCGACGTGTGGTCATTTGATGATTGCTTTCTAGTCCGGAGGATATTGGAATACCCTTTAGTGCACGCATTAATGTATGTACATAATTAGACTCGAATTTCATTGAAAAAGTTGACCTTGCAACCTACCATGTCCAAAAATACTAGTATCTGCATACATATGTACTGTGTAGCACGACAGGCCGGGGGTGGACCACGATGGCAGTCGGGGATCCTATGGGAAGTCCCATGGATGGCCGGCTCCCCCCCACATTTCTGCATCATTTCTTATCCGCCTCGGGGTTAAGCGGGCACCGACCACGGCATCGATTTCGCCATTTGCTTTTACTAATCCATCCACCCCCTCCACCGGATTTCGCGATGCCATAAATTATGGCGTCTCCCCTCCTTTTCTGGATCCAATCCAAGCTCCGACTTTACATCCCAACCACCTCCGATTAAAACCATGTCTTCGCCCAAGATCATCCTCTATACCAACCGCGGCTGCCCATGGGCACACCGCGCCCACATTGCTCTCAAGGAGTCCGGCCTCGACTATGAAGAAGTCACTATTGACCTCGACACCCCCCGCGAGCCCTGGTATCTGGAAGTGAACCACGTATGTGATATCGTTAAAGAACTTGGACCATTCCCCCCTCCCCATGTCCAGTCCGAATACGAGGATATACGAATGTACTAACCTATATGTTACCAGCGCGGTCTTGTCCCCAGCCTGTCATACAACAGCGAGATCATCATTGAGTCCGGAATTGTCGCCCAATTCATCGCCGACGCCCACCCCTCGCATCTCTCCCCTCCTTCAGGCCCGGCCGAGAACGCTCTCTACCGGGCCCGCATTGCTCTCTTCGTCGATGCATTTATAAGCAAGGTTCTCCCACCCTTCTTCGCCAGTCTGCGCGCTACCAATGAGGCGGAGCGTGATACTGCTGCTGAGGACGTGCTCGCTGCTGTTAAGAAGGAGGTCGAGCCTCTGCTCGCTTCGACAGAGGGCAAGGGTCCGTTCTTTGGTGGTAGCGAGAAGCTTACCCTGGCCGAGGTATGTCATCATACTCCCTTCCCCCCTCATCTTTCCCCCTTTGCTACTCTCCAAACTTCATGTATGTCTGTGCATAATGCTGATTTTTTTCACCTACACCAGGTCCAAACTGGATCCTTCGTGCTCCGCTTACTGGGATTCGCTAAGCCCGAGCACGGTCTGGTGAGTGCCAAGCTGCCTACACTGTTGGAGCAAACCCCACGCTTCAAGCGGTGGGCGGAGGCCACCGTTGCCCATGAGAGTGTCAATTTTATTTTCGACGAGAAGGCTATCGCCGATCGCACTCGTTCCAGGTTTGCCCCGAAGGCTTAGGCTGCTAGATTCATTATTGGAGATGTCTGGCGGTATTGGCCGAGTGTGTTCCTAATTGTGACGCCTAGATAAATATTCGACGTTGGTATGAATTGAATGTTACGAGTGTGATGAATTTGAGATGTTGCAATTTAATCACATGAAGGGAGATACATACGTATCTTATAGAAATAGGATGTATACATATGTGCTAACAGTACTAAATTGCGGAGGCACTGACGTGTCGGCGGAGTGTTCCATGGTTGGGCTTTGCTCCAAATTTAGACTGCAGGCAGACCTCAACATGTACTACTCCGTACAGGAACAACAGGTAGAGATTGTGGATTCATGTACATCAAAGCATGTCATGCAGATTCACCAGGTGGTGTGATCCTCCAATTACTGTCGGTGCCGCAGAACTGGGAATTCACACTTGTGCTTACCAGTAGATATCCTAGTTTGTAGTTAGAGTACAAGTAGATGGTAAGTACCTTTTGCTTGTGGCGGGACAAAATCAAAGCTGGGAACCTTGTCAAGATCAGATGGATGCCTGACAGGCAATAATAAATCTCCCCAATAAATAGAATTGAATCATCAGCAACAGATCCTTTCGTCCCATCCACTCTGATTATAATTCTTCCTTCGAGTTATACTTTTCCCCGGTGTTTTGTTTATTGCCCCCTCTGGGTGTCCCAGCATCACGTGCAACACCCCCCCCCCACCATCGCAACACCTGGGCAACAACCCCTCCGCCTCCTCCATCACTCCCCCATCCATCCTCCATTTTCCTTGTCTTTACTCCTCTGTAAGTTTTCTCCAACACTCTATTCATGAGCGCCGTCGGGACCTTATCCCACTCGCCATGGAGGAGGTCTTTCCTTGGGGGCCTCAGCCGCTGACATGGTTGTGCCTTCAGCCTAGGCGACCGGTCGTCCCCCTTTTCCTCATCTCTCATCTACAGAAGCAATCATGTCGGTTCGTATAATTCTTACTCCCTCTTGTGCATTGTATTAAAATATACTAACGCAAATTCTTTCGCAGCTCGCATCTGGGTACGGTTTCAATTCAAGCTCTTCCCCTCCCCACCCACCCATCCACGACCAATCCTATATTGATATCCGATCTACAGTGTCTCCGTCCACGATGACTGCATCGAAGCATTCAATGACCTGCGCATGAGCCGCAAGGTCAAGTACGTCATCTACAAGATCTCCGACGACATGAAGCAGATTGTTGTCGACGAGAAGAGCGAGTCAGAGGACTACGAGGTCTTCCGTGAGAAGCTGGCTTCCGCCCGCGACTCTAAGGGTAACCCTGCTCCCCGTTACGCCACTTACGACGTCGAGTACGATCTCGGTGGTGGTGAGGGCAAGCGGTATGTCCCTATATTCCTCTCTGCAACCGAATGAGAACCCCCCCCGCTGATACCGTTGGAAACTACAGAAGCAAGATCATCTTCATCTCCTGGGTTCCCCAAGACACCCCCACTCGTGTATGTTCAAATCCCATGGAATTGACCCCCAGCATCCTACATGGGATGGATAGAGCCAAAAGAGAATCCTTGCTAATTGCTCCCTTTTCTCAGCAATCCATGGTGTACGCCAGCACCCGTGAGGTCCTCAAGAATGCCCTGAACGTTGCCAACTCCATCCACGCCGACGACAAGTCCGAGATTGAGTGGAGCGCCGTCCTCGCCGAGGCCAGCGGTGGCAAGGCTAAATAGATGATGAGCGCCGGCTGGGTCCGGGCCGCGTGATCGATAGGGAATAACATACCCTCGGAGGCGCTACGGCACGAACAATCCATAACCTTCTCTGCACACCGTTCTCCCTCTTCTTTTTTCTTCCTAGTTGCAATGCAAAGACCGTTACGACTTGGCCTGTTTCCTTTTCCTATGGAATTCCATCGATACAATCTCTTTCACCGTCATTTCTTTTTTGGAGTGAATACCTCCGCTGCTGTTGTGACTGCTGGTAGCGAGGTTGCGAGATTGAATCCAGCGTTTTCCTTGGATAGATGTGTGCAGGTTTTGCGTGGTAGGGCACGAATGGCGCGAATTTTCTAAAATTAAAAAGGGAAATGCCCCTAGGACCTGTAGATAGTACTCAGGAAATGGCAGCTTCAATTTGACATCCTATAACTTTCTCTACTTGCAAGGTTGTCATATGGCTGGTGGTAGTACAAGTCGAGCCGCTGCGCACTGGTGGGCGGGAGTAGGCAGGGAGGCCGGAATGTATATGAAATAAGGTAGGACATTTTGCTAAATAAAAATAAGTGAAAGAATAGCCTCAATTGCCCAGGACAAGCAATTTTCCTAGGCTGCATGTGGCATATATCGTATGATGAGAATGATGATGCTTCTCACTGGCGGCCAACCGGGCGTGGCGGAGAGCAGCCAATCAGAGGGCAGCCAAACCGCGAACGACGCTAAGCCGGAAACCTCGACTTTCCCAAACGACCAAGAACAACTTCAGTCCTTCTCCATATCCCTTCACCACCACTCCCCCTCCACTCTCTCCCCCAGTCGAGTCGACTCGCGGTTCCGGACTTTGCTGGTCACGGTCTCCCTCTTCAACAACCCTCATCAATTAACTCGATTTCGACGTGGTGCCACCACCTCCCACCTGCCGCACAATGTTTCTTCGCTCCATCGCTCGCGCTGCTCCTCGCAGCCCGGCCGCCATCCGCGCCGGTCCAATTGCCTCTGTGAACGCCATCCAGGCTCGCTTTGCTTCCGAGCACGCCATTGCCAACCCTACCATCGCCAGCATCGAGAAGCGCTGGGAGGGCATGCCCCCTCAGGAGCAGGCCGACCTGTGGATGTCGCTCCGTGACCGCATGAAGGTCGACTGGCACCAGATGACCATCCAGGAGAAGAAGGCCGGTACGTATTTATCCTCTGGAAGTATTTGTTCGTCGCTACATCTGCTTTTCCCACTACCCTGCGACATCCGAGGGCCAAATTTCACTACCCCCTCCTCTCCCCGGATGTCATCCCATACCCTCTCTCTGTGTGTTTTATATCTATACCCAATCCCGCTAACATGATCTCTTTTCCCTATCTCTAGCTTACTGGATTGCCTTCGGTCCCCACGGCCCCCGCGCCCAGGCCCCTAAGGGTGAGGGCTGGAAGGTCTTCTTCAAGGTCGCCCAGCTCACCATCGTCTCCGTCGCCCTGTTCTACGCCATCCACCTCTTCGCCAAGCCCCAGCCCAAGACCATGTCCAAGGAGTGGCAGGAGGCCTCCAATGAATATGCCAAGGTACGTACTCTTCGCCCTGGTATTCGGGTGCGGTATCGGTCGCGGTCGCGTCCGCGCCAATCCCGACCCCCAGATCCCGAACTTGAAACTTGGAACAAGCATTTACTCACATATTCTTTCCTTCTTCCCTTACAGGCCGAGAAGATGAACCCCATCCACGGCATCAGCAAGCCTGGCTACGAGGGCAAGGGTTTCGTCCAGAGCCCTCCCCTTGAGAAGCAATAGATGGGTCCCGAACCCGATCGGGGGTGAATTCGACCTCAGATATTGACGTCGACCGGAACTGGGAGGTATTGTCGAGAAGGTCCTCTCATCTCATGGACTCGATCCTCGACAAATTGCTCGGTCCGCCGGCGCAGGGCTGAGCGCGTTCATGCCCATTTTTTGTCACCCTGTCCTTTTCCCGCTCGCAGCATCCCAAAATGCGTGTATCTCGTACTGTGCTATAATCAATGTATCTCCTTTGTAGCCCATAGAGAAATATGTTGGCCTTTTTTTTGTTCTATTTTGATCTACAGTGTTGGTGGTTTTCCTGCTGTTACGGCTGGGCGTTTCTACGTAGGTGGTAGCTGGTAGGTGGCCATGGCGTGGTGTCGCCGGAGGGATTCGGAACCTGCATGAGCTGGTGCGGAGAACCCCTGTCGGGGGAAGGAGATGGTGGGAGGGGGTGTTCAGATGCATTTTAGGAAGGTTGTATTTTTAGTGATTTTCTGGAGAATAAATGTCTGTTATTAGACTACTAGTATTTAATGTTGAAGTATAAAGAGGGCAATATATCCTCGATGGAGCTGACCCTAGAGCTCCAGGGCTCAGCAGACCGCGGATGGACGGGTGAAGGGCTCCGAGTTACACGTCAGAGATTTCCGGGTGAGCTGCGAGCTACCACAGCAATGTATTTTGGGAGGGTATCTGCACCACTAAGATCAATTGGAGGTGCAGTATTATTTTTCAGATATTATTTCTACTTATCTAGCTATTGAGATATGTATCAATTTATTATTCTATAGAGTGTACTCCTACTAGTCCACTCTCTGTATAGTTCTGTGCCTGCATCCGGCGCCAAGCCTCCGGTGACGAGGGAATTCCCTAGCAACGGCACAACCACACAATCACGCCGAGCAGAGGGTTGGGCAAGATGGGAGTCAATCAAGAGTATATAATAAATAATTCGTAACAAAAACCATCATACTATAGTTATAGTAAATAGTAACTTAAACGACAGAGGAATTCCCCTCCAATGCTGTACAGACACTCGGTTCATCACGGGACCATCGGCAAAACCGCCCCGGAAAGGCTAAGGGCCCCCCCCCGTTTCCATTCCCGCGAGAGTCCACCAACCTCTCCTCTTCTCTTCTTCCTTTTCCCTCTCCCCCCAAAACCACCTATCCCTACCACCTCTCTTCAACACCACCATCATGTTCAAGAGGTATGTCGCCGCCATCACTACCCGCCAAATCTCCATCCTCTCAACATCTACCTATTTTTTATTCCTCCCTTTCGACTTCTTCTAACCTTTTTCTACAGCGGTCTCGCCCGGACCTTCGGGAGGGCTACTTACGCCCGGCCTTCCCCCGTCGCCCGCGCCTTCCAGCCTCTCCGCTCCTCTGCCCTGCCTGCCCTGTCTGCTCGCTTCGCCAGCTCCGAGACTGCTCAGGCCGGCAAGGTTCACCAGGTCATTGGTGCCGTCGTTGACGGTACGTCGCTCCCGACTCCCCTGGTTGATGGTCGACGCGAAAATCTTTTCCCTCGACCCAATCCATCCTCAAAACCATCGCAATCGATCTCAATCAACTCCCCTGGATATTCTCTGACATGATATTTGTCCTACTACAGTGAAGTTCGAGGGTGAAAAGCTCCCTGCCATTCTTAACGCTGTTGAGACCACCAACAACGGCCAGAAGCTCGTCCTGGAGGTTGCTGTACGTGCTCTCTGATTGGACCACCTTTCCATCCGCCCCCTGGACTCGAGCTAACCTTATCATAGCAACATCTGGGTGAGAATGTCGTCCGTACTATTGCCATGGACGGTAAGCTACATCCTCTTCCTCCCTTCACCATTCGTCTCTTCCATCCCCCTGTCGAGCCACCGTGTTTGTCCCTTTCCTCACCGCTAAGGGGACCCACACCGGTCGGCCCGGCATTTTCCTGCCTTCTTTCAAGTAACCTTCCATACTGACGCGCCCTAGGTACTGAGGGTCTGTCCCGTGGTGTCTCCGCTCAGGACACTGGTGCCCCCATCAAGGTCCCCGTCGGTGCCGGTACTCTGGGCCGTATTATCAACGTCACTGGTGACCCCATTGACGAGCGTGGTCCCATCAAGGCCACCAAGTTCCTGCCCATCCACGCCGAGCCCCCTCTGTTCATTGAGCAGTCCACTTCCGCCGAGATTCTGGTCACTGGTATCAAGGTTGTCGATCTGCTTGCCCCCTACGCCCGTGGTGGTAAGATTGGTCTGTTCGGTGGTGCCGGTGTCGGTAAGACTGTCTTCATTCAGGAGCTGATTGTGAGTATTCTTTTTATCAACACATATCAATCGATACCCTTGCTAATAATCTTACCCTCTCCAGAACAACATCGCCAAGGCTCACGGTGGTTACTCCGTCTTCTGTGGTGTCGGTGAGCGTACCCGTGAGGGTAACGATCTGTACCACGAGATGCAGGAGACTGGTGTCATCCAGCTCGATGGCGAGTCCAAGGTCGCCCTGGTCTTCGGTCAGATGAACGAGCCCCCCGGAGCCCGTGCCCGTGTCGCCCTGACCGGTCTGACCATTGCCGAGTACTTCCGTGACGAGGAGGGACAGGATGTGCTGCTGTTCATTGACAACATTTTCCGTTTCACCCAGGCCGGTTCCGAGGTGTCTGCCCTGCTGGGTCGTATCCCCTCCGCTGTCGGTTACCAGCCCACCCTGGCCGTCGACATGGGTGGTATGCAGGAGCGTATCACCACCACCCAGAAGGGTTCTATCACTTCCGTCCAGGCCGTCTACGTGCCCGCTGACGATCTGACTGATCCTGCCCCCGCTACCACCTTCGCTCACTTGGACGCCACCACTGTGCTTTCCCGTGGTATCTCCGAGCTGGGTATCTACCCCGCTGTCGACCCTCTCGACTCCAAGTCCCGTATGCTCGACCCCCGTATCATCGGTGACGACCACTACAACACCGCCACCCGTGTCCAGCAGATGCTCCAGGAGTACAAGTCTCTCCAGGATATCATTGCCATTCTGGGTATGGACGAGTTGTCTGAGGCTGACAAGCTCACCGTCGAGCGTGCCCGTAAGCTCCAGCGTTTCCTGTCTCAGCCCTTCGCTGTCGCCCAGGTTTTCACTGGTATCGAGGGTACCCTGGTCGACCTGAAGGACACCATCCGCTCCTTCAAGGCCATCATCGCCGGTGAGGCTGATGACCTCCCCCGAGAACGCCTTCTACATGGTTGGCGACATCGAGTCTGCCCGTGCCAAGGGTGAGAAGATTCTGGCTGAGCTCGAGGGCTCCGCCTAAATGTAACTTTATCAATTGCTAGCTAGCGGGCGCCATCCCACACAACCTTTTCGTGCCCTGTCTTCTCAAGAATCCTTGACCCTACCTCTCTTCTTGAAATCTTACCCCCTCTTATTACTTTTTACGTGTTCCTTGATCTCTTCTTTCATTTCTTCTTGGTCTTTTTTTCCCCCATGGGCTGGAATGAATTTCTTCTATGTTTGAAATACGCTCCTGCCATGCTTTTCTTATCTCGCCTGCTTCAATTTTTCCCACTTTGTAGGAGAAAGGCAGAACAGATGAGATTATGCTACAGGATACCTTATTTCGCCATTCCTTAGCATATTAGTACCTTCACCCAGTCAACCCTGAAAAGGGATCACTGGTCCTTGAAGCGAACATATGCCGAAGAACGGAAATAGGCACAAAATGACATCCAACCCAGCGGAGCCGGACCTCGAAGCAAAACAAAGAGAACGTGAAAGGGGAAATACGAGGAGAGGGACAGATGGAAGGAAGGAAGGAAGGTATACTGTTCGGGAGGGCAAGAAAAGAGGGCAAGAAAAGGGAGAGGAAGATGCGCGTTTGTCTGTCTTGTATGTGAGCGAGTTACACTCAAATCTTTTTTTTGAAGTCTTTGGCCATTCCCCCCTACCCACCCCTACCCATCAACAACCCATCTTGCCTGGCCTGGCTTGTGTTTCATTATTGTGTATTTAGAGTTGAAAACCATGGCCCTGTGAGGCAACCCTAAATAACCTGGTGTCAATTGTATTTCCTTTGTGATGTGGCTGTTCTTCAAGTTCCTTGATAGATATTAGTATGGTAAACAAAGGGTGTAGTTGTAAAGTTGTCAGTCTAGTAGGTTGCTGCTTCTAGAGTAGTGGTTTCTGGAGCAAAAAGTCCAACATATCATACCTTACTTGAACTAACACTGGATACCTAACACTAGATAATTTCGGGCTAAAAGAAAAGGTTAGGGGGGGTGTAGGTGTAGGTGTAGGATATGCTAGCCGAGCGGGTGAACCCCCGCGCAGGTAAAGAGGCGAATGCAGCCGAGTATACGAGTATAAACCGCCTAGCAGAGCTCGACAGAAGGCAAAAACAAAAACAAAACCGGGGAAGCCGGGTCCACACGAGCAACTAAGCTCTTTCCAAGCTTTGGGCTTGCTTTGTCTTGGGCACCACCGGCTTCCCACTGCATGCACCGTCACTCCCATTCGCTGCTACTTCCTAAGTTCCTGACCCCAACCCGCCAGCTCGGATATTGGCCATTGGACATTGGACATTGGGCTCGCTCTCCAGTATGCTGTCTTGACCACCGTTCAATAGTCCGCCGCCACTCCCATGGGGCGGTTTAGAGGACGAACAGGTTCCTCTCCCCAATCCAGGTTAGCTTGTGGCAAAATGTTGGTATTTCGCTTATGATCACGATCTGGACCTATCGAAAACACATCCCAGATCGCTCGAAATTGCATTTTCTCCTTCACGCCCCCGATGTACGGCCTTTGTTCAGACTTTCGGCCGCTATGCTCTCCTCATGGAGCCCATCCAGGAAGACCGTCTCGTACACGGAGAACTCCGTATATAAAGCCACGATGCCACTCTTCCCGGCCCACTCTGCTGGACAGTGTCGCTCCTACTTCGAGTCCTTCTGCGAGTCTTCACGATGATCTGGAAGAAGAGCTCACTGCTGATCGCATTGACATGCGTAGCCACCACTGTGGCTCTGCCTTCCCCGTCTCCCCCAGATCATGTCAATGCCAATCAGGGCAACCATGGAGGATGGTGTCCCATAATTGGGAAGCCCCTGTCGAACTGGCGCAATGGCCCTCTTGCCGAAATTGTACGCTTGGTTGGAAAATGTCCCCAGGGCCGTCCCTTCTGTCGTGAATTGATCCTAGAGGAATGCGAAGTGGTTACCAAAGTCGTCAAAACCGTCACTCCCGCCGCAGCCACCGTCAAGGTTACCAAGACCATCACCGACCATCCGCAGCAAGTGACGACCAAGACAACGATTGAGCATTGTCTGTCAACGATCACTAAGCCTGCCCGCACCACCACACGCCATACAACCTCGACTGTGTCCCATACTGTCCCGAAGACGGTGACGGACCGGTCGACCCTAACCTCCACTAAGGTTTCAACTGTGTTCCTGACCCAGCCGGACTTTGAAACCATCACTATCCCTGTAACAAGCTTTATCACAAACACTGTCACCGACGCAATCACTGATTATGCTGCTGCCACGGTCACTGAGTCGTTCACAGATACGACTACTGAAACATTTACAAACACCATTACTGACTACTCCACGGCCATGGTGACTGCTTTTATCACGGAGCCAGCGACTGTCTACATCAGCAATCTATATACTGACCTCGCTACCGCCACAATAACCAACTATCACACGGAAACTATCACTCTTTCCTATACTGATACCGCCACAGCGACGGCAACAAATACAATATCGTCCACAACGACACAGGAAGTAGACGTGACTGCGACAAATACTGTGTCCCAGACTATAATCAATACTGATTTGGAAACTGCAACCAACACTATCTCCGCCACTGAGACCGACTACACAACTGCAACCTTCACCACGGTGGAAACTGATGGGGTCACAGTAACCACCACCGCTGTGGTTACGCTCGCGCCCGCGAAGAGAGACGTGGTTGAGGAGCGTGCCGCAAGGGCCACTCCCTCTGCCCTGAGAGGCATCCATGCTACTCATCTGCAAAGCGCATGTGCTTTCTTGTATTTTGAGGACTGGGTCTCAACAGTGTACACCACCAAGACATTGGTTCGGGCTACTGTACGTACATACTTACTCATTTGCCTTTATATTAAGGATACTAATCCGTCCCATAGGTCACTCAAACGGTCACCACACACTCTGTGGAACCCAGGATACATACTGTCTACATAACAAAGTTTACCACAGACTTTGTGACCAAGACAGTCCCTGGCACGTTCACCACGGTCAAGACTGATACAGTCACGACCGATATCACAAAGACGAGAACTATTCCAGCGACGTTAACTGTCACCGCTTGCTCGACCACCACTGCCACCGATATCGCTACTGTGACTGTGACTGTCGAGAATCCCACCACACAGACCGAATTCATCACCGCTATAGTGACTAGCGATATCACAACTTTCACTACCCTTGATATCACAGCCCATGAGACCGCCTCTGTAACTGAAGATTCCACTGTTGACATGACCAATACCGCCACAACCGATATCACAACCACGCAAACCAATACAGAGACGGTTGATATCACCACTAGCGAGACTACCACCCAGACTGTTGATAGCACTGCTACTGAGACAACATCGGTGACAGCCACCGAGACTTCCACAATCACTGTTGATGTGACCGAAGTAGCAACTATAACAGCAACTTCTTCGTTTACCGTCACTGCCACCGTGCCTGTCACTGTTGAAACCACCATCTCCAATACTGTTGATGTTACTAAAACCGCGACTACTACTTCCACTATCGACGTAACCATCACCCAGACAGTCTCAACAACTACAACCACCACTGTCACGTCCACGGCAACCAGCTCCGCCAATTGTAATGTGAACATCATCTCAAATCCCAATTTTGATGGTGCAAGCTTATCGCCTTGGACATTCATTGGTGCTGGGGGCGGATCCCACAAGTTTGTCTCGCCAGGCGAGACCACCACCTACGCACTCGATCTCTACACCCTCTATGTAGGGTCGAATCTTGCTCAAATTACCCAGGTGCTGACCACTGTCCCCGGACAAACGTACGCCTTTTCACTGGATTACGAAGTTATCGCGGGCAACGTTGCATCCGCTCTGATTTGCTGGGCTATCAGCTCTGCCTCGACACCATTCCAGATCCCCATCGGCTCAGCCCCCAAATCCACATGGCATACATACCAGAATACTTTCCAGGCATCGTCGACAAGTACCACCCTCACTTGCAGGCTGACAACAACCATTAATGTGTCGGTTTATCTTGATAACATTTCTCTGGCAAAGTCATGTTGATTCGTGTCAGTTGGGTGGGAGGGGAGGGATATTTGCCTTCTTGAAGCTATCGTCCGCTCACTAACTAACTTCAAAGGGGATTTTGGAATCTCCATCTCATGTTGTATCTATTTTGGAATCGGCTTAGGATTCTAGATCCATCTTTCATATAGTCCCATAATTAATGTTCGATTTACCAATGTAATTGTCAGAAGGTCATCTCGGACTTGGATGCACAGAGGTTAGATTGCAAGTGCACAACATATGCATATGCTAGTAGGTACTAGTAGGGATTTGGTGGTACACATCATTGAAATAATATTCGGACGATTACTGGCTAATTGGCTAACTAAACAATCTGTCTTGAACGTAGCATCCTTTGTGTATTTATTGAATTACAAGGGCGCGGGGGGGGAAAAAAGGGTAGTATCTCTCGGGGTTTAAAGTGTATGTTCCAATGCGAGAACCTGGAGGCCGGGATGTTAGCAACGTTGTGATATCAGAAGGAGATGGACTCGGAAGGGACGAGAGAGGAACCGATAGGGAATAACACTCACCAAAGCAGTCCGCGTAGGAATATAAACCTGAACAAAATTATTGCGCCCATTCCAAGGCAAATCAGTCGTAAAGAAGCGAGTCTCCTTAACATTCCTACCCAACCCACCAAAAGCGGCATCATCGGAATCAAGAACAATGCGATACGTGCCCGCGACATCAACACCGACCCGATAATCCGTGAAGCTCTCCGTAGGGTGGAAATTGAAGATCCACAACAGGCCCGCGCGCTCAAAGACAAGCACCTTATCGTTCTCATTCTTCAGACTGATGTACGCCTGCGAGGAATGCAACCAGCCGTATTTGGCTTCGGTGTGCTGCATCGCGCTGTCGAATTCGTTGAGGAATCGGTAGCGTAGGAGTTCGTCCGTTGTGAGGTTAAGTTGGCGGCGGGCGTACCAGAATGAATTGTTGTTTCCTTCGCGTGGGAAGTCGAGCCATTCTGGATGTCCGAATTCGTTGCCTTCGAAGTTTAGGTAGCCCTCGCCGCCGAGGCCGTGGGTTATGAGTCGGATCATTTTGTGGAGGGCCATGCCGCGCTCGATGATTGGGGTGAACTCTGTTAGTACGGACATGTGGGTGTACATCTCTTTGTCGCAGAGCCACATCATTAGAGACTTGTCGCCGACCAGGCTTTTGGGTGATTGGTGTTAGTTGGAGCAATTGGTAGAGGGGGAGGAGGGGGGAGGGGAGGCTGGACTCACGCTTGATCGTGACTTTCCGCATAGGCGATTGTCTTCTCGCCGTGTCGGCGGTTCGTGAGGGTGTGAGCGAGGTTACCAATGTCCCACTCGCTGTCTTCTTTCTCTTTCAAAAGCTTGATGTACATGTCTGGGACGGCCATGGCTAGTCGGTAGTCGAAGCCGACACCACCAAGTGCGTGGGGTAGACAGAGGGCAGGCATGCCGGAGACATCCTCGGCGACAGTGATGCAGTCGGGGTAGAGCTGGTGCAGCATCTCGTTGGCAAGAGTGAGATATGTGATACCTTCCTCGTCGACAGCTGGGCCGTAGTATTCGTGATATCCGCCAGAGAAGCCACTATGGACAGCATATAATGGTTAGCGATGGGCGAATCTATATGAAAAGAAACACATGACTGGGGAAGAGATACTCACGTTCCAATTCCGTGGTGACTGTAGAGCATGCTAGTAACACCGTCGAAGCGGAATCCATCGAACTGGTACTCCTCCATCCAGAAACGAAGGTTACTCAGTAGGAAGCGCAGCACCTCATGATGTCCATAGTTAAACAACCGACTATCCCATTGGTCATGGCGGCCCTTGGCACCCTCGTGGAAGTAAAGATGGTCCGAGCCATCAAACATGTTGATTCCATCATCGACATTCTTGGAAGCATGGCTGTGTACCACATCGAGCAGGACCACGAGGCCCAGATTGTGTGCTGTGTCAATCAACTCCTTGAGATCCTCGGGGGATCCGTAGCGACTGCTCGCCGCGAAGAAGTTGTTCACTTGGTAGCCGAAGCTGGCATAATAGGCATGCTCCATGATAGCCATCAGCTGAATGGCATTGTAGCCGAGACCCTTGATGCGCGGGAGCATGTTCTTGGTAAACTCCTTGTATGTGGCGACTCTTGTCTCGGGCGATGAGATACCGACGTGAGCCTCGTAGATACGCAGGCTCTCGGGCTTCTTGGGACGGGGGTGTTGGAAACTGTAGCGTTCGTTGGCGGGCGGGTTCCAGAAGACGGCGTCGTAGACTGGGGAGACGCTGAGATCTTGCACGACGCGCCTGATCCATGCTGGGATTCGGTAGACGCGTTCTCCGTGGGGGGAGGACCAGTGTGATCTGGCGGATGGGGTTAGCACGGCGATCCTAGTCAGAATTACGTCTGGATTGAAAATATTGGAGGAGCGTACTTTGATCTTGCTCTGGTGGGGAATGGCGGGGACCCCGGCTTTGGATGGCACGGTGACCTCCCAAATACCGAAGTTGTTCTTGGTCATGGGGTTGGCATTGGCATCCCAGTTGTCTGCCAGTCTCAGTAAAGCGATTCAAATCCGGGTTGTTCATCAGCACGGCACGTACTGAAGTCGCCAACTAGCGAGGCCTCCTTGGCATTGGGGGCCCATTCTCTGTAGAGGATATCGCCATTTGGCTGTGTGTTGAGACCGAATGTTTCATAACCCTGGAGGGGGTTAACGGGGAGTTCAATTGACTTGGAAGAATGCAGCAGCAGGTGGGGGATGACCTTGGTGATGCGATAAGAGGGAGTGTTGAGTTAAGCTCACTGACCTTGCTAAACTTCTCCAGGCCGCCTTCACTTCTGGCAATGTCACCGGCCCATTTCTTGACGACACTGAAGCGATGCTTCAGGACATCGGCATGGTCTTTTAGCCACGGATCGAGTTGAAGGACGCCTGTTATGGGGTTGGGGTCAGTGGTGTTGGTGGTGGTGGTGATGGAGCTGGGGTGGGGCAGATGGAGCGTACCTGTTCCGTCGGGGGCGCTGGCGGCTTTGGCAGCTTGAATTGCTTGATCCGCCATGATGTGATGGAGGGAGATACAATTCAACCTGGAATAAAAGAAGAAGAAGAAAAGTAAACTGAGAGATGCAGAAAGGAAAAAAGAAAAGGGGGGCACTTCCCCTCTCTTCTTCCTTCTCAACGTTATCGCTGGATGCGGAGACTTTGGGAGCTCGGGCCTCCCTGCAAGTCCAGACTTTCTCTGCTTTTGTTTCTTTCCCTGTTTTTGGCTTCTTTGACTTCTACTCAGCACATCACTTCTCTTTACACTCTGCCTCCCTGGCTAGTCCTCTGGTACTTGACTTTGTGACGAACTGTCTATGCATCTGCGATTGCTGTCCCCGGTCAACTGAATATACTGCATCCGATCCTGGCATCAACGATCAACGCTCAATGCTCAACACTCGGACTACAACTGCTCTGCTGAACTGCACCGCGACGCCCCACTTCTCGAACTTATGTACACGAGAACAATCTAATTATATACAAGAGCAAGATCAACTTGAACTCATCCCTGCTACTCCGACGCTGGACTCGGCGGCAACACGCCGCTCGTCCAATTGACTGCGGTCGGCCCCAGCTCAAACTCCAGCTTGCCTCCCTGCGCAAAGACATCATCCCAGGTCAACCAGTTTTTCTCCCACGTCTTGCCATTCACCTTCAAACTCTGCACGTAGTAGTCACTGTCCCCGTTGCCATCTCCACCCGTGGAGAGAATCTCCAACGTCTTACCCGCCCCCAGATCGATCGTCATCGATTCGAACCATGGCGAGTGGATGAGGAAGGTGGTCTGCCCAGTGATCGGATACAGACCGATCATGTTCCAGAGCAGCCAGGTCTGCATTGCCCCGGCATCACTATTTCCTGGCAGACCAGACTTTCCGGTATGGTAGTCACCTTTGGCAACGTGACGTGCCCGCGACACGGACAGATCCTGTCGGTCAACGTAGTTGTAGAGATAGGGCAGATTAAACATCCTGTGGTGGATTAGCATCTCTCAAAGCGAGAAAGGGTAGAAGGAAGGGAAGAGGGAAAAGACACACGGCTCATTACTCGAGTCAAAAATCCCCTGATCAAACATAAGATCCAAACGCCGGACAAATAGCTCCTTACCACCCATCAATTCAACAAGATGCTTCATATCATGAACATCATTCCAAGAATACGCCCAAGACCCATCCTCATAAAACGCATCCCCCCAATACCCGCCTTGCTTCGGATCAATCGTGATAAACGTTCCATCCTGATCACGAGGTACCACAAACCCCTTAAATCCCAAAGAACTCTGGTCCGGATTCCAATGATTGCGCCAATTCCTCGACCGATTCAGGTACCGCCGCGCATCAGCATCCCTCTCCAGCCCAGAAGCAACCTGATACAAGCCAAAATCATTACAAGCATATTCGACGGCCCGCGTCACAGCCCGCGTAAACCGCGGCGTGATGTACCCCAAATTAAGCCAGTCGGGGAGTGCGCCGCGGCCTTGGTGCGTTGAGGAATCTTGAGCCATCGGGTCGATGGGGTAGTTTGCTGGTGTGATTTCTGCGTCTTTGACCATTGCTCGGTATCCGTCGTCCCAGTCTACGGCGCCGCGGACGCCCTTTACGTAGGCGTCGGCGAGGATGTTGTCGGCGTTTGATCCGCCTTGTGTGCGGCCGTTGTAGTTTGATGAGCGGGCGTCGGGGAGATAGCCGTCGTGGCGCCAGATGTCGATTAGAGAGCGGATTTGTTCTTCGTAGGCGGTTGGTTGGAGGACTTGGATGAGGGCGGTTGCGCATCGGAAGAGGTCCTGAGATGGTATCAGTAGGTGGTATCATTAAATGTGTCTAGCAGCGCAGACGCAGACTTACCCAGAAGGTAAAGATATCTTGATAATAGGGCTCGCGGGACTTCCAGCCTGGGTTCTCGCCGGTCTGGTTGGTTGGGATCAAATGCATATGGTAGAGCGAGCTGTAGAGGAGATTCAGACTCTCGTCGTTGGTGCTGGTGGTCTTGATCTTTGAAAAGACCTTTTCGTTCCATTCGGAGATGGTGTCGTCGACGACAGAGGCAAATTCAGTGCCCTTGGGTATCTCACGATCCACATTGTCGCATGCTTGTTCTGTCGAGATCCAGGAAATACCCACTCGGGAGATAATCTCGCTTTCTGTAAAGGTGAAGAGCCCACCGACTCTTGTAGAACCTGATGTGGATGAAACATCACCTTCAGGATGCTCGATGCTATTCATCGTGTCTAATTTCGTGAATGCTTTGCTGCTCACAGGCTTTGTATCGAAATGACCACCTGTGGGTAGAGCATGAGACACTGTGAAAGACTGCATACAAGCAAGCCGACAGGGACGAAAGGGAAGTCTTCATGGGTAGGATTCGACTTACAGAAGTAGATAGACCAATCGGGAGCCTCATTCCAACCATTATCATACGTCCCCATCCCCTCATAATGCCCATCATCAAAGATAGTCAAATTACCACCCTTATAATTCTGACCCCAGCCCAAGCCGCGAAAAGAAGGCAGGACATGCGAAACATCAACCAGGATGTTGTTAGCCGTAGAATCAACCGGGAAATTATATCGATAGATGCCCGCCCGAGACGAAGCACTGAGCTCAACCTCGACAGCTTGACCCGTCTGGGCCTTGTAGTAGCCCACAGAACCTTCATCCGTCCCACTGCGGGCGACTGTGATTTGGGACAGCGGATCACTGATATTGCTGCCAACTAGTGGTAGTTGGGAGACTGTTCCGTATTTGGGTGCTCCGCCTGTGCCTTGCTCGTGCATTAGACTGAAGCCGGAGAATTCGCCTGTGGATAGATAGCCGGAGTATGCGTCTGCTCCAGATTGATATAGATCTGGGCCTAATTTGACCATGCCGAATGGTCGTGCAACGCCGGGGAAGTCGTTGCCTCCACTTTCAGATCCCATGCTGGATAGCAGCAAGGAAAACAGTCAGTAGATGGTATGGTGTGGTGTGGATAGTATGGATATCATGGATATCATAGATAGATCAGAGGGAGGGATGGTATTGGGGGAATCTTACAAGACATCAACATGTTGACTCAAGTCTTCTGCCGTTGAGCCTATAGTCAGGATCAAACCTGTTAATAACATGGTGGAGCGCTTCATGATGGGTAAAATGGGCTCGTAGAGCGAGAAGCCGGCCAAATATAAGGAAAGACACTCGTGTCAGGTATTGATTCCCCTCTCTGTAGCCCCGAGCAAGAGAAGAAGTAAAGCCCGGTGAAAGTGATTTGGAGAATCCTGGAAAAGACCAACTCAAGAGTCAATTGACCAGACCACGCGCAATATACGTAGTACGCGCAGATCCTCGACCGACGACCTGATACGCCCCCCAGGAAGGAAATTACAGATGGAAATAGGAAAACGGGGCCAGATTAGCCAATAGTTAGGACTCCCAACTCACTAATTTGATGCTGCTTCCTGATGCTGGGCCCTTGGAGCTAACATATCATCGGAATTGCCCCCCTTTGGGAAGACTAGCCCTAACGAAAGAAATCCTGCGTCCAGTGGCATGTGTATGATCCCTTGGCCCACAAGGCTGCCACCCCCCCTCAGGGAACCCTTGTGGACCCGTCCAGTTTGCATTACTCGTAGGGAGTTACCCAGGTACCTCACTGGTTCAAGTTCTCACGGGATTCTTGGCGGAAGAATGTGGCAGTCGTGCATCTATCAGCTCTCCCACCCCGGTGGCCCAGTGATCCCTCTGCTAGTACTGACTACTTGGTGGGTAGGGTGACTCTATTTTTGGTCGGACTTCCGAGTCGGAAGTACGGAATATCTTGTTCTTCTTCGCATTTTCTCGCTGTTGTTTCTCTTTTCGGGCCCAGATTTTCTAGTCTGGCCCTAAAATGCCAATGTCCCAGGGCCCACTTCCACGGAAGAGACTCAGGGTCCGTTAGTTAACGCGATGGGATTTGGGAGACGGTACCTAGGTATGGTGAGTGAAGAGGGGTTAATGGTGTCTTCGAGAGTGTGCATATATGGATGGATATGCACTTATTTTTGCATACGGAGTATAGTTTGTAGTAAATAAGAAGTTAAAGTTGGGTGGGGAGGATGATCAAATCAGCAGCCGCCTTGGGTTCACATGCGGCGATCAGCGCTCCCTCCACGTGTGGCTCTATCCTGGGATGGTTGGCCCTGATGCCTGGCGATATCAGATAGGCTGGATATATGTACGAGTATGTGCTGATCACATCTTTAGGTACTCTAGGGTACCTGGTATTCCAGAGTTCCCATGGTTTGGGAACGGAGTATGGAGTACAGACCACAGCCTATCGATGTGGAGAATCAAGCACGTTGGACCCTGGCCCCCTGGACCCTGGATCCCGTGGCCCCTTGGGGTATCGGGTGTCTACATCCTTTTCTCTTCCTTCTGCCATCCACTGAAATTACATTTGTTCGCCGTGTACGAGTAGGGAGTACGGAGTTCTTCATACTGGACATTAGCAGAAGCAGATTGAGTTGCTTAGATCTGCCCCTGGACTTGGAGACCGCATTCCTACAGTAACAAAGGGGTACTCGTACTTTGTTACTTCATATTTCTGGGGAATGATAGAAAGTGGAAGTGGAAGTGTATGAACAGCTAAACTCCATAGGAATAGACTGATCAGTTTCATCAGTATCTCCTTGTCCTCTGTCCTCGGATATCCCAGCCCACCATCAATCTGCCTCATTTCTGCCCCAGTTGTCAGGCACCAAAGCCCAAATTAACTAAACTCCAGTGGGTCTGACCGTTGCAAAGCTCCTTGCAAGCTACTCAATTATTCGTTGCTTCACTTCCAAGGTGATCTGCTCTGCTCTACCCTGCTTCGCTTCCAGCTCTCAGTCAGCCCAGCATGTCTCCAGTAGACATTGTCTCACCTAGCTAGCACCCCATCCACCATGGCACCTCGATGTCCCTCCAAATCCCAAATCACCTGGTGGATGCGCGTCCGTCGCTTCGTCTACGACCTCGAATCCCCCTTCCGTCTTCGACATAGCCTCGCCCGCCTAAACCACCGTCAGAAACACCCTTTCCTCGCTCTCCTCCGCCTCCTCCTGCCTCTCCCAACATGGCACTTCAGTCTCCCACCCCCGGTCCCCGTGAAGACCATGCTGAATAATGTCCCGCTGCTTCAGGCCCGCAAGGCCCAAGCCGACCTCACCAACATGCGATCCATCCCCCTCTGGCGCGCCCGCGATACCCCAATCCGATCCCTATACCGCCTCTATGAGGCCCTCGTTGCGCGCGAATTCTACGCCATCGGGCCCGAGGTCGAATACTTCTTCTACCAGTCCCGTCGCGCCTGGGCTATACATCGAATTCCGGACCCGCAGGACCAGGATCCGGTGCGCTATGCCATCCTCTCGTGTATCGCGGAGGAACTCGCCCTCGCGTTCAACTGGCGGATGAGTCTGGGTATGCGCCGTGATAAGAGTAAGCATATCTATCGGAAGTCCTTTGATGATTTGCTTCCTCCCTTCACCGCTGAAGCCGCGCCCATCTGGACCAAACGCGCTCAGCCAATTGATGCGGATCTGCTGGTTGGATTCCCGGCTGAATTTTTGGATGCTTCGGGGAGATTGGTTCTTGAGGAAGGCGGGGAAAATCCCAACTTTGCGGAGAGGAATATCGTCACCGATACCGGTCACTTCTACACTGTCTAGAACGAGCAAGTGAGAAGGAAGGGCGAACGAGCGAGAGCCGGAAGAAAGAAAGAAAAAGCCACTACCAGGCACAACGGCTGGCCAGACGCCAAAAAGCAAAGACAAAAAAACACATCCCCTATAGAAAAGCCTCTTCATTATATTTGTCTCGATAAGCCGCTGCTATCTCGTTCATGGTGTGTTTATCCGGCGGCATCTCAAACGAGCAAATGCTCATCGTCCTCACATATTCCCGATTCAACGGACCACCAGCCTGCGTCCGCAAATGTTTCAACATAGCCACCACATCCGAAATATCCGACCCGCGCTTAATATGTCTCCGACTATTATGTATGCGACGAAGTTTGCGCTCCAGCGCCCACTCCAGCGGCACCGCGAGAACGCGCAGATTCGCCCCTTCCCACAGCACGATATTCTGTTCCTCGGCTTTCTCGAAGAGTAGCTCGCGGTGGTTATCCGGTACGAAGAAGGCCACTTCGTCATTGAGCCAGTCGTCGATGAATCCTAGATGGCGCGCGGCGCGGGTCATCGCGTCGCGGAGCGGCTTTTTGATGTCGTTGTCGTGCGCCCACTGTGGTTCGAGGAGGTAGTCGATATCCCCTGTACTCTCGCGGTTGTGGAAGAAGTTTGTCGCGAGGAATCCGCCGGTCGAGATTAGGGTTATTGGGGCGAAGGCGATGAGCCAGTCGTCCTGGCCCATTTCGGTGTCCAATACCTGTAGACCTAGAGGTTGGTCGGGTCCGGTCAGCGGCTGTCGAAGAGACAGTAAAAAGAAAGAAAGGAAAGGGCACCAAAAAGGGCGTCGATTTTTTAAATTTTAATAGAGAAAAATATCATGATATTTATGGCCATGTCCCCCTTCTCCCTGGCAAGGTGCCCTGGTGGGTTTCCCTTCTTCCAAGGTTCTCTTCAATTGTTTCCCACCCAACCCTTTCAAATAGACAGAAAAATAATAATCACCTGCTTCATCCATGGATGTATTGATTAATCATACCTCTTGTAAAATCATCAGCGCCAAACCGGTCTTTCTCCACTTCCATGCCTCGCCGTTGCCGTTGCCGTTGCCGCTGCCGCTGCCGCTGACTCCGAGTCTGTCTCTGCTTTCTGGTAGTTGACGGACGACCGATGCGACGAGCATAGACGATGAAGACTGGCATGCCGGAGCCTTGAGTATCAAGGGTTGTAGAACATGAAGTTGAAAATCAAGAATGAATTTGGAGACATGGGAGAAGTCGGACTCAGAGTCGACCATGTTCTAGAACTACCCCGCCTCTCCTGCACGCTGCTAGAATAGTCCACGCTGACGGGCTTGGAACGGATGCGGCGCTTGGAGACAGTGATAAGTACTCTCCGTCTATTGTGGACTTTCGCTAGCGTTGGGAATTAGTTTACTTTGGTTTAGTTCAGGTTTAGTTTGGTACTGGCTGTGTGGATGGGAAGTAGTTCCAAAGTTAAATATGGCTTCTGATATACTTTTGATAGTACTAGTACCAGCCCTGGAGTACCATTACTATACTTTTTATAGGCAGAAGCTTGGAAAATATTGCCGAGTTGAATCCTTCCCAGCATTGAAGAATTCTTGCTTACATCTGTCTCAGTACTTTTGTTTCCCACTTTGGCTGAGAGATATTGTTAATTGGTCAGGTGGTAGTACTTTCACATGGATAGAATCGCGAATTGTTATCTTCCAAGGTCCGCCTGCAAAAGCACTAGTACCCCATATCATACGACTAGACCGACTAGTAACACCTAAGGTTGACCTACTCGTCCAACCTGGTAACAGTCGGATCCCACGCAACGGGGCTATACTCATCCGTCTCAAGCGCCCGTACTTCCTCCCCCGTTAGACTAAAATCAAACACATCCGCATTGGCAACAATGCGATCCGACGTCACACTCTTAGGAAGCGGAATGAACCCCTTATCCAAACTCCAGCGAATAAGCACCTGAGCCGGCGTTTTGCCGTATTTATCCGCGAGCTTCTGGACACTCGGTTCGTCGAATCGCGCACCGCGCACAATCGGACAATACGCCTCGAGGAAGACCCCTCGCGCCGTGCACCAGTCTGCGATATCTTTTCGGCCTAGCCAGGGATGAAGCTCGACTTGGTTGATACTTAGGATTCCGCCGCGGCCTTTACCGCCTCGTTCGGTCTCGAGCTTGGAAATGTATGCCTCAAGCTCATTCAGGTGGTGAACTCCGTAATTGCTGACGCCGATGGAGCGGATTTTACCGGCTTCGACGGCTTCGACTAGCTGTGTGGTGGAGGCGGGTGGTTTGTTAGCCGGGGAAGAGTGAAGAGTGAAGAAAGAGGACCTGGAAATGAGAGCGTACTGCTAGCCATGCGCCTTTGCGGTTCTCGGATCCGCCTCGGGGCTGATGGAGGAGCATTAGGTCGATGTAGTCGAGCTTGGATAGGGCGAGGGACTCGTCGATTTGCGCCTTGGCCCCGTCATAGCTGATGTTTATGACCTTGGATGTGAAGAATATCTGTTCGCGGGGGATTTTGGAGCCTCGAATCGCATCACCGCAGCCTGATTCGTTTCTGTAGATTGCTGCAGAGTCGATCTGTTGGGTGTTAGTGAGGAAGGTCTCGCAATATCTCATATTGTAATGCGGGGTATTGATGGGGGGGGGTATCTCTTGTAAGAATGGCAACTCACATGGCGATAGCCAGCCTTGAGTGCTTCGAGACAGCATCTCTCTGTGTCAGCTGGGGGACTATTTTGAGATGTGTGTCAGTTCATGTTGGGGTAGCATGGGAGTTTCCGTATGCGGTGGGGGTTGAGGGGTGGCGTCTCGTACGTTTTATAGACCTTGATAGACACTTGTGTGAGCGCGACAATCGGGGAAATAATCTTGGATGAATGCTTACTCCGAAGCCTAAGCGAGGAATCTCAAAGCCACTGGGCAATTTGATGGCGGAGGTGATGGTGGTTGCCATTCTTGATACGAGTCGCATCTGGTGCGGGGAAAGTATTGGAGAGGAAGCAAGTTGGGAATGCCAAGTTGGAGATGTTCGAGTCGGAAGAAGGGCGGATTACTTAACTTTGTACCCTTCTCCTCCCTCGCCAGTCCGACCGGGGTTTAACTATTCACATCCGATATCTCCTTCGGATCACCTTAATGGGCTATTTCTCGTTCCTCTGTCGGTTTATTGGTTGTGATATTTAGTCATCCGCGTACGCCTCAAAGCTTGGTTTCGGATATGGTTGGATTCGGTAAGCCCGAGGTTTGGATCGGAGATCAGTTGGCGTGGAGATGGGTGAAGTGAGGCTGTCTCCATAGAGATTGCTTAATGTTCATCGCTTTGCTTGGTCATCTGGGTTAATTGGATCTTCAAATTAGTTCTTCTAGACTGTAATTTCTATTAGAAGTTTAATCATGCGGCTTCAAATGTAGCAGGACTTGGCACCTCCATCGAATACCGTGACCAGATTGTCCGAAATGATCAGTTCTTTTTCTCTACTCATAGGGCTGTACTCCATATCGGCTATAAGAAGGGTCTCGGTTTCAGCTCCAGCCGTAGGGTTATGCTCCACGCGGCTCGACTGCCGCTAGCATACTGTACATTAACCTCATCTGGTACGCGCAGGTTCAAGAAATACGAGTCAGAATCCAGTTGGGGGCCAAATATACAGCTAGTACTATTTAAGTCGGTGGTCAGCTTACTTGGACGCCTATTTCCATATGTACGTCGCGGTCTCTAGGAAATTTTCGCCTTGCATCCATTTTGTTGCTGCTGGACGGAGTAAGTAGAGCACTGGCAGTTAATGCGATATACAAATAGTCGGACGGAGTATGGAGTACTGTATGGATCTGTACACAGCCTTGCGCTCCCCACTCTACTCGCAGTTTCTTCTCCAAAGGGAAAGGGATTGACGAATGTGGTCCCAAAAGTCGGGCTTTGATTGGGCAAATGGACTAAATCAACCGCCCTAGTTGAAAACTGAGGTACATACGAGCAAAAAAACTTCAGGGGCAAGGCGCAGTTCTCCCCGCTGACAATTAGTTTTTGACAAAGACCCCGAAGGAATTGATTGTCTTAATAAGATACGGAGGAAAGCGTACGAGTACTGGTTAAGATCTAGCAGCGCTCCTGAATCATCTTGAGCCCCCTTGAAGATGGGTCTTCGAGCTCTATACGAGGCAAGTGGATCCACACATGGTTACATGTAATAAATAGCAATTACGAGTGCTTCTCAGTACCAAAGAGTATCAGCGTGGAGCATAGCCTCGCCGTCTCCGACGCCTCACGAGGTCACGGCACTCTTGCTAGCTGAGAGAGGCGTCAACCTGAGTCGTAGCTAGCCAGGGAGGAGGGGAGGAGTGGGGGATTTAGGAGAGCCCCAATGCATTAATTGAAAATGGTGATCTGGATTGAACCAAACCTCAACGGTCTCCACTGAGTAGAGATAAATTGGCATGTCCACTCGCTGCTTCTCTCCGTGGGGGCTTGAAAGCAAAACAAATTAGGGCAGTGAAGGATCTCAACTTTAAATCGTGACCAGACTCATTTTGACGGGAAACAGCCTTGTCGATCCGATTAAGACGCTATTATTAACGGTCCTGAAATTTACTTTCCGTCTTACATCTAGAAACCGCCCCCATCCTGCGTCACTTTATTCTGCATTTCTCCTCCCCCGTCCCCCATCTCGACGTGTCACGTCTCCAACCCCTTCAAAAACCAGCAAAGCCCCACGACGCCAATCTACGATTCAATATGGCGACACAGCATGATAGCGAGGGTGAGTACTGCGTCTACTAGCATTCGCATATTCTGGGATTTCACCACGCGACAGAAGTTATTGACTTGCGACCAGGCCTCATTCCCCTCGAGCACACTGGCCAGACCTCAGCCACTGGCTTCAACACCAACCCTCCAGTTTCGCCTGGCTCACCAGTACCTCCCTACCAGTCTACGATCAGTTCCTTGACCCCATCGCCTCTGAGCCCCCGACAAACCTCCACCGGCGGCGACTACATCAGCCAGACGCCAGCTGAGAAAACGCGGGTCGCAGACGATATCGCCCCGACCTTTGTGAGCAGCTCCAAGGACAATGCACCGACTTCATACCCGGGACAGCCTAAGGAGCAACCGAACGAGTACAACTCGCCCGACGATGTGAAGGGATACCCCGGACAACCCCAGCCTACATACCAAGACCCTTCGCAACAAGCTCCCAATTACCAGCAAGCTCCCAATTACCAGCAAGCTCAAGCCCAACCGGGGGTATACTATACTCCGTACGGCCCGCCTAGTGGATACGCCAGCGCTACACCATTGCACGCGCTTCAGTCAGCTCCCGCGCCGGTTGATTGCCCTTCATGTGGACACCGCGAAATGACCCGGACGGAGGCCGTTACCGGGATGACAACGCAGTAAGTGGATTTCCGAGATCCAGCCCCGATCCCAAGAGTACACGCTCTGCATTGTCAAAAAAAAACAAAAAAAAAAGTCTTTGCACATTTTACTGACAATTGGAAAATAGTGGTTGGGCGGCCGTTCTTTGCTGCTGCTGCTGTCTCGGATGTTTCCCTTACCTGATGTCATCCCTGAAAGACGTCGACCACTACTGCGGAAAGTGCGGTGTTAAGCTAGCCTGCTGGCATAACAGCGGTCGGGTTCAAGTCATGCAGACTGGATCGGCTCAGCCCTCTCAGCCTGCTCAACCTGCTCAACCTGCTCAACCTGCTCAACCCGCTCAGACTGTTCAGACCCCGGTGACCCAATGATACTGGAAGCTTCTTTTTCGGCTGCCTAGTACCTTCTTTTACGATTCTTTGTTATTGATATTTTTGAAGTGATACCACTTACGTTTTAACATACGAAGGCGCGTTCGGGTGTTTGATTGTGGAGTTTTGTTGATCTTGGATTCGCTTATATTACTTGATCTGGATTGTATATCATCACTCTACCCTTTGGGGGAGTATTAATACAAAATTTAAATACCAACACATTGAACGGTCTGTTGATGTTTACACTCTAATAGTTGTATTCTTTTCATTGTTTAGTGTATAAACAAAGCCAACTAGTAGTGCTCAAGATCGAGCTCGAGATATTCCGATTAATCCCTTATTAATCGGTCTCATAAATATTGATGCTCCTAGCAGTTAATTTCTGCTGTGGCGCGTCTTTCTTTGATACTTATGGGTCTGCCCTGGCCATTATCTCGTACCAGCGAAGCACAATGAGATTGAGTACGCTTTGTTCGAGAGGCTTGCTTGTATATCTTTGTTCTTGATCGCCCCGCATCTGGCATTTGCCTACAAAACGAAAGAGTTCTCCCAGTCCAAGGTACTTGCCATCATTATTCTCTGGCTTTAGCAGTTATGTGTGAACTAACATATTACCACTTCCCCACTTGCGGGCACATCTCCTACTGGATAATGCTGTCTTGCACGACTTATACGCATTCTATCCGTTCCATGCCCGGGAAATTCCTCCAGTGTGAGGATGTCGAAATCTATCATGATCTCACTCCCGAGGATGACGATCAATGCCTGTGGTGTTGGGAGGATTTACTCACAGCATCTACCGATGACCCTATGCCAGCTTTTGGAAGCAGCGATTATTTCATTGAAGGGTTAAATTCAGATATTCCACCCTTTGAATTGGCAGCACAATTTAACCCTGACACGGAGAGAGGGGATTCTAGTGATCTTGGTAAGTCCTCAAGCGATGAGGACGAGGATGAGGATGAGGATGATCAAATCGGCCATCAGAGACATACTTGATTGGAAAATCCGATGAAACAACCCCCAAAGATCCTCCTGCAAATAAGAGTCGATAGCTGATTCTTCTTTAGCTTTTGTTCAAGTTTCGTCAGAGCATTACATAAGTGAGGTTTGCTCGGTGATCTCAAGTGGCAATCCTGAAGATGACGCCTGTGGACAAGAGACCCCGAGGACAGATACCCTTGAACAATTAGCTAATATGCTTATACAGACTGAGGAGGAAGAGCCTTTGCTCGTGCACACTGATTTATTTGAGCCATCCTCGCCTTCGTCTGAGGAGGCAGATTCATCCGATTCTGAGCTGGAAGAATCTGGATTCTTCTTGACACCCCGGGAAATCCTGTGAGTCAAGGATCGTGCTGTGCCCAGCTTCATAGAATAGTTCAACCTAAGTATAGCTTTCTCTATAGCATCATGTCTATTAATTTTCTGCGGGCGGATTATCGGAGGGGATAGTTAACAGTAACCGAATATGTTCAGATAATCGGACATGGCCATGTTATTTCGTTTTCCGCAGAAATTATGTACCAACCAAACCTTCATTTATCCTTTTAGTAGTAATACCCGTAACCAAGCTGTAGTCGCAATTTATCCGATTAACCTCGCCACTGTCATATCCTTGGCCCTTGGCTAAATTCACAGTTGTCGAGCTCGGGTCGGACTTCCCCCGAAGATCCCCCCACCGCGGCATCTCCAGATAAACCCCAATCCCCCCCCACGTTTCCCATCAAGTTTCTGTACATAGCTGCTCTCTTTCCTTCCTTATTTTTACCACTTCTTTACCTTTCATAAATCTGATTTCACTATTCAAACAATATGTCTAACCCAGCTGTTGGCTTTGTCGGCCTGGGAGCCATGGGTTTTGGCATGGCCACCCACCTGGTGAAGCAGGGCTACCCCGTCCACGGCTTCGATGTCTTCCCTGCTTCGGTTGATCGCTTCAAGACCGCCGGTGGAATTCCGGCTTCCTCGCTGCAGGACTCTGCAAAGGATAAGCAATACTATATCTGTATGGTCGCATCAGCGCCGCAGGCTCAGTCTGTTCTCTTCGGCGAGAATGGCATTGTTGCTGGTAAGTTTTGTGGCAATTCTTTGATTATTTGATTTCTTCCAACTGACTGATTGATCTCACATGTACAGTTCTCCCCCAAAATGCGACCCTCCTCCTCTGCTCCACTGTTCCAGCTTCTTATGCCCAGTCTGTCGCTGCTGAGCTGCAGTCGCTCGGTCGCGGGGACATCCAATTCATTGATGCCCCCGTTTCCGGTGGTGCTAAGCGTGCTGCGGATGGAACTCTGTCAATCATGGCTGGTGCGTCGGACTCTGCTCTGGAGAGTGGCCGGTTCCTACTCCAGGAGATGTCTGATTCCGATAAGCTGTATCTGGTGCCCGGCGGCATTGGTGCTGGAAGCAACATGAAGATGGTCCACCAGGTGCTGGCTGGTATTCACATTTTGGGTGCTAGTGAGGCCCAAGGCTTTGCTGCACAGTTAGGATTGGATGCTACTAAGACCGCTGAGGCGATCAAGTTATCCGACTCTCATACCTGGATGCATGAGAACCGTTTACAGCGTATGTTGGAGGAGGACTGGTACCCTGGTGCTAGTGCTCTGACTATTATTTTAAAGGATGTGGTGAGTACAAATTTATTTTCTGGTGCTTTCTATGGTGAGATTTTGAAATGCTAATCAAGTCGAATAGGGCATCATCACCACTTCTGCCCGTCAGAACCAATTTCCTACCCCTCTCTGCTCAACGGCAGAGCAAGTCTACCTTTCCGCTCTCCTACAGGAATATGGCCCTGTCGATGATTCCTCGATGGTCCGCCAATACTACAAGGAGCCCATTACGAAGGTGTCCTCCACCAAGTCCGCCGAAGAGACCGCCGAGGCTTTGCAGTTGGTCCTTGATGTGATGGAGTTGACCAATCTTGTCGCCGCTGCTGAAGCCATTGGCTTTGCGCGCCACCTGAATGTGGAACTCAAGCAGTTCTTTACTCTTGTCAGTGATGCCGCAGGTGCCAGTCGTCAATTCATGACCAAGGGCCTAGAAATTATCGAAGGCAAAATCGGGGAGAACTCCGAATCTCTCAATGACGCTATCACTCGCCTGGAGAAGGGTGTACAAAAGGCCAGAGACCTTCACTGCCCGCTACATCTAGGAAACGCGGCGTTGAATCAGCTTTTCATGGCGAAGAGGCATGGTCTTGGTGCGGAGGGCAGTACTAGTGTGATCAAGACTTTTGGCAGATAGTGTAGATATCCCATTTCCTTTACAAAAATTCAGAGTTTTCGTTTTAAAGACACTTTACGTCCTAAATTTCTCCTCTCGCTATCACCTCGTAGTTAATTGGGGTTGTTGCTGTCGGCGGATCTCCCCCACTCGGCGATACTTCAACTTTGCTTCCCACTCATTCCCCCGTATTCCCCCACAAATCGACGCCTAATGGACAACCTATGCCCGGGAGTTTTTTTCATTATTTTTCCAAGGTTCCATGTAGCCAGGGGCAAACCCCCACACCGGCTTTACAATCCGGTCGTGTCAATTTGACGTAACGAGGAGGGGGGGGGGTCTTCGGACCATCTCCGAGGACTCGGACAACATGCGACTATCACAATACTCGGACAGAACAACGATCGCCATTAACAAGAGAAACACACAGGCAAACCAGACTTAAAAGCCCCCGCGTCGCAAAACCCACTCACATTTTTACCTTTTCCTACCTCCCACACACACCCCTCTCCTACAAAATGCCTCTCAACGACAACCGCGCCCTGCGCATCCTCGACCATGCCGCCGAGAACCACTACGCCGTACCAGCAATGTGCTGCTACAATGTCGAAGGCATCCTAGCTACCGTCCGAGCCGCCGAAGCCAAGCGCTCCCCAGCTATGATCCTCCTATTTCCCTGGGCAGTGCACTACGCAGATGGCATCCTCGTACACGCCGCCGCCGAAGCCGCGCGCAAAGCCTCGGTCCCCGTCACCGTGCACATGGACCACGCGCAAACACCGGAGATCATCCGCTACGCAGCGGATCTGGGTGGCTTCGACAGTATCATGGTTGACATGTCGCACTACGAGAAGGCGGAGAACCTGGCGCTGACGCGGGAATTGGTTGAGTACTGCCATGCGCGGGGGATCGCCACTGAGGCGGAACCCGGCCGGATTGAAGGTGGAGAAGATGGGGTTGCGGACACGGCGGATTTGGAGGGGTTGTTGACGACTCCCGAGGAGAGTCAGGAATTTGTCGATACAGGGATTGATTGGCTCGCGCCTGCATTTGGAAATGTTCATGGCGAATATGGGCCGCGCGGCATTCAGCTTGAATATGATAGACTTCAGTCTATCAATCAGGCTGTTGGAGGACAGGTGCGGCTCGTTCTACACGGTGCGGATCCGTTTACGCAGGAGATCTTTCAAAAGTGCATTGATTGTGGCGTGTCCAAGATCAATATTAATAAGGTCTTGAATAATCCTTATATTCAGGTTCAGCAGGAGAAGGCTGGCAAGGTGCCGCTGACGACGCTGTTGGAGGAGACTACGAATGCGATGCAGAAGGCAGTTGAGGGATGTATTGATCGGTTGGGCTCTGGTGGAAGATACCCTTGATTGATGAGATAATGCATGTTGAAGCGAGTGCTTTTGTGTTTTTGATATTGAATTTGTATTCAGCCTACTGAAGATATAAAATGTGATAACAAATCTGATCTACCCCAAGAACGCCCTTTTCATTAAAAAGTTCCTTTGGATATCAACGAAGCCCATAAAGCCGAGCGCCACAAGTCCTTTGCCGGATATATTGAAGTACAAGAAATGCAGAATAAAGGGTTGACAGGCAGCTGGGGAATAATTAGTCAATATACTCGGAATTGGGGGAATGTTGCCAGACTTACGAGTTCATCCGCCGAGACTCTGAAGGAGACCACCCAGGACAGGAATTTTGCCCAACACGCCAGTGAGACCTCCCAGAGTGTCGTCATCATCAGCGTCACTCGCGGAAGGAGTGGCAGAGGCAGAGGCCGAAGCCGAGCTAGAGGGAGTTGCGTCGACCTTGCTTGAAGACAGGTGCTGCTCGTGAATCATGACAGAGTGTGTAGGACGAGCCTTGGTAGACATGGTGACAATGATCTGGTGAGTGGGAGTGGACTGCATCATGACCGCGTGGGTAGACGGCAGGACTGGCATCATCATGGAGTGGCTTGATGATGTCTTAGCCTGCGGCATGGGCATGGGAGTCTGCAGCACAGTGTGCACCATGGAGGACGAAGAACTCGGATGAGCCTTAGGAATGGGAGCAATGGTCACAACAGCCTCGGTAGAGAAGGAAGAAGAGTATGTCTCTGGCATGTCCGGCACAGCGGAGAACATTTCGATCTCAGATATCATGGGAACCTCAGAGATCATAGGCATATCATCATCATCATCATCATCATCAGCAGTAGCAGACGAGGTAGGAGAGGGCATCTGCATAGGAGGCGCCGGGATCTCGTTGTGCTGCTTGTGAGGCTCAGCCGCCACATCAGGCTTCACAATCACGATGTGAGTGGGCTGAGGCTGAGCAGGCTCAGAGACGACTTGGAAAGTAGGCTCCGGCTTCTTTTGAGGAGCTTGGAAGGTTGGAGCCGCCTCCTGCTTGGGGGCTGCCTCTTGCTGGGGAGCCTGGAAAGTGGGCGCCGGGTCTGCCTGAGGGGCCTGGAAGGTGGGTGCAGCCTCTTGTTGGGGAGCCTGGTAGGTAGGAGTTGCCTCTTGCTGAGGAGCTTGCTGGAAAGTGGGAGCAGGTTTATCGGCCTGTTGCTGATAAGACTGAGAAGGAGCCGGTGCCGAGTTATACTTGCCAGCCTGGGCGGACTCCGCGACCTGCATGGCATCCATGTATGCGGGAACGGGGTTATCCATTCCATCATCATCTTCAACGGCGCTACTGGAGCCCGACATGAAGGGGAAGGTGTTGAACGGATTACTCTTGCCATCAGGCTTGGGGTAAGAGGGCGCAGCAGCGGCACCGACGGCCATAATGGCCAGAGAAACGTAAGATGGATGCATTATGGCTGGAGAGGTCTTGGCCTGGACCAGGAAGAATCGAAATGATAGTATTAGGTGGGATATGAAACTTTGCACTTTGATCCGGGGGAAAGGGATACAATGGCTTTTATGTCAAGATCGCTCGAATTCTTGATCTTCACAGTGTTTTGATATTTGGTCTGCAGCGTCTTCCATGCCTTATACAGTGGGGCACGCGCACTGATAAAGATCAGCATCTCTCGCCCCGATGACGAGTGTAGCATAGCATAAGGGGCAGGCCGGCCCTACAGGTATGGAAACCCAGCGGAGATGGTTGGATTCCAGTGCCTTTACCGCAATTGTGGTTGGTCGCCGTGGAATGATCGTCGATAAAGTTACTTGGGCAAGCGAATCGGGGGTTGGAAAAGCGGCAGACACATTGATCTCTCATATTCAATGGAAGCCACGCTCTTCTTGGTGGCCGGTTCATGTTCTAAATGTACAAGCCCCCCCGATAGTATGATATAGATTGCGGCTAAAGAGGCTGGCTGTCATATCAAGCTGCGGGCTTCAGCCATGTATGAGCACTAACCTCGTGGTGATGCACTGTGTCATCGCTATACTAGTCCGATGGCCTATCGACCTTCTAGCAACTATTACTCAACGAGCGATATTTTCTCAGCCCTTCACCAGGAGTAAACCCCTTCCGCCTCCTTCAATTTAGAAAGCTCACGAGAGTTCGCCCCTAAAGACTCCTCTCAACGATGGGCACTACACAGGGATATTCAGGCACGCAAGAGCTCATTCCCCTGGCAACCCTAGCTGCCCTGATTCCCCCTTGCGCCGCCGACCACCCATCATGCAGACCCGTCTCGGACCGTCGACGAAATTTCCACTGCATCTCTGACTACCTTTTCTTTGATCTGTAGTTGGTACCAGTAGTCTAATTGTTGTGATCTACATGCGAAATCCTTCCGCATACTTGCTATCAGTTCGGATGTAACAGCCACATTGCCCTTGACTGAGACAGCTGAAATATGACAGGTCACCTCACGGCCAAGGAATTCAACCAAGCTTCTGGGAGGCGTTTGGCCTTAAAATTAGTTTCATGTTTGTATTTGATGACTGTCAGCACGTAGACTCCACTAGCAAGGAGCGGGTTTGCTGTCTGCAGGATGTTTATACGAACGGATCTTTAGATGGATCCAAGTTACAGTAGAGAACCACGCAGCTCAAATCAAGAAATAAGCTAATGCCTAGGCTCGGTCAATCTCCTGAGACTTGAATGTCATGCTGGACATTGTTTTACTAGTCATAGATCTCGGGAGTGTTTCCCACCGAACATTATTGGCTCGCCTCCGAGTCTCGAGGTCACTTTTTCTTTTGCCAAGTTGTCTTTAGATTAAGTTGAAAAATAGAAATAAAACGAAAACACTGAATTATTTACTACTGATACAAATAGTACTAGTAGTTTGCAACTACGTTAGATTCAAAAATGCCGCCGACCCGAGTCGTTCAAATTGATCCTGCTGGGCAAAATATATATTCTAGTGCCAACCTTGGACTCGGATGTGATTATCTAACTTTCAACCTTGGAAGGCCGAATTTGAAATGTGCAAGGTATTCCAAAACTCTAACAGACTACAATAACTTACTAGTAGCAATTTCAACAGACAACAATAGCATTTCAAATCATCCCGCGTGCTACTAGTTGTATTGCTAGTAAGCGACCGTTGTTAGTTCACTAAGAAATCTTGAAAGATATCATGAAAGTCGATAGCTAAAATATGTGGGATTGCCTGTTACCCATCTGAGCACATTCATCACTCTTATTATTACTCATTGAGCTACGTGTGATCAAGCTGGTAATTCCTTCATTTTTATTCTGATACTATGACACTGCCTTGCCGTTTTGGGATCCATCCCGGCCCAGCTCCAAGTTGCTCTGGAGAGAAGAGTCAAATATTTTCATCAGTAAAACTCCTCGAAATGCACTCAAGAACTTGAGTATTACTGCTGCCATATAGCCGACAATGTAGATTCTCGTCGATCAAGGTGCTAGTACCTATATTCGAATTACTCGACATATAATACACGAGTGAACGCTCAAGCCGCCCGCTAAACGAGTAGCCGAAATGCCGATCCGTCTCCCCGCTTTGGAAAACCTGTCATCCTCCACAGATGATCTTGCTTAAGAATCACTGAGCCAATTTATACTTTTAGAAATGGCTACTATAACGATAGCTCCAACAACCGACACATCGGAAGCGCCCCGCCAAGACCAAAATGTCGACGTGGAAGACATACAATCCATTGGAACACCGACATACTCCGGAGACGAGACCCCGCCATCTCATGCTGTCAGCATTTCTCCGCGATGGAATGAATCAAAGACCATGATATGGCGGTTGACCGCTACGTGCTGGTGTGCATTTGTGATGGGTGCCAATGATGCCGCATACGGTGCCATCATTTCCTCTGTTCGTCTTACTTATCGAAGTGTCTTATCCAAGCTAACAAGAAAATCAAAAATACAGTTAGAATCCTATTATCAGAAAAACTATACTGTCATCTCGCTCGTCTTCTTGTCGCCATTTTTCGGTTATGTTATTTCCGCAATTTTGAGCTACTCAATCCACCAGCGTTTTGGTAGAAGAGGCATTGCCATCATCGGGCCTACTTGCCATCTACTCACATTCGCAGTTATATCTGTTCACCCGCCATTTCCAGTACTAGTGATAATGTACATTCTTGTGGGGTTGGGGAGTGGTGTTCAAAACGCCGCATGGAACGTGTGGATTGGCAACATGGCAAATTCAAACGAAGTCCTCGGATTCTTTCATGGGTTTTACGGAGTGGGCGCTACAATCAGTCCTCTCGTCGCGACGAGCTTAATTTCAAAGGCGGGCTGGCCGTGGTACTCCTTTTATTATCTTATGGTATTCACATTCCCCACTCCCCCTTCCCAGCCACCCCCCCGTCCGTCATGGTTAGAGCCTACACGAAATGGCAGACTAACCTAACGCGTGGATCTTAGACCGGAGCGGCTGCCCTTGAAATTGTTTACGCTGCAAGTGCATTTTGGACCGAGACCGGGTCTAAATACAGGCAGGAAAGCGCTGGCACTACCGTCAGAGGAGGAGCACTTCACCAGACTCGGCTTGCTCTCACGTACAAGGTCACCTGGATCATCGCGGTCTTCCTTTTCCTATATGGAGGAACAGAAGTGGCTATTGGAGGATGGATCGTCGTTTTCATGACAGACGTCCGTCATGGCAGTGCATTTGCGTCCGGAATGACAGAAACGGGCTTCTGGCTTGGCGTCACAATGGGGCGGTTCGTCCTAGGCTTCGTATCGCCTCGAATTGGCGAGAAACTGGCAATCACTGTCTACATTCTTTGTGCCATCGCGCTCGAGCTCATCTTTTGGCTTGTCCCGGAATTCATTGTTTCCGCGGTAGCGGTGTCTCTTGTCGGGTTCTTTTTAGGAACCATATTTCCAGGCGTCGTTGTTGTTGCGACGCGTCTTCTGCCAAAGAACCTCCATGTAGCAGCTATTGGGTTTGCTGCTGCATTTTCCATGGGTGGAGGTGCTGTTTTCCCCTTCATGATCGGTGCCATTGCGCAGGCGAGGGGGGTGAGCGTACTCCAACCTGTTCTGCTGGCAATGTTGGCAGTGGCATTGGGTATTTGGTCCACCCTTTTCAGAATCCCCAGTATAGAGCAACGCCAAACTTGAGAAAAACCAGTGAAAATGGACTAACAGGTATGTTGTGGCCTCGACTAACGGAATTCATCATTTGATTCTTTTATGGTTTCCTTTACGTCTCCTCATCGAGGAGATGACTATCCTTCTTTATTTGATCTAATATAAATTGGAAAGAGTAGCTCTCCTAAGTAAATTTATTCAAGCAAACCTTTGGTAATAACATGCAATTTTTCTGTACAAATACGAGTAGACTCTCGAATTTGGCTTACAATAGTTGATATCTTAAGTAGACATGATCATACTATATTCTTTTTTATATCTGCAGTGACCGAATAATTTGACGTCACGGACCGCCCAGCTATTTGCTCAGAGCAATCGCCTTTATTTATTATCCCAAACTTGAGCTTTATCTCGAGTATTACAAATTGAGTGGTTTCATATGCCAGATCGGGTGTATATTTTTAGAACTATCAAAGCCATTCACCGTTCTTCCAAAGTTCTTTCTTTTCATGTGCGCTGACTTGTTTGCTTTGTTCTGTACAATTGAATTATATATCTTTATTTAACAAAAGCATTGTTGAAGACTGAGTACCGGTACTACTATTGTGGCTGCAACCTCTCAGGAGCACTTCATCTGAAGTATTTAAATCTCTCGAGTATCCTGCCATATTCTATACCTCACCAGCTCTTCTGATTCTATACACGGGCAAGCCCCAGATCTCAGAACCATTTTACTGACCAATTCACAGCTACCGAGTACTCATATTATCCTAGAACATGGCTTCTCATCATCTGGTCAAGGAGGATAGATTTCCCCCATGGCAATCCAAAGGCCGCAGATTACGACAATGGATGGAAGATTTCGAAAACGGTGAGTGCAAGATCCGCCAGTCATCACTAAGACTTCGTGATTTGGAGCAGGCTAATTGGACAATTTGCATCATACCCAAGTGTTTACCATTGAGAGAGAATCTTCTGATTCGTAGGGTCGGAGGTCTTCCGACCGAGTGGAATACCGGCGACCAACGACCCCTTTACAAAAAGGTTAGTGTTCGCAGTAACCAAGAAGACATAGATATTCCTGCATTGGAGTGGTATGGCTTTGTTGGCCCAGGTATGTTATCTTTATCGTGGTCATGTAGACCACAGGAGGACTTTGTGGTTGTTAATGAACAAGACGAACCTTATGTTTCGCAGATATCGAAAGCTGTGTACGAGAATAGCTTTTCACTTGAAACGTTGAAGTACGTCTTCGTGACTCGCATAGTTGACGAGGACATAAGAAATTGCTTGAACTACTATATATCCAGTGATCGTGAGGACCTGGTTTACCAGAGTTACGAGTATACGGAGCCCCAGTTTGACGCCTTACTCGGCACCAAAACCGGCAAAACCGTAGCATACCTTCTCCTCGGCGCTTTTGGACAAGGCGTGAAGCGAGTACGGAGGATTGCCATCATCTCCGAGGTTGGTCAAGACTGGGATCTACGATTTGACATTGAAGACGTCCCTCAGGGAGATAAGTTTATCTGATCTTGCTTGAGATTCAAGTTTATTACTTAGAACAAATGATACAATTTTCTTTAAGCTTATCTGAAACTTTTTTATTAAAGTAATTATATAACAGTACCAGCCTCTTCATTGGTCGTAATAGAATTATACCAATAGACTCAGTATATTTAAATTTATAAAAGCAGTACTAGTATAGCACAACACAATAAATATTATCGAAGGTAGTAGTTTCTGTTAGATTCCGCGAATATTGAAAAGCAATAGCACGCACGCTAGAGTGAACTAAGCCATTGATAGCAAGTATTATTCCCCGAGAGCGATCCTCACCATACGTAGTAATCATAAGCATCGAGACATCTCTGAAGCAAGGCAAACCCCCAGAAACCGGAGATAGTTAAGAATCTAAGTTCTTATGATGGCTTTCACCTTGGCCTTAACGTCAAACAGGCCCTTTTTGGGACACCCAATACCCAAGTCGCGGTAGACACAGATATTCTCCACAGTAGTTTCATACGGCTCAAATTCGAAGCGACGTACAACATGAGCCAGGGTAAGGAATATCTCTGCGTAAGCAAGGCTAGTACTTTGTTAGCTGAAAGCCATGAAGTACATAGAGATGGAGGAGATGAGAGATAGAAGGATAAAGACACACTTCATTCCCAGGCACTGTCTGCTGCCTTTGGTGAAAGACACAATGAATCTTCCTAAATTATCACCATTCTTTGCGGCCCGCACCCAACGCTCGGGGTCGAACTTGTGTGGATCAGGGAAAAGGGTCTTATCCATGTGCACGAAGTAGTTGGATTGGCTAATTGGGGTCTATAAGGATGATAGGTTAGATCAAATATATTAATGAAAGGTAATATTTACAATACTATATGAAAGGGCTTTACTAACTCCCGCTGGAATAATCCAATTTTTGTAAGGAATAGGTACTTTCGTCGAAATTCGACCTAGTCTTGATGTCATACCGTGGCTCAGGCGTAGTCCTTCATTAACCACTCCCGTCTGTAGTTTAGTAGAAGAAAGTAAGCATTCCAAGGTTTCTCTCACCGGAAGACCCCAAAGTAAACGGGATAAATAGCCGTAACTCACCAAATAAGGCAGCTGCTCGAGCTCTAGCCACGAAGCCTTCGAAACAGGCGTCTCCAGGACAGTCTTCAATTCACCGAGTAATTTCCTCCCAACTTCTTCATTACTCATGACATGGAAGATCGAAACGGCAATGGCTCTCGCCGTAGTCTCCGTCCCAGCACCGAGAAGCAATGCCCCCTCATCCTCTAATCGATCAAGTGTCTTTTCGGCATCCGGTACCTCAGGCCCAGTCAACGCATCAAAAATATGACCCTTTCCCTTCAAATTTGCCTCATGCATATTATTCTTCTTCTCGAGAGTATCTTTGGCCTGCTGCCGCAAGCGTGCTTTCATATCAAATAGATCCGCCATACAAGGCTGCAGCCAGCGGACCAAACCCGGCGGCGCAGCAAGCAAGACCTTGCTAAGAAACGGGAAAAAGCGGTTAATATGAAACATAATCATGAGTCCGTTCACGGCGTCAACGAGATCATTGTTCCTCGAGCTATCCGCGTTGTCGAGGTACCCGCGTGCCCAGCCATAGCAGTAGTGAGTGATAACGTCTGCCGTGAGAGCAGCGAAATCAAGTTGTAAAGTGAGCACGGCCGAATTCGCGTAGGCGGTTTCGAATCGTTGGATGAGCTTGTCGACTTTCTCGTGGATTATGGGCGTTAGATTTGTGACGGATCGCTTTGAGAAGAAATTGTTCACAAAGCTGCGTCGTAGTCTGTGGTGCTCGTGGCTGATTGTACCGACGAGTGAGTATGGTGCTGCAAAGGCAACGGCATATTTGGGATCTCTGGCGCGTTTCTTAGATGGTCCGGCGTGGATCTCTTCGTAGAAGTATGGGTCCTTAATGTGGAGTTCTCTGGGGTTGATGCGTACGATTGGGCCTGTGTTGGGTTTGTTTTCGGTCAGAGAAGCCTCGAGGATTGGTGGTTCAATCTTAAGACTGGGGAGAGGGTACCGTATTTCTTGTGCATGCGCTCAATTTCCCAGATGTATAATCCATTTTTGACGACGTCGTAGTAAAATTCGTAGAGAAATGTCCCAGCTGCAAGCTTGGGGCCTGGGAATGCCGCTAGAGGGTGGGTATAAAGACGGTGGACTATTATACGAGCTGCCAGGAACAGCAATAGTGCCGCCACTAGGACGGGAAATAGCAAAGCATATTCCATTCTGATTGAGGCGACACAACGTGAGAGTTGAGATGGGATCGGGGTCAATATCACCTATTACTAGTATGGAAAGTGCTTGTAGAGACAACCATGGGAAGAGAAAGCCGGGGAGCGGGGTACGGGGGGAAGAAGAAGGTACCAGTTTAAAAGGGAGTCAATTAGTGGTGGACTCGTTTCCAGATTATCAGATGTCAATGTCATTATGATAGTAGTTGCTAGTTTGAGAGCCCCGGCATTCTACGAGCAGATTTCATACCGGGATGCCCTGGATGATGCCTCTTGCCTGTCTGGACATAGCATTGATGCCCGGGACGAGCTAGGGGCTTTGCACAGTAAGCTTGGACTCTAACAAGTCAATATTTACGCGCCACTGACCCAGGATCGGCGATGTGATTACCCACGAACGGTACACAGTGTGCATGGATGTTCTTGCTCTCCACATATGATGTCCGATGTGCAGATAGATCACGCTATTAACCAATCAAGGCCAATCCAGTCATTCCCTTTATTGATGCAATAGTGGAGGTTGATATCAGGTACATCGGAATTGGGTGGAATAGAAATCCGACTCGATCCTGCATTACATGTGTACTTACAGGAGGGTGTAAGTAACTGGCTGAAGAGCGCGATGCAAGATGTAGGCGATCCACCAATCAGGATCAAGGCAAACCCGATTAAATAGCTTGCAGAGTAGAAAATAAATGATGACAAGCAGAATCGAACGTAGACCCCTTTTTGGCACAGAAGTGTTGACGGCGAAGAATCCAGGCCGATCGGGATCGGCGGGCAAAAACGAATAGCCGAGACAATTTTGAAGGGAAAAAGAATAGCAGAGGGTATACTTTTGTAGTCGAGAAGAAGAAACATGAGTGTAAAACATTATGTTGTGGGGGTGAATTTGTCCAGAGGATTTGATATTAACATTGGCAATAGGGAATGGCTGTTGTCGATTGCAGCTGAATCATGATATCACGGTTTACTGTGGCAACGGGAGACAGGCATATAGCCGAATGAACCGTCAAAACAGGATTCACCCTCAACGCCCCAAGTTTAGTTTCAAGTCTCAGTTTCAGTCAATGGATCACCAATGCATTCCTAGAAGAAATCAAATGTCCACATTTACACCTATGAAAACATCCGTAGTAGGCTTGAAAAAAAAAGTTGAAAAAAAGTAACATGGTAAAAGTGACAGGAGGGAAAAGGGAGATAGAAAAACATAGAGGGAGGGATAGAGAGAGAGAGAGAGAGTTAGGGAAAGCGGCTAGCAAGACATTCGACAGAAAGGAAAAAAGTCCAACTCCGTTTTAATATCCAAGATTTTATTTCGCCAGCATCTTCTTGGTCTCGGCGATCGCAAGACCAGGGTTCAGGCCCTTGGGACAAGTCCGTGTGCAGTTGAGAATGGTGTGGCAACGGTAGACGCTCATGCTGTTGTCGAGGGCGGCCTTGCGCTCGGCGGTGCGCTCATCACGGGAATCGGCCAGCCAGCGGTAGGACTGGAGCAGGATGGCGGGGCCCAGGTACTCCTCGCTGTTCCACCAGTATGAGGGGCAGGAGGTCGAGCAGCAGGCGCAGAGAATACATTCGTAGAGACCGTCGAGCTTCTTGCGCTCCTCGGGACTTTGACGGTTCTCAAGACCCTGTTACACATATCACGGTTAGCACATTGCGAATTCCGGGATTCCACTAGGCTGCTTCGTCACAGCTAGTCACGCAGGGTCACTCACGTCAGGGCTGGGGGTATCGCGCTGGAGGTAGGGCTTGATGGACTTGTATTGCTTGTAGAAAAGGGTCATATCCGGTACGAGATCCTTGACGACGTAGGTGTGAGGCAGAGGGTAGATGCGAGACTCGGTCTTGGTGTCGGTAGGGATACGGCCTGTGTCTGCTGTTAGCTATTGCTGGTCTCCCAATTGATTGCGCGAGGTTGGGGTTGACTCGGTCGAGCGGGAGAAGGGGGGAGGGGATCGGAAACGTACACAGGCAGGCCAGGGTGTTGACACCGTCAATGTTCATGGCGCAGCTACCGCAGATACCCTCACGGCAGGAGCGGCGGAAGGTGAGGGTGGGATCTTGCTCGTTCTTTATCCGAATGAGGGCGTCGAGCATCATGGGGCCGGTCTTGTTCAGGTCGAGGTTGTAGGTCTGCATGGTCGGCTTCTCGCTCGGCGTATCCGGGTTCCAACGGTAGATCTTGAAGGACTTCATCTTGGCCGGGGGCTCGGCGGAAGTACCAGTCTCGACGGTCGCGTAGGAGCGAGCGAAGGTAGCAGGCCGGAAGAGTGGCCGCGACGCAGCGAAGAGCCGCGACGTGGAGCGGAGGGAGGCCATTGTTGGAGAAGGGAGCTTGGAATTGTAGGAGATGAGAGGCGGACAGAACGAAAAGGTGTGGACTAGGTCACCGCGGCAGGAGGGGAGAGGGTCAAAGACGAGAGAAGCCGGGGAAAACAAGGCCAATACCACACAGAAAGGTCAAGGGCAAATTGAAGTCGAGGAGATTCCACTTTGCTAACCTCGGGTTTGCTGGTCGGCAGCTGACTCAGCGGGTTCTGGCCAATCACGGGATGCGTAATGGTCACTCGCTCGGGCGGACACGGCTGCCCGGTATACAATACTACCGTACTATAGTCCAGGAGAAGGGTATTTAATAGCGATGATAGGCGGAAATGTTTAAAATAGAGGATGGTAGATATTGTATTTATTTCTAAAATTTTCCATCCATAGTATATAGTATATAGTATAGTATGTTATGTGATTATTGAGTGTACGGAATCTGAGTAACACGGAATCCACGGGGCAATTGCCGTTGCCGAGAGGATCCCGTGACTGCTGCAACTGCCAGCCTCGGTGCCGTCCCCATGTTTATGTTTATCCTCGTACCTCACATGCCCAGCTGCCAGTGCGCCCGTCACCCCTATACTCCTCCCTATCTATCCTGCACCCACCACCCCACTACTCTCGGTTGACATAGTTCTGATGCCACTCATAATCCCTCTCCTTTAACAACCCCCGAATCGCATCCCGAGCCCCGACCGGCGGCCTCCCGAGCAGCTCGGTCATGAGCGGATCCGTCGTGCCGACCTCTCCCTTCGAAATCGAGTCGTACCACGATAAGATCGACTGAAAGAATGCTTCCGATTTCCCTCCCTCGTCATCCGCAGCTTTCAATTTCACAAAATCATCCGGTGAAACAATCTCTAGTCGAACCGAGCGACCCGTGGTCTCATTGATCACCTCCACAATCTCACGGAAGGTGATCGTTTCCTGCGCCGTCAGGAGCACGATTTCCTTGTCGTACCCGCCTCGCACCATCAGTCGTGCGGTGGCTTCGCCCAGCTCGTCGCGCAGGGTGAATGCCACCGGCCCGTCTGATGGGAGGTACACGGCCGAGCTGCTCGGGTACCAGCCCATGAACACTGGGAAGGCGTCGGTGTAAGCGCCCTCACGAACGGAGGTGTAGTTGATCCCGGATCTGCTTGGGCATTAGCCAATGTGCTGGCAGGTGTGGCTGGACCGTTTACTTACACTCGCAGCATTTCTTCTGTCATCAGATGAGCTTGTTGAACATTCGCCTTGGAGTCGGAGCGGAATCCGCCAAAGGCAAGTGATGTATACCAGACCTATCGTAGAGTATATATTAGACTCGGAGATTTGTAGAGGGTGGGGGTAGTAGCCAGTAGTATAGTCAACTGTGGACTCTTGAGGGACGAGCGTACATGCTTGACATCCACCTTCTTCGCCGCATCGACGAAGCTTTGGTGTTGCTTCCGTCGCTTCTCGACGTCAAAGGTGTTCGTGCTCACGAAGAGGAGGTTCTCCACGCCTTGAAATGATCTTTCCATGCTTGCTGGGTCATCATAGTTCACGACTCGGAATGCGATCCCCTGATCTTCAAAGTGCTTGCGGTTGGCTTCATTGGATGATGCTGCTGCGTATTCAGAAGCAGGGACGTTGGCGACCAAGTAGGCTAGTATTTGTTTGCCGAGGCCACCGGTGGCTCCAGTCACCAGATATTTGAGGGTCATGATGATGGTGGTCGGTGATGTATAGTACTAAGGAGTAGTACTAGTATGTGCGGGGCTAGCGTGCAACTGGCGCGGTAGTAGTACTACTAGTACAAATTCGAATTGGATGTCTTTTTGACAACTATCGCCAACTAAAACCCAGGGCTCTTTATAAGAACATCCATGGATCCATCCGTCACGGCGTTCCCTAAGATTATCCTTGATGTAATGGTGAATCCTTTGACCGTGGCGTTGGGGCCAAGGCGGGTTTTGGGGGACATTAATCAGCAAGTATTGATAATCGATCATCTCTAGGGCAACACACTAACCATTTGTAGTTGGCTCAGCAGTAGATCCTCGCTGACTCCGAGAGGCCGAATGTGCGAGGCTATACGGAGTACCCCAAATAAGGATTATAGTGCCCATGAACGAGAAAGAGGCAGGAATTCAGGGTCCACCTGCGGCCGCAACCTGGGTGCAGATAAATTAATTTGTGACTACAGCGCGCGGGGTTAGAAGCTATTTACTAGTAGCTGTCCAGGCGGGCAGCTTTATCAAGAACATGCCACTTTTCACAGCAAATAATAAATTTTACTTTGTATTATATATTATTCTATCAAATAAGAAAAACGAGTCTATGTATTTCGAGACGAAGGACGAGAAGTCTGCTGCGATGAAGGCGGCCTCTCCGACCCTCGCGAAACATCGATCTCATTGGTCACCTTGATACCAGGCGACTTATACGGATTGGTAGTACCAGGCGCATCGCGGGAGACCGAGACTTCCGACGGCATCATTTCGTAATCATCATTGCCAGTCTTCGACCAGTTCAGCAGTCGCCGATCGTCGCGCGCGTTGGAACCAACTCCACTCATGGGCTTGGAGAGAGTCCGGAGTCGTCCTCCTGCGGATCGCGATCGGGTATGGCTGGATGTGTACTCGGTCAGATGGGCGAAAAGGTTTCCGAAGACGGGCTTTAATGCAGGGACCGAGAGTGCGATCAGAGTGCTGGCGACCTCGGCGTTTTCGACGCACAGCATGGGATTGTAGGCCCAGCTGCCGTCGGAGGCCCATTGGCCTTTGACGACAAGCCAGATGCGGATTGCTGAGATGACGATGACACTGTTGGCGGTTAGTTGGGGAATTCCTCGTATAATAGGAATAATAGGGGGGGCACTGACAAGACACCGGGGAACATGACCAGCGAGAGCTTGATCTTGTTCCTCTTGGAGACGTGGAGTTGTTTGATCAGAATGGCTGGAATGATGAACATCATCACGTCGCAGGCGAGTGAGACGCCCGAATTGACGGAGTAAACCAATCCCCATGAGAGACACTTGTAGTCGATGGGTTCGGATTGCCATGCGTACGGCCACAAACCGGTAACAGGTCGACAGTGGAAGATCAAAAGGAAGATTTGAGGGAGGTATGCGGCGAAGAGGAATGGAGCGGCAATTAGGACGCTTGTGTGTAGCTTGCCATAGCGCGCGGAGAGTCGGTAGTAGAAGGCCAGACCGGAGAGACGACAAAGGAAAAGGGCTGTTGTGTAGATGATGTGTGCGACGAAATCGAGGACTTCAGTTTGGCGGACGGTCGACATTGGAAGGACATATTGGATATATTCGATGTGACGGCCACTTCCCAAGTTGATCAGGACGATAGAGAGGGCAACCAGAGTGATGTAAAACAGCTATCATTGAAAAAAAATATCTGTTAGCTTTCATTCTTCCATGGCATCTACTCGATGTCTGTATACATAGCACACAACGCTTCGTCCCGCTTTATGGCTTGCTCCACAATGCGGGTGAACGTGCGTAACGCATGATCGGCAGACTCACGATTGTTAGAACCGCTAGCGCATCGTCGAGGCCAAGCTGTTTGACTAGAAACAACCGCGCATAAAGACGCAGAAGCACGAGCGCCCCAGTCAAGCAGACCATGAAAATGATGCCCACAATGGCAGATTTATCGCGGGACTGTGCGAGATATGAAAGAGAGACTCCATCAGGTATGGACCCTGCTGCATCTGCAGCAAGAATATCGGCGGGAATTGTCATGTTCAAGAGAATGTTGGCATGGTCGATTTCAAACCCATGCAGTCATGGCAGACTAATTTTTGGACGCAAAATTCAAAGAAAAGAAACGAGTGTACGGCGAGGGGGAATTCTCGCTATTGTAAATGAACGCCGAGATTCGAGAATCAGAGCCGCTCTCTTTTTTTTTTTCTGGCTGTAGAGGAAAGTGGACGCGTCCAGGCGGGTCCGATTATTCATTAAGTAGAGCCATCGTCTATAATATGAGCAGCCAACAGGAGATCGCAAATGCAGGCTGGAACTGTGCCCAGACCAAAATCTGAAGGAACCGGTGGATCCGAATGTGGTTTTGTTCCAAACTCAATGCTACCGGAAGGAGAAGTCTTTACCACATTTGTCTGGATGGGCTGGTATGAATCATGGTCTACTTGTAAAAGGCGTTCCCCTCTCCCCGCCTCTCCGTCCAAGAGTCAGGTTCACTTGGTATAAAGATTGCAGCTTTCAGACGATAACATTATGGGGTTCTGCTTCGAAGAACAACTTGAATATCTGCGAGAAAATGGCATTGAGGGAATATTTCCTAGAGTTTGCTATACGAAACTCACGCCCTGTCGACATGAATTAATATAAAATTTCAAGCTAAAGTTTCTCGTGCGTAATGGTGAAACCCACCACAGTTGACAGAAGCCCGGTGATTCGGCACTGATGCTTGTGTCGGGCTCAGTCGACCAGTCAGCGTGGAGCGTGGCGAGAGTGGAGATGGGATCGGTCGAAGAGATCGAAGCCAAAGAGAAAATCGGGAAAGATCCGTCAGCCGACCGTGGGACCGGAGATTTTTTGGAAGAGAATTTGAGCGACTGGACTATGTGCAATTAGGAAGGAGGAAAGAGTTGCCACCAAGGCTAACTGCGCTAGTGTTCTTTATAAACATGCAATCGGAGCTAAAAAGAACAGCGACGTAGTCTTTGCTTCCTGGTTGGTTGATTAAGTGTTTGCACTCCAAGTAAAAACCTCTTTAGCCCATCTTTAGCCCATCGGCATTCCGACGATTCCGCGTAAAGAGCCGTTTGGGATCACCGAAGAACAACCGAAGGGCTAATACCAGAGCAACGGTTAGAAGCTAGTTGAGAGAAGCCAGGAGAAGGGCATTCCACGATCAATACTCGTTAGTCAAGGTATCCACGAATGCTACCCTGAAGGTTCTACGCCCGTATATGAAAACCCAAAGTTCCCCTGAGATCGTCGCTTTCCTTGCCACATGGTTTTTATCTTGTGGGGTTCTCTGATCTAGCCTCTTCCACACATCATGATCATGTCGCCCTTACTGCAGGCCATCGTGAGCGGCCTGGCCCTGGCTGGCACTGCTGTTGCTACTCGCCACGAGAAGGTCGACCACTTGGTCGCTTCTCAGATCCTCGAGGATCCTTATACCTATGACTTCCCTCGTCTGGGTGCCCCTGGCGCCTCCTTGTTCCCGATGCGCCGTTGCCACGGGTTCAAGCTGGAGGAAGCTAGCGTTGACGAGATTCAAGCCCAGCTGAGCAATGGCACTTTCACCAGTGTCGAGCTGCTGCAGTGTTATCTCGACCGAATTCATCAGACCCAGCCATACTTGAAGTGAGTACCCTTTTAGATTGGAATCCCGAACGTGTTGTGGTTGGAGCTGTGACGCTGACATTGACCCCCCCTAGCGCGATTCTGCAGTTCAACCCCGATGCATTCTCCATCGCCCAGAAGCTGGATGAGGAGCGCGCCCATGGCAAGGTCCGTGGACCTCTCCACGGTATCCCTTTCATTGTGAAGGACAACATTGCCAGCAAGGATCGTATGGAGACTACCGCTGGCTGCTGGGCTCTCCTGGGCAGTGTTGTGCCCCGCGACTCTCACGTTGTTCACGGCATGCGCAAGGCCGGTGCGCTTCTCCTGGGCAAGGGAGCTCTGAGCGAGTGGGCTGATATGCGTTCAAACAACTACTCCGAGGGATTCACTGCTCGTGGCGGTCAATGCCGCAGCGCCTATAACTTCACCGTCAACCCTGGCGGCAGCAGTACCGGCCCTGGTGTGGCTGTTGGTGCTAATCTGATTCCCATCGCCCTTGGAACTGAGACTGATGGTAGTGGTACGTCAACATATGATCAATCAAGATTACTTACGTTGAAGACTAACCAAACTAGTCATCAACCCCGCCCAGAGAAACGCCGTTGTAGGCATCAAGCCTACCGTCGGTCTGACTTCCCGTGCTGGTGTCATCCCCGAGTCTCTGCACCAGGATACTATTGGTACCTTTGGCAAGACCGTCCGTGATGCAGTCTATGCTCTCGATGCCATCTATGGCGTCGATACTCGTGACAACTACACTCTTGCCCAGAAGGGCATGACCCCCAAGGGCGGCTATGCTCAGTTCCTCTCGAAGAAGGATTCTCTAAAGGGAGCTGTCTTCGGTATTCCTTGGGAGTCTTTCTGGGCCCTCGGCGATGCTGAGCAGATCGCCCAACTGGAAGAGCTTGTTTCTCTGATCAAGTCTGCCGGTGCTACCATCATCAATGGCACTGAGCTCCCCCACTACAAGCAGATTGTTTCCCCTGATGGCTGGAACTGGGACTACGGTACCACTCGCGGCTTCGTCAACGAGTCTGAGTACTCTTACATCAAGGTTGATTTCTACAACAACCTGCGCGACTATCTTTCCGAGGTCAACAACACTGCGATCAAGTCCGTGGAGGATCTCGTCCAGTACAACATTGATAACTATGGCTCGGAGGGTGGTCTTCCCGGCATTCACCCTGCTTTTGGCTCTGGACAGGATGGTCTCATCGCTTCTCTGGAGAGCAAGGGTATCATGAACGAAACCTACTTCTCGGCTCTTGCGTTCTGCCAGCGCACCACCCGCGAGGAGGGCATCGACGCCGCCCTGAAGCACAAGAATGGAACCCTGGACGGCCTCCTCGTTCCTCCCGATGTTGCTCAGAGCATCCAGATTGCCGCTCAGGCCGGCTATCCCGTTGTCACTGTGCCCGCCGGTACCGGCAGCGAGTCCGGCATGCCCTATGGCCTGGCCATCATGAACACTGCTTTCTCTGAGCCCACCCTCATCAAGTACGCCAGTGCTATTGAGGATCTCCAGAAGACCTCCGGCACCAAGTGGCAGCGCACCCTCCCCGAGTGGCGCGGTTATCTGGAGCGCAACCTGCCTGTGATCATGTAAATACCCGGGTCGGAATATACTAATCTTATAGAGATGTGAGCGTTTTCTGTGTCCATACTGTATATTTTGCTTGTATGATAAAAACTACTATTTTTTCAATAGAGCATGATTGCCTTGAATACCGTCATTATTTCTCCTATCCGGCTCCTCCTTTTCCGCGCGATTTTTCTGCACCCAGCCATCTAGGTCCTCAATCCTTGCTGCACAGTCCTGGAGTAAGCAAAACTGAAGAATCTAAAATGGATCTCGGGCAATCTCCTTCTAATGAAGCTTCAATATATGTTAGTATCCGTTAGCATCCGTTAGTTCCTGATGGCGGATCACTGCGTGATAAGCAACTTGAAGTTGACCGCCATTCTTACTCGTGGCGTGTTGAACACTGGCATCCGAGTTTCGGGCCATACGACCGAGAAGTGGACCAAGAAGTTCTCCTAGAACCAAGCATTATATTGCTGGGTTGATAATCTCCGAGACAGATTGCATGCTCCAAAAGGGAAGAATTGAAAAAGATAATTAAGTGAGGAGCCTCACAGTGGACTGTGACCCCTCAAAAAGGTGGAGCTAGTGGCTGATCAAGTAGGTAAACCGACGATCTTGATCGTCCGGTAAAGTGTCAACAACATTTGCACAGTGCGCGCGATATGGCCCAATTTCATTGATGCAAAATTTATCCTGCGGGCTCCCTCATCTCCCGATGATCTACAAACTCTGATTTTCACAGAAAACTTCCATGCCTGAGGACATTCAAAACGCTGTGCCAAGACGGAGGAATTCATATTGCGATTCAATCCACACAACCCAAACAACCACCCCCCCTTTGCCAGGAAATTCAGACGTCAAATTTGACGAAAAAGACCGGAGATATTCCGGGTAAGTGGTGTGTGCTCTCTTGGACGATACCAAGTCCACAACTCAATTAAAGTGAGGACTGGGCTGACCACGGAGTACCGCTCGACGGAGTAAAGCGTCCGGTCTCATGGATCAAGCTACTCAATCGCGCCTGGTGGGGCACCCAGGGGTAGTAAGAAAGTGAAACAATCCAAGCACCGAGGTCAGCATCGAACGCTTCAGGAGGCGTTTTTGACGACCGTTCTACAGCACACTTTAATCAATTTGGGTTTCTGGGCGTATTTGCCTGCGTGGCCGCTCTCTCACTCCACGATGTGGAGCGCCTGATGAAGTGTTTCCAGGATTCACATACATCCAGCCACACTTAGTCCATACTCCGCAGCCTTGTGGGGTCAGTTATTATTCTAATATGAGGCCATGGCGTTCCGATTCGTCACAATAGCGGCGGTATCATCACTGGTGCCGGACCGGTGACAGCTAAGATTCGGAAACAGGAAAATTATGGGCCTGATCCTTGCAAAGGGGGATATGCGGAGTTGGAACCTCCCAAACCTCGTGGCTCGGAATGGGTCTGGTCCGTTGTTTCGTTGTCGTTGAACGTATAAAGGTTGCTCAATTCGCGCCCTCGCTGCCAAAATGAGTTCTGCACACTTCCATTCATTCTTTACTTTCATTTGTACTTTACCAAAGCAGCCTCATCATGAAGTTCACTGCTCTTGTTGCAGCTTTTGCTGCTCACGCTGCGGCCGTGAGCGTCTCTGGCGCAGCTGAGGGTTTCGCCAAGGGCGTTACTGGCGGCGGGTCCGCATCTGCTGTCTATCCTTCTACCACTGACGAGCTGGTCTCTTATCTCGGTGATAGCTCTGCTCGTGTCATTGTTCTCAGCAAAACCTTTGACTTCAGAAACACTGAGGGAACTACTACCGGCACTGGATGCGCTCCCTGGGGTACCGCCTCTGCTTGCCAGCTTGCTATCAACAAGGACGACTGGTGCACCAACTATGAGTCTTCCGCGCCGTCTGTCTCGGTTTCCTAGTAAGTCACATCAGAGCTCGAATATTGAGTCTGAATTGATACTAACAATATACAGTGACAACGCCGGTTCCCTCGGTATCACCGTTGCCTCTGACAAGACCCTCATTGGTGAGGGCTCTGCTGGTATCATCCAGGGCAAGGGTCTCCGTATTGTTAGCGGTGCTAGCAACATCATCATCCAGTGCGTATAGAGAGCCATCTATCTCAAGAATCTCACTGACCCGGAGTAGGAACATTGCTATCACCGATATCAACCCCAAGTACGTTTGGGGTGGTGATGCCATCACCATCGATGACAGCGACATGGTCTGGATTGACCACGTTACCGTATGTCCTCCAGCTATCAATTTTCCCCAGAGCCTATTAACTAATAGCCCTTCAGACTACTCGCATTGGTCGCCAGCACATTGTCCTCGGAACCGACTCCTCCGGCCGCGTGACTCTCTCTAACAACTACATCAACGGTGTGTCCGATTACTCTGCCACTTGCGACGGTTACCACTACTGGGGCATCTACCTTGATGGATCCAGCGACCTGGTTACCATGAAGGGCAACTACATCTACCACACCTCCGGTCGTAGCCCCAAGGTCCAGGGCAACACTCTCCTGCACGCCGTCAACAACTACTGGTATGACAACAGCGGCCACGCCTTCGAGATCGGCTCCGGTGGTTACGTCCTGGCCGAGGGCAACGTTTTCCAGAACATTGGTACCCCCGTCGAGTCTCCTGTTGACGGCTCTCTCTTCACTGTGCCCAACGCCAGCTCCGGCTCCTCCTGCAGCGCCTCCCTCGGCCGCGTCTGCGTTGTCAACGGATTCGGCTCCAGCGGTACCTTCAGCCAGAGCGACACTGACTTCCTCACCAATTTCTCCGGCAAGAATATTGCTTCCGCCTCTGCCTACAGCACTGTTGCCTCCAGCGTCTCTTCTGGTGCTGGCCAGGGTAATCTGTAAATGCAGTGATCTAACTAGTTTGCATCACTTAATAGGGTCAAGAGTGTTGGATACTTTTGATAGGCTCTCTTTGGCATATACCTATTATCAAAATTTGGCCACATACTTCTGATATGCAAAATCTTTGATAGAATTAATGCTTAAGCAATAAGCGAGAGAATCCACGCTCTACCGTGCGCTGCACAATACAGAAAATTCATTACCGTTAATTAGTGTAAGATAGCTCCGACAATTAAAAGCCATTTTGATCAAGGATATATTAATTACTTCGCTTGTATTCTGGAATTTCATACAGACTCGCTGCTTAATGACGGAGCAAACTCAACTCCGAGTCTCTGCCTGGACCATTTCGAAGATACGCATAAGATGATAGGAATACTAGTATAAACGCTAGAAATTTCCCGAGAGGTGCTCGGGAAATATGATCCCGGAATAATTATAAGGCTGAGAAACAAACGCATTTGACGAATGTCGCGTTTTATCGTTATCGGCTTGATCAGATTCTGACTTTCAACCATCCGCCAAATCTACCTCATAATCAGTTTTGTCAATGCCAAGGCTATCGTGCAGGTATACCATTGGGCGGTCCGTATGCAGCTGACGGGCGCAATAAAATGCACCATGGGTGTTGATGGCGCCCAACTACAAAGATGAAACATTATTGAGTACGAAGTGAAAGATCATTAGATTTTTATACAAAGAAGGGTATAATGTGGATCTCTGTAAAACAACCTGAGTAAAACACTGTGACCTAACTATCTGGAGTCTCGTTACTTGATTATATACTAGGAAGCTCCCCTTACCTTTTTGCAAGTTTTTCTCGCCTACGGAATATCCGAGCTGACACCTCTGAGTTTATTCATTTAGCTAACAAAATCATAGTAGAACCAGGATTATCGGTCAATTTCCACTTCTGCGAGTGTTCGGCTCTTGGCAGACGGAAATCAGCCTTGACAAAAGCCGACAGCACATATCTCAAATATTTTCGCAGCTCACTATAAATAAGCTTGTAAGAACTTACGCCAAATCTAGTTAGATCCTCGTATGTGCATTCTCCACCTTCTTCAAGAGCTTGAAGAGCCAATTGAATCGGCCCCTTACGTGGTGCCTAGTGTGGGGGAAAACAAGGCTGTGGCACGCCTGATGGTTGCATTTGGCCTCCAACGAGATGAGCCCCAGGGATGCTCATAAAATGCCGTGCAGTTGCTTTGGAGAAGAGACTATAAATTGAAAAGCCTGCAGTGAGGAATTTCTTGTATTTCGAAAAGCATTACAAAATAATCAGTCGCTTTCTTTTCATCCCTTCAATTTTCATTATTCTTTCGGCCATGGGCAAGTTTCTATACTTCTTATCTGCAGCCGCAGCCCTAGCAACATTCTCGACCGCTTCGCCGGTTAAGACCTCAAGCTTCCATTATGACCCACCCTCCAAGGTAGAATGGCAAGCATGCGATGACCATGTGCGCTGCGCCAATCTCTCTGTACCGCTGGACTGGAACAAGCCCCAAGGCAAACAAATTAGCATCGCGATGGCCATGATTCCAGCCGCGAACCCGGAGAAGCGAATTGGCTATTTGATGGTCAATCCCGGCGGACCAGGAGCATCTTCCTTGAATTTGATAAACGCAGGAAAGCAGTTCCTCATGTCGACGCCCTTACATCAATACTTCGACATTCTGGGCCCTGGACCCCGAGGCACAGAAGGAAGCACACCGGTGAAATGTGACCCAGAACCATGGAACAGGCGATATCCCGAAACACCCCAAACCGAAGCCGAGTTCCAAGAAATGTTACAAGTCTTCCACGACCGCGGCGAGAGCTGCGTGAACCAGAAAGATAATGACATCCTTTACTTCGTGGATACTATCAGCGTTGCGAAAGATCTCGAAGCCGTGCGCATCGCACTGGGCGACGAGAAAATGAATTATATCGGCTTCTCATACGGAACCCAGCTCGGTGCCCAGTATACGGAACTATTCCCGGATAATATCCGGGCTATCGTGCTGGATGGGATTTTGGATCATTCCCGATCAGGTCCTGATCTATGGGGCCCCGAGTCAAACGGGTACGAAGTAACAGTGAACCAATTCTTCGACTGGTGCGCGAAGAACAACACATGTGCCCTACACAAGGTGAAAGATCTACCCGCCAAATTCGACGCCTTCATCGACCGCGCCAATAATTCCCCAATCCCTGCCCCAAGCTGTTTGAACAAGACCTCGGAAATATACCCCTGCTTCGAAAATGCCACCGGCAACGAGATTCTCCGCGCCTTCCAGACTGCTATCTGTTTCCCGTATCCGGAAACAGGATCTGTGGGAGGATGGGTCGGTATGTCGCAATTGCTTCAGCAGGCTATGTACAAGAACGACGCGAGCGCCTTTTCCGCAGTGAAATACGCCTCCAACACCGGATACGATATGTCCTACGCTGCTATTTTCTGCCAAGATGCGCCCCGATCGAACTGGACTGCTATTGACTTCAAAATCAAAGCCGATGTCGGCGCCGTGGCTACGCCGCACACGCGTGGAATTGGGGAGGTCTGGTATCTGGATGCTCTTTGTATGAACTGGCCTACGCCGGTGCGGAATCCACCTCGGTCGTTGGCGCCTTCATTTGCTGGTCGGAATATGAGCACTCCTATTCTTTTGGTGAATGCGCTTTATGATCCTGAGACGCCGATTCAGTTTGCTTTGAATGTGCATAGGCAGCTTGGTGATCAGAATGCCCATCTAGTGATTCGGAATGGAAGTGGTCATACAAGCTATGATCATGTGGGTGAGACTCACCGGGCTATTAACAAATACCTGGTTTATCTTGATGTTCCGGAGACGGGAGCTATGTACAAGGATTGATTTAGGATTTTGGGGATTGTAATATTGAATATTGGAGGGGTAATTATGGATTCCAAGGCTGGGATGGATTTTAGAGAGCGAAGAAGCTGCATTGTATACACAAAGTCGATACGGGAGAAGAATAAAGTAGCTAATCAACTAAGCTTCGATCCTGCAGAATGGTTGTCCATAATAATATAATCAATACAGCCAAGAAGTAAGCACGCGAGGAGGAGCTCCGCTCAATTCACAATAATCAACCCCGGGCCGGCCAAGGTCCACTTGGCAACCTCATTGGCATCCGCGAAAGGACCGTCTTTCTTAGTCACAGCCGCAATGGTAAGACCGTTCAATTCATGGTCGTCGTAGGGGAATAGCGCTTCCGCAGTAATGGTGTTCCCGCTATGAGAGATGTAGGAAATGTTCCGGACGATGGGAAGATTTTGCTGGTTGATATAAGTCATCCACAACTGGCTGGTCTCATTGGAGTTGTCTTGGAAAGAGAAAGTGAGGTTTTGGCTCTTAGCACCCGGAGGCGTGACAATCTCGAGTGACTCGAAAGTCCGCAGAGGGATCTCATTGATGTTTGGGCAGCTTCCGGGGTAGGTGAAGCTTTGGATCGCGGTGAAGGCAAAGTTGAGGTCGCCGGTGGTCAAAAATGGGAGTTCGCTAGGGATCTTTCCTTGCTGCATGCGGAACCATCCTTGCTGCTCGCCTTCATTTGCCACGACTGAAGCAATCTCCCTTGCAAGATCGTAGTCATGGCCCAAGGCAAATCGCTCGATCGTGTCCTGTAGAGTACCGAGCACAACATCGGTGAACTTGCTTGCGAGTTCGATGGCCGAGTCGAAGTCCTTCACGGGAAAATAGTATTGGCACGGTTCGATGGGGTTGACGTGAAAGTGTGAAAGCGCGCTATTGGCGCGGATCGCATGAAGTTCCTCTTGCTGTTCGGAGTGAGATAGGTCAGAAGGGAGAAATTTAGTGCACAGGAGGTTAAATATAGACGTACAGCGAGAATGGCCTTCAATGAGGCCAGGACAAGACTCTTGTCATCAGCGTTTGAGAAATGATATCCCTGAACATTCTCGGTGATGTTGGTGATGAGCTCGTTGAAAAAGGCGACCTCGAAGAGCTCGTTGAAAGCGATCAATTGTAGGTTTGTGATTCCCTTGCTACTGATGACGGGAGGAGGGGTGTATTGGGAAGAGTTCCATGAGCATGTTGTTCGACCAGAGTCAGTTCGCTGGGACTTGGGTAAGGCAGTCCATCTGGGAGATCTTGATCGACGTCGGGTGTCCGTTCGCTGACAGGTGCTGCGGAGACGAGGGAGACCGCGCTCAAGAGAGCAACAGCGGGTCCGAGAAAGCGCATGGTGAGTGGTAAATAGAGCTTGGATATACGGTGGAATGTTGAAGGTGTGAAGATCCGAAGAATAGAAAACGGATGGAAGTGGAGAGTCGCAAATGATACCCCGGCAGTCCGGACGAGGAAGGTGCGATGGTTAAATACCACCAGCATCCAGCACTATTCAGTACACGTTTAGCTTACTACTGGTAGTTACCAGTATGCCTTGAGGCATTTGATGTTTATTTTTGTTTTCTCAGTGGATTCAAGAGTGCGAGTGGCAGTGTACGGCTAGAAATAGCCCCGAGAAAGCTTAATCAACAACATACTAGTAAGCTTACATGGCGCAGGCAAGACCGCATCAGATGGTGATTCCAAATACTAGCAAGCCCATTGCTTTTCATATAGCTTTCTTTCCATCATCAATTTATGGTAACCAGCCAATACCTACTAGTATACTTCCATATACCAATCACTCCTCAACCATGGTGGCTCTGTCCCAGACGGGGCGGGTGCGGCTGGGGCTGGGGCTGCCCGAATCGGGTCAAGTCCAAACACAATTGATGGTACCCTCTCCTCTCCTCTCGTCATGGCTGTCTTGTATTGAAATCCCTCAAAGGCCCCTTCGCCAAATCAGAAACCCGAAACGCCTCTTCAATCCTTAGCTTTTACAATGCAGCCCATGGAAGACGCTTCGGATGACTATATTTCCGCGACTGAGTACTATGCAGACCCTTCGCCCCATCCAAAACCCGATACGCCTCTCCGATCCTTAGCTTTCACAATACAACTTGAGCCCCTGGAAGACGCTACGGATTACAATATCCCCCCCGACTGAGTACTATTTTCCTGCCGTTGAAAGTGTTCGGGTGTTGGCTTCACTTCCTGCAGAGTTGATACCATGCATATCCGACTTTCTTCCATCGGCCGATCTTGCATGCTTTTCACTGTCTTGTCGTCAACTCTATCAGCTACTCCTGCCACAGAGACAACAATTGCATCCGACCGAGAGTGAGAAGCTTTCCATCCTAGAGCGACTAGCTCACGACCACCCTGCATATTTTGCCTGTGATATCTGCAAGATTCTTCACCCATACGATGGGTCTGAATCTTTCGGATTAAGCGGCCCGACTGGGCAGTTAGCCTATCAGCTCCCATGTGTTCGATCAGGCGAATGGTTTCACCCCAAGCTTGTGATGAGAGACCATCTCTACCGTTTGTATACACCGCTCTTCTTGTTTCTCCACCTTAAGCTTGCTATGAGAAGATTTCGCTATGGCAAAGGATATGGTATCAGAACAGAATCTTTGTTCTATATACAACTTAAGCGCGAGGGCAAAGTCTTGGCTCAAGCCTCTCGAGAGTTGCAAATATATCCGGAACCCCCAGGTATGTACATGAGGACACATAATATAGTGGTGGCCTCTTCGCTCGCCAGCTTCGCCACCGACCTAGTACCTACAGATTGGTGCCCCCCCATGAGTCCCATGTGAAATTTGGCTCGGAGGGTGGGAGAGACCGAAGAAATCATGCTGCGTTATCTCGCAGAACCCGTGACGATATAAAGAACCGAGATAACATTATGTATGAGCATAAAGTTCAGATCCATCGAGCTTGCTCCGAGAATACGGCAAAGTGGTCATTCAGGGAAATGAAATTTGTCAACCTCTACTTTCTCAGAGACAAAGGATACAAATGGGGAATGTCTCGAATATCACCAAAAACCTGGATGATATCTTTTAAGGAGCCTTCAAATCGCCACATCGTGGAGTTCTGGCGGTCGCTTTTTTGGCATTTATACATGTCTCGGGACGACAGGTACATCGAGAGAAGAATTGAACAACAATCTCAATTTGCAAAAGCGACTCGGATTTTACCAAGAAAAAAAACTGACTGTTCCGAGCCGCGAGGTTCTATTTGACATGATCTTTCTCCACGTGAGTACTTGACCACCTGCCGACCGCGATGGGCCTTCTGCCCCTTGATCGGTCACTAGGAAACAGTGTGCGGAATCGAATTCATTTCGGTCCTTTGCCAATGAAATAGCTTTACCTGAAGGGGGAGTTTTTATACCAGAATATCCCATTACAAAGGCGCAACTGTCTCATTTGGTGTCAATGTGGCAGTTGGCGGATTGTGATGTGTTCCAAATAAGCCCATAGCTTTTCACAACGCTTTCTTCTAGTAATCATCCATTTAGGCTAATCAGCCAACACCTATACTCCGCACTACTTTGTTATTAATTCCTAGCTCAGCTGCTGCCTGCTTTGTCAGCCCCGTATACATAAGTTAGTTAACTACTACCTTCTCCGCTTCTCGGCTTATCCATCGCAGTACATCGCACTGTCCACACCGAGCCAGTTTCAACTCCGTTAGCCAACACAGTCATGGAAACGCCATCCGACTTCAAGCTTACTCCAGAGCAGATTGCCACTTTCATGCGTCATGGATGGGTGCGCGTGCCCCGGTGCTTCTCCAAGGAAAAGGCCGCCGAGTGGACCGCAGATGTATGGACGCGTCTCGGATGCTCACCCACAGACAAGTCAACCTGGGAGACTGAAATCACATGGATGCCCGAGCATAAGTCGGAACCGGTCAAAACGTTTGCCCCTAAAGCCTGGGCTGCCATCTGCGAGCTTCTTGGGGGTGAGAGTCGCGTCGCAGAACACTCTACCACCTGGAACGATGCCTTCATCGTCAATCTCGGAAGTGAGGATACGGTTGGAAAATGGCTCAAGCCCACCGATCTAGATGGCTGGCATGTGGATGGGGATTTCTTTACCCACTTCTTGGACTCGCCCGAGCAAGGTCTACTGGTCATTCCCCTCTTCACTGATATCCAGGAGCGTGCCGGTGGTACCATGGTTTGCTCGGATGCTATCAAGGTGATCGCACAGTATCTGGTTAGTATTCTCCGTTTTCGATCCCAGGCCCAATTGGCGGTTATCAAACTCACTTGAAAAACAGTATGATCACCCCGAAGGCGTGTCTCCGTATATGGTTCCTCGAGGGTCCAAACAGTCCAAGAAGGACTTCGAAGATTTCTACGACGACATAATCCAGAAATGTCACGAATTTCACGAAATGACAGGCGAGATTGGCGACGTGATTCTTCTCCACCCCTGATGGTACACTCGGTGTCCGTCAACAGTTTGAGACACGCGCGCATCATCACCAATCCACCCGTCTCCCTGAAGGAACCTTTCAACTTTGATCGCTCCGATCCAACTAAGTACAGCATCGTCGAAAGGAAAACAATCGAGGCAGTAGGAAAGGACCGGCTCCATGGTTGGAAGATCAAGGGTGACCGAGGATCTGTCACACCTGGCCGACTCAAAGTGCAGGAGGAACTGAAAGAACAGGAACTACAGAGACTCAAATCGCCCCCCCACGCCACCGAACGCTGGTCTAGAATCCCGGAAGCCCGATCAATGTCGTGTTAGTTGATATATTCACGAAATGGGGTATTCTTCATTGGGTCAACGTGTTTGGGTTCTATTGCAGATTGCTGGCTACTTGGAATGACTGACGAAGGGCTTGCCTGTCCTATACATCAATACCCCTAGCCTTCATAAGGGCTATATTCATTATTAACGAGGAAACGAGCTTGAAACAATGCAGCAATATTATTCTACTCACCTCAAAAAGATATGTGAGATGGCTAATTTGGTAACCAACCGGGAAATAATCCAGCTCCATCGCTTGACTGGCTTCCTAGACCCCTGATCCAATGTAACTAACATTCGGGGCATTGGACAGAGTTCCCTTTACGGCGAGACAGAACTGTGCTCGATAGGAGATCACTAGTTCAAATTACACTGGTTATTCAAGAGCTGAAATTTTGGGATTATTTCTATGAACAACAGGCGCAACATTCACATATGTCCCCCCTCCCTCCAACCACAGAATCCGAATCCGAAAAGATCACACTTAGACAAATACGTCGCGTCTGGGCATGGCGGTTGGTGGTTTATGCGTAACGAGGGAGCTAAAATTTGCAGTCGTCGCACTCGCATATCGAACCAACCATATCACAACTATCGTCGATACATTCTGTAAGTTGCTCAAAATCTTCCATGGGCTTGTCGAAGCGAGTCTGCAGGAGGGAGCGGAATGCAGGATGGCAGTCTCGTATCTTTTTCTTCTTAGATGCGACATGGCATTCGAGTTTCGCCCATAGCTTGCGGATGTCCCTAGTCCAGGCTTTTGGATTCCATTGTGTTCTCAGTTCAGGCGTCATGCAGGAGGAGTTTTTGACTTCGAACTGGTCGAATTCAGCCACCATGGAAATGATATCCTCTTTCATGTCCATGATTTTTGCAATATGATACAGTGCTTGCTTCACATTGGGGTGGACAATGAGCACGGCCTCCATCCACTCATCGCGAGCAGGTGGGGAGTTGGTGGGTGGCATGTTGGAGATCTTTGGTCAAGTGGCGAAGCTTGGATGATGGGTTGGAAACGATGGACGAGATGAGGAGAGTGGTGTGAAAGTGTAGAAAATATCACGATAAAGCTTGGTGGGCGCGTTCCTCAGCTTGAGATGCTTCAGGGTTTTGTCCAGGCGATTCTGCAAGAATGGGCGGAAGGCTAGATGGCGACCTTCGATCTCTGCTCTTGCAACTGCAATCTCGGACTGCAGCTCGATTGTCTCCCAGGTAGCGTATTCCACATCTGAGCTACTGCCATCTTTTAAAAAAAAGGCGAAGAGGTCGTTGTCCATCTTCACGATGTTCTCAATGTGGTCGAGTACTTGATAATTGGGTCATGGGCATTGGCGGCCTCCACCCACTCGTTGGGTGGAGTATTTGGAGGCGACATTATCGAAGCTCTGCAGGCTCCTGAGTATTGAATAAATGGAAAGAATATCTGGAGAGTGGTTAGAATGATGAACGGAACTGCGAGACTGCTTGAAGTGTCTAGTTAATACAGAATGCTCCCCGGCACATGGAGCGACCTGCGTCAGGCAGAAACCACTTCCAATCCTGGAAGACAGAGCAAATGTGTCAAAATACTCAAACTTTTCAATTCCCGGATAGAAGATGAGCGTGGCATGTCCCCAAGGTTTTGCCAGTCCTCAATATGGCATACTATTTGTAGGGAATCCAATATCCCCCCCCCACCCCGGCAGAGGTTTGCCCAACTGGTAAACTGACTTTCACAATCTCCAAGGTTGGAACCGTGTCTTTACCAAGTAATTCAAAAAAAGTATATAGAAAACCTAGTAGGCTTTAAGCATTTCATTCTGTTCAAAGACATTTATTTAGTCAGGGTATTTTATCAAGCAGAGGACCGCTTCCATAAAACGGCAGACGATATGCCCCCAACTGCAGCAACGCCTGTTATAACCTCCCACGTCCCCTGCAAAGCCAACGCCGCAGCATCCTTAATAGCTTTGCGGTACTCATCAGACATCTTAACTTGGTCCATCAAGATGATATAACCCTTAGCCGTGTTAATCAGCTCGCGATCCAAGCCCGCCAGATGAAGTTCGCGACCGAAGAGATTCATGAAGATCACACCTCCAACAGGGATCGCCACTGCCATGCCCCAAGTCCGCATGTAGTTTGAAACAATGATCGGCATTGTAGATAGTGCGGTTCCCTCTTCCTTTGGAATGCTCTGTATCCGGATATTGTAGCTTGAGAGGAGCAGGCCGTGACCTAACCCCATCGAGAAGAAGAGGAAAACCCAGCCAATCGTTGGCGTTGCACCATCCAACAGGATTGAGCATCCAGAAGCCAGAATTGTAAGAACCCAACCCCCGGAGATTATCCACTTAGCGCACTGGGACTCCCTTGCCAGAACAAATCCCACAACCGCGGCGGGCGCGACAGAGAGACCGGTGATGGCGAGTAAGGCTATACCGGAAAGAGATATTGACAGGTACTTGGTTGAAATGAAGAACATGGTGAAGAACTGAAGCTGGCAGAAGATCTGATCAATAGGTTAGACTAGTTACGGGCTTAAAGTGTGAAATGAAGTTACTCACCACGAAGCCGTGACAAAAACACCCCACATAGGTCATAGCAGCCCCCGGGCTTCCCAATACCCGAGATCCAAACTGTGGATGCAGGGCCCAAGTCGACTCGTAGAATAGTAGAGCGATAAGAACCGCCACCCCAACGGCAATGGGCACCAAGGTCTGCCATTCGTTCCAACGGTAAGAGATACCTCCCCAGCTGAGACCGACGAGAATACCTCCCAGCCCCATAAAGGCCATTGTAGCTCCAGACCAATCCAGAATACGCAATTTGCGAAGCGGGATACTCTTCGACACGCGCAAGTCAACTGCAAACGGTATCACAAGCATGCCAAGCGCGCAGAATATAAAGTTGAAGTAGAAAGCCCATGTCCAATGTGCGTAATCGGTGAAGAGACCTCCGACAACCGGGCCGACCATGGTACCAATGATTCGGGTGAGCAGAATGTAGCACGAATATCGCGACTGTATGTGCTCGGGGGTTGACTCGGTCATCACCACGAAGCAGAGGCTCATGGCGCCGCCCCCTCCAATTCCTTGTATCAGGCGACCGACGACTAATTCCACTAGACTCATCGATCCGCTGCAGATCCCGGTACCGATGGTTGTGAGTACGACGGCGATAGTCCACACCGCGCCATGGCTGTAAACGTCGCACATCATTGTGAAATAAAGTTGACTGGCAGCATTGAGAACAAGATAAGCTGTGTTTATCCAGAGGACGCTGACGAATGGTTCGTCGAATGTGTTTGCTAGGTCCTTTCCACAATGTTAGCTTTGCTCATAGATAATATCGGTGATTTGTGGTGATCAATAGTATGGAACCTACCGGTAGCATCGGGATCAACACCGTGGCATCGAACGCATCCATCATCGCTAGGATGACGATGCAGATGAAGACAAGCCAGTCACGAACGCCGGGCTGCCATTGTTGAGCGTCTGTTGGCTCCTCATTCTCGAAGAGTTGAATCGTACTCTCTTGTGCAGGATGCTTCACATCGTCGACGCTCTGAACACTTGCGTTGGGACCGAGGGTGGTTTTAGACTCATGGCCGAAGTATTGTTGTATTAGTTCTGGGCTCCCCATTTGCAACACGAAGTGGGGTATAAAAGTCGAAGTTCGATATCTGAGAGATGGATTATTGTGGCTGGGTATGTGTCGGTGTCGGCGGTTGATGACTTGGAAATTGCTGCAGAGTCATGTTCGGCTGATGAAAAGGACATTTTTGTTAAGGAGGTCCGCCTGTCGCAAACCTGGATTCAAAGAAGGGTGCATTGGGATACCGCGAACCTGGAAAGGAGTCCGTGCTGGCTCGAATTCCGAAGGGTCAAGGGATGACCCCAGAGGGAGATGAAGGTCACAACAAGGGATTTTCGGGATATTGTCGGCTTTGGGTGCCCTGGAGGGGGTAGCGGAAAATTCCCAACACAATTATTCCCCCCTCCCATAAAGCCATACAATCTCTAATATGTACCATGGAGCTGCTTTATGGAACGCAATGGGCCCGGACTGGATTAAATAACATTTTCCAGCATCTAGATAGTCGGATGTACAATGCTTGGGGTAATTCGTTTTCGAACTTCCTACCCTTATTTATTTTCTGGGTTACTGGAACTATCTATACTTAAATTAGAGAGATGAAGTGCCAGACACCGTATTTCGGACAAATTAGATATAAAAGGGTTTCCTAGTATTTAGCTTTGTGGGGTTACAGCTTGAAAGGGTTTGGGTCACAGGAAGAAAGGAAGTAACCTCCTGCACCAAGGGGGTGGATGGAATGCTATGACGTAAATAGTAGTGAAATCTCATACACTGAGCTCAAGATTATTATTTAATAGTAGGGTGGGCGGCTATCGGAATCGAAAGCAACACATTAATTGCTGCCAGAAAATAACAGGAGATTTAGATCTTTCAGTCCCTCCTCTTCATACAGCTAATACTAGGTCGATCTCAAATACATGAGATATCTAGACTTGCAAGTTGCTAATTTGGCATCCTGGTAGAGGGTTAACTTGAAGTATAGCAACATCACCACCAGTATAATCATGATCCACCCGGGCATTTCCACGGTACTAGGTAGCCTGTACCTGGCAGAGATTAGATGTTGTTGCACCTCTTCCTACGAAAAAGTTGTTCGGGTGGGACCACGTGAGTGCCCCAGGCACCAAGGTCGCTGTAGTTCGTGCACAGCCTCGCTCTCTTCTCTTCGCTCTCTTTATACTATCACTACGCTTTTCGTCCTGCGCCCATTCATCGCCTACAAGAATAAGTCTTCGCAATTGCAAATCACAATGTCGTCGCTTTTCAACGATGTTCGTCGCGATGGGTTCATTTCATCACTCGGCAGGTTCATGGCGGAACCTAGTCGTGTGGACCGGAATCAAAGTTGAGAAACTTCAAAACATGTTTCTACCAAAGCTTACACCAGAAGGAAGGAAATTACTGAGAGATAATTCCGATTTCGTCGGGACCCAGTTGAAGCACTATGGAGTGCAGTTCGAAGAACCCAAGTCCTCTGGACGGAGCACTACCCCCACTACATTACTGAAGGCTGCCCTCACGGCCGGGAAATGCGACCAGGTTCCCAAACATATCGTTAAGCTTCAAAATGAGGAGACAAGGCGACTAAAAGATAAGGAATCAGATTGGGAGACTAGGCGAGAAAAAGTGCATCAGGACTATCTTCTTAAACTCGCCCGGAAGAAAGAGGATGTCTCCCTTATTGGGAGATATCTTGTTGACAGTGAGCCTATCGAGGATGGGTTTTTAGACAAGGCAACTGACCTTGTCCTCAATATCCACCGAACTGACACACCTGGTATTTTCAAAGTCAATTTTGATTTCGGAGTTGTCGAGGGCGTGATGCTTATGTGTTTGGAGAAAGTTGCCCTGGACAAATACTGCGCTCAGGCTGGTCGTGAACATGATGACAACTCGGCTGATTCCTTGGATGAAGAGGGCTCCGAAGAAGATCTTGTCGATGAGGGTGGTATTTCAACCAAAAAGAACTTGAAGCTGGGCAATAAGAGAGGTTGGCCAGCCTCTAAAACTAGTATGACGAGAGCGAAGATTCAGAAGACAGGGAAAGATCGGGCTCTTCAATATCTTCTCAAGCTTAAATGTCGCGAGAAAAGTGAAGGCATGATTTACTTCCAGGAAAGCGACGGAACTATCAATTTCGATAATGAAAAGCTCGCCAGCTTTGATGGATTGGTGGATCTCCCCATAATAGGACAAGGAGTATCGTTCTCTGCGCGGAAGATCTCTGACCTGCCCCGTCCATCCGGGAAGAATTGGGCAGATTATTCAGAGCGGCAATATGAGATGGGACGGATTAACAGATGGCGCTAGATTTGATTCTGGGCTGTGATGGGAAACGTGGAGGAATAATCGCTATTTGCCAAGGGGTAGCTAGGCCTAGCAGCGCCAAGGAAAATAAAAATGATTGCTAAGTTTTGTTCAATGAAAACTTCAGAAGATCTGTTTTGATGTCATCTATGGATCGAAGGAGAGGTCACACGAGGGCGTCTGGTCTGAAAGCATTGAATCTAAAAAACGCCAGTCTGGCTCGAGACCGTGCTCACAAGCCCACCATTCCCACATACCCATACGCAAATTAAAATACCTTCCTTATCAGTGCTAGCGTGTACTTTGGTCAAAACTAGGTTGTATGGAAGGATGCACTCTGCAATCCTCAAGGCAGATTGATCGTCCGTAGCGTGCAAGGCGTTATTGAGAGAAATAGAATGACAATCATAAGCAGACTAGAATGATAAGCGAATAAAAATATCGGATCATCGTGCAGAGTTTCCTTTTTGGTATAGAAATGGCCCCATCGAAGTTCCCACAGCTTCGCGCTACGGTCAACCTCCGGATGGAACAGCATGATGTCGTGTCCCTGCTTCAGCAAGCCCCAAAACAGCTTCAAAATAAGCGGGTTTTTTCCGGGCTTCTCGGGAAACCCGGGTCTCCACAAGAACGCCGAATGTCCATAAATTCCAGCCACCTTAGATAGTGGTCTTCACTGAGGTCCACCTACAGTGAGTAGCCCCGCCATGATCGGTAGAGCAAGGATAGAACTACATGTTTATGTAGTTTTTATCTAACGTAAAGATCAGGAACTCAAAATCTAATTGTCCAGGCTAGCATGTGATACGAACCTCGAAGTATCAGCGATTTTCAGGGGAATATTGGTTGCGACGATGGACGGGGTACTTTGTCACTATGTGATCCCATTGCCGGGCAATTGCCCAGAGTCGTCATTCGCCCAATTGCAATGTGAAACGGGCCGGACCCCAAGGCCCATCAATCGACAGCATTGTGGAAGCTCGCGCCTGTTAACCTAAGGAGTTAAAGCTTTACACACGTGATCTACATGCGCCGGGGTAATTAAATAATATGGGGGCCATTTTAGTCTTGGCGCTTACTATGGAGTGTTGCAGGGCGGATAGAGACAAGGTTCTGCACAGTTAAAATGCTAAAATAACCCAAATAATCTGCTGTGGACAAATTGTGTTAGGTGTGTTATTGATATCCTCAGAGTATGCAGCACGAGAAAAGATCTCGTCAGAAGCCCATTAAGTCTTGCCTCGAATGTAATCGCAGAAAGCAGAAGGTACGTACTATCAGCGGCTTCTGATACTTCCTACGGCGCCCTTGTGAAACCATCCATGACACATCACGCATTGCTGACCACTTCTTAGTGTAATCGCCAAAAGCCATGTAATCATTGCCAGGGCCGCGGGGTAGAGCACCTCTGTGTATATTCCTTCACCCGCACTCAACAAAGTCACAGCAGAGGTCGCAACAGACAGCCAAGACGACGAAGATCGAGCCCTCAAACTGGAGGTTCGGAAGATCAACAAAGTCCTACAACAAGCTCCTCATATGAATCCGACTCACATGAGCCGGTGATGGATGGACTAGAAGCTTTGAGGTACGAGTCGTCAAAGTGTACCAAAGAGCCAAGCAATTGCACAAACCCTTCATGCTCCCTGGCTTGGGTGTTAGGGGATCTGGGAATAAAATATAGACACAAATTTACTGATATAAATTCATATAGAAACTTCCCGCTCATGACGGCGGCAAAGAATAGCATGCCTTCGTCACGATCGAGATCAAGGCTGCGCCGAACATGGCCAGAAAGGCCAGTGGCAGACTTCTTGGTCTGTATGTTTCTACAGGAGATCAATCGAACATACGAAATGATATATCCTCCCACATTCCATTCCAAATACAATGAATGGTGGACGCTACAAGAGAATACGGACGGCATATTGGAAGGCAACATCTCCGACGAGGATGTGGATTTCGGTCTACTCATACTACGGGTTTGTCTGCTCAGTGTACAGTGTCTACCACACACAAGATATCCCACCGCTGGAATACTGGATGTCAGCCTCGATCACCTTGAAGAATGGTTTTACTCCTTGGCAAACGAAATTGAGAAAACGCAATCAGCCGAGAGAAAGCCGACTATCATAACTGTGCAGCATCGATTCTATCATGTCTGCTACCTCGGAAATTATGCAAAGATTCGAAAATGCTGGGCAGCTTTGAGTGTGACTGTCAAGGATGCTCATGAAATGGGATTACACCTGAAGGATCCAGGGATTCCACTTGATGATCTGAGTATGGAAATTCGTAGGCGAGCTTTCTGGAACTTGTATGTTATTGATCGGTAAGTTGATGAGTTAGGTTCCCTTGAATGCGCTAGAAATACTTGATCTGATACCTACCAGATTTATGTGTACCCTTTTCGGCTATTGGCCTCTGATCCCCGAAGGATACTTTGACATCGATCTTCCACACGACAGTCTGCGTACTATCACAATTAGACCATACATTCTCACGACATTTACGGATCGCATTTTTTACATCAAGGTGGCCAGATATCTCACGGCATTCACTAGTCCCCCATCATGGACGACAGATCAATATGACCCAGTTTTGGTCTCTGAGTTCGCGCAGAGGTTCAAAGAAGTCGTTGTTGACCAACTGCCACCTGCATATTGGCTCGAAAATCCCGACACTAGATGGGATGCAGCAGAGCCGACACTCCTTCCCAAGAGAGAAACCCTCCATTTATTTATTTACAGCGCCAAGGCCTCTCTATACCGCGCATTTGCGGATCCCTGCAACAATCTACACTACGGCAGCAATACTAGCAGCAGATACGGTACCGATCTACTAGCTCTTTCTCATCGCCGAACACTGATGGACGTTTCCTGTAAAGTGATATCATCAATCACCCGACTCTATGTTTTGGCAGGCGATGATGAGGGCGGTACATGCGAGCAAATGTTTCTTTTTCCGATCCTTCTTGTCGAAGCGCTGGCGTGCCTCGGGGTTTGTTTGCTTTCCATCCAAGCAGATACGCGACAACTGTCGAATGCAGGCATTCGGTTCAGCCCCGACTCCGACTTGCGGTATAGCTACGCTACGTTCTTCGATGCCTTTGGCCTTCTTTCTCGACAAGCGCCACAGTATGGAATCGCCAAACAAGGACTGAGTATTCTGGAAGGCCTCCATGGCACACTGCAATCATCTTCTGCCAGTCCTAGTTTACTGCGCATCGAGAATTATCGCACTGCAGCCACAGGGAGCGAGACACATGCCGCGGGGGGGGTTTCACCTGGAGCAAGCTCTGATGACAGTTCATGGCCACGGGGGAGGGGAGCTTCCGGGTCGCGTATTTTTCCCTCTGCCCGAATGGCTTCCCTCTTTTTTTGACTCGCCGGGTCGGTCTTGGCTATTCCGCGACCAGTCCGCCTTTGGCGACTTGTTAGCGTGAAATTATGAACAGGGTTTTGTTTGTTTCTGGGGCATCGAAAAGTGACGAAACAGGGTTTGAAAATTGGAACACTGTGGGTACACTGCATAGTATGGACTCCATACTATGGAGTATGTACATGAGCGAATGATCCATGTAAACAGGGGGGGGAGATTGATTTCCAGATGGCAGGCGAAATCGGCAATCGGCTGTTGATGTCTTAGATGTACATGATAACGCCAACGATAATGAGTTTAAAATAAATGGGATTCGACATAATCAATTGCCAGGCCACGCAATCTATCTGCGGCTAAATTGAAAAGCGGCTTGGAGCGCTGTGGCTTCTACAGGTTCAAGGACTGTGGGCGCTGCAGGTGAGACCGGGCGTGCAGATCGCTTGCTCTTTGGGCCACCGTGCACGGTAGTTGCCTGGCGAATGCTCCTTGGCTCACATCACTAAGTTTATGTCCAAAGCCGTTAAGGATGACCCCATTGCACTGCTGGAAAACTTGGTTTGGGTAACCCGAAATAAACCTAACTGGGGAGAGTACTTGGATGTGGAGTGTGGTACCCCAAGATAAAATATGGCATTATTGAAGGTATCATGTATGCCTGAGGCATAAATTTAAAAATTCTTCCTCCCACATGGGGACATTCTTCGAGTATAAACTGGCATTTATCTCGGTATCAACCAAGCTCACCCATCGTAACTTTCTATTTCTATACAAATTAAATTGTAATATGTGAAGACTGACAGATTCAGATGGTATTCTACATCATGCACCTCACCACTGAATCTCTAGGGTTACCTGTGCGACCGATCATCGACGTCATGCGGGCCGCAGAAGGAAAAAATGCCAAGACGTAACCAAGTTTACTCCCATAGGGCGCTCCATTGACTTTTTAGGCTTATCGCTTGGATCTTCCCCTCCCAAACCTTACTGCTTTTTTGACGCCTGTCATTTTCCAGCTTCTATTGCTGTTCTCCCCTCCTCGGAACCTTTTCCCTTCACTTACGAGGATTGGGAGCGGTGGGAGAAAAAAAAAAAAGGAGGCATCTCCAACCATCTCCCGACCTTCCTTTCAACAACCACACCATTGTACATTTCATTGGCATCTTTCCATGGCATTCGCATTATCGAATCTCGTAAAAAGTCCTCTGATCCCCGCCAGCGGTCATCGGCATTGATCGCCGAGCGCGTGGATGATGCGCCCCGGGCTCGATAAGCCGGGCGCACTGCCTCTCCTGATAGTGTTGATCTTTTCGCTACTCACTCTGGCACCCTCATTGTCGAATATCTATAATTTGAAACTGACCGATTTCTCATTCAACACTCATGGAGCTCGACGTAAGTTCATGAGGATTTGCATCGCATTGGCTTCGGGATTTCCGAGACGCAAGCTAACAGGAACACTTCGTATTCAGATATGCCACTCATCAACGAACCTGTCGCTGAATTCCCCTCGGACATGCCACCGATCAGCTATTCGGCCTCGTGGACTATGACGGCGCAGTATCGGCCGCGTGGGAATCTCCTGTCGCGTTCTGTGCGCTCCGGAAACAACGCGCCGACACTGTCCGGCGAGCTCGCTTCCGTCGAGAACAAAAGCGAATTATCACATGGCGCGGTAGACTCGTCGTTCATGTTTAGCCGACGGGCTCGCGCTTTTCGAACCTACTTCATCCAGCAATTAGATGACTATCAAATCTTCACCCCCTTTTCGAACCGAAGCCTCTCTCCCGAAACCGCACACCTCGCCCCTACCACCCCCCCTTCTAATCTCGCTCCTCGACCGACCTCTCTTAACGAACCCTCCTCCGGAAATAAACCGCATTTGAATAATGAGCCGACCCCCTCAGACATATCACCAACAAACTGGCCGGGACTGCAGCTCTCACCTTTGTTCGGCATGTGGCAGCAGGCCTGCCGCGCTGCAACCAGGTTTTGGAGGCTTGGACCCGAGTCTCTAGCCCAATCTTCCAGTATACCTTGGAACTGGGACTGGTCCTCTATCGAATCTCTCGCGACCAGTGACAAAAAGAATCCGACTCGCGCAGCTATAATGCCCCAACCGCAAGACCCGCAAGCACGGGCCAACGCGACCTCAAATCAACCCGCGCAAACCTCAAAACCAAACACATTCTCCCATAACGAGACCACTGATGCTGCCATTCGAACGGCGCCTGAGCTAAAGGGTAGCTGTATGGCAGTGGTTATCGGCTTGGTTGTCGGAATTATGTGGTTTTAGACCGCTATCTCATCGGTAATCCCAGATTCCGTATATTGATCGTGAATACGGAGTGGGATCTGGGGAATTCTCCACATTTTGCACTCTCGCACTGCCTTGAACGTGCTGTCAACTACTGGACATTGGAACATCGCGATGTCATTTATGTCCCCTCATGCCTATAATGAGTTTCTTTTCTTTTCTTATCTGGATGGACATGTATTGGATAGGATCTAGTATGGATGGCTCTGGTTTAGCCTCCAGTGGATTTAATGATGAAAGTTAAATTTTGTATAGTCTATTTTATAATTTCAATACAAAGTAGACTCAATGACAAAAGAAATAATCACAAAGCTATGCGCCGTATGAGGTACACCCGGGAAGAAATAAAAAAAGAAATAGGACCTCCATGATTCAGAACATCAGCATGTCTCTTGCATCGGCCGTGGCTCCCACTGAGTCAGTGGAACCTGTGTCGAATCGCGATCAGTGTGGAGAGAACGATCGAATGCACCGGCCTTTGCTAATCGACGGGCCTTTTTGATGAGCTTCCCCGGGTGGTAAACGATCAAAACAAGCATGGAAAGAAACATTAGAAACGCATCAAAGACGTAAATATACGCCTCCTTCGTATTGACGTCTGTCGTCCGAGGCGCACCGAATTGGATCGTCCGAACCAAATTGCGAATCATCATGGCGAAACAAGCGACATACATCGCCCACATGTACGGCATCCATTTGAGATCGGGATTCATAATCAAAAGCGGTGTCGGTGCTTGTTGGAGACGACGATGAAACTTGACGGCGATCAGAATGAAAAAGGCAAAGACAATGAGTGAGAAGATTAACCCCGCAAGTACAACTTTCTTGCCGATACTCATGATCTGAGCGTCTCCGGTGACCTGAACACCGGCGCCGCCGAGCTGTGTGCAGAAACAGAGGATGTCATTCATTACAAAGACGAATGTGAGCCATTTGACGCGCATGCTAGAGAGGTGCTCTGCTTCGAAGGAGCGGATAATTCGTCCAAGGACCATGTATACGGTTGCGGCGACAAGAGGTGGTGCGCAGAGAATGAGCATTTCTTGTAGTGCCCAAGATTTAATTTCAAACCGGGATTCATGAGACCATGCTCGTCCGTAATAACCGAATGTCTCGCCTATTTTGCGTTATGTTGTTAGATTGGACTCGGGGGGCGATTCGGAAGGATATAGGGTGGAACGCACATATCCCTCCTAATATCAGGGGTATGAAGTATGCAGCGCGAAATGGAATCGTGAGCACGATGTGAACGATGGTTGCAAGCCCGAATATGGCCATGAATGCATACCCTGCCGTAGCTGAAGGAGTATACGGGTAGAACTCGACGACCGGATCGGACCCGTTTACGCCGGGGTGATAAACGATATCCATTGTGAGAATTAAGGGGCGCAGGAGAAAAGATAGGTTGAAGATGTTTCGATTCTAGACTTAGGAGCTAGCTATATTTATGATGATTGTTGATCCATCCTTCTCATTGCCATCTGGCTCTGCGTTTCCGTATCGGGAAATATCTGAACGAATACGTGCGGAGCAAGTGGAGCGTTTGGCGACGCGCCCATCCCTTTTTTTTAAACTTTGCCGCCGCGGAGTACTTATTGCTTCTTTCTGGAAGGGAATTATCCACTATGCCTTTGATCTTGCATCTTCTAGGCAGAAATATGCCTATTTTTAGGGGTCTGAACCCTGGGGTCAGGGCAATGGGCTACACGTGCAAGAAAACTCAAAAAACTTAATTTAGGGACAGTATGTTTCATGGTATTGATCCATTTACCGTCTTGCCTTTGGCCAATTTCATGGTGTCGGCTTTTCTTCATTTAATTCTATTACTGGCAACAATAATTCTGGTACTGGTTCTGCAAGCCAGCTTATCATCGAAGCATTTTTGTCCTGTGCCGAACAGGATCTAAGTCGGCATTCATTGTTATACTTCAGAAAATATGGAGATAAAGGCTCATCATCTGCTTCTTTTCCAAAGTGTAATTTCGTTCATTTTATCATCATGAATTATTCCGATTCAACTTCCCGCACCTTCTTTAACGGCCATTCAATCCACGGCTGGTACTCCGGCTGCAGAAACGTAGAAACACCCGAAAGAACATGCTCAGCCCATCCCTTCATAAACCAAGCCGTTTCCATATATCGAAACATCACAGCCCAGTAGGCAAGTACCACAAGAGCCCGAGGCTCTTTCTCCTCTAGCAACCGGATAAATTGTTCAGGTAGTCGATAAAGCCACCCGATCAATAGATCCATCAGAGCAACCCCTGACTGCTGGGCAGATCTCCGTTTGTGAACCTGATTCATGATGTCATATAAATCATTGAGAGCAGAGGTGTATAATTGAAGTACAGATTCATCTTTGACTTCTCGCTCAACAAGTTGCTGTGCTGCTTGCGTGTAAACAGTATGCTCGTGGAGCTCGAGACCAATCGATGGGCTGATCTCTGGTAAAGGCTCTGGGGGCTCAGGTTTGAGAATCCCACTAAAGACTTTCTGGTGATATGACCGTACAGTCAATTTAACGCCTTGCATGAGGACGAGCCACTCTGCTGGACCGGCGTCGCTGAAGATAAGGTATTCCCCTGGTCGTGGTCCGCGGCCAAAATATATGAAAACTATTAGAGCTGCGGACATGTAGATCTTCTGGCAGTTCTCTTCATTCAGATCCTCGAGTGAAAGGAAATTGGTGACTGTTCGTACGCCGAAAGTAAAATGGTTGTCTGCTTGTTGTAGGTATTTATTTCGTTCTTCGGGGTGCTCGTAGGCTAGATGTAGTGCGGATAGGGCGAGGATTAGGTGGAGAATTGAAGGGAATTCGATACCCCATTGTACTATGTGGTATTGCCAGATATTGTGGGGGTCACTGGTACGCATTGTTTGGAATGTAGATATAGACCAGTGGTGAAAGAGATGAAGGTCGGGAATGGATATAGTGCTTGGAAGGGGCTCTTTCAAGATATCACATTGTGTTCCAGTGGAGTGGGTGCTGCTGGAGGAGGACGGGGGCTGCGGATTTGATATTCGGAAGGTTTGTTTCAGTCCACCAGTTGCGAATTGATGTGGTTGGAATCTACGTGCCGGTGTTCGGACGGGCACTTCCGAATCCTCTTGAGCCGAGGATTCCGCAGATTGCGTTGCGATTGTGGTAAATGTGCATTCGACATCATGGTTGGAACAGTTGGAGCAGCTAGGCCGCTTTTCGTCACACTGTAACAGATCAGCCCGGCTCTCGTTAGATTCGCAGTCTAAGCTATTCCACCGCCTAGGGCGAAAGCAAAGTAACGACCGGAGTGTATATAGCATAACCGCGGATTAAGTAGGAGCGAGAGAAGTGAAGGGTACAGGATAGAGATCGGAGGAAATGCGTACCTTAATGCGCCGTCGCTTGCAGTTAGTGCACCCTAGGCGCGACTTCCGATGTGTCCGTCTTGGCCGGACAGCCTTATTGCCACCTGGAGGGTCCATTGCTTACTTTTCCTTACTATTGTCGGGGTGCGCAGTGCGTATTCGTTCTCGGCTTCCCTTTTATGACGTCCAAGGTGCGGGCCTCGCCTCCTTCCTTCCAGGCCGCACGCATTGAAGGTCGGACTAAATGGATCCAATTAGGCGGATATGTTGTTAGATCTGCGTATCACGGAAGATCTCAGCATCTGCTGTCCCCTTTGTTCCAGGCATCGAAATATCCTGAAGATGTTTGGGAAAGGATGAGTTACGGATACGCAGAAATTTCCGGATTTGGGTTAGCAGCCCCACCAGCCTGAGATTTCACAGCGCCAATTGACATTCTCATTGGCTCCATTGATTGTATTTTTTTATCTGGCTCTCCGTACTTATTATAGACCTGACCAGCACTGGCAAAATAGATAGGGTTTCGGTCCTGGTACAGGTGGGTCTCACTTGGTCTTGATCTCAGACTACTGGGTTGAGAATTATAGGAAAAAAATTGATTGGATGAGCAAAGATACCGGAAATTATTGAAGCTAATTTTCACATTGATTGGAGGCATCAATCTTCGTTAAACAAGATGAGATACAGAGCATAGCGTCATATATGGAGTTGGGATTTTGAAGTCCGCAACACGATCCAACAAGAAATAAGAAATTTACAGACGGGCCGGACGACCAGAGAGGGTCGAGCCGTAAACCACATCGAAGCGGTCCAGGTTCATGACCTTGTCCCAAGCAGCGACGAAGTCACGAACGAACTTGGACTGGCCGTCATGGCTACCGTACAGCTCTGACAGAGCACGGAGCTCGGCGTGGTGACCGAAGATCAGGTCGTTGCGGGAAGCAGACCACTTCTTGGCACCAGTCTTGCGGTCGACACCCTCGAAAGTGTCGTTGTTGGCGTTGACGGACTTCCACTCGGTGCTCATGTCGAGCAGGTTGACGAAGAAATCGTTGGTCAGCTGGCCAGGACGCTGGGTCAGGACACCCAGGTTGGAGCGGTCCCAGTTGGCGCCCAGAACACGCAGACCACCGACGAGGACGGTCATCTCGGGAGCAGTGAGGGTCAGCTGCTGGGCCTTGTCGACAAGCATCTGCTCGCTGCGGACACGAATGCTGGAGTGGCCGTAGTTGCGGAAGCCGTCGTGGACAGGCTCCAACCAGCGGAAGGAGTCGACATCGGTCTCCTCTTGGGTGGCATCCATGCGGCCGGGGGTGAAGGGAACGGGAATACCGGCGGCCTTCTCCAGGGCAGCATTACCGGCCAGAACGATCAGGTCAGCGAGAGAGACACGCTTGTTACCAGTCTGAGAGCTGTTGTAGCGACGCTGGACGTCCTCGAGAACGGCAAGGACCTCACGAAGTTGGGCAGGGTTGTTAACCTGCCAGTTGTTCTGAGGAGCCAGGCGGACACGGGCACCGTTGGCGCCACCACGCTTGTCACCGCCACGGAAGGTGGAGGCAGAGGCCCAGGCAGCGGAGATGAACTTGGTGTGCTCCAGGCCGGAGGCCAGGATCTCGCGCTTCAGGTCAGCAACATCCTCGATATCAATCAGAGGGTGGTTGACACCGGGAACGGGGTCCTCCCACAGGAGAGTCTCCTGGGGGACCTCGGGGCCGAGCCAGCGGACACGAGGGCCCATGTCACGGTGGAGCAACTTGAACCAGGCGCGGGAGAAAGCATCGGCGAGCTGGTCAGGGTTGGCCAGGAAGCGACGGGAGATCTTCTCGTAGGCAGGGTCAAAGCGGAGAGACAGATCAGTGGTCAGCATCTTAGGCTTGTGCTTCTTGCTGCCATCATGGGCATCGGGGATAATGTCGTCGGCATTCTTAGCGGTCCACTGGTTGGCGCCAGCGGGAGACTTGGTGAGTTCCCAGTCAAACTTGAAGAGGTATTCGAGGAAGTTGTTGCTCCATTTGGTAGGAGTCTTGGTCCAGGTCACCTCAAGACCCGAGGTGATAGTGTCGCCACCCTTACCGGTCTTGTGGGAGCTGGCCCAGCCGAGACCTTGAGACTCGAGACCGGCAGCCTCCGGCTCCTTGCCGACGTTGTCAGCGGGACCGGCACCGTGAGTCTTACCGAAGGTGTGACCACCGGCGATGAGAGCAACGGTCTCTTCATCGTTCATGGCCATGCGGCCGAAGGTGATGCGAATATCGCGGGCTGCCGCGACGGGGTCGGGGTTTCCATCGGGGCCCTCCGGGTTGACGTAAATGAGGCCCATCACAACCGCAGCGAGTGGGTCCTCAAGATCGCGAGTGCGGATATCGCTCTGCTTCTTCTCCTCTTCGGAAGTCTCCGGTGCGTAGCGAACATCATTGGTGAACCATTCACGCTCGCCACCCCAGTAGACAGACTCATCGGCCTCCCAGACATCAGCACGACCACCAGCGAAACCAAAGGTCTTCAGACCCATGGACTCGAGGGCGACGTTACCGGTCAGGAGCAGCAGATCAGCCCAAGAGATCTTCTCACCATACTTTTGCTTGATGGGCCAGAGCAAACGGCGAGCCTTGTCAAGACTGACGTTGTCGGGCCAACTGTTCAGAGGGGCAAAACGCTGCTGGCCCTGGCCACCACCGCCACGGCCATCGAAAACACGATAGGTACCGGCGCTGTGCCAGGCCATACGGACGAAAAGACCACCATAGTGGCCAAAGTCGGCGGGCCACCAGTCTTGAGAGTCGGTCATCAGACTGTGGAGATCCTTCTTGAGGGCATAGTAATCAAGGCTCTTGAAGGCTTGAGCATAGTCAAAGTCCTTGGTCAGAGGGTTGGTAGCCTCTGTGTGCTGGCGCAGGATGTTGAGCTTCAGGTTCTCTGGCCACCAGTCACGATTCCTGGTGCCATGGCCAGCGACGTTGGCGGATTTGTTGTGAACCGGGCATTCACCCATGATTGCTTTTATAATTTAAAGATATATG